CCACCTTCACGTTCATCTCACGCCACACTTCGCGCTACTAAAACGTACTGTCGTCCCCCAACCAGATTAAGGTATCCAAACGTGCGCTTTCCCCACTATTTTGATATCCTTGATGTTACTTTCGCACAAGAGGGGATAGGGTGATCCACTCTTCCCTTGGAGGGACATAGTCAACCAGAGTTCTTTGATAGGACAGACAGGTAGTGGATGGATATCATCTTCACTCAAGTGTCTTTGACCCCTTTTTCTACAACTTCGCAACTTTCGAAAGCACAGATTGCCCATATTTCTCTCTAGCCCATCTGACTTGGGACTGCTACAACCCTCCTCTACCTATTGGTCGGTGCAAAAATGTTCATGTCCTTAACCTAGATCATCGACCATCATCCACCATCCTCCCGCAGATACCTGAGTAAATGGGATCTACTCATGGCACATGGTGAACAAGATGATTGACGAGATGTTGCATGGTCATCTCCCTCAACCGGTTTCCCTTTCGATATCATTTTCGAAGGCGGTGTGTCTTTGACTAATCCTGACTCTGGATATATCCAAAGCCTACGCCTGATTACTCACTCCCAAGGAGAGATCGATTAACTCTCGCCCCTAATCCTCTTATAGCCACCCATTTTCCCAATTACAAATGAGGAGTGTTTTTTCGTTGGGGTTTTGACCAAAGGCTTCCCCCAGATCACCTTTGAATTCACATCAAAGTGAGCGTTGCAAATTGACATTGCATTCAGCTAACCTGCAGAAGAGTTTGAAGGGGGGGAAGGGGTGACTGATTCCACAAGGTACTTTTTGACTAACATATAGCGGGGGAGAGGCGCAACCCTGCCATATCTCTATCACCCTCGACAAACTTACCATGCCTCTAGACCCCAATTGCGAGAGAAATAGCAAAAGGCACCGTGTTAGGAGGGTTGGTAGGCGGAAGTACGAGAAAGGAAGGGGATGGAATTAATGAGAAAAAATATACCAACCCGAGGGCTCTCAAAAACACCAAATAAAGGTTGGCACAGTTGGCAGGGTGCCGCAGGTTACGTTCAACGGCGATTCCTTGCTTCTCGAGAATGAAGCCGCGGGATAAATTACAGCACAAGGTGTACAAACACCAAACTGAGAGAATTTACACAAGAGTCGACCAATCATTTGACTCGTAGGAGGTACCAATGCGCGGCGTCCTTGCATCTTGGGAAACTGAGCGTCCAACGTTCATGTCGTAGGTTGACGTTGGCGCATACTACCTTGGTCTCATGCAAGTGCGGCGTGTTGGTGTCATGCAGGTGCGGCGCCCATGCATTTTCGACAGCTGGACGTCCAATGTTCAGCAGGTTTGACTTTACCGCATACTGGACTTTTATCACTCCCACCCGCATCACACGCTGCCTTATCGGCATTCTCCCATCTTGGGCTCATGCTGGTGCGGCGTGTTGGTTTCATGTACACCGCGCGATGTAAGGTGCGGCGTGTCCGTTCCCGGGATCTTGTACAGTACAGAGAGTCTCAACACCGAGTGATCACTCCTTTATCATGGCCGTTGGCCGCCTTTTTCCACTTCATGCATTTTTTTCATCCCTTTGAATAGCCTGAACGAGAACCTTTTGGGTTTCGCCTATATATACTCCCCAATTTCCTTCGCTCCAACTCATCAACCAGACCACCTCTTCACTCACCACTTCCCACCCCAAGTCATCCACCATGAAGTCCTCAGTCCTCGTCCTTACCGTTGCCCTTGCTCTTGCCACCAGTGCCTTTGCCGCGCCCAAAGCGGAGGTTGTCGGGGGTGGTGGCGCGCAAATTGAAGAGACCTGTTATCACCCGAGCAGCTGCTCTGACCATTGGTCCGGATTGTGTGAAGACTATTGCGGCGACCGCGGATTTTCTCATATGACGGGCAGTGGCTGCGGATGGTGGGACAAGAAGTGCTGCTGCAACAGGAACTAAGCAATGACCCACTACTCTACTCGGTGACCCGCTACTATTCTCGGCGAGCCCTACTATTCTCGGTGACCCGCTACTCTACTCGCTGGTCATCTACTCTACTCAAGGTGTTTTCAATCAAGGTCCCTTCTCTCTTTCCCTCTCTTATCAAAAGAACAGAATAAAAGAATGATAAGCCTTAGTCATTCACCTGTCAATTCTTAACTCGTTATGTCAATGGCTATGGGTTCCGGATTGAGCAAAAATGATTAAATTGTTGTTACGTGGTGTCGCACGCGATCCAGTTGGGCCAAAGTAATTCAGACAGAGAAAATTATCAGCCCCTGCAGTTCTCCAGCTATCCGAAACAATAGGGGTCGTCAAAGCTCTTGCCAGACGGCGAGAAAAGGGACCAAGCCTATTTCAATACACGCAAAAGGGGTGTACGCATTTTCGTATTCTTTTCGAGTATCCATTTTCACGTACTCAAATCAAATACGCCAACGTATTTCGTCAAACGAGACGACTGTTTGGCCCCCTTTTTGCCCGTTTTTCTTCTTCACACACATGTCTTCCTTTCCCTATGGAGGAGGAAGAGGACGACGCGGTCTCTGTGGCCTGGACAGACGACGGTTCCGCGGGAGTACCATCCTGGTCCTCAGCAGGCAACGAATGAGACGGAGAACGAGGAGTCTCATGCGAAGAGCCCGAGGGCTGATGGGATGCTGTGTCAAACTCAGAGGAGGAGGACGACAAGGGCGTCAACTAAACGAGAACAAAAAAGAAAAAAAATGTTACACACAAGGTTGACAGAAACGGACGGGGTGGCTCTTATTTTTGTGTGGTCTTAATTGTTGTACTTATTGGTAGTCTGGGGGGTCAAGAGAGACGCGACGGCCTTTTGCACGACGAGTGAGAACCTGGGTTTGGGTTGGACGTTCTTGTTGTTCTTGGTAGGAGCCATGGTGTAGGTGGAGTGAGGGTAAGAGGTGTATCCAATTGGTTGTGAGAAGTAGATGGAGTGGTATTTGACTCTCCTGAACGAAAAAAAGTGTTTTTATTTTCCTCTCGTTTGACGATTTCTGCCGCTGCCACTGCCAAACGCGCGCCTTGTGTTTGCGAAATATGTCAAGGGTCGTAGGTTTGTGCGTTCGCATTTTCGTATTAGAAGACCTGCGCAGTTGACAGAAAAATGTCAAATGCGCAAACGAGCGGCGGATTTATTTTGGATCTGGCCGTAGTTTGACGACCCCTAATATGTTCAACGGTCTAACGCACAATCCATTACTGATAACCTTAACTCCTGTTCACACGCTCGAAAACGGCTCGCATATATAAATGCACACATGTACATAACAACAACAATAACCATAACAATTACAATTACAATTACAATTACAATTACAATTACAATAACAACATCACACCATCAACGACAGCAGCAGCAGCGGCAACAACGGTAACAACAGCAGCATAAAAAATGTGATGTGATGTGATGTGATGTGATGTGATGTGATGTGATGTGAGCCTTGTCGGTCAAGGCATTGAAGAAAGAAGCAGTGAGATTTTTAAGCTATTACACCATAGGAAGTACTAGCTCAGTCTGTTGTTCAATTTACACTGAAACGACCAATCGCTTGCTGACTCGTAGGAAGTACCAAGGCACGGCCTCCAACGTTCATAGCGCAGGTTGACATTTGGCGCATACTACCTTGGTCTCATGCAAGTGCGGCGTGTCCATGTTGTCTCTGCTTTGACCCCCCCCTCTTCCCCCCTCTTCCCCCCTGGGATCTTTTTCCATTCGTGGCTCGGACACCCAACAGTAACTGTATACTCCCCACTTTCTGTCTCACTCCATGCTCAGGACAGGTATTCTTCGGTCTTTAGGTATAAAAAGAGCTACACCTGTCCAACCTCCACTACCGACACAAATCTGATCGTGCCTCAAGATCCAGACTCGTAAGAGCATCACAGACGCCTATCAAACCACTCTGTAAGGCTACAGTACTTTTGATTTTTCATTCGTCCCCAATTAAGGTTAGGGAGGTACAGGGCAAGGAGCGACTAACCCAAAGCCCCCATGCGGCTTTTCTTTTTTGTTCCTTCCAAAAATCCACTCATGTGGTGGTTTCGTCGACCACCCCTCAAATAGAGTCTCTTCTAAGTTCTAACAAAAAGAGTAGTGCCACTAAAAAAGAGAGCCTGTGCGCGAGAGAGAAAAGTAATCTTTTTTCCATCTTTCGTGCAGGTAAGCAGACACCACAACAGACAAAGACAAACAAATTGTAGGAGAGGACAAGCGTGATGGATAGTAAATATCAACCTTCTTTCCCGCTTTTGTGCAGGCATAACGGGCTCACCTGCGTTTTCTTTTATCACCTGCGATAACAACAACAAACAACGACAACAACAACAGCGACATCCACAACAGAGACAGACCTATCAACAGTGACACACAATATCTATCTCTTTTTCATTTCATTTCATCACCACTATCAACCATAACTGCGACACAACAAACAGAAAAATACATATGTATATGTATAAAAGCGACGCACGCAAACACTAACAAGGCAACAGCATGTTAAACCAAGCCATCAGCGAAGTGACTCAAACCCCTTGGGCCGACACCAGGTCCCCCAGAAGGGAGGAGGAAGACCCAGCTAGCGCCTTCCCATCTCATGTCAACTCTCCCCCTGCTCTCTCTTCGACCTGGGGTTTCAAAACTCCAACACATATCAGAGTGGATACTCTGACACCAGCGATAATGAACATCCCCGATCTCCTTTGCATTTCAACCGACCTAGACGCATCATTCTATGGCTTTGCATGCGCCCACTCGTACGACACCCATGGAATCCTCTGGACTTCCTACAACGTCTTCGTCAAGTCCAATACTAACCCCGTCAATTCTGACAGCATCAGCACTTGAAGAAAACCCCAGTCATCCTGTCCTTGGTATCGTCGAACAGTGTGCATTGTTATTGTTTAGCTGTAATATAAGACTTTTCTATCTCATCCCTGCTATATAAATTATAGCGTCCTATAGCTGTCTATACCATCAAAATGGGCGGGTTTTACTCCAAGTCCAAAGTGGTCAGGATCGAGTTGGTCTTGAGTGCCTCAGCCAGCGTGTTGGCTCCGTCGGATCCGATCGAGTTGCTCCTCAAGTTCAAAGAGGTAAGGGTCGAGTTGGTCATGAGTGCCTCAGCCAGCGCCTTGGCTCCGTCGTCTCCAGTCAAGTTGCTCCTTAAGTTTAAAGAGGTAAGGGCCGAGTTGGTCTTGAGTGCCTCAGCCAGCGCCTTGGCTCCGTTGTCTCCGATCGAGTTGTAGAGCAAGTCCAAGGTAGTCAGGGTCGAGTTGGTCTTGAGTGCCTCAGCCAGCGCGTTGGCTCCGTTGTCACCGATCGAGTTGCTCCCCAAGTCCAAAGTGGTCAGGGTCGAGTTGGTCTTGAGTGCCTCAACCAGCGCTTTGGCTCCATTGTCTCCGATCGAGTTGATCTCCAAGACCATAGTGGTCAGGGTCGAGTTGGTCTTGAGTGCATCAGCCAGCGCCTTGGCTCCGTTGTCTCCGATCGAATTGCTCCCCAAGTCAAAAGTGGTCAGGGTCGAGTTGGTCTTGAGTGCCTCAGCCAGCGCCTTGGCTCCGTTGTCTCCGATCGAGTTGTAGAGCAAGTCCAAAGTGGTTAGGGTCGAGTTGGTCTTGAGTGCCTCAGCCAGCGCCTTGGCTCCGTCGGATCCGATCGAGTTCCTCTCCAAGTACATAGTGATCAGGGTCGAATTAGTCTTGAGTGCCTCAGCCAGCGCCTTGGCTCCGTTATCACCGATCGAGTTGTTCCCCAAGTCCAAAGTGGTCAGGGTCGAGTTGGTCTTGAGTGCCTCAGCCAGCGCCTTGGCTCCGTCGGATCCGATCGAGTTCCTCTCCAAGTACATAGTGATCAGGGTCGAATTAGTCTTGAGTGCCTCAGCCAGCGCCTTGGCTCCGTCGGATCCGATCGAGTTCCTCTCCAAGTACATAGTGATCAGGGTCGAATTAGTCTTGAGTGCCTCAGCCAGCGCGTTGGCTCCGTTATCACCGATCGAGTTGTTCCCCAAGTCCAAAGTGGTCAGGGTCGAGTTGGTCTTGAGTGCATCAGCCAGTGCCTTGGCTCCGTTGTCTCCGAGCGAGTTGCTCCTCAAGTCCAAAGTGGTAAGGGTTGAGTTGGTCTTGAGTGCCTCAGCCAGCACCTTGGCTTCGTTTTCTCCGAACGATTTGCTCCTCAAGTCCAAAATGGTCAGGGTCGAGTTGGTCTTGAGTGCATCAGCTAGTATTCCAAACTCCTTTCCTCCAATCATTGTAGTTGCCAGCTCGCAGGACATCTTACAAATATGAGTTGATTTTTTGGGTGGAAATCCAAGAAAGCTAACGAGGTCCTTTGAAAGAAGAATATGAAGTACTTTCATATTAGGAAGATCTCTGATGCGGAAAATGACGTCATATGGTGTGGATGTCGATAGTAGTTTCCTGACGACGCTCGTCCGAAATTGTTGAAGATCCAGTCGAAGATTGATACTCTTGATTTCCTGAGCGCATCCTCCAGTGCTTCAAGATCACTTGTAGTGCAGGCCCAGTCCAAGCCGATGTCGAGCTCATAGACAGATCTCGCCTTTCCCAGTGCCGAAAAGAAATGCTCTGCCAACGCTCTCGACTGGAGTCTCACGTCAACCCTACCAACGTTTTCACTAAACGATCCTCCGACGGAATCTAGCACGCGCAGGAACTCCTTGGCCGAGTTTTCTAGATAGTTCATGCGGTAGTGGTCAATGCAAACCCATTTGACATGTCCCTCGTCCGTAACGGTCCTGTACAGGTTCCCCAACACCTTATTGCCGTCCTTGTCCTTCAGAAAGGTGTCCAGCTTGCGTAGATCGGCGCCTTCCAATGCCTCCTTCTTTTCCATCTGCTTAGAAAACTCGTCAACTGCCTCGCCTTCATTCACAGAGACCTTGTCCATCCAGTCTAGGACATGATCCATTCCAGGCTCAATATTGTCCCTCAACTGTTGTAGACCGGCAGTGGCTTGATCGATGGCATCCGATCTGACCAGGTGAGAGATAGCTGGTACAGCCACTCCAGCAACCGAAACACCGAACTTGAGCATCTTGAGGATAGTGAGTACATAGGGGCCGTATTGCTGAAAGAACTCTGAAGGTCGAACGATCTCGTAGCCTTCATGCTTAGCAAAGTGGATATCATGAGAGATATCGGTCTTGCAGTTGATCGACCTGGTGTGTTCTCCGCACTCGCATAAAAAGTAGAGACGGAACTTGTTCGAGAAGGGATTTACGGCATCCCAACCTGAAGGGTCTTGAGGAAGGACAACGAAAAGACGAGGGATCGGGTACTCGTGGAGTTCGTAGGTCTGAGTTAGGACGGCTTGCACACGGGACTGGAGCATGGCTAACTGATCAAGAGCTCGCTGCTGCAGTTGCTTCATCTCTTCTTGGTTGCTAAGGACTTGCTCCTGCAGCTGGTTCATCTCTTCTTGGTTGCTGAGGACTTGCTCCTGCAGCTGCTTCACTTCTTCCTGCTTGGCAAGCATTGCTTCCTGCAAGTCGAAGTTCTTGACCACCATGACCTCCAGCTTCTGAAAGTGCCCACCCAGTTCTTGCCTAAGCTCTCTTCGACTAACCTCCCCATTACCGTACTTGATAGCCTTGGAAAACGCCTGGTAGATGTCCGACGAGGCTCTAACTGTTCCTTGGACTTCAGGGGCCAAAAGGGAGATAAATCGCTGCTCGACCTCAGATTCGCGTGACTACCTAGACGCGCGTGTCACAATCTGCTGGAACACTGTCGCCTTGGAAGCAGCATCGGTGGTAGACGATGGACTTGATGGTGTGTCGAGAAGGCCAATGTCTCTGACGGGCGTCTCTGGTATAGGTGGTGTAGCCCTGAAAGCAACAGCGATTTTGTTGTTAACTGGAGCACCGACTGGAGCATTAGTTTCACCACCAACTGGGTCAAACTCAGCAGGGTTGGCAAGAACAGGTTGGACAGAGGTAGACAAGACAACGTCCAGGATGCTATATGGCATGATTCAGAAAGGAAGAGAACAGTATGATGAGATGTTTGCTCGTCAAGACCATTCGTCTCAAATCATTTTTAAGTTTCCTTATTACCCTTGTTGATCGGAACCCCGAAGAAACTTGATGACCGAATGGCCATTGCTAACGCGCTTAACTCCAGGAAAGGCTTTCTCAATGTCCTCCCAATAAATGATGTTCTGTCCGTCAACATGGTTGAGAGTGATTTCCATGGTATCCGTGGTTTTGGTCAAGCGAAACGATTGAGTATCCTCCATTGCTCTTGTTAGATGTATTGTGGGTAGTGGATATAGGAATGAAGAAAATAGCGACTTTGTGTAAGAAAAGGAAAGCGAGGAAGAATGCGCGAAGAGGAAGAAGAGTTTGGGTGAAAGAGACACAGTTTCAAAGTGGACCCTTTCGACTCGAAAAGCCTTCTGCTTCGCCATTTCTTTGTATCTTCCCCTTGTTGTTGGCTCAAACGAGCTGACGCCTCCTTTGTTCGCAATAAATACTCTTTGGTATTCATCGGTCAACATCGATCCTGGTTGCACAAAAAAATTCAAGGGAGCTGAGGAAAAATTCAAGGGTACCTGTCGACCTATCACTTACAAAGTGCTTGGCCATTGTCCCTTTGTTTTTTGCTATCTCTCACTTTAATTTTCCCTATGCTGTGCCTACTGACATTTACCATTGTTTGATTTGCTAACTGTCACTTCTCTAATATCTACTTTGTCAACAGGGATAACCGGTTTGTGGCAGCCAAGCGTTCAGAGCGACGTTACTTTTTGATCCTTCGATGTCGATTCTTTCAATCCTTGCTCCAGCAGGAATTCAAGGTCGCGTTGTTGATGCTTTGTTCACTTTGTCAAAATTTATACTACAGTTAAAAATGGCCAATACAATCTCTTCGGTTTGTTTGTCGCGCTTTGACTAGCCTGCTTTTAACGCGTCGCCGTGATCTGAGTGCAGTTTCCAATATTCTAACTTGATAAAATGCTGCTTCGCAATAAACATTAAACCATATGCTGCTTTACCGCCGATAGTTGTTCATGACATTGGAGGAGAATATTATCTCAAGAGTGTTCTCCTGTATAATTTCCTGCACCCTCCTCATATTACGCTTTTCCTATCACATGCGCTCGAATGAATCACATACGCTTTACAGTTTTCAGCCTGCTCGTAAGATTCCTGTGCATATCCTTCAGCCAGAAGGCGACGGAATGCTTCTTCGTGCATCAGTAACAGCAGAGGTAGACGACGGGTACGTGTAATACCGGCAGATCAAGACAGATAGCGCCCTCCATTCAGCAACTCTATCTGTCGCTGGGGTTTCCAAATGCTACAGCTGCGAACGAAAAAAGGCCCGACTGGAGGAGCCATACAAATGGATTTACAAAGGGATCTGTGTCGAACCTGGATGTCGTCCACCGGTGTTCGATATCGAACTCAGTTGAATTCTCAAATGTGCATCCATTGCCACACATTTGTCGAGCCTGACGTTTCCAAGGACGATTATGTCACGAAGGTCGTCAGGGTGATGAATGGCCGGACGGATCAGCACTCAGTGGTCCAGCCGCTCCAGTACTATCCATCGACTGGTCCGCACAAGACATGGAAGTGCCATACCTGTCGGAAGGGCATCTGCCGCCAAAATCTCACTGTAGCGTAACACTCGATATAGAAGATAGGGGTTCTGACTTTTTATCCAACATCGTGTTGTGGTAGTTTCGTCTACCACCCATTAAGTAGAGCCTCTTCTAACAAAATGAGAGCCTGCACGCGAGAGAGAAAAGTAACCTTTTTTTCCTCTTTCGCGCAGTAAGCAGACGCCACAATAGACAAAGACATTCAATAGTAGAGGAGCAGCGTGGATATTAAATATGCCTATTTCGTGCAGGCGGGTTCACCAGCGTTTTCTTTTATTACCAGTGACAACAACAACAACAACAGAGAGAACTATCAACACCGACTCACAATATCAATCCTTTTTATCATTTCACCACCAATCTAACCAACCATAACCGCGACTACAACACAATAAGAAAATAATATACAAAAAAAGAGACAACCATCAGCAACACAACATGTCAAACCAAGCTATCAACGAAGTGACTCAAACTTCCGGAGCTGACATCAGGGCCTCCAGAAGGGAGGAAGACCCTGCTAGCGGGTTCCCATCTCCCGGCAACTCTCCCCTCTCTCTCTCTGAACCCGGGGTTTCAAAACTCACACACTCACACACACGCCTCCTTTTCCATCCTCGCGGAGATTGAAATCCCGTTCACGCCCTAAACAAATAATAAAAACGTACTCACGGCCCTTTTCTCGTTCGGATGGGTCTTCCGGTTTTGATTGTGTTCTGTACCACCCTCTTCACATCCGATCGATCCTTGGCATCGTTGCCTATTGTTCGCAGTACTTTTTTTGTCGCATTGGTATCAGCAAGGAGAAGTCTCAGTCCTTCTGTTTGTCCTGTGGTGAGGATGAAAAGTACAAGACGATGGAATAGATGGTGTCTTGAAGAGCTATCACTATCCTTCCTTTTTCTTCTCTCAGTTTCTCGTGCCGTTCTTGATACATTTTTTCTTATGGAGGAAGGGGAAAGGGGATACACTGCCTTGGGCCCCCTTCCTCTTAGTGACAACGAAGGGGGAACAAAAAAAATAGGACAATCTCCGAAGGATTAAGGAGGGAAGAAGGAATGCCAAGAGAAAAAAAGAGCGCTTTGATTTTTTTTCCCTCCTTCCAGTGGCCATGGAATCAAAAACACAAACGAGTTGTCTCTGGTCACTTTGACCATTACCCATGCGCATTTCTTTTTCTTTTGTCACAACTCGTGAAAGAACCCATTTAACTGGATGTTGTTTACTCGGTTGTTTTATTCACATTGAGAAGATGCCATCCACCCAAGCTCAAATCAACACTCCACCTTTTCAAGCAAGAAGATCAAGGCGGGTTTTGTGTCCTTTGATATCAATCCGGGGGAAGTACCCGGGCTCATACCCGTTATAGGACATGTAGCCAACCAACGTATGGTTGTCTCGTTTCCGTTCATAGAAACAGCATGTAGATGCAAAGAACTCTGGTGGGCCGTCGAAGATGGAGGAGGTCTTTAACCAGAGGTGGCCGTAGAATGGTGTTTTCTAAAGTTGTGTGAAGATCAAATATAAAGAAGACGTGTTAGGCAATTGGCGAAAGAGAGAGGGCAACAAATGACAAACATGATGGATAATAAACACTGAGGAAGATAAAAACGTACCATGGCGACTTGGGGTCTGCCAGAAGTATCAACTTTGAGATCTAACCCATTCGACCAAGACTCAACCGTAAGACTAACATCCCCCTTCGCCTGGACCCTAGCCACCTTCCTAACCTCGACCTGAGCTTCGACGTTCCCGTCCCCGCCCTTCGTCACCACATTCATCGCCTCCGTAACCAGCAAATCCTTCACCGTCACCGAGCCCGCCTCTGCCAAAAGCTCCAACCGCTCTACTGCAATCCTCGCACCCGTACTCCTTTTCGGATCCATCGCCACAATCACGTTTCCTTTGTACCGACTTTCGATCTGGATGAAGTCGTAATCGTAGAGGTGGCGAGGGAAGATGATGTCTACTTCGAGGCGGGTACAGTTCCGGGCGAGGGCTTTGCGAATTTCTGAGGATTTCATGTCAAGAAAGAGGGAGGTTTCGAAGAAAGAGTTGCGGGGGGTGGGGGTAATTTTGAGGGAGATGAAGGAGAGGAGTTCGGGGGTGGATGCTTGCGCTGTGATGAGGACTGTGATGTTGCCCTCTGTCCTGTCCCTTGACTGTGATACTGATATATCTCCCGTCTAAATGAATGCATAGTGAGAACATAATGTGTTAATGGTGTGCGAGCAAAATAAAATGAAAAAGGAGAACGTGTGAGAAAGAACAAGGGTATATTTGCTTACGATGCCCTCGTCGAGGTGGAAGAAGAGTTCCCGGTAATCGGCCGGATCAAAGGAATACCCCATCGTGGTGACTTGTGCATCCTCTGGGACCTTGCACTCATACGACAAATGGTTAACAAGGCGGATCTATTGTCAGTTTATCAAGGTTCAAAAAAGAGGCAAGGTCAGACCACGAAGGGGGGAGGGGGCGAGCATTTTCAGTCGCATGCATGCATTGCACGAGAGGAAAAACATTCGATAAACGAAGGAAAGTGTCAAAGAAAAAATCTTGAACACACAAAGAGCAATGGATGTATCTTTCTGCCAACGTACCAGACCCCAAATAACCATGATTCCGACGATGGCCGCGATAAGGATGCCCTTCCACTCGTGGAACCATCTTTTAGTACCTATCATCCGCACACAACATGTCATGGTCATGGTTAAAACCTAAACATTATTCGTCCCAATGGTCGTTTAACTCTCAAAAGAAAATAAAATCATCCTCGAGGAAAAACTTACCTCTCCACTTATCATCCCACCACCATCCAAGCCGCCGTCCGGCATCATTCCCCCATTGCCGCAACCCCTCCGAACACCCAACCCCACCCTCACCATCACCACCACCGCGCCTCCTTGACCCAAGCTCCGTCGCCCGTCGTGCAGCCGCCTCTGCTGGTGTCGCCACTCTTCCTGATGTGACACGGCCACCTCCCAAAAGCGGCGTCTGCTCGTCATGGTCGGTAGGTCGTCCTAATCCTAGTTCTGGTGTATTTGAATACGCAGGCGGTGGGATGTCTGTGTCTGGAACTAGTGGGGAGTGGTCGATATCGACGGTTGTCGAGTCTCTGTTTCCTTGTCCGTTCGTGTGTTGTTGCTTTCCTGTGGACATGCTCGCTTGGTTACCTATATGTTTGTGTGTTTGTTCTTCTGTTACTGTTTTTATGCTGCTGTTGTGAGAGGTAAAAGGGGCGAGGGAAAAGTGAAGAGAAGAGATTGGATGAGAGAGAAAAAAATAAGAGCGCATTCATCCGTTTTATATCCAACGGTACAAACGAAGGTCCATGGACAATGACATCTTTCTGCATGTGTGTCTGTTTGTTTGTTTATTTCCTTTTTTCCCCTCTCACTTTTCCTCTGTGCCATGTCAACCCCATCTACGTCGACTTTCATGTCCAATAGGAGAAGTCACAGAGCAAAAAAGGGGCGAGTGTCAAGTATGTCATCTTTGACATCCCTCCTTTCGATGCTGTGCAATCGAAGTTTAACCGCAGCAAGGTAAGAACAAGACGCATGGACCACTTTTCTGGACACCTTCGTCGCTCTGAAGGAATAGGCTTTTGTCCATAAAAGGATAGCATACCACACCTGGCTACATTTTCTACTTTCGTATGCTATTCTTTACTACTACAGAAGTGCAATCGAAGGGGCGCTGAGGCTAAGAGAGCTCTTCAATCAAGACCTTCTTCTCTTTCACACCACCACCACTACCACCAGACGCATTACCCACACCATCCCCAGCCGCATATGCTCCTGCTACTGCTCCATCATCTCTATCACCGCCAACAACCCGCGAGACTTGCTCAAGCTCCCGCGTCCAACCAACAATCTCCTGCCGGACACGAATCCCCGCCATCACAACCTCCGTCCTGACGCGATCTAGTCTATCAGATTTCATGATCAACTCCGACAACAGATACGATTCATAGAACTCTAGTTTCTTCAACAACCTGTGCAGCGTTGTCTTTGAACATATTCCTCCTCGCCGTTTCGTGGTCGTGGCGGTAGCGGTAGCGAGGCATGATTGGAAGACAGCTTCGAGATCTCGGATACACCGCAGACAGCGAGAGGGTCGTGCCAGGATCAGAGTCAAGTCTCTCAGGAGAAGCGACAACATCTCGAGACGGACAGTGTCACCCTTCCAGAGTGTGGAATTCAGACTCGATGTTTGGAGGATCGCCAGTGTTGTCTCAAAATCCTCGACTTGCATGACTCCCGATGCTGACGAAGTCGTCGCTGCAGTTCCTGATCTTGGTGTCGATGATTTGGAAGCCGGTGGAGGTGGGGCAAAGAAGGGACAGAGGTCAAAGATATGGGCGAGCACTTGTTCAGGTTCCTCCTGGAGATCTCCGTTAAAAACTCGAATAGTAGCAGCAAAAGCAAACAGCAACCCGCAGATGTGGTAGATCAAGGATGGGTGGGGTGCCTTGGTCATGGGTGGGACAGTCGATTGTGCCCTCTGCTGTGCTTCTTGATCGATATCCTCCAAAGGACGGACCAGAGCCTGATGCGGTCGCAGCATCGCCTCTTCATCCAACACAAACTGCTCCAGAACAGTGCCGGAACCAGAGCGTGACTGACCGGGTATATTGCTTGCTCCTGTGGTTGTTGCTGTCGAGGTCGTGTCACCTTCCTGAAGAATAATATTGCTAGCTGCCTTCAAACGTTCTGAATCCCGCTTCTCCTGCGCCTCACTATCCGTGACTTTGGAAACAACCACCTTCTTCAACTGCCCACTCTCCTCAGCCTCAACTTCCCACCAAGGCCGCCAGATCTGAATAAGTTCCGCAATCTCGGCATCCCGAATCGCCTTCAAGTCGTCTATATCCAGATCCGCAGTCATGGCCTGACCACCCTCGCTGGCCACCTTCTGACCTCCCCTCTCAAGAGTCTCACTCATCTCCTGCAACAGCTTCTTGGCTTCCATTTCCTCATCCTCATTATCGTCATCTGAGATACCCTTCACCCCATCAGGACCATCTTCGAGATCACCACTCACATCATCGTCGTCTTCACCCAACCGTCCCGAAATCACAAACTTCTCCTGAAACTCGCGTCTCTCGTCCGGATTCAACTTCTCCCAGATACTCTCAAACGACTCCTGATCCAGATCCACATCCGCAAACCTTTTAACGAAATCCTGATATTCCTGCTCAACCATCCGTTCCATCTCTGCCCGTTCCTCTGGGCCAATATTGTCATCACCCTCATCCGGGAGAGCGTCCTCCTTGGCTTCTTCCTCCATCGCCTTACGGATCAATTCCTCGCGCTCCTTGGGCGTCAGTTTCCGTTGCAATGGCTTTGACCCAGCAGTCCCCGCTCCTGCTCCTGCTCCTGCCTCGCTCGACTTTCCAGAGCTACCTCCCTTTTGCTTATGCTGCTGTTGTTGGTGCTGGGCATGCTGCAAGAGGTCTTCATCCGACATGGTAGTCAAGAGCTGCTCCTCATCCACAGCCTGCCGCTCAAACCGATCCAGAATCCCGAGCATCTTTTTCCGGTCCTGAGGTGTTACAGCCGGACTAGATTTAAGCTCATCCATCACCGATGCCTTGTAAAACGATTCCGTGCACTGGACATGCGTCTAAGTATCACATATACAAGAAGAGTGCAGGGGTTAATTGACTATGTAAATAATCTTCCGTAAAAAAACGCCATGTATGACACATGGGTAGATGCTTTGCTCTTCAAAGAACAATTGTCGTGAAATGTATAAGCTTCGTTACCTGGTCCTTGTAGCAGGTGAGGGAGCAATAGCGCAGATTGCATCGTGGACAGATATACTTGAAGGGTTGTGCCTTGCAACTAATTTTGTTTGTTCACACCGCAGTAATATGTTCACCTCTGCGTCAGCCTTTTTGTTGTGGAATGAACTTGTTAATGAACAAGCTTCTTTTCGTTCTTTGTTCGAATGGAAGCCAAAAAAAAAAAAAAAAAAATGAGTAGATGAGGCAGGGAGAGAACTTACATTCCGCAGGGGTGTGTGTTTGCTACGATGGTGCGATGCTTCCGAGGGACGACCATGCTTGCTTTGCGCGTGAGTGAGCAGTGTGAAGAAAAGGTTGTGCCACCAAACAAGATTAAACGCTGTTGATTTGTTATTTGCACAAGCCACACAAAAATGAGCTGATGTCTGCTTTTTTTATTTCGATCGAAAATGATTATGAGGGGAGAGGGTTGATTGAGAAAGGGTGCAAATGATAAAAGTGGGGGGAAGGGGTATTGTTCGGGTCTATGTATTACGGTGTTGTTGAGGTAGTGTCTGCGACTCCAGCATCGTCCTTACAGACGGTAGATCTGTCCAACCTCCTCGGCACGGGCAACCTTGGAAACATCGCCTTCGGCCAACATCCTGTCCCACCAGGCAAACATAAAGTTATCGCAGATCAACTTGAACCAAGGGGTGACAATAATGCCGCTGCCAGGGGTAACGCCCCGCTCCAAGAGCACCTTCAACTCATCCTTAGTCACCCAACGGACATCGCGGACTTCGTTAGGGCTGGGGTTCATGTCAATAAGCTCCTTGTGCTGGGGTCTCATGAACAGAATGTAATCAATCTCGTGCTCGCCCCAGGTCTCGTTCGAGGGAGCCAAGTAGTGGATACGGGTCAAGAAGTGGAAATCATCCACGGGAACATCCTTGGCCTCGATTCCGAGCTCGTGGAACAACTTGCGCTGGGCAGCTGTGCGGACACCCAGGTTGTCCTTCTCGACCAACTCGTCGGCAGTGTTGAGGGGGTGCGAGCAGCAGGTGTTGGTCCATGCATCTGGGAAGGTGATCTTTTCGGTCGCACGCTGCTGCAAAAGGAGCTTGGTGCCGTCGGCAGAGAAGAGGAACACGGAGAAGGCGCGGTGGAGGAGGTTGTGACCCAAAATGTTGGTCATCAAGTGGCCTAGCAATATCAATGAACAAGGATCAGCGCTTGTTAGATTCTGTGGATGCAACTGTGTCCTCGGACTAGGACAAGTGTCAACGCGGGTGATCTGTCTATCATGTAGATGTATGTCGATGCAATTGTTTGTCAAAAGTGGAAGCTCTGGCTGTCGTTAAGTTGCGCTGACGACTCGTCTGAATGCCGGAGCTCGCCTGAGCAGAGCTGTGAAATGCCTCTTCTCCTGAATTATCTTTGTTACGAGTGTATTCCGATCAGGGGTAAGTCGAGTGACGGGAAGCTTCAATTCGACTAGCCATTGAAAGTCGAAGTGGCCAAAGACCACTGACGCTTGAATAATCCTGGGTTCGTTTGTATCGTTCCTGAGCAAAGAGAAAAGAGATCTGGTTGTTCATGAACACAAAAAGAATACCACATCTCGTGAGAATATTCTTATCCGTCAAATTGACAGAACTACTTACAGGTCTTCTTGGAGTCGGCACCGATGCGCTTGTCATCACGGTCGATGACGATGCACATCTCCTCCATGAGCTTGACCTGCTCATCGTCGTAGTTGGAGAGGTCGACATCGGCGGCGATGGTCGAGTGGAGGGGAGCAGGGGTAGGGGTAGCGACGTCGGATGAGCCCATTGTTGTAGTTGTAGCTGTCTTTGCTGTTTGTTGAAGGAGTGCGGCGGTGGTGAGGGACGAAGAAGAGGACGGGAGTCGGAAAGCGGAGCGAGGGTTGACGGTGTTGGGTAATCGAGAGAGGATGGAAGAAGAAAGAGAAGAAGAAGAGGAAGAAGAAAAGGAAGAAGAGGGCAAAGGAGAAGCCGAGTGGGATGAGAGAGTCCGCTGTGCCTTTGTAGTGATATGATGAATGAACAATCCAAAAAAAAAGTCGTAAGGTTTTTTGAGCCAATCAGAACCATTGGGAGATCTTTAATAGTTCAACGGAGGATGAAAATAAGTGGGGAATACTTCGGAGACAGGCACACACAACAAAGGTCTCTGTTGGAGCATTTACATACAGAAACTCGCATACAATCCACACATTTTATAATCCTTGGCCTGGGATCCCACACCAAGAACAAGCCCAAGTTCCCACGGGAAAGATAAAAAAATGAAAGAAAAGAAATGACGCCGCCCATGCATACCTCGCCCACTCTTAGCCTCGTTCTCCGAACTTGTAAGACCCAGTAACACCTGCAAAGACAAGTCCGAACATCCCTTTTCTTACCAAACAAGAGCCAATGAACGAACTTACCCTAGGCACTGACGTTGCCTGCCTTGTCACTCGGCGCAGGGCTAGATGGCGAGCAAGAATAGTCGTCGACATCTTCCGTTGTTTCGTTCCTTGTTTGTTTCCGTGTGTGAATGAATGGTTGCCGACATCTATACACACACTCACGCCCAGCTTCATTTTCTCCTTGCCGCCTGTGTGCAAAAAGCGTGACTGTACAATTTCTGATCGTACATCTTGCGCACTGGCCATTCAGGAACCGATAGCTCCATGGTCAATTCTTCTCACCCAATTGAACAATTGGTTGATTCCCTTCAAAAAAAAACAGTCAACTTGTCCTCCCTTTCAACATCCACGGACTCACAAGCAGTTCGCTCATGGCCTAAACGTCAAGACCGACGCTGAGAAATTGCCAAGCGTCAATCAATCAATGAACGAGATGCTATTGCAGTTGTTTACTCTGTCTTCCTTTGTAGAAATAGAGCAGGGGAAACTATAGTAAACATAGACCCAATGAACGCACAAAGTAAAGGCCAAGTATTGGAAAAAGTGAACAACACTGATGATATACCTATGCAGAAATAAAAAAAGACGCGGCGAAATTCCTCATATAACAAGGTTGGAGAGATGTGGGGTATGAACTGTGCCCAGAGTACTGAGAGCATTCTTCCCTCCCTACCCTTGCAAGATTTTTTTGTTCATTGTTCACCTTACTGAGCTCTTGGCGTTCATCCCATATTGCCTTCGCCCATGTCTTGTTTGAACTACTATCGTCAATTGACCCCCGCTGGATGCACATCGCACCTACACACGAACCACTCGTGGATCGTCTCCTCGCCGCATCGAGGTTCAATTATCTCTGCAATAGCACGACGACATATGTCCAGCCATTAAGCACACTCCATCATCTAGTGGACACTCGCACCCCTTTTTTCAAACGGTGAATAAACAAGATTTCGCCAGCCGTAAAAAGCATGCAAGCCAAGAACAAGCTACAAGGTGGCCTAAACCCAAACCCACCCCACAACTCTTTTTCACCAGCCGAGAAATACAGGAGGTTGAACTTCTGAAGGTTCGTGCGACAAGGCGTACAAGGAAGAGCTGTTGTCTCGGAAGAGGAGGTGAGATGATGGCGAGTAGTTCATGACTCGCTATAAAAGCAGTTGGGTTCGCCTACCACTCTTCTTCACTTCAAATCTCGAACTCGAACCTTTCGCTTCACCAAGAAAAAAACAAGTAGCTGTTCACGTACTTGGTTACTGTCTCGCCTCAGTATCCATCACATACAACACACGCACACCTCTCCACTCTCCCATCCACGCACACACATACCACGCGACCCACTTAAACAAGAAAAATGGCAACAGTCTCCACATTGAACCCAACAAAGTTCATGGCCTTCAAGGGTCTTGTCATGGCCATGTTTGCCGCCTACCCGACCTCGATCCACTCGCTTCGACAACCTGGCAGTCTCCTCTGGGTCATCTTTACCCTCTGGGTTGCCAAGACTGTCAAGAATGTATGTTTGTGATATGCTTCTTACTCTTCCTTTCTCCGGCGACGGTTGAGTGGTTGTGGAGAAGTGAACTCTTTTGTTGTCGCTTCCGTGCATGTCCCCTTTGCTGTTCCCTCCCCTCCATCCCTCAGTCTCACTTACATAACCTATAACTTGTCGCTCTGTCCCTTCTACCTAAAACAATGCATGAATAGATGATCAAGAGAGCATACTTCCACCCGTTGTCCCACCTCCCCGGAAACAAACTCCTCTCATCGACCTACTTCTTCCTTGGCATTGCCGGTCTCAGTGGGCGGAGCCATTACTTCCTCCCCCTCGGGCACAAGTATTACGGAAAGATCTTTAGGTTCTCGCCAGATATCGTTTCTGTCGCTGACAAGGACATGATCAAAGAAGTAAGAAAATACTGCTAGATGTAAGCATCGTCCTCTTGGGATGTGAGCGTTTGTTCCATTTACTAATGTTGTCGACTTTCTTTTGTTCAATAATGTAATGCTAGATCCTGGTGACGATGGATTACCCCAAGAGCGTGATCCATGAAGGGTTTGAGTTGAATGATCAGCACAACCTCTTTACCTCGCGCCACAAGGAGTTCCACAAGAACCGAGTAAGACACCTCCATTTCTCGATATCAAAATTCAGGTGCGATTAACTACGGATAGAACCAGTAACAACAACCTAACCCACTTCTATTTTTGATCAATCACTTCAGCGACGATTGGTGGCACCAGCATTCGGATTGCAGTACCTGCGCGCCCTAGAGCCAATCATGGCCGAATGCACCCAAATCGCCATCGACGAGATCGACAAGATCCTCATCGACCCCAAAGCCGTCAAGGGTGGACATATCCTTAAACCAGGTCAAGTCGACATCTGCTCCTTCATGATCCGTCTTTCACTCGACATTATCGGCGAGACTGCCTTTGGGCAGTCCTTCAGGATGGTCAAGGATAACACCCACCCTGTCCCCAAACAGCTAGCGAATACGCTGAAGAGATGTATGCAGCAGACTCTCAACCCGTGGATGAAGTGGTTTGTGCCGCTGGACTGGTCGTTTGTGGAGTTTGGGGCGCAGAGGGTGAAGGATAGGAAGTTGAAGGGTGAGGCAGGGAGGAGAGCGGATCTGTTGCAGTATTTGATTGACGCGCAGGCACATGAGCGTGCGAATGGTAATGGGGAGACCGGGAATGAGTATGATGATATGATTGCCGGAAAACTGACTGACAAGGCCGTCGAGACCGAGGCCTGCGTCTTCTTGTAAGTTCTTTCTCCTGCTGTCGTGTCCATGTTCAGCAAGCTTAAGAACACGGCTCTTAATTCTCTTTGCTCCTAACATCACACCATTCATTTTCCCCTCTCCTTGGCATAGGATTGCGGGATCAGAGACATCGTCGACGGCAATGACGTTCACGATTATGTACCTGGTCAAGAACCTCGACAAGCTGGCCAAGCTGAGAGAGGAGCTTGACTTGGCAACTGCCAGCAATGCCCCCGGTGCCCTCCCCACCTATGACCAGATCCGTAACCTGCCTTATCTTACTGGATGTATCAACGAGTCCCTGCGTCTGCGTCCAGTTGCTGCCACTGGTAAAAAACATGGTGGTTGCTTTGCTATTTTTTCTGTGTGTTGATAGGTGATTACAATGTGCAACCATGTCCCTGATACTTTGTCTACCGTTTGATCCATAGGTCTCCCTCGTGAGGTGACCGAGGATGTGACCATGAAGGGTCACTTCTTCCCCAAAGGCACAAGTAAGTTCGTGGCGACCATCCCTGACCCTTCCCTTCGTCACATCTCATCTCATCTCCTGCATGCAACTTCCCTCCAACGTCCCGCTAATCACATTCCTCCCTCTCCTCTATTGCAACAGTCCTACTCGCGCAACTCCCACAGCTGCACTGGTCAAACGAATACTTCCCGCAAGCCAACAAATTCATCCCGGAACGCTGGATCCCAGACGAATCGCCGTTCTCTCCCGTCCAGGATTTCACCTTCTACCCCTTCTCGGCTGGAACTCGCAACTGTGTCGGAAAGAACTATGCCATGTACGTTTTATTCTCTTTTCTTTTCTCCCTGCATCAACGCCTTTCTGCTCCCAATCCATCCCTGCTGTTGTTGCACGCTGTCATCTTTTTCCCCCCTGCAGGTTACAATTTAAGCTAACAGGGCCACTAAAACACCCTTTCTCTCTCTCCCTCTCCCTCTCTCCCGTTCCTTCTACCTTCTCAACATAGGATGGAGATGAGACTGATCATTGCAGCACTAATTGTCCGCTACGACATTGGATTCGTTCCTCGACAACGTACCGACTACATCCAATACATTACCACGGCCTTGGCGACCGATAGCTATATCATTACCATGAAGCGACGTGAGCTTGTCCGTGGATTCTAGGCGAGGAGGAAAGAGAAGGAGAGAAGGAGTGAACACAAAAGGAGGAGCCTACAAAGATGCATGTACTATGAACAGCACTATATATCAATGAACGTAATGCCATAGTTGTTGCGGTTAGTTGCGGTTGGTTGCGGGTTTGTTTTACTGATCGCGAAGTAATTGTCCCGCCGACAGACCATGTGGATTTTTTCTCCCTTTTGTTACTATTGTGATGACGCAGGATGAGGAAGGGAGACGGACAATAAAAGAATAAAAGGGTCACACTCCTTAGAAATGAAACGTCTTCAAGTGAGTCAAACCTCCTTGCTCAATTGGTAGATATTACATGGTGCATACAATTGTACCTGGGTGAGTTATTTCTTTTTCTCCTTGTGTTGAATAGGGCGATCGAGCGAAGCATTTTTTCCTGGTGTCCGCTTGTCGCACAAAGGAAATGCGCTTCTTTTACGCCATCGTCGTTTATTAATCCACAAGCAAGCCAAGCCCTGTTCTTGTTCTCCCTAATGCATGCTTTCCAGGTTCCGCCCGCTTATTCGCCCTGTGTCTGTGAGATTTGTTTGGTCCAGCTGCGATCGTTTTGCCCAATCCGACCAGGCACAATGATATGCAATTTAAAATTTAATAATTACAGGGCGGTCGGGAAAAAAAGTGGTACTGTAGGCGGCGGCTTTTTGTCTGACTCTTCTTTTCTTGTTAGCATTTGGACAAATGAGAAGGCACGACTGAACGTCAACAACCGGTCTTTGGTTATTGTTCCCCTGGTCATGTATCTTTGCAAAGATGGACCCTGACCAAAAAGCAGGTCAACATCGATAATGCTTTGAAGGATTGTTATGTCGTTGTTGTTGCTATCGATGAACCTCGTTTTGTTATTATTGAGTTGACTTGAACCGGTATCGATACTGTTGCTTGGCTATCTACCCATAGAGGAGAAAAGTCCTTCTTAACCCTTCGTCAACCCAAAAGAGGATGTATACTAGATAGAAGGTTGGCGCAACCAAGCAAAGAGAGACAAATGCAGGCGTGTAGAGAGCGACGACCTGTGCAACGGCCATGCGCCTTTTTGAAGAGTAGAATCTGACCGCATAAAGACAAAAACGGTGGAGAACCTCACACACAACGACAAAAAGATGAGAGCGTTTTGGTTCCATTTGGTTGTCATTTGGCACAAGCCTGGTGCGTTTGAAAAAGCAATATAACTTAAATTGCCTTTTATCCCGAGGGAAAGATATAAAATGCGATCGAGTTCCTTCAGTCCTTTTCCTCCTTCTGTTCTTTACCTTTTCTCTCTTCTCTTCTTCTTCACTCCACTCCCATTTGCAACTTTCCAGCCTTCCTCAGGCCGACCATCACACCGCTACACCTTTGCACACATACCCAGCCAGCCACTCAACCCCCTCTCCACTCTCTACTATCCTCTCCTTCCAACCAATACGCCCATATACACAAAATGGCCACCTTCTCCTCCCTCAACACCATCACCCTGGCCCTTCTCGCCCTCATTTTCGCCATCGCCACCGTCCAATCCGCCCCCACCCCCGTGGCAGATCCTAAAGTCCCCGTCTTCTCCATCTTCTCCAAAAACAACGAAAAAGGTGCCACGGCCACCGTCTCCAAGTACGGCTGTCACAACCACGGCCTCAAGGCCGTTGCCGGGGTCCACTACCGTAGTGGCCCTCATGCCCAGATCAAGTTCTATTCTGGCAAGGACTGCAAGGGCAAGGTGACCCATTCGATGCCCATTAACACTTACAAGTCGATGGGCGGTCCTTACAACTCTCAGAGTGTTCTTGTCTTCAAGGGCACCGGTTCTTCCATGCAGTAAACTAGCTGCTGTATTCGAGACCAAGGAGCAAGCTGCTTTTACAATACATACCCTTGACAGACCGTTTTCCCTTCTCCCCTCTTTCTGTACATTTACACTGCTACATCCCTCTGCTGTTGTGCGTCCTCTTTGTGGAGGAGGTGGAGCATCAATCAAAAAAAACAAATAACAATAAACTGGCATAAAAGCGTTTTATGACACCCACTATCGAGCCATGTATTATGACTGTTTGTGTGAGAGAGGTAGAGGACGAAAAATATGTGGCATGTGTTCCTTCGCACAAGCGTCCATGTTGCTAAATTCTTACGCTGTTTGGCGCTCTTGGCCCTCTGCAGTCCCTTTTGTTTCTTGGCAACCTTACTTTTAGTCAGAGTGATCTCTTCTCTTTTTTCCCTTCTTCTTCTGTTCCATTTACTTTTCCATTCACTCATTCCTCATACGTCCATCACCCCTCCCTCATTCTCTCTCTCTCTCTCTCTCTCTCTCTCTCTGATGAGCTTCAATGACAGAAAATCGGCACCCGTGGACGAGCAAGCGACGTTCGGTAGCCAGGCGCCCTTCGCCTCCCCCGTAGGCCCCTCGGCACCTCACGACCCTTACTTTCCCAGTAATTTTTTACTTTCCTGCCCTGGACTTCGCCTTTTCTGCGCTGATGGATTGTATCTTATTAGTCTCGGAGGATGATGATCAGTCCGCACATAAACTAACAGTCGTTTTGTGTCTTTTATCACTCGCGAATGGGGTTTCTTTTATTCTAGTCCCGACGGACGTCCCACCATCCTACAGTGCAGCTCCATCACCCGTAGAGGGAGCAGTCAGCGGGAACCCACAGTCGCACCTTCCTTCTCCCTCTGCTCCTCCACAACGCCTCAACGCGCCACAGCATAGCCCCTACAGTTACAACCCACCGGGGGGAGCAGCACCACCACCACTTGCAGGAGGAGGACTGGATCCTAACTCTCCTCGTCATCATCCACAGGCACCGTACTTCCCGCCCCCTCCTCCACCACAGCGACAACATCAACAGCCGTATTATGGAGGGGCTGGACCTTCGACCAACTATGGCGCGATTAGCAACAACAACCTCCCACCACCACCACCTCCTCCTCAAGGGTACTACTATGATAATAATGGGCAACCCTACCAGCCAGTAGTCACCGCCCCGCTTGTCCCTAGAGCACCTCATGGACAGAGGAGGAGAGGATCTGATAGCAGCGATAGTGATAGTTCGAGTGATGAACATCATCCCCATCGGAGGACACCTCATACACGAAGTAAGTCGAACAACGTCCTTCTTCTACTTCTCAGACCTTTATTTTCTTTTCTCGTTGTTGCTCTCTGCTTTGTATACCTCGCATGGAAGGCCAGACGTCAACAAACAGATAGCGGTCGCCAAGAACGAAGAGAACTAAAGAAAATAATAATTGCGGCGTGTGTCCGAAATGAGCACCTAAACAGGAAATGATTACGCCCTTCTAGCAAAGAACGCTCAGACACGATCGAAAATTCTCACATCTCTTTTTTTTTTCTTAATAGGGAGCAAGAAAAAGTCGGGAGGCTGTTGTTCATGCTGCTGTCTCACCATCCTGTTCATCTTTCTCTACTGCTGGTATCTCGTCAAGTCCTTTGTAAGTCGCAGTCGTAGTAGGCCGGACCAGCATGTCGCTTTTTGTAATGTCATTCTTAGATAAAATGAATGATGAACAGGGAAGATGGGGAAAAGGAAAGAGTACTAACGGATATGCTTATGGTTTGTATGTTTCTTGAATAGGTGCTCCCGGACTACTCGTGCTCGGACGGGGATAATGTTAGTATCGACACGAAGTATGTCCGCCTGGTGCCTGGATTGAACTTTGAGTACAAGGCTGTTGAGGAAGTTGTAAGTTTCGTTTGAGACAAACTAGGAGTTGTACTCCTTGACAAGCAGAAGCAGCATTTTTTTTTTGTTCGCCAAAGTCAAAGGAGGGATCAACTAAGCACTTGGCCTAACACTCACTTACTTCTACTTTTCCTCACAAATTGTAGATGGGAAACATTGTAGTCAACGAATCGGACACATGGGACGAAAAAGGGATCAGGATCGTCGTCATCAAAAAGGCATACTCCACAAAATCCCTCGACCAAATCTCCCACACCCTCGAAAACATCAACGGCACCACCGTCTCGCGGGTTCATCTCAAAGATACGCTTAGCAAGGACCAAAAGGAGAAGATTGCCTTTCATGGGGGCTGTCTTCGTGCTGATGTTCAGATCACCTACCCTCGCGCCTCGTCTTCTTTTGTTTCTCGGACTGAGGGCGAGAGTGTAGTTGCTGCGACTGGGCCTGGATCTGTACGGGATTTGGGAGCGCTGAGTCTGAGCACCACCATGGGCGAGATCTCGGTCAAGTTGGCGTCGAGAGGAGAGGAGGCTTACAGTCTGAACTCTTTCGGAGTCAAAGTCGTGCATGGAGATGTGGATGTTAGTAACTTGGTCGTGGTCAAGAAGACGCATGTCGAGATTGTCAATGGTCAGGTCTTGGCGGATTTGACGACTGCGGGAGCTGTCAAGGTCGATATGGTCAATGGAGGTATTGTGTTGGCGATTGAGTCTGCAGCACCCCGGACAAAGCTGATGTTGGGACGTGGTGTTGGTGGTGGTTGGGCGCCTGAAAATCTGGATGTGGAGGCCAATGCGGTCAATGGACCCGTCAGTGTCACCTTTGTAAGCCCCCCCCCTCAATTTATTTTTTGGTCGCGTTTCTTATGTGAATGGAGTGACGACAGTGTTCTGACACATTCTTTTTCTTTACTTCGTTCTTATGTGAATTTAAATAGAGGAACCATTTCCATGGCCATTTCACGCTAGAGAGCCAAGTCGGGTCGACATCCTTCACGGTCCCAGCGGGCGACAGAAAGACGACCCCCACCAACCCAAGCGGTAAGCACGAGGGATGGGTCTCCGAGGACGGTAAAGAGCCTCTCTCTGCGCTTCCCAGACTTGTTGTCAAGACTGCCATTGGCACCATCAAAGTCAAGGTCGAGCCCAATAACAAATATACCAGCCCTTGAAAAGTTTGCATTTGTAATGCAATGAAGTAAAAGAACATTGATACCTAATTTGTATTGCGAGATGAGGTTTATATGGAGGGTTTGTTGAATGGGCAGGGAGATGGCAGGAGAGACAAGGCGTTAGTTTGGTGGCGCGACTTCTAGATCAAACTTGGGCTTATCAGTCACCATTGTCACAGACTTCATCCCATTTGTGCTTGATATGTCGCTAGAGGCCTGCTCGGCAAAACGATCGAGCAGGAGATAAGAACAAGAACAAAGCGTAGAGAATACTCTCTTTGTTCTTGATGTAACTTGTAAGCCCATTCTGCCACGATTCGATTGCTAGGTAGTACCTATCAAGAAGGAGCAATGAAGGGGAGAGAAGGTGTCCGGAAGAAACGCAGTACGAGATAAGAGAAGAAATGACCCCGATGGAAGAACAAGAAAGAAGAAAGAGTAGACGCGCCATGCGATGGTTACAATAGCTAATACGAGAGCAGCGGCACCATTGGCCCGACTTTGGAAGCAAGCCATGAGAAGCGGACACAAGGTCAAGAATGATAAGTGAGAGCGAATCCTAACGGCTGGTTGACCAATGAGATCGGTTCGGTCGTTCTCTCGGAACTCGCTTCCCGTTCCACTCAAAGAGCACATAATGTCATCCCTCTCTGTTGTGTGTTCTTATTTCTTTCGTTTTGTGTTTATCCGCTTTCTTTTCTCTCTTTTTCTTCACCCTCTCCCTTTCACTCCCCCTCAACAACAGCAACAAAAAAGAAGACATATATGGCAGACAGCAAAGGAGCCGCACCTGCTTCTGCGGGATGGAGAAAGTTCGCCTTCCTCAACCTGACCCCCGCCCAATACTTTGTCCGTCTCGTCCCCGCGATCGTCTATGGCTTGTATACGTACTCTACCCGCGGACCCTTCCAACCTCCCTCCTGCACCAGCTTCGGAATTTCCTGCCCCATGACCACCAACCACATCTCGGGCGTTCTCGAGCGACCCGAATACTATGGCCAGGTCTTGGGATACTACACCGACCTGATCGCGCAATCTGAAGATCTCGGCGGCTCTCTTGCAGTCTTTGTTGACGGTATGGCCGTAATTGATGTCTATACTGGATTCAAGGACCTGGCTCGCACCCAAGTCTACGACAACACGACACTTCAACAGGTCTACTCTTCTGGCAAGGCTGTCGAGGGCATTATTATTGCCCGCTTGGTCGACCAGGGCAGGCTGGACTATGAGGCCAAGATTGTCGAGTACTGGCCCGAGTTTGGACAGAATGGAAAGGAGGAAGTTCGATTGAGGGATTTGATGGTCCATGAAGCTGGTGTGCCAGCATTGGATGATGAGGACAAGCTCGATGCGCTCTCATGGGCCTCGATGGGGGATGAGGAAAAATTTTCGGAGCGTTTGGCTCGACAGCCTCATGTCTTTGGCAGCAAGCCGACCCGTGCGTACCATGCAATCACGCGTGGCTGGTTCCTGAACGAGATTGTCAAGCGGGCTGACCCCAAGGGCCGGACGATTGGGCAGATTGCGCAACAGGACTTGATGACCGACTATGAGGACTTGGAGTTGTACTACTCCAAGCTGCCCAAGGAGTCGGACTGGGAGAACCGTCTGTCGCCCATGCACGACTACCCTCTCCTTCGCATCCTGGGTCGTTTGGTCTTGCCACAGGTGATTCAGAACAGTAGGATCTTTGGTAGCCCTCGTACGCTGCCTTTGCACCAAATTGTCAAGAGGACATTTGAGAGCAAGTCGCTCACTGCCAGAGCCCTTACGCCCAAGTTTGCTCCCTGGCCCCGTCTTCTCCGCACGCCTGAGGCACATGTGTATGAGGGTACCAGCTTCTCTCTCAAGTCTAATGCCCACTCTGTAAGTGTTTCTGTTCGTCTCTTTTTGATTTTTTCTCCCACACTCGCATTCCTAAATTCAGAGTCACAGTGGCCATTTTTTCCATGTCCTTTATTGTTGAAATTGGATGCGTGTTACCATGGCATGGTTCGCAGGGTTGGTTACATGGTTTGGCATTGCTGCGCGCCGTAGACAAAGAGAGAGTAGGATGTGCGGGCTGAGTTTGATGCTCTTACTGTTCATCCTGTTTCCTGTTTCCTGTTTCCTGCTTCCTACCCTTCTTTTGCTATATCCGTTGCTTTGTCCATCCTACGATCCTGATATCCCTGATATCAGTCAGGGCTCTCGTATCGGTGTTGGCCTAATACATGTCATATGTAAACCAGCATTTGTCGTTGTGTCGTCGTCGCGCTCAAATTGTTTAACCGATTTCCTACCCTTTTTTTTCCCACACCTACTTTTCGCCTATTCCTGCTTTTTTGTCCTTGCTCCACGCACATGAAAAATAGCTCGCAAGGTTGATGTCAATGATGGCCAACAAGGGCGGCTCCACAAGACCCGGTGAACCCAACCTCATCTCCGCCAAAACCTATACCCAGGCAACAACCCTCCACGGCGCCTCCCTTGACGAAGTCACCGGCGAGACCGTCCCCCTTTCCGTCGGTGGCTGGGTCAAGACCCGTTCCTTCTACGGCGAAGGTCCTTTGAAGGGCGTTGAAGTCCAAGGGTGGTCTGGAGCTGGAGGATCGTTGATTTTGTGGATTGAGGAGCTGGGGATTGGGTTCTCGTATGTAACCAATGCGTTTGCGGCGCCTGAGACTCTTTTGGGGGATTACCGGGGCAAGACGCTGTTGGATCGGGTTGTTTATGCCCGTAAGGGCGAGTTGGGGCTGTTGCCTAAGAAGGCTCCTGAAGAACAAGCTGAAGCTGGAGCTGGAGCTGAGGAGAAGAAGCAGAGAGAAGAGGATGAGTGAGGAGGGTGGCAGAACAAGACAGAATATTCCATCCCAAAATAATAATAGTTATTACCCCATTACTTTTTATTACTCGATTATGTTTTCTAGCATCGATGATGATGCCTTTGAGTATTTGCTCTTATCAACAAATAGGTCAGCATGGTTACATGAATGTCATTATGCAAGAAAGAACATTATTATTGGGCGTTTTTTTATTTCAGCCTGGGTCCTTCCTTCGTCGTGTACGTGAAGCGCTCGCTTATGGGTAAAAAAAAACCACCTCACCCAGGGAACTGTTCACTTTTCTAGATTTTTTGATGTTGGATTTTGCTTGACCAGGGTAAGCACAAAGATGAAGAGAGAGGAACGAGCACACAAGTCGAGCGGTCATTGGGGGAGATGGAATTACATTTCTGATGTATGATTCTTTGCTTGTTTGCATTGGTCTACCTGCTTGGTCTGTTTTGATGTATCTGGCTTACTCGCTTCTCACACTTCACCTCACTTCTGCTTTATGTTGTTACGCGCTTTGCTCTACTTTTCTCCCTTTGCTTGAACACATTTTTCGTTCTCACGGCATTACCAGTGTGTGATTTTCGTCAGTTCTTGCATGTTTATGTGACCAAATTGCATTTTTTACTCTCTCTCCCTTCTTCCTTTTGCTTTGACACATGTGGATGCAAAAAATGAGCAAAGGGAAAATGCGTGAAAGCAAAAGAAAATGCGTGAAAGCAAAAGAAAGTGCGTGAAAGTGAATGGAAGTGAGTGAGAGGGAAAGAAAATGATGGGTGGATTTCGCCTTCCTTGTACCTAATTGCTTCATGGACATATGTCTGTTCTCGCACTTCTTTTGGCCCCCCCCTGCCTGCCTTCCATGCTCATTCCATCCAAATGCGCATGCATCCTTCCTTTCCTTGGGACTTCTAGATGGCCCAAAATCGTGCGTGCGTGCTATGCGTGTGTACCCTTTTTTTTTTCTTGTTCGTTTTCCTGAGACGGAATAAGTTGGCGTGCTTTTCATCATGAAGTGAATAAAGGCGAAAGATAGGAAAGGTCTTGCGTGACGTGAGAGTACTGGTACACACCAATGGAGGCAACGGTCCCTTTTCATTTATGTCCTCTTCTATCATTGGTGTCCTTTGTTTAGGTCCCATCGGTGCCTTCGAGTCTCGAAGGCTAATAAGCTAGAAAGCCCCCCTAATAGTGCACCAATAATGAAGGAAGGGAGGTCCTGTCCTCTTCCATCATAAGTTGCCTCTTTCCCTTTCCTCCCTTCAAAATCCAAGGTCCATGGTCCAAGATCCAAAGGGAATGAGGAAAATAGAAAAAGGGATAGGTACATATTTGACATTTGATTACGAGGAACCCATCAATCCAATTCCAAGTATCAGTGGACGATGGGGTACCCTCTTTGACATCATGGGACCAATTTTGTTCTTCGCTAGAAAACATTTGGGCGAAAAAATAATAATAATCCCAGAAATAGCATTGTCCCGATGAAGGGGAACGAGGGAGGTTTCTATGCTTACGTAGATTTGCTTTGGACTTTTGCCCTACTCTTTCTACGTATCCTCATGATTGGATTTGGACTAGCACAGGCATAAGGCATCACTCGCATCGGGCAATTGATACTGTAGAACGCAGCAAACAAATAAACATCCACTGAGAAAACAAGAGGACGAAGAAGAGGATGGAAGGATACGTGTCCATTCGGGTCCAAGCAACTGTGCATGCGTCGAGCACTGAGCAGTGAGGGCAGGCAGGGCATAGCTGATAGCTGAGCTGGGAGCCAAAAAAAACAGGGCTCTGGAAATTCATGCAAAAAAAAAAATGGCGTTGGCTTAGCAGAGTAGATAAAGGCACGTACACGAATTGGAGAGCAGGGAATTGAAAGGAGAGAAAGGGGGAATAGAATACCAATTCCCGTTGTTACAATACTCCAGAAAGCAAGGCTGAACGTTATCCGGTCACTTTATTAGCCCATACTAATCTTGTTTGTACCAGGGCAATTGTGCTAAAAATGAGACAGCCAGGCCTGGGCTTGCCATGCTCATTGCTCTCCTTACTTTGTGCTTTGCCCTTTGCCTTTTGCTTCGAGAAAGTTCATAAGTTGGGGGGAAGGGGAAGGGAAGAGAAGGGAGGGGTCCAACCAACGAGCCCTTTCAATGTGACTTTCAAATGTTGATGCAATTGAACAAACTGAAGGCGAGCAACAAATTATCATTGTGGGAGGCACTTGTCATTTTCTATTCAATGACATTATTATTAGTCCATGACACGTTCCAATTTTTGCACCAGTTCCCCCAAATGTCCATTGCCTAAGAATTAGGTGTCCCTTCGAACAAACAACACCAAGACAAAAAAGACATTGTTGTTACGTGGGGATGTCTATTCTATTTTGTTCGATTACTTTGTATTGGTGACCGCACTGGTCTGCTCTCATCACACCATGTCCTAAGGTCCCCACCTAATCTTCTCCCTTTCGTCACTCTACCCTTTGTGTCGTCGCGTCAACAGTTTGATGACGGGTCGAGATTTTTTGTATAAATACCTCTTCCCTCATCGCGTATTTCCCATTTTTCTTCTCATCACCACACCCAACTCTTCTCTTCTCTCCCACACTCAACCCCCCTAAACACAAACTTATAACCAAACATGTCCCACACTCTCAAGGTTACCATTCACCAGGCCGAGCACCTCGAGGACGTCGAGCGCTTCGGCAAGAACGACCCCTATGCTCGCGTCTCCTTGACCGTCGACGGCAAGTACCCCGCAAAGACCCAGGTCATCAAGAACGCCGGTAAGGAGGCCGCCTGGAACAAGACTGTGGAGGTCCCCGACTACAACCCCCAGGAGCAGGATACCCTCTACCTCGAGATCCTCGATGAGGAGACTGGTTTCGACGAGCCCATCGCCTTCACCGCCATCCCCCTCCACCAGGTCCTCTCCGCCCAGGGACATGCCATCCGTGGCCGCTTCGGGCTTCACACCACCGGAGGCAAGACAAAGGGTGAGGTCCTCGTCTCCATCGTTGTCATCAGCCCCGGCCAGACTGAGGGTGCCCACCCCCAGACTGAGATCCGCGGTGAGGTCAGGCTCGACTCTGCCCAGCAGAAGCGCATCAACAGCCTTTCCCGCAAGGAGAAGGCTGGTGATCTTGGAACTGCCGCTCTCCTCATTGGTGCCGTCGTTGGTGCCAAGGCCCTCCATGACGGTCAAAAGGATGCCAAGAAGGTCGCCCAAGATGAGCAAGAGAAGGCCAAGGCCGAGAACCGCGAGTACTAAGCCACTGTACCTTTTCAATACCCTCTTCAGTACCACTGTATATAACCATTTCATCTACAAAAAAATTGACAGTTTGAACATCCCCTAAAAAAAGAGTCGCGATTCAGGTACCTCCTCACTTGAAGTTTGGTAGAGGGGTTGGCTTCCTGCCTTTCCTTCATTTACCATTTGCGCTGCACTCGATTGTGTAAATAAAAAATCACAGAAAACAACATCTCTGCTTCCATTGTTTGTCAGTGAAAAATGAATGGTTGAATATCAGAAAGAAGAGGACGAAAAGTAGAAAGATTTCAAAGGGTGCGTGGGAGTGTTGAATGGTCTTGTTGGTCAGCCCCGCGGAGGGGTGAGGGGGAGCAGGATACAAGGACATGGAATCGCAAAAGTCGAGGGAACGAATGAGCGGAGGAACGCACCATGTGGACCAATGAACATACCGCCAGGAGAGGGTGATTGTTCGATGGAACAGGAGAGAGAGCAGCCATCGAACCAGAGAAGAGCATACACAACGCGCGCACAGGTAAGAAAAAACAACTCAACTCCCACTCGAACTAAGACAGCAGGCAATGAGAGACATGGTGGTGCATGGGTTGGGTTTAGGCCAACATTTTTTATGTTTTTGCATTACCACATCACGTAAGACGAGAGCAATGGAAGGATGGAAGGAGGGACGGCAAAGGAGGCAAAGAAGGGGACAGGGTGCAACGCCCGATAACATCATACCATCCATTCTCTCTTCTGCATGAACATGAGAGGGGGTTCGTTCGCATCGCCCCTTCTCCTTCCAACAGAGAGGACGATGCCATCAGTTAACAGTTGACGATTTTGATCAAGAGGGAGGATAGCAACAGCGAGGACGCCGCTTGACAACGAGGACGTTTTAGTATCGCGCTTATTATTTTGTTCCTGTCGTTTTGTCAGTACAAAGTGTCGCTTAATCTCATAGGGACAAGGAAAGTTTTTGGACGATGGTGTGAACTTGACGATGGCAACAACAACATCAACATCATCATCGCGTGAAGGTTGTGAAAAAAAAGTAACTAAGGGGAAGGGAAGGGAAGGGAAGAGAAGGGAAATGTGACGCAAACGAAAGGAGACCGCACTCACCACGTATAAAAACAAACTACTCGCACATACACTCACTCTCGCTCCTACTCTGCGATTGACAGAAAAAGAGGGTCAAAGAAACACGCCTGGGTCACCCTTTCTCTTTTCGCCCTCGACCAATCTCCTCTTGCGAGTTCTTTTTTTCTTTCTAGGCTTGCTTTCAGGGTCGGCATATACAAATACAACGAGCAAGTCCCATAAGCATCAATGCAAAGAAAAAGGGCGATGCCAAAAGGCAAAGACCAAGGAAAGGGACAGGAAAGCGCAGGAAAGACAGACGCAGGACTGACTTGGACTGGACCTTGGTCAGGAAAATGGACAAGACAGGCCAGGCAAGGAAGTGACAAACACAAGTCGAGACCGACAACATCCACTCTTCGCGTACCAATCGCAGACAGGCGGAAAAGCGAATAAGGCTAAGCCAAGTCAAGTTAAGGCGCGACGACTCGATATACCCCTTGCCTTCTTCTTGACGATACAACAACATCAACAAACAGCATGCTACTGTGCGACGACTTTATGCAAATATGGCAGGACAGGGTACACCCACATACGCCTAAACATACTCACGCAGGGCAACATACGGCATGATCCAATCTTATACATTGTTGTTCTTGTGGGCTCAACGAGGAGTGGCACATATTACAAACGATACAGCAGCGCACATCAAGAGCGTGCTCAGAGGCAAAGACCATTTCTTTTACTATCACTTTGGTTCTTTCCCACACCATCCTTCACTCTTCTACTTCTTTCCTTCCTGTTAGGTGCCTATATATCCTCTTCTTATCGTTTACTGCCTACATTTCTCTATCCTTTGAAGCTTACCATTGATTACCCCATTATCCATGAGTTTGTGGTCATTTCCTTATGCAGGCGTACTTTTTGATAAAGCGAACAACAGCTCATACCAGGATAACTACAAAAAAAAAAGATGCAAAAAGGAGCATTTTTCCCAGGGCATGAGGACCATGCAAAATTCGCATACAGCCAGACAGACAGACAGACAAACCCCGGGGTAGCTCTTCCCGTTTGCTTCTTTTCACTGTTTCTAGTTGCGGGTTGCGATATTTGGGAAGAAATGGGATAGGATAAGCAGGCAGTGTTCACCCCATTTACTGACATTCTATGCTTTCTATGGGATTCCATGCCATTCGGTACGGACTTTCTTTTTTCTATTCTGACCACTGCTGCCCTTGGCATTATCAAATAGCGTGTTACCTCATGGCTTAGGCGAAGGGCAATGCTTGGAGCTGGGGACTTAGGGGACAGAAACCAATTTATTTTCATCCAACTAATTTTAGTATGACTTTCTTTATTCGCTCATTTAGGTGTTCAACGATTAATAGGGTAGTTGTACCCAATGACAAGGGACGTGGGGCAGGGGACAGAAGGACAAGAATGGAAGCAGGAAGAACAGGATGGAAAGATGTAGCAACTTGGTTAGCACTCGTTCCAACGATACAGCCTGGTCTGTCAGCGCCATTCGCTCGCTCATCCCTGGCTAATCATCGTTCCCTCTGGCAAGTGTCTAGACATCCATATTATTGTCTGGAGAACGATCAACTGATGTTGTTTATCAGCATTAATTAGGGTGAGAAAGGAAGAGAACATGGTGCAAGTGAGAAAATAGATGTGTGTTTGTGAGCGAATGAACAGCGGTGGATTGGAGCAGAGTTTTGGAGTGAACTGGGGCAGTGAACATACAGGTAAGCATGGTGGGGTGACATAGGAGTTTTCTATTTTTTGATGCTTTTCTCTGAGCGAATAAAATCAATGCGACAACAGCCATCTTCTGTGGGATGGTGTGGGGAGCAACAAAACTCCAAAAAAAACAAGGGGCATTAAGAGAGAGGGAGAGAGGCACGAATGAACGTCACGCCATCGCATGAGGACCCTCTCGCCTACTCGTGCTTTTGCTTATCCTTTTTTCATCGTTTCAGTCAAGAAAGAACAATCGTGCATAAAAAGACACGCACTCTCGGCCACCATCTTCTTTTTCATTTTTTCCCACAGCCTTTGTTTCGCCTCTCTCCCTCTTCTACTTTTCTCTCACACATCCCACCACCAACAACACAACAGCAAAAATGATGCAGGACCAGCCCACCTTGACTGTCACCGCCCACGGTGCCCAGAACCTCCAAGATGTCGAGACCATCGGTAAGCAGGACCCCTATGTCCGGTTCTCGACCGACTTCAACAACGCCAAATCCTTCCAAAAGACCTTTGTCCACAAGGATGCCGGCAAGACCCCCACCTGGAACCAGACCTTCTCGTTTGTCCTCGCCGGCGAGCCCGAGCTCTTTGTCGAGATCATGGACGAGGAGACCACCGCCGACGCCGTCATCGCCTTCGCCGCTATTCCTATTGCCCAGATCGTCCACGCCCCTGGCGGTACCTTCAACGGTATCTTTGACGTCTACACACCCAGCGGCAAGACCCAGGGCGAGATTAACCTGACCTTGGTTGCCCAGAACGTCCCTGGCCAGAACACTTCCCCTGTCCACTCTGCCGGCCAGCCCGTCAAGGGCACGTCGCACATCTCTATCGAGCATCAGAAGCGTATGAAGTCCCTTGCCAACAAGGAGAAGGCCTCCGATGTCGGAACTGCCGCCTTTGGAGGTCTCTTGGCCGTTGGAGCTGGACTCTTGGCCAACAAGCTCGTCAACGATAACAAGAAGGAGGAGGCGGCCAAGAAGGAGGCCGAGCGCACCGCCGCTGCTGAGCGTGAGAGATTCGAGACCGAGAAGCACCAACTCGAGGCCCAACGTCACCAGTTTGAGCAGCAGCAGCAGCAAGCCCAGCAGCAGCAGCAGCAGGGCCAGCAGCAGCAACAGCAGGGCCAGCACGGATACGGCGGCCAGTCCCACGTCAACCCTCAGGAGCACCACCAAGGCGGTCACGACCAGGGCAAGCACAAGAAGGACAAGAAGGACAAGAAGGACAAGAAGAGCAAGCGCCACGGCGGTTCCGGCTCTGACTCTGACTCGTCGTCTGACTCTGACTCTGACAGTGACAAGAAGAAGAAGGGCAAGAAGTGGGATGCCCACGGTCGCCATTACTCTGCCGGCGACAAGGTCAAGTACGACGGCGACAAGTACATCTGCCTCCAAGGTCACAACTCCCAGTCTGACTGGGCACCCACTGTTGCCCACTCCCTCTGGCGCCGCGATTAAGCCAGCAGTTTGTTCAAATTGCTGGTGGGATGAGAGAGTGAGAGGTGGTCGTCCTCTTTTTCTCTCCCGTGTAACATAACAAAAAATACTCTTTCTGAAAAATACCCTCACCAATCGATCCTTTTCTGTGCTCCAAAATAAAATTACGAGAACTGAAAAACAAAATCTTTGTTCAATGGTGTTGATGACGATAAATGCAATGCTTTTCTGACCCTTTGATTTTGCTGTGGACCTGAGTGATGGTGTATCCGCAAAGGGACATGGTCTGATCTAAAAATACACTCGTTTCGTTTAATCGCTGAGGTGAGCCGGGAACTCGTCTTTCTCCATAATGTCCCTCAAATCTTTGCCCTTGTTGTAGTTTGTGTCGTGGAGTGACAAGACTGAATGCAAGTAAGCAAATCCTTGTTAGAAATGGATAGAAAAGCACCATGACGACGTGAAAGAGGCTCGAATGTCATATTGCAGAAGGCGATAGAAGGACGGATGTCAGAAACGTCACCGAATAAGAAGCGCATCTGATTTTGAGAGCCAAGTCGGCATTAATATAAAGTAGGCTGGGACTGATCACTTTTCTTTTTTTAACATCACTTTCTCATCTCTCTCTCTCTCCCACACTCAACACATACACTCATCACAATGGACAAGTTCAAGGAAGTAAGTCCTGTTTGCCCGTCTGCCCTGCCTGTCTGCTTACAAGCCGTCGCATTGTTTCTTTCTTTTCTTTTCAGCCCTGTATGCACAAGGCCCAATTGGATCAGCAGGAACGACATAGCCAGCCCACGTACACACTCCTGGCACAGCGATATTCGACGTTTAGTGAGAGGGACGAGAGGAAGCAAAGAGCATGGTCAGGAACAACACCGACAACAGCCACACTCGCCGTAAGAAGATGCATTGGACGACAATGCTCTGTGCACCCCTGCAGCAGTCAGGCGACAAAGAGAGCATTGGACCTTCAACAGAGAGAAAAAGTAGACGGAAGGGTGATCAGATGAGAGATGGTTACACCATGGACCCATGGAGATCATCATCTGACCATCTCACTCTCCCTTTCCTCTCACACGACCCACACCTCAACACCAGCACCTCAGTTCTCTATCCCTCCAACCATATGAACCATTGCCAGCTTGTTAACCTACTGCATTCTTCCCACCCCTCGCTCTTGCTAGAAAATTGCCTCGATCCGCGCTGAAGCCGATACCGCCCTTGCCCGCGCTGAGGGTGCTGAGACCGACCTTGCTGCCAGCAAGGCCGAGGTTTCTGCCAAGGAGCAGGAGGCCATCTCCCTCAACAACCGTATCACCCTCCTTGAGCAGCAGCTCGAGAAGGCCGAGACCGAGGGTGGCGATGCCAAGATCAAGTATGTCTTTTTCTTCTCTTTACACCGGTTGGAGAAGGAAATCGGGTTACCATGTCGATTGTCATTCTTCTCCCTCTGTTTTTTTTTCTAATTGCTGTTTCAGTCTGTGGTTCGAATGGGCGCCAAGGAGCAAAAAAACCAGGGGTGACAAGGACGAAGCAACCCGTCCTTTGCGCTCATTTTATTATCGTTCCTCATGATTCGAACTCCACCTCAGCCCATTCCTCTCTTATTCTTTCCCACCTCCACAACCCCCCATGCACCAGAAAACTAACCCCAAACTCCTACTCTCCATCAATCATCTCCCTACCCTAAAAAACAATAGGCTCCGCGAGCACGAGTTGAAGGTTGAGGACCTTGAGCGCAAGGTCAAGACCCTCGAGAAGGAGAACGACACCTTGGAGACCAAGCTCGAGGAGACGACCGAGAAGCTCAACAAGGCCAAGTCCGAGTTGGACGAGACCTTGAAGGCCATGGACGAGATGTAAAACAACCCCTTACAATTTACTGATAGACATATTCCCTCATAAACAATTATCTAAATCACGTTGTGGTCGTAGTGGACATTATTGTACGTGGATACAGGTGTCATGTACGGCATGGAATAGAGCGCCATCTCCAAAAACGCATGGTTCAAAGACGTCACACAAGTTGCTCAATGGGTCATTTTTTTCTGACGAGATGCCCTCTTTACCACAAAATTGTAGGCTTTATCAACTCACTTCTTTTATTTGGGTGATGCATGAGAGTCATGAGTGGTTGATCCATTGATCCTTTAGGTGCGAGGTGGAAACTACATGCAGTATTGTATTGGGATAAGAAAAGTGACGTTACGGGTGAAACGGATGTTATGGTAGGGCGATTAAAAGTCTGGCGCTTACACTTTGTCAAAGTTTGGTCTTGGGTTTGGACCGATCGACGATCTCAATTGGTTGGCCCTCTCTCTCGATGTACTGGCAATTGTTCACCACAAAAGCCCTCAGCCTCGCATTTCGGACAGCAACAGACTTCGATTGCTCATAAATTGAATTCCAAATAGCCATAGTTTCTTCTGTCTCCTTGAGAGAATACATGACGGTGCCCTCCGAGTAAATGTGGCAATCGTCGAGTGCCACGTTAGACCATTCTAGGCAAGTCTTGCAAATTTCTATATAAGCATCCGCAACTGTTAGGAGGATTCATGTTGGAGATGGATTAACGCACGCCACAAACATAGACCGTCACCTATCTGCATGGGTGGTAAACCAATGCACAAATTATATAGCTATTTATTTATCCTCCAGCCGCCTTCCCACGACGACCCCGACTTGAGCACTCCCAGCCTCTCGTTAGCAAAATGAGCATTTTAGCGGACGAGGTGGCTGGGTTAAGAGCTTCTCCAGTGGTCAAAAGATTTTGGGACGATTGAGAGTATCTTTCAACTGTTACTGGGGCGCAGATCCACGAGTACCACGCGTGTGGATGAGAACGACGATCGTCCTTTTTGTTTTCGTGTATTGAACACAGCGACGTGCAAATCACCCCCCTCGTAAAATAAATCATCAGTGTGCGGGAACACATCATATGAAGGGCCGTTAATTAAGGATGGCAAAAGAGCAAGACCCTCTCCCTGAAAGAAATATCGAAAGCCTTACCCGTCTCTCGATCCCTCTGTCGAGCTGCCAGTCTCCTTTTTATCTATTGTTTCTCATCCCATCTTCTTCCTTCTCCCTTTCTATTCTTCTCTTTAGATGATGGTCTTCGTTCCGAGGTGGGAGATGAATGAGAAGGCGATGATAGTTCGAAGGTGCCGTCGTGATAAAGAAAATACGAAAAATCTACCAAGGTCTCCTAGGGTAGTGCTGGAGATATTACAAATAATTATGTCCGCACCATTGGCAAACCAAAAACAAGACTTAGGAGAGGGTACGATGTACAACAAAAAAAGATCTGTTTAGCTCGACCGCGGGGGATGGGCTAGGGAGCTACTTGATCGCCGATAGTGGTAACAACATTGGGACGTGGGTGACTCGAGAAGTCCAGCTCCTCGATCTGGTCCTGGTACGTGTAACTTGGCAACCTACCCTCATCCGCCAGAATCCCTGGTCGTTTCGATACCGATCCTGAATGCCTGGCACTCCGTTTCATCCTGCCGCTACTTCGTCCTGCACTGTTTGGCATGTCGTTTGAGGATGAGTCCTCTTCCTCATCTTCTAGCTTCTTGGTCTCTTCGAAGATCATTCCAGAGCTGTAGACCTCATGCTTCTCGGACAGCATCAAAGGTGGCGCCGTCGGATTCTGTGCTGGCGAAAAAGGAGCCGCTCCTCCTCCTAACATCATCGCCGTCATCGCCGCCGCTGTCTCCGCTTGTTTCTTCCTCCTGACCTGTCGCCGCTTCCTGAACCTCCATTTCCTCCACACCAAATATCCAAGAAACGCTATCACAACCGCCGCAGAAACACTACCGCCCACAATCCTATCCCGCCTCGTATCCCGCTCATCAGCCAACGCATCCTTATCCGTCCACCGTGGCGTGTTCATCTTCGTTACTATCCGTTGCGGTAAGCTGTTGTAATATACGCCTTCAGCAGTCGAAGCAAGAACCATGACCTGAAAGGGCCCAGACATAGCGCCTGCAGAGGGTCCAAACGCCGTAAACTCGTAAAGTCCCGTAGTTGTGAGTGCAACGATGAAGGGTTCTTGGCCAGGTGTCAGTCCTCCAACGGATTGGAAGCTTTCCTGGATGGAGAATGTTGAAGGAGGGTTGGTCCATGTCAGGTTGTGTTCGATGTATGCTTGTGTTACGTCAGAAGTGTATATCCTGTACCTTGTAGGCGTCTACTTCGAAGTAAGCCAAAAGAAGAAAGGGTCAATGCCTAAAATTGTGAGCGCAATTAAACATATCGCTCACCAACGCAATCCTTCCGACGGATGACTTACGCCGTCCCGATAGTCCTCCTTGTAAATACCTCCAAAGAACGTCAGTCCCTGTCGCAAGCCCGCGAAAACATGATAATCCCCCAACGCCCACTCCATCTTGCTATAGAGTCCGCCTCGAACCTCCTCGATCCGTCTCCCCACTCCCTGGTAAACGCATGTCACGTTCTGGTCCTCAGAGTTGGTGACATAAAAGGTCCCGTTGTGGAGAGCCACCTTTTGGGGGACAAAGCCAGTGTAGTCCGGGAAGAACCCTTGCTGAGTGTAGTCGAAATCCTGGATCCAGACCATGTTGTCGAATGAGTAGGAGAGTAGGAATACGTCGACTTGTTGCTAAAGAAAAGAAGAGAGGATAGATGTAAGTGAAAGTACAGGGACGGGAGGAGATGGTATGTGGCGGAGAATACCCAAAGAACGCAAACTCTAACTGGACAATAAAAAGAATGTGGAGGAGTAATTCTCGACTTTCTCACTTTCCGTTGTTCACTTACTCGAGTTTGAATGCTACCGAGTTGGAGCATATTGGTCGCATAATCCACGCGACCCAACTGCAAGCTATCCACAGTATCACCTGTCAACATATGGACAAGTTCGTCTCCCTGATAGAACGACCTATGCACAAACCGATCCACATTCCATCCATACATCACCGACCCCCAAATAGGCGACCATGCCCCCTCCTCCCTCTCCTTCGCCGTAGGGTCGTACCGAACACCCATGGGTAGCAATCTGAAGGGCGAGGCTGTTCGATAGGGGGACCGGAAGAATGCTGCAAAGTGACCCTTATCGTTTGCTGCACAGTCGACAGAGGTAAAGGTCAAGTAGTTGTACGAGAACTGTTTGCCTTCTGTTGTTGAGATAATGGTCCAGGTGATGGTGGCGAGGCTGGTGGGGTTGTAGTTGGATCTGACGAGGACTATTGTCGAGTCCGTGGTGTAGGAAGGAGTGCCGGTGTTGGCGCTGGCGATACCGTAGAGGTAGCTGGAGCTCGGGTCTGAGGCTATACAATCCAGGTGGAGGGTTCCTTGTGAGGTGATGGTGGTGGTCATTCTAGTGGTGGGGTCAAGTATGTTGTGGACATTAAGGATGGAGGGTTGGACGGATGGGGGAAGAATGAAAGATGGTAATGGGAATGTGAGTTTGTGTTTGTTGGTAGGACTGACGACGACAGTGCGTTTGTCTAATTGTTTGTGTGGGCGTGTGTGGAGAAAGGAAAGGTAAGTCGTAACGGACAAGTGGTTTGCCAAATGGACTCTGAAGGAGAGCTTAGTCTCCAACCGTCCATGAACAACGACATAAAAAATGAGTGCTCAAAATTCCTCTCACTTAACAAACAATGGATAAGAGGCATGTAAGCCTCTGAACGAAAGAACGCACAGCCTGTGCGTGGGCTCGGATCCCTGTCATTCCGCACAAGACTACAGACCTGAACTGGCAAGTAGGGACAACGGGCTCAAAGAGCCATAGTCGGAAATGATAGGTCGGAACTCAATCAGTCACTGAGACCAAGAATTCTTAGTGATCAAACGCGTAATGTATCAGGACCGACACGCGCGGTTGTTGATCACTAACGACAATAACGTGCGTGTGATTCTGAACATGGGTGTCTATGTCCAGCTTGCATTTTTTTTAGTTCGTTTCATCGAACCTCAATGTCGCTATATGGTGTGCTCTGCCCAGCTGTAATGAATAGGCCATTCTTCGAATCTTAGTTCATTCATGCTCGACTTGCATTTCAACCATGGGTCCTTGCTTACTGCATCTTGCTCCCTTCCGCGGAACAAACAAATACACTACTTTTCACATCTCCCTTTTGCATTGAGACAAACAAGGGAGAGGGAAGGGAATATTGTTTCTGTGGTTCTTTTATGTACAAAACCGTGTGCAACACAAATGGTACATGGGAGAGAGGCAGAAAGCCAACCAAGAACGAGAAAAGCAAGAACACAGCTTTGGACCATGCGCCAACAAACAACAAGCAAACAAACAAACAGAAACGAGAGGAGGGAGTCGGGTCCTCCTCCATTCTTACATTTCCTGTTTCTATTTTTCACACACTCAAACACCTTTGTTTTCTTCACCTCCTCTAACAGATCCCTTTTTCGAATCGCCATCGCTCTGCTCTTTCCTACTCACAGTTCATTGAATTGCAATCATCGCGTTTTTCTGGGAACATCCTCTCGGAATCAGTTCCAAGGATAACACCTCAGTATCACTGCAACAGCAACAACAACAACAACAACAACAATAAAACACCAACAAGACCAACACCACCACAACAACAACTCCAGAAACAGAAAACAACAAACGCGACAAGCACACACACACACACACATATACAAGCAAACGCATACATACACACTTGCTACTATATCACCTCAACAGCAGCTCAATAAAAAGACCCTTTCCCCCGACCAGTCAAACTAAACCTCAAAACTTCAACAACGCGCAAAAGGCTCCAAGAGCTCCAACAAAAGACATAAAATTACCCCCGTCAGCTCAAACAGTACGTTGAAGAAAATATCTATCTTCGCCATACAAATAGTAATTACTCCTCATACCGACCTTGCTCACCCCTTTCTTTCTTTTCTCTTATAGACAGTCTATAGCTTAACTACGTTTAAAAGACTTCTTCCCCTGACCGACCAATCCAAAACTTACCGGCAGCGACACAGACATAAAAGTCACCTACAACCTCAACGAAAAAACTATAAAAAGTCACATACGTCAAACCCAACGTACGTTATGAGCAGCACCCTTCTCTTTCTTTGCCAGGCACATAGCACCTGCTCCGTCCTAATTTATTTTGCTCTTGTATAGACAGTTCGCGCCATTCTACCGACACTCACCGCCCACACCACCCGAGCCAACACACGTACAAAAAAAAGACGCTTACTCTACCTTTGTGTAAGTACAGTATACTTGCACGTTCTCTCTGAGGGCGGCAGTGCACACAAAAAGAACGATATCTTTGCTAAAAAGAAGCAGTTGCTAACGGTACTATCTACTGCTCATGTCGACACTGCTAGTACCCTCACCATGTCCAACCATCCTTTAGACCAATTGGATCCCCACGCCCCCCCCCAGCAGCAACAGCGCTAGCAGCACCGTTCGTATCAAGAAGCTCGACAAGTTCCGCGAGTTCTGGGGCATCTCCAAATCCAAGACCAAAGAAGTCAAGCTCACGACCTTGAACCAGTTGCAGCACTCTCCACCTGCTTCACAGCCGTCCACCCGACCATCCTATGATGTCACCCGGGTCGACAACGTGCTCCCAAGCGACAAGCTCTCCACCGTCGTGACTCAGGTTGATAGTGAGCTTTCAAACTACAGTGGCTCTATTCATCCCTCCGGCACCATGCAGGATAAGCATACATCACAACAATCGACACAACCTCCGTCTGTTGTCTCTCTAGTCACCTATTTTCCTCCAGGCACCAGTCAATCTACTTATGCCACCGACAACCAGTCTACTTCTACAAGCAACAACCAGTCTACCCCTTCCAGCACCGTGCATGAGATGGCACTCCCAGCACCCATTTGCACATCGCATATTCTCGAGCACATCTTTGACGAGGATGCGCCCAAGCCAACCATCAAGACTGAGTTGCCTCAACCTCAGCAACGCATCGAGGAGACGCAGCAGTTGGTCTACTGTAATGCCTTGCTTCTACGGGATACATTGTCCCCACCGAAACCTGTTACAAGAGAGGCTACAGAGGACGGTGGCCCCCTTGTTCTTCAGGAACCCGCTCTCGACAAAACCGAGCTCGACTGGCTCGAGACGACGAAGGAGGACCCAATGGAAGTGGATCGTCTGCGCTGGTTGGCAACTCGGGTGGTGGAGCAATTTGTGGCCGATTCCAACAAGAACTCCACCAAGATCTCCGAGATTGTCGCTCTTGGACCTGTCTTAGAGAAAGAGCCTTACCGCAAGCTGCTCGCGACCTTTATCAAGGAGTTTGACGATGCTAGTATTCTTGACGTTGATATGCTTCAGGGACTTGTCCAATTGGCGCATGATGCGTTGCCTGGCTACCTTGTCTCTGATGACCTGGTCAAGATTCTTGGCATCCTCAGGGCTCGCCTAGAGGGCACTCACCAGCAGTGTACCGAGTACCCCTACCATCTCACTTTGGCTGTCTCCAGGATCCTCGATGTCATGGCGGAGCATAAAGTGCAGGATTTAAATCGTGTCCTCGAGCATGAGCCACTGTCGGCAGTCTTGTCAGGATTGAAGGGGAGCTCGGACCCCTACCTGATGTACCAGGCCTGTTACGCCTTCCAGGCTCTCCAGTATGTGCCTGATGATGAGAGCGCTCTTCGGGCTGTGTTGAGACACTCAACTGGTGTTGTGGGTGGCCTTGTGAAAGTCACTGCCGTCTTCAAGCTGGATCTGGCGTCGGTTCTCGAGGGTCTGGGAAACTTACAGGAAGCTCTTGGTGGTGTGGCATCAGTGGCTGGTACTGTGTACGAGGGTGTCTGTTCGTTGATGGGGAGCGGCAGAGGTGTTCTAGACAGTTTGAGGGAGGGACTTGGATCTGGCCAGAAGCGACTTTGGTATCCTGCTGTCAAGGTTGCCTATGCTTTTGCCCAGGCTGGCCAGCTGAAGGATCTGAAGACGTTGATCGTGGAGGCTCCTTGCCGCCGAGACCCTTTGTTTCAGTGGGGGATCTGCCAGCTGTTAGGGGAGATCGCTGTCGACGCACTCTGGTCTGTATCTGTGCGCCAGCAAGCCGTTTCTCTCCTCGGTCATCTCTGCCAGAACGACCAAGACTGGGGCCAGGATGAGAGTGTCAGGGCATGGGTGTTGACGATTGTCACCAAGCTGTGCGCCTCCTCCGACCTAACCGTCAGTGAGACCGCCCGTACTGTGCTGCAGGATCTGACAGTGGACCAAAGTGCCTTGATCAAGCACCCTTATCCATTGAGGGCCCGTCTCCCCTTGCCTTCCGCATCGCCACTCCTTGCCAAGGTCCAAAACATCCAGTACTTAGAGTACGAACTGCACAAGTTCCGACTACAGCGACTAGAGGAGACCAAATTGCCGGTCTACATCTCCCCTATGGCCAAAGCCAACCTTCAAGCCCGCGACGACGAAATGTTTCCCCTCAAAGAGAAAGTACAAGAGTTCTTGACCAGTGAACGACAGGTCATGCTTGTTTTGGGTGACTCTGGAGCAGGCAAGTCGACGTTCAACAAGCACCTTGAGTCCGAGCTCCTGCGAACATACACCCGTGGGGGTCCCATCACATTGTTCATCAACTTGCCAGCCATCCACGAACCTAACCACGAAATGATCGAAAAGCAGTTGAGGTCTGACAACTTCAACGACGAACAGATCCGCGAGCTCAAACTGCATCGCCAGCTCATCCTCATCTGCGACGGTTATGACGAAAGTCAGCAACTGGTCAACCTTCACAAGACCAACATGTTGAACCAGCCAGGGCAGTGGAATACCAAAATGATTATCAGCTGTAGGACACAGTATCTCGGTCAAGATTACCGAAGCCGATTCATGCCTCAGAGCCGCGACCGCTACGCCTATCCAGCTGTCGAGCTCTTCCAAGAGGCTGTCATTGCTCCGTTCTCAAAGGAGCAGATCCAGAGCTACATTGAACAGTACGTCCCTCTCGAGTCACGCACCTGGACTACCAACGACTACATGGACAGGTTGACCACCATCCCGAACCTCATGGACCTGGTCAAGAACCCTTTCGTTCTAACCCTTGCCTTGGAGGTGCTGCCATTCGTCACCGAGGGCAAACAGGATCTGTCTGTCATCAATATCACTCGAGTCCAGCTCTACGACACGTTTGTGAAACATTGGCTGAAAGTCAACAAACGACGTCTCGAGAGCAACGCATTGTCCGCCAAAGACCGCGAGATTCTGGACCAACTTTCGGACGCAGGATTCACATCGATGGGTATTGACTATTCTATTGGGCTGGCTTCGGCGATCCTCGAGAAACAGAACGGAAATCCGGTTGTTCGATATACCCACCTCAAGGACAAACACACATGGCGCGTCGATTTCTTTGGTCCCGATCCAGAGGTACGGCTCCTACGCGAGTCGTCCCCATTGACACGTTCTGGCAGCCTGTTTCGATTCCTTCATCGATCCATGCTCGAGTACTTTCTTTCATGCGCTGTTTTTGATCCCAGCAGTCATGACGTCGACGATGAGTTTTGTCCGCAACCCCATCCTGACCCCACTCCTGCCCAGCCCCTCACCACTGATGGAATTTTGTTCAAACGTGACCTCCTCACCGAGCCATCGGTCATCCAGTTCCTGGGCGAGCGTGTCAAGCAGCACCCTTATTTCGAAAAGCAGCTCCTAGCCGTCATCAAGCAGTCCAAGACCGATGCCAGTGTCGCCACCGCCGCCACCAACTCCATCACCATTCTTGTCCGAGCCGGGGTCCTTTTCAACGGCGCCGACCTTCGATGCATCCAGATCCCAGGAGCAGATCTTTCTGACGGGCAGTTCGATTCCGCCCAGCTGCAGGGGGCTAATCTGAAAGGCGTCAACCTTGCAAGGAGTTGGTTGAGGCAGGCTGATTTCGGTGATGCACAGATGGATGATGTTCGGTTCGAGGAGTTGCCATACTTGAAGGAGCCCGCCGCAGTCACTACCGTCGCCTTTTGGCCTGATGGAAAGTTGCTTGCTGTCGCTCTGCGTGACGGAAGCTTTATTATCTACGACACTACAGCATGGACTCGAGTTCATCAACACAAAGAACAAAGTGAGGTGATGTGTATCGCCTTTTCACCTAACGACCAACACCTTGCTTTTGGGAGCGAAGACACGACCTGTCGATTATGGGATACTGTCAGTAGGGAGACTGTGATGGTCATGGAGGGGCACACCAAACTGGTGAGGTCTGTGGCGTTTTCACCCTGTGGCAAGCAAATCGCATCGGCCAGCCACGACAACACGATTCGTTTGTGGAACTCGAAGACAGGAGAGTGCTTGTTTGTCTTCAACGGCCATGAAGATATTGTTTTGAGTGTCGCATATTCAGCAAACGGACGGAAACTTGTCTCGGGCAGCAGGGATGAGACGATTCGAGTGTGGGATCCGGAGACAGGAACACCAGACACTAACTGGGTAATTCCTCGTGTTTATGGTTCGCGCGTGACCCTTTCTGCAGATGGACGGCAGTTCGCTCACCTTACTGGTGAGATGGGTGGCGAGATCCAACTCATTAATGCAGTCACCGGAGAGCAGGGTCGGATTCTCGGTGATGATGCCGGCCAGCTAACAGATTTTGCATTCTCTCCAATTGGCGAGTTGATTGTTTCGTCAAGCAGGGACAACAACGTCCGGCTGTGGGACTCATCGAGTGGACAACTCATCTCCAGGTTGTCGGGTCATAACAGCCGGATCACCACCTGTGCATTTTCCCCAGACGGCCTACAAATCGTTTCAGGAAGTGTGGACGGGATTATACGACTCTGGGAGGTGAACACCAACCGGTCGAGTTCCATACAACAGATTGTCACCCAGGTTCGATCTGTGACATACACCCATGACGGTCTGTGTATAGTCTCTTATCATGACGACCGCACCTTTCAACGCTGGGACTTGTCCACAGGTGTTGTTTTGTCGAGGTCGACAGTAGAAACCTTCGCTCTTTCACGGTGCGGCCTTTGGCTTGCGAACGGTTGCAGGAACGGGAATATTCAGCTGTGGAATCTCCAGACCAATGTTGTTGAGCGCGTTCTTCTCGGATCTACCGACTACACAGCTGCAGCTCTTGATATGAGTTTTTCGTACTGTAGTCGGTGGTTGGTCTCATGCGACGAGTTCAAGATTACACGATTGTGGGATCTTGAGAGTACCGATGATCAAGGCAAAGTGGTGGTTGATCAGTCCACTCAGACAGGTCTCGCGATATTCTCCCCTGTCGAAAACCAGGTTGCGGTAGGAGTGCGATCGAGCCCATCGAGACTTCGTCTTTTCGATCCCCGAGTGACAGACCTTCGCCAACCTCTGAAGGAAGTGTGTTTATCATGCAAGATACTTTCTATGGACTACTCACCAGATGGTCAGCGACTAGTACTCGGTACTGATGACTCCTTGGTCTTGCTCTGGGACTTGCAGTCGGACAAGCCTGATGTCAAACTGAAAGGGCACACTGGTGATGTGAACTCCGTCGCCTACTCAGCTTGTGGCAAGTGGATCATTTCCGGCAGCGATGACAGGACGGTGCGTCTCTGGTCAGGCGAGGTCGACAGTTGATCCTGTGTTGCTGTTGCCAGTGGATGTTCGGAGGCCGTTGTATGCGTTGCATGGAATTCGTTGGAGCCGATGGAGTGTGCCACTGGTTGTTATGATGGGTCTGTTCAAGCCTGGCGAGTTTCTGGTGCCGAGGTAGGAGACGTGGCGGTTCGTATGCAGTGGGGCTCTCACATTGGGCAGCTGTGTGCCGCGGATCTGGCTTTCAAGGGAGTCGTTGGTCTCAGCCCGATCCACCGCACCTTGTTGGTCCAGCGCGGTGCCATTGACGATTCACTATTGCCGGAGGGAGATGAAACAGAGGAAGGGAAAGCCGAGTAGGGTTGTTGCTCCGCGACGTGTCGAGGACAGAGCGGATACCTTTGCCTCAACAACTCAATACAACATTTTTTTATCATTGTTTTTCTTTTTTGGTATTGATTTTCTGCCAAGATATGAAGGATAAGCATGGAAGGAAGTCGCGATGGCTCGTCTTTGTATTTTGCGCCGTCTTCTTCCTTCCCATTACCCATCACACACAGTCTGCAGATTTGTATTGAATATCATTTCGATAGTAAACACGCAGCCCTTGTCCAAAAGGTACCACACCTCCCTACTGGCCGTGGAGGATCAAGCGTAAAAGGACAAAAAAAAGAATGTCAAAGTGTGAACAAGTGGGATTCTTCTCAACATCTCCTCGAAACAATGGCATTGAAATTGCTCGCATTTTTTTTTTCGCCCTCGCCAAGTTCACCAAACCTCGTAATGTCGTTCGGGCAGTAAGGCTGCGAAGACGACATGCATAAAAGACGTTCGGAAAACTAGTAATGACATCGAACGCAAGGGGTAGGGTGATCTAAATATGAGAAGAGAGTGCTGTTGCATTTTCTTCTATTCCTGGCACCTACAGAGTTACCGAGTACGCCAGATGTAAGAGCTGGAGTAGTATACCTGTTCTGTCCTTCTCCCCTTGGTCCTTCTTCCTTAATTCTTTTTTCATCTCTTGGTCCGTAGGAAAATTTCACTAGATTCCATACTTTTGTTATTTCCTCTCCCCTTCCCTCAATTATCACCCATCTGATTACAAACGCGCCTTGACGCTGTTACAAAAAGATGTGGTGGCTAGGCAGTGGCGGCGACGCCTTAGGTTAGCAGTCATATTCTTTAGTAGACATAGTATTAGTAGTGCGCCGAGCCCTCTTGTCTGCTCTTTGTCCTTTTACACATCACTTGGACGAGAGCAGTATTGACAAGAGTTTCGCTGGCACGCTGCAGGTAACAACCCCCTCTTTGATAATATGAATACAAGGTCCTTTTACACATCACTTGGACGAGAGCAGTATTGACAAGAGTTTCGCTGGCACGCTGCAGGTAACAACCCCCTCTTTGATAATATGAATACAAGGTCCTTTTACACATCACTTGGACGAGAGCAGTATTGACAAGAGTTTCGCTGGCACGCTGCAGTGTATCGTTTTGTGTGATTCTTTTAGGACTCTATTATCACTTCCCCTCCCTCCAACCTACAACCCCCTTCCCCCCTCCGTACCAATTGAGGACCTAACAGCGGTCCTACAACTCTGGCCGTCGACCCTCTCCCCTGAGTAACAACGCTCGTGTCCCCAACGAACCGTAAACCTGAACCCTTTCTTGCTAATAATCCATACCCTAGAATCCTTTAGGTCATCTACACTTCAAACGTACAAGTAGTTCTCATCTTAGTCAAGTGTAGTTCTTGGTCTGTTGTAGACTTCCTTTATTAAATCGCACTTGCTTATCGTAATCGTACTCGTCCCTACGATTTCACGCCTATAATTTCCCTCAGATTCCTTCAAGTCGTGCCTCGACTTGATACGGGAGGAGTAGAACGGCTGAAAAAAAGGATAACGAGAAAGACACTTGCTAGCGTCGCATTTGATTCCCAAGGCAATAACGAAGTACGAATCATCATCACCCTTCGACCTGAGAAGGAAAGACAGAAGAACAAGCAAGAAGACCATCGACGGGTCATGGACGTGGGTTGCGTAACAAGTAGCGGCCCTAACTTCTTTTCATTTATTTGTCGTCATGTTCACTCTTTATACGACTGTTTGACAGGATGAGGACGCGTTTGACTGACAGGACGAGACAAGGGGAGAGCCTGCTTTTGATGCCTTTGACGTTGACCCAAAGCAAACGAGTTTCTATCAATGGTCAATGATATGAGAAGAGCATCATCGCTCGTCAGGAAGAAGACTTATACCCCCTTGTGAGACTTGTATATGTGGTGTCTTCACTTTAAAAGCTCCCTGAGTAACAGTAAAAAAAAAAGGTCGTTCATATTGTATCATCAAAGCCATGTAAGCTTGTGCACAATGCATTCTGTAAGGACTGGTGGTGACAAATATAAAGTAGACATAGACAGTGTCAATGTGGGCACATTTCGCATGCTCTGATTGCCTGCGCCAGCATCAAACAAAAAAAAAAAACCATTGGTACCTGAAATCTGCTGCTTCTACTCTTCCTCTTCGTTTCTTCATTTTTTTTTCTTTGCAATAGCAAAAAGACGAATCTACTCAAACAAATCTACACCTCCTCCTCCTAGCACCCTCTGCACTCAATTTACAAAGAGTCCTGTTGTTGTTGCTGTTGCTGCGATGGTGGATCCATTTCGAACTCCTGCGGCTCAAACGCATTCGCAAACTCGCCCAGAGCAAACGATCGGTATCCGTAATCAAAGCAGCGCCATGCCTTTTCCAGCTTCTCTCCGCGGCAAGTTCCTCCCACATTGCGATTATAGATGAATGGATCCATGACGCAGAAGAAGGCTTGGTTCGAACGGGCGTTCGATTTAGTCGACGAGGTCGAAGAGGCGCTGGTTGTCGACAGTGTGCTCGTCGTCGATAGTGCAGGAGAGGGAGGCACACCCCCGCCTTGCGATCCGAGTCCAGGTGATCCTACGCCGGCCCCATTCTTCGCACCATTCGCAACAATTCCGTTGGTCTCCAGTTCGAAGAAGTAAGCAATGTCGGCCGGGCCCACCCAAAGTTGCCTCTTGGTGTCATAAGAGTATCCGTTCCTGGTCATAGGTCCAGCATTGTAGTTCCCGTTTGCCGGCAAGAGACCCATGTTGTTACTGTGCGCTCCATTAGCCAACAACTTGTTCGCCGCCACAAGCTGCCGCTTCTCCTTCGAGATCACATGTCGCTCCTGCATCCGTCCGTACTGCGGCGAGACCTCCATCGTGCGATAGTCAAACTTGCGCGAAAAGTACTCGAAGAACTCAAAGAGCAGTCGCGAGACAGACTTCTTGTTCAGACTGCCGAACCCCTTGTAGAGATCGATGCGTGTGTCAAACGTGCAGTCAAACATCTTGCCGTCCTGGTTCACATACACCGGCTGGATAGTACCATCCTGAAAACACTGCCCGAACGTTTTCACCTTGCGCCGAGACTTGCCCTTCTCTGTGAACGGCTTGGGTTTCTCCGTCTTGACCTGGAGTCTCGGCAGGATGGGCTCTGCCTGTTCCTGGAAGAATACAATCGCCATCAGAATGTAGGCGTACGAGCACAGGAATCCAGACGATCCATCGAGAATACCGTGGACCTTGGCAAAGTACTTGAGAATGAACAAGAACTTCTCCAAACGGGCATCAATATCCATGTAGGCCTTGATCAATGCTGAATTGTAGATTCCAAGCGGGTGCTGGACATTCATATCGCAATGAATTCCGGTGACAGGATCGACAAACTTGACAATGGGGACCTTTGCGTCTATGATCGCAATGACGTTCTCCATCTGCTGAGTCTCCAGGAACCAAGCCAAGTGACGAACATCCGAGTGAGGTGCGTAAGGGTCGAAGCGCTCAGGCTCGACAAAGATGCAAATGTCAATGTCACTATACTTGTTTCCCAATCCCGTAACATACGATCTAATAAATTGAAAATGGGGATATCAGTTCACCTGAACGCAAGTGACCTACTGTGCAAGCTCCATATATATATCAAACAAAAAACGTACCCGAAAGGTCGGAGCTGCAGTCCGGCGTCAGGGAATTGGGTATCGAAAAGGCCCTGAAGTCGCGCCAAGAGCTCTTGTCTCTCAAGCAACGATTCCTCATCTGATGTAAGTTGCTAAGTCCACAGAAGAAAAAATAACTCGACAACTGTAAGTAAACGAGCATTCTTGATATCGCACAAGACGTCATAATAAATGGAAAGCAAAGACATACCGGGTACCAATGCTCGACCCAAGTCTCCATCGTCGGGAGGTGTTCCACTGGCACCTTCCAAAGAGGAAGGTCAAATTTGATAGACTGCCAGTTGTACGAAAAGTCGCCGGGGTTAGTCGGCACTCGAACAGGCTCACCTAGAGTCTTGGCCAACTCGATTGCCGCCTTCTCGGCCTCCTGCTTGAGGCGTGTCTTCTCTCGACTCTCGAGTCTCTTCTGCTGCTTCGCCTCCTCCTTCTGTTTCGCCAACTCTGCCTTGACTTCAGCTGCGGTCTTGGTCTTCTCCGCCTTCAGCCGCTTGGCCTCGACTCTAGCGTCCTCTGCGGCCCGTGCGCCGTCGACAATGGCACGGATGGTGTCAGCATCCGGTCCAGACTCTGAAACCTGCTCCGTTAAGGCCGACGTGGGTCTCATCATCTCCTTCTCGGCGTTATTCAACGCCTGCTGGGCGGCCTCGCGTGTCCTACTCAGGGGTTCAATCATGGCCCGAACTGCATCTAATCGGGCCTCAAATCCACGGTCAGAATTGGCGACATTCGACGCCCACTGAGCCGCTCTGGCGTTGCTCGCCTCGCGGGCTTTTCGGTCCTCTTCAGCTCGGTTGCTCTCGGCGTCCTTTAGGAAGCCCTCTTTGTCGAACCACATTTTGTCGTAGACAGTCATCACCTCCGCCCAGGCTTTCGCTCTAGCCTCCTGCGACTCGGCGTCCTGCTTCGCCATCATCTCCTCTGTTTTGAGGTGCAAATCCTTAGCCATACTCTGGTCCAGGATGATTTTGTTGAGAGTGTCCTTTGTAGATTCGATCATCTGTGTCTCCTTCTCTATGGCGTCGAGAAGATTCTGGCGAAGGATTTCCACGCGAGCAACCTTGGCCTTACGATCCGCCTCAGCCTGCTCTCTGGCAATTCGTTCAGTCTCGATGTTCTCCTTCACGATTCGATCCGCCTCGGCTTGCTCCCTGGCGGTTCTGTCGGCCTCTGCTTTCTTCTTTGCGAGTCGATCCCCCTCGACTTTCTCTCTCGCCAGCTTTTCGGCAGCTTCTCGAGCATTCTTCACTGCCTCAGCACGCTCTCTGGCAAGTCGTTCAGCCTCAGCCTTCTCCTTCGCAAGTCGCTCAGCTTCAGCCTTCTCCTTGGCAATTCTCTCGGCCTCAGCACGCTCCCTGGCGATTCGATCGGCCTCCGCTTTCTCCCTGGCCAGTCTCTCGGCCTTCTCGCGAGCGACTCTCTCTGCCTCAGCCTTCTCACGCGCAATCTTTTCAGCTTGGGCCTTCTCGCGCGCAAGACGATCCGCCTCCGCCTTCTCCCTAGCAAGACGCTCGGCCTTCTCCCTAGCAAGACGCTCGGCCTTCTCCCTAGCAAGACGCTCGGCCTTCTCCCTAGCAAGACGCTCGGCCTTCTCTTTGGCGATTCGATCAGCCTCCGCCTTCTCCCGGGCCAGCCTCTCAGCCCTCTCCTTGGCGACTCGATCAGCTTCAGCCTTCTCCTTGGCGATTCGATCAGCTTCAGCCTTCTCCCTCGCAAGTCGCTCGGCTTTCTCCTTGGCGACCCGCTCAGCGTCGGCCTTCACCCTAGCGAGTTGCTCAGCCTTCTCCTTCGCGACCCGTTCAGCCTCGACCCTCTCCTTGACAAGTCTCTCGGCCTTGGACTGAGCGACCTTCTCGGCTTCCAACTTCTCCAACGCCTTCTTCTCGGCCTCGGCCTTGGCGACTCGGTCTGCTTCCACGGCGGTCATGTACTCGTTATTTTTCTGCGCCCAGACCTTATCCTCTGAAGCCTTCTTCTGGATGTGCTTCTCCTTGGCAACCTCCGAGGCGTGGTCCTTGGCGATCTGGAGCATTTGGGTCCGGCCGGCTTGGTCGAGCAAAGACTTTGACAATTTCTCGGTCTTCTCCGCCAGCTGCTGACGATCCCGCTGCTTGAGGATTTGAGTTCGCGAAGCCTCCACCTGTTGAGCAACTCGCATAGCCTCCTTCTCGGCGCGGTTCTCCTTCTGGGATTGGATGATGCGCTCCATGGCCTCGGCAATTACATCCTTGACAACTGGAGGAGCGTCGACTTTGGTGAGGCGGGCAGCAACAGCGGCTTTTGTGGCGAGTTCGTCGTCAGTGTCGTCATCATCATCATCATCAACTGACTGAAGATCCGGCAAGTCGCCATTTTCCTCATCATCAGTCCAGTCACCATCGTCCTCGGAGGAGCTGTCGCTGACCGGGAAGAACCGCGTCCCTTCGTCCGTTTGAAGACCTGGCATGTTGTCGTCTGTAGATTCGCCGTCGGATGAATACGAGAGTTCCTCGACTGGCACTGGCTTCTTGACGCTCTTTGCACCGTTCTTCTTGCCCTTGGCCTTGCTGTTGGTCTTGTTGCCGGTCTTGCCCTTACCCTTGGCGACGCCATTGACTCCACGATTGCTCTTTTCGTTTCCATCGCTGTGGTCCGTGAGAAGATCCGGCAAATCGTCAGAGACAAGGTCTGGCATTTCGTCATCCGTCGGTTCCCCCTTGGCGGCGGCTTTGCCGTTGGTGACTGGGGCAGAGCGTGCTTGTGGAACCTTGCCGCTGGTCGCAGTCAGAGTGGGAGCGGTGGGTTTCGCCTGGGTCTTGGTACCTGGAGCGGTGGGTTTCGCCTGAGCCTTGATACCTGGAGCGGTGGGTTTCGCTGGAGTCTTGGTGCGCGCTGCCTTGGCGCGAGTCTCGTCGTCAGACACCAAGTCCGGCATGTCGTCGTCCGTAGGGTCGTGGTCCTCCGAGTCGTAGCCAGAGTAATCCTCGTCGTTGTCCGAGATCAAACTGTCGCTGTCACCCGCCGTGACGAAGTGGTGGTTGAAAAACGTGCCGGCGGGTGGAGAGTACTCGTTCTTGTCGATCTCGTCACGCTCCTTCTTCTTCTTCTTCTGGATGTCGTCATATACGTCCATGATAATGTTGGATTGCTCGTTGTCGAGTAACCCCTTGGAGATACTACTGTCCAGGAACAAGCCAAGGTTGCTCCGGGTCGACAAGGCAGAGTTCCAGTTATTCTCGATGTCCTTCTTGCACACCTCCTCCAAACGAGTGCAGAGTTCCACATGGACCGGCATCGTAGACGCGCCAGTCGATAAGGACTTGAGAAGCACAACGGCAATGTATTCGTCCAAAAAGAGCTCAATGTCCTCGTCCCTGCGCTCAGCAAGCTTCTGGTAGTTGTTAGAGATGGTCTCGAGGAAGAGTTGTCGCTCAAGATAATCCTCCGAGTTGAGGTAGGGGGTGTCCTCGACCTTGCCTTTGACGGGCTTCTTGGTTTTGCCGGCTGTGTTGGATGTGGACTTTGCCGCAGCCGCGTTCTTGGCCTTCTTGGTAGGAGAGGCCCTCGCGTTCATACTGGATGTCATTGTGCCGAAGTTGTTGGCGAAACCCTTGCCCCTGACTTCTGCATCGACCCTTATATCCTTCAGCTTTGCATCCAGGCGAGCCCGCTCCTTGTTATAGACAACAGAGGCCTCACAGACACGTTTAATCGATGCTGGGATCCACCGCTCCTGATCCTGGCGAGTCTTGTAAGCAGCCATGACAGTCCGCCGAGCCTTCTCGATCGCCTTGAGTCGGTTCCTCTCTGCCTGGCTGTGGTTATCGGAGATGGTGTTGAGTAAGTTGATCTGCGCCGACTGCCACTCATGTGCCTTGTTGAACATCATCATAGGGTCATCTCCAGAAAACTGCATATCGACAAAGATCGCCCGGACTCTCTTGAGCATCGCCTCGAACTCCTTGTCCACGACCTCCTCCACCTCCAGTTCCTCTGCTGATGATGATGGTGGTGGTGGTGGTGTTGCAACGGAAGGTTTAGCCTTGGCGAGCGAAGGTTGTGATGTGGTTGAATTCGAAGGGGTGTCGGCATCACCATCCTGCTCTTCCTGCGCTGCAGCAGACTTCTTGGCCTTCTTCTTTGCCTTCTTCTTGGCGTTTTTGCTCGAAGACCCCTCCCCGGCGTTGTTGGAAGGCGAAGGGGATCCCGAGTTTGCCGCCCGGTCGCTAGAGATCAACTCGGCTGCCGCTGCATCAGCAATTTTTCGCTTGTAGTCAGCGTTAAACTTCTTGGTGTACTTTTCGACCGCATAGAGTTCCTTGTTGGACAAGAAGACAACCTCGCCGCCAGAGCCATTGTTCTTCCAGACATATTTCCTGCAGGCGTAGACGATCGTCGCAAATCGATCCTGAAATTCCGGTCGAATCTTGGCATACTGTCGCTGGAAATGTTCTCGGTCTTCCTGGGTGAGCGCTGGAATAGTAACATTCGTCGGGATCTTGGACGAGGGCAATGTCGAAGTACGATCCAGCCCTACAGCCTTGGTAAACAACCGCCCGACTCGCCACTCGTCCACCAGGTAATGATAGCAGTCCTCAACCGTAGGCGCATAGGGTGCTGTGGCGACATAGAGTTCGTACATGGGGGCCGGCTCTGTCTCTGAAGCCTTGGAGTCGAGTCCATAGGAGCGAATGAACCCCTGAGCGATCTTGACGGCCCAGTGGATGGCATCGATGCGAACCGAGTGTGAGGCCTTTGTGGAAGGGATGGTAGCTGCAAGTTCAAAGAGGATGATCTCAAAGAGGAATTCTGAAAAGTGGTGATCGTTCCTGCTGAGGTGGATCGTCGAAATCACATGGGTCTCGAAGGTGTCACTTTCGTCCGGGGCTGTGGAATAATAGGCATCCATCTCCGCCTGAAGAACGGGGTCGAACATCGTCGCCGGTGTTTGTTGTGTTACTGTTGTTGTTGTTTTGTGATTGATTTGGGTGTGGATGAGTGGGTAGGGCTAGTAAGAGAGAGTCTAACTAGGATACCAGTGTAAGAAGAAGGTCAGCTTAGCTTCGCCATGGAAAGTGGAGAGAGAATGTTACAGTGAGTAACAACTACAAGACAAGCCAAGGTGGTACCTTCAATAGCAGACTGACAAAGAGAGGCGATCAAAGAGGGAAGGACGAGTTGGGGTAGGCAGTGATCTAGGCGGGGTACGTGGCCATTGGTCGATGGCGCAGGGGTCAGAGAGAGATGTGGGAAGAGAGGGAGAGGTGTAGGTGCGTGCGCAGCGGGAGAGTGGGTGCCAAAAACAAGGGAGAAGGGAAGGGAAGTGCGCAAAAGCACGGGGGGAGCAAAAGGAAAGTAAAGGAGAGAATGAGAGTGTGTGATGCTGTGCTCCACCACCACAGAGAACGTGACTGTGCTTGCTTGATCTATCTTTTGCAGTTCCTGCACTCAACCTCTTCATCATTGTCATTGTGATTTTATTCTCGAGAAAAAAAAATGTGTATCCAAAGCTCGCTTCATCATACTTTACGCAGTAGCAGTGGCCACCTTCTGGGCAGCAAGCGTAATCTTGTCTCCCAAGCTGAGCGCAATACCCTGGGTCTTGGAGCGGATACGGACATGACCCGTAATGGGTCCATCTCCCTGGCGCTCAATGCTCAAGTTCGCCAACGCATCCTCACCAAACACTGACCGCGCATACATGTTCGCCGACAAGAAGCCACACTCGCCCGACAATGCTGCCTCCGGGGTCAAGCACGACATGTTTGTCGACTTCATAATATGCTTCAAGTATTGTTGCAAGTCGCTAGTAAGAGAAGAGTGCAATTGAGAAAAAAGAAGAGAGTTGTTAGAATGATTTGAAAACAAAGGTTGACCATATTGTCAGCAATTCGGATAAACGGAAAATAAGAACTTACGTGATGGAGGTGTTGACGTTGACCTTGTTCTCCCATTCAAACTCGAGCCACATGCTCCTGAACTGCGTCTCGTTGCAGTAGGCGGGGTTGATATAGTCCATAATATCAATATGGATATCGTTCAACACAACACAGTTGCTGTCGCCAGTCGTAGGACCATCGTACACAATGTTGCCAAAAATCACTCCAGTCTCGGTTGACGACACCTTGATGTTGGCCTTAATTGAGTGGAAAGAGTGGGGGGCAATGGTGTGCTGTCCGGGCCTTTCCACCAACTTCAAATCGCCCAATGTCGCAAACTCAATCGCAAGGTTCTGGAGGGTATCGGCGGTCTGGTTGACAATCAGGACGTCCAACATAATGTCAAACTGGTGCACATTCACATACGCCTCAGCGTAGACGGGGTCCGAGAAACCAGTGAGCTGCACAACTCGGCTGAGCTTCGACATCAAATCTTCCTTGGACTCTCCAGAGCCAGTGGCACGGGTCAAGTCGAGCTCGTACTCGTCCTTCTCATCCCCGTGCTTAGCCTTCGAGAACTGGCGGAAGGTGATCAAGTCATCGGCTTGGACGCGAGTGTTCTTGTTATCCTTGGCACGCTTCTCCTCCTTGCGCTTCTCCTCTGCTTGAACCATCTTACCAAAGACAGCCTTGGTATCCTGCAAGAAAACCTGCTTCATCAAAGGATCCTGGCTGAACTTCTCAAGAACGTGCAAGCACGACATGATACGATCGTACGAGTCCTCGTCAATGGGCGAGTTGGCGAACTGGGACTGACCGACACGGATGATCGAGGTCATGATCAACATAGCCTCGGCACGAAGAGAGTTAAGACGACGGTGATCGTTGCTGATATCCGAGTAACGGAGCACCAACTTGGTCAAGGTCGACGCCAAAGAGGTGCCCAAGTAGAAATCTCCTCCCAACAACAAGGCACGGAGCTGGGGCTTGGCAGCAGCCTTGACAGCATCCAACTTGGACTGTGCAGAGACCGACGAGGCCAAAGCAGACTCGGTGGCATATGTACCGTCGGCCAAGACACGGCGGACGGGAGCAGAACTCTTGGTCTCGGGGGTCTTGGACTCGTTGTCCTCGTTCTGAGCCTCGTCCAAGAGACGCTGCTCTGATGCCAAAATGGGGATCTCGCCCAAACCTGTGCGAATATGCTTCCATGCGTCCTCAATGTCCTGAGCCTCCAAGCAGTACTCTCCAACAATCCAGAGGGCGCCACGGAAAACCTTGGCAGCCTTCATCTCAGGGAAAGTCTCCATGAGGCGCTCCAAGATCGAAGAGCGAAGGTTGGGGAACTTTTCAACAACCTCACTGTGGAACCAGAAAGAAAAAGGGGCACTAGTTGTTAGTATTCATGGCTGTAATAATCCAGACAGTGCTATCGATACATAACATCAACACGAACATACCGAACGAAGGCAATGACGTCAACGGCAGAGGGGTTGTTCGAGTCGCCCAGGAACTCCATCAAGACGTGAACGACACTGGCAGCGACCTCTGAGAAGCGGATAGCGCAGGTGTGGATGGACTGAATCAACAGCTGACGGTACTCCATGTTCAGCTCGTAATCCTGATCCAAAGTCTTTGAGAGTTCCTTCTTCAAGAATCCAACAACCTCATCAACATTGCGGCTCGAGACCATATCCAGAGCAATACCAACAGCCTTTCTGCGGACAGCAATATCGGGGCTATTACGTATAAAATCATATCATATTAACAAGGGTTAATTAGGTCTTCCATGACGTCATATCAGCGCCAGTTCAGTTCCATGTTCACAGCACGCGTGTTTGTACCTTGAAAGAACACGAAGGATCTCCATGACGAGGTCATCCAAAACCTTCTCGTGCTTCTCGCGCAACTCGTCGAAACGTCCCAAGACAATCAGCTTGACGTTGTTATCGGCCTCCTTGACAATGAGCTCAATGTAGCACGAGGCAGCAGCTAAATGATAAATGGTCAATATGAAATAGTTAGCAAAGGTACTATTGTGGTATTTCCATTCCGAAAAAAACGCGACACATCGAAAAACACTCGAATAACTATCATACCTTTGACGGCAGCGGGGTTGGAGGTAAGAGCCATCAAAGTGGTGGCAGCCTCGTACTTGACAGAGTGAGACTGAGCGTTCAAGAGCTCAAAGATGCAACGAATGTACTTGCCCTAGATTACAGCGATCCGTTGAGGTCAAGACCAATCCTTTGTTCCATATTGAGATCCATAAAGCAAAGATAACAGCCCAAGATCCTGTAAATACACGCAACACGAAACTCACCTTGTTGGCGGTGTTGTTCTTGCAGTCCTTGCGGATCAAATCGACAATAGCCATCTGAAGCAACTCGTCCATGTTGGGGACCTGATTGATGTTGGCCTCCAGATACTCGACAGCCAACTCGGGAGCGCAGTTGACCAACATAACAAAGGCGTTGCGCTTGCAAGCCATATCGGCCTCCTATTTACACCAAAAGAGAATTGGGACAACCGATGAGTCTCCCCCCACTTTTTTTTGGTTCCAGTTTTCCTGTTGTCCTGTTCGTAATGAAGCCCCAATTCGTACCTGAAGCAACAAGGCGTGGATCAACTCGGGGGCGTCAGGGACGAGGTAGTCAAAGTGCTTGTAGACAGTGTAGATGGCGAAGATGGCGTTCTTACGGACATATGAGTGGCGATGTTCCTAATAACAGATAGTCAAACGAAGAAGTCATTTGCGTATTAATACTGTGAGAGTGATCTAGTATCCCACAGATACGTGGCATCCTAATCAAGGTACACAACAAAAACGACGCGTCCAAGATCGAACTCCTTGGACACATACCAAGCAGGAACGGGCAGAGGGCAACAAGGGCTCGAGCAACTCGGCCTCGCGAAGCTTGCAAAGGAAGCGAAGGGTCGATCCTCTGATGTACTCGTTAGGGTGCTGAAGATCGCCCATCAACGCGTTACTATATCCATATAACAACGAGCAATTGAACGTTAGCTTGTTACGTGCCCTACTTTCTGACAACAGAAGTAACTGAAGGATAGGCACCCATAAAGCGTGGCTTACCAGACGAGAATCATCTCCTGCTTGAGCTTGCCGTCAGGGTTTGTCTTTGGGCAGATCTCCAAATAAAAGTGGACCAACTTCTTGAGCTGCTTGTTACGGGAGCGCATCACGTTCATGATGACGGGCATCAGGAGGGAGTTGAGAGGGTCGCCATTGAGCATAGTAAAGATGACCTTGCGCATGGTCTCGATTTTGACCTCGTCCGAGCCCTTTTCGATCCTTTGGCGGAGAGTCTCGGGCCTGATCTCCTCGTCGGCGTCGGACTGGTGGATGATGGTGTAGCAGGCGTCTGACGTGCTCATGGTGGAAGTGTGTAAAGGGGGGGTATGAAGGAGAAGTAACGGAAGGTGGTGGTGGTGGTGGTGGTGGTGGTGATGAGGAAGAAGGAGGAGAGACGCGATGTGGAGGAGGGAAGAACGCGAGTAAGAGTGGATTGGAGAAAGAGGGCCACAGCAGAGGGGGAGAGAAAGGAAGTGGCTTTGAGAGGGGGATGGAGAAGAGAAGTGATGGAAGGAGGAATAAGAAGCGAAAATAGAACTAAAGACGGTAGATGATGAGACGAGATGACTCTGTGCCCCTCAGTTCAGCCAAAGGAGTGTGAATTACCCACGTTTGCTGCTCTCCAGGCTGGCCTCGCTTGATTCGCGTGTAACTCGATTACAGGTCCCTGAAGCACTGATCTTACAGGGGGATAAACGTCACCGAACAAAATTGGACAAGGTCACCTCCAATAATGTCTTTGTGGCAGCCTCTCAGCGGTGCCACGTCTGGGGTTTGATTCGGTATCGAATAAAGAGCCGCCACCAATCATTCGATGAAACTGATAGAAAGCAATAAAAGGAGACGACCTGTTTGCTTCCATCGGATTCATCATTCTTCTCTTCCCTTCTCTTCTCATTCCATCTACTTCTTCATCCATCCTCTTTTCCTCTCTCTCCTCTCTTTTTTCTTTTCCTTTTCTTTTTTCTTTACAACACTCCCCTCTACAGTTACATACAACAATGGCCCGCTTCCGCTCAAAACTCACACTCGTCCTCGGCCTGTGCCTGGCTTTGGCACTCACAAAGACCGCCCACACCGCCGCCGTCGACGAACGGCCCTCTGTCATCTGTCGCGAGGGCGCCTGCTACCCCCGAGTCTTCCGCCCCACCACAGAGTTCCAAGAAGTCCTCGAAGGCCAGGAGATTCCTACAGGTTAGTATCCCTCACTCGTTGTACCACCCCAATTGCTGCAGATCTGGCACACTCAACTCACACTCTTTTCTTTCTCAACTACCTTTAACGGATAGGCCTTCATGTACAAATGGACTTTGAGACACACAAAAAGTTTGCAAAACTCATGGACCCCAACGACATCCAACAAAAACCCGCCACAGACTCCATCCTCGTCGTCGACACCGACACCCCAGGAACCTTCCAACACCAAGTCGGTCAAAACAACAATATGCCCCCCGTCATTGACCTTCTCCAAACAGACCAGGAAGCAGATATTGCGCAATTGGAAGAGAGCAGTCGTATGAACCTCCAGACCGCCTTTGATTCCATTACTGAACTCCAACAACACCACCAAGAAGCTCAGGACCGAGAGCTTGCTGCTCCTGCTGTTGCTCCTGCTGCTGGTGCCCGGAAGAGCGACCACCAGATCTATCAGGAGCTGCTCGGGACCTTAAAGACCAACCAGAACAATGTCGAGATTGCACAGGCATTGGAGGGGCTGGCCGATCTGGCGAGTGACATGGATTTCGGACTCCAACTGTCCGAAGGCGAGGGGTTGAGGACTTTGGTCAAGCATGTTCGCTGCTCTTCTGGGGATCGGATCGTTTGTGATGACCAGCGCCGTGTCCGATCCGTCGCCGCCCTCGTCATTGGCACCTCACTCCAGGTAACATATCAGACATTCACAAATGGAAGGACAGATTGTGATACAGACTCAGAACGCACAACACCAGGTACTCACACTCAAATACCCTCTTTTCATCTCCTTCAACCACCAACCCTCAATTAGAACCACGCAAAGGCACAAGAAGCAGCATACAAACACAACCTCCACAAAGTCCTCCTACGCCAACTCGAGATCGAAACCGACTCCCAAGTCCTCCGCCGCCTCATCTTTGCCTACTCCTCCCTCGTTCGTGGATCCCAACACCAAAACGCCCTCATCCAGGACGACGATATCGAACGCCTTGCGCAGATCTATAACAAGTCGACCGACTCTGTCTTCCGCCGCAAGTGTGTCTACCTCATGTCTGATTTCGCCGACCCCGATATGCAGTTCATTCCCTCCACCAACGATACCGCCGCTGATGCCGCTGATAGTAAGACTGCCGACTCTGCTGTTGTTGTGGAGGAGGGGGACGCGGCTGTTGCTGTGACACCTACCAATGTCGGACCATGGTGCGAGACCCTTCAAGAGAACAAGACGACTCAGGACGGAGAGGATCAGGACGATTGGGAGATTATTGACCGCGCCGTCGAGCTCTTGCACGCCTCTTATCCCGACACCTGTATCCTCACCGGCGTCCGCTCCAAGGATGAGCTGTAAAACCACCTTCTCAAAAACATAGAAAAAAAAAACCTGTACAATACTCATAAAAATAATACTTCCCACGTAAATACACATGTCTACCTTCCCTCTTCGTCCTTCACTTTGTAGTCCTTCAATGCACCTGCCTCTGTGCCACTTTCTCTCATGCATGCACAAACACCCTTGCCTGGTCCCTTCGAAATTGTCCAGATCACTTGTCTGCGTACTTGTTAACTTTTGTTTGCATGGGGGGGGGGGTTTAATAGTTTTATTTTGGACGTAGAAGGTCCTTCTATTTGCGTCCATTGGCCATACGCAATCTTTCGCCTTCGAGCTAAAGTGGAAAGGAAGGCAAGGAGGAAAATGTAAGCAAGTGGATCAACAAAACCGTGAGTCTTGTTCCTCATTAGACGAAAAAAAACAACCACAAACTAAAAAGACGTACCACTTTCTTAACGCGGGCAAGCGTGGCGGCGGCTGAGGCATTGGCCTTACAGTTATCGGGCTCGTACGGCGAGGAAATGATCACCTCGTCCATGACCACAATCTGATCCTTATGCCAGCGACAAGGCAATCTACATATTCCCGATGATAAAGTGATGCGATGTTAAATGCAAACCAACGTTAGCTTGAAAAGATAGCCTCCGCGTATAATCCATTGATCGGCATTTTTTGATTCGCTCCAAGTTTGCACTCAGGATCCTCGCCCACATCAACACCCGCTCAGAGAGAACCAGAAAGTAAAGAGACTTACGTCTTGCTGAGGGCGTCAAAAATATCCTGTCCAATGGTCGATACACCAACACCAATACGCGCAGCGGCAGCCTGGGCCTCCCGAATCGCCTGCTGCTCCCGCTGCTGGATTTTGTCCAGCTGGACATATCCGACGGCCGGTAATACTGTTGAATAAATGTTGTTCGTAATATTGTTGTTGGAGTTGTCTTCAGAGGTTGAGGTTGATTCTGATGGTATGCTGTTGTTGTTACTCTGACCATTGTGATTCTGTACAGCAGCAGGAGTAGTAGGAGTGGTAGCGGGTGTAGTAATAGTAGAAGTCGATCCTGCTGATGACAGCAAGGGGGTCACATCCTTGATATAGTTGATCTTGAGGATCCTGAAGTCATACTTCAATCGTGATCCTGTGTTCCCGTTGTTCCCGTTGTTGTTATTGTTGGAGCTGTTGTTCCCGAGCGAGGGGCTGTAGTAGGCGGTGGGGGTTGCGGCGGCAGAGACAGACTTGGAGGGGCACTGTGTTGTTTGAGAAGAGAAAGAAGCAGAAAGACATGGAAGACCGAAAAGCACAATTGCAGAGTTAAGGATGATAGAGGTGAGAGCGATATCATTATGAATGAGGCGGAGGAGAAAACAACGATCAAACCTCATAGATCGTGCTTTCCCTCGAGGTAGTTCCTCAATGATACTCTCGTGGGTAAAATATATGTTGGATCGAAACAAGAAATAAAAAAACGCATTGACAAAATAAATACCACAGCAAAAAACGACAATCAAAAGAAATCCAAAGAGCGAACCCACAACAACAGCAAAGCACAAACACGATAGCAAAGTACAAAAAAAATAAAAATGAAAAGAAAGAGACACGAGTTTGATATGAAGTACAACGCAGTTCATGATCACGTCGTAGGCATAGACTTGGCCTTCAAAGACCTCATCCGCCTGAGTCACGACCTTGACATTCATGCCCAGGACCCAGTCGATCGCCCCATTGTTGCTGTTGGTGTTGGTGGTCGTAGTAGCAGCCGTGGTGGCGTTGATGGTGGTTGTGGCAGCGGTCTTGGAGTCCGTTCCTGAAGGTGCGGGCGACTGCGATCCCAATGCAGGCGAGGACGAGGGAGCAGAGGCAGCGCCACCATTCTTTGCTGGTCCAGTAGTAGTCGCAGGGGTGGTAGCAGCAGGCTTGTTGGCGCCAGCAGCAGCGGCGGATGCGAAGGAGAGTCCGCCAGAGATTCCTGCGGTCGACTTTTTGTTGAGCGATTCCATGGTTTTGTCAGGGGGTCGGGTTGTCGAGTGGTGGGTCGGTTTGGATGGCCTTCGTGAGTTAAAAAAAGAGCAGAGAAATAAAAAAAGGGAGTTATGCTTCTCGTTTCGAGGGTATCTTACCCTTACTCCTCCCCACGCTTCTTTCTTAGCTTCGGACCAATGACGTCGCAGAATTAGTCGTGACGCGATTCCACAAGATTAAACGAGGACACCTCGGTCGATGCACCTCTTGGCTCTTCCTCAATGTGCACAGACGGGGCAGCCACACTGCACACAAACACAAATGAGGAGAGCAATTGGTGCTCTTCTTGTGCCACAGTTACCGCACATCCCTCGAATAATAATGAAAAAAAGGCGTGGCATTTATTCAGAAAGTGGCGCATGAACCACCGCACAAAGGCGAGTTGTTGAAGAACAAGTCTCTTTTGCGCAGATCGTCCTTGTCACCGGCAATAAAAAAGTAAAAACAGACTGTACAATGAAAGCGAGTGAATGAGAGAGAGAGAGAGTAGAGTGTTCCAAAAGGGAAAATTAGAAGAAAGGCGCGCTTATTTGAACTCCTTCTCGACCTTGTCAGCAGCCTTGTGGGCAGCATCCTTGATCTCATGCTTGGCGTGCTTGGCAGCGTCGTTGATCTCCTTGCCGACCTTGCGGGCAGAGTCGCAGGCGGGGCCACTACCGTTCTTGATCCAGATGTCGTAGTTCAAGGCAGTGGCATATCCGAGCCAGGCGACGTAGGGGATCGTCAAGTAGCCGGCGCACTTGTCGACCTTGAAGAAGTAGTAGGCAAGAGCAACCGACGAGGTCTATTGTAAGATAAAGGAATGTTTGGGAGGCGACCGCATTAGTGGGGGATGTGGGTTGTGTGGGTTGTGTGCATAGTATTCATTGCATTTGGTTGGTGGTTTCTTTTTGTCAATGCAGATTGTCTCTTGTTATTTTGAATAAAATAGATCTTGGTGTGAATTGGAATCGCAAATCGGACGCAGTTGTCTTGTTGATATTTGCAGGTAAAAGAGATCGAACAAAGGGATCGTGTTGTTGCTGCTGTTGTGGTTGTTGGTGTTGTGTTGAGAGATCGGCTTGCTTTGTTCTGGTAACACCATCTGCCGCGTCGCGTCGCGTATCATTTCACGCGTGCCAACTGGTCAAAGAGGAGTGATAACCATCGCGGGACTGGAAACCGTCCATCCGCTTCATTCAGTAAACAGCACGTCCTCCTTGATATTCGATGTCACTCTCTTTTTGTTCCCCTTGTTCCCCAAAGTGCAAAGAAAGGGATGAGGGGGACATAGACAAACAGGAAGGGTTGAAAGAGGGAATATGTTTGACTCAGATGAAAAAATCGAGGGGAGGGGTTGCAACGAAAAACTTGATTGACTACTGTGCGAGTCGTGCGTGTTGCTGAGGAGTGGGGGGGACAGGGTCATCTCTGTCCTGTGCCTCCACTTGTATGTCTTCCTCCAACAATGCCAACAATACCAACAAACACCCTTCCTTGACAACAAGAGCTCAAAATGGAACAAAACGAGAAAAGGACAACGAGGAACTTACAGTCAAACCACCGGCGGTGACGAGGGCAGCACCGATCTTGTTCTTCCAGAACATCAAAGGGGACCAAGCAAAGTTCAAAGCCAAGTTCAATCCATAGATGCCCAATCCAGTTCTAGCTAAATGACGGATCGAGGGGAGGGTGTTGGGTCCAGTGCGGAGGGCGACCAAGTGAGAGGCATAGCCAACGGTGATGTACAATCCAGCCCAGACGGGGGCAAAGACACAGGCGGGGGCAGCCCATTCGGGCTTTTGGAGACCTTCATAGTAGGACTTTACGGCGAGGTGGGAGGGGATCGCTGTGATGAATCCTCCGACGAGGGGCAAACCGACAGCGAGGATGGGGTAGCGGGCCAGGTTAGTGTTCACGCTCTGGCAGACGTGATGGAGGTTTTCGGTCGGCATTCTTTGGTGGTTGTTGTTTTGCTCCTTTGAGTTTTGTGGAGTGGAGTGTGGAGGTGATGGTGAGGAGAGGTGGAAATGAAAGAAAGAAAGAAAGGGAGAGAGAAAAGAAGAAATGAAGAGAGAGAGAGAGAGAGAGAGAGAGGAAAAGGAGGTCCGGATCACCCTCTCTGTCTTTGATTTTCCTCCGATTTTTTTATTCTTGGATAAGGGTAATGTAATGCCTTGTAGACAAGGGTAGGTGTCTGACCTAACACACAAACACACTGACAGATACCATGTATCGAAAAAAAAAAAGAGTAAGAATCGGAATCGCGTGTGTGCATTGCTGCGTAGGTTCATGATGTGGTCTGGGTGTACTTCAGGTGTAGTAAAGTTTGCAGCATTGAAACATCACTGTCTATTACTTGCAATTCAAAAAGTCAAGGAAACATCAGAGAAAAAGAAAGAGGGTCAGAGGACCATGACGGCGAGGATCGGGCCGGAAGGGACTTTGTTCGTCCAAGAATGCTGTTGCCAATGCTATGCGTAACTCATGTGGGTAAAATATTTTCATCCACTGACAGAAGTTGGCACGCGAGATGACGTTCAAGGATGTTAACTGAGCAATGGAAGTTAAATTAGCACCATGGTGACGACACTAATGAATCCCTATTACTGGGAGCTCATTTGGGGGATACATGAAAGAGGAGTGGCACTTAATAAAACAGGGGACCTCGGCCAGCATGCGCTTTGCTAAAGAGGATAGAAGATATACAGTTCCCTCGTCATGATGCTTCTTCGGCTTCCTTCTTTGTTCTGGGGTTCAGACAATTCAAGCCATGGTTGACATTCAATCCTCTTCCTCCCCTTCTTCCCCGCAACAGTCCCTACTTCCAAGGGTATCGTCGACAGGTACAATACATAAACCGTCGGTACGTGCTCACTTTTCATCAATCTCTCTTCTCTTCTTTCCTCTTTATTTCTTTCTTTCTTTCTTTCTTCCATTCTTCTCCGCCACCACTCTCGTACAACACAAAAAAAACAATACCTGTGATTCACCTCTCGACCCCGCCACATCACTCATCCAAATCGCAATCACCAGCATCCTCCCTCCTCTCATTCATAATGTTGACCTCATCCACCCCAACCAAACATCACACAAAATGGTCCGACAAACAATCCAAAGCCCTGAGCGACCTCACCGAAGAGTTCACCCTCTCAACCGCTCAACTCGAACACCTCACCGCCGCCTTCATTGACCAGATGCAATCCGGACTCGCGGGGGACCAGAAATCGAGTGACTTGGCCATGATCCCGACGTTTGTCAGTGGAAGGCCAGATGGTCAAGAACGCGGGAGCTATCTTGCTTTGGATCTTGGAGGCACCAATCTTCGGTAAGTTATTGAAGGGCTTGATTTTTTTTGCTTGGTTTTTTTTGTTCCCGAGGGAAGAGCGGATACTGGTTCACGGATACTTCGATGCGCGCGAAATACTAAAAGAAGAAAAGGACGCTGAGTAGATGGTACCGTGAGGGGTAGGGAGGGAGAGGAGGAAGGAGAGATGACGAGGATATGTAATTGAAACGAAAAGGCAAAGGCGTTGATGGTAATGTGAGGTAGGAGGGAGAGGGAGGGAGAAAAAAAAAGATGCAGTATGAAGGGCGAGGATGATAGGTTACCAACTTGCTTGTCATTGTTTCTATTATGCACATAACCAAAATTGCCACCACCGCTACCAAACCAGTCTAGTCTTTTCTTTCCTACCGACTGCAGAAGTCTCAACGGGACCATTGCTTGCACTAGGTGGCAAGAAAAGTGAAATAAAAAAAAGGAGAGGAGGGAAGACGGGAAGTAATCAAGTACTGTTCCCCGTGGTGCTTGGTTGTGAAGAAGAGAGTTCCATCTACCCTAGTGGAGGAATGAGACTTGTTATCTCTCGCTCGTTGATATGTTCATCTCTTTTGGGTGATGTGCAGATGAGCGCAAGGCAACAACTATATATCTACCTTAGATGGAGGGGGAAAAAGAGAGTTCATCCGCAACGAAGTCGTGTGTTTCTCTGTTTCTTAGTTTTGGGTGCTCCGTGTGCGGTCATTGTTCGTTATCTCTTTTGCCTGTGTCTTTCATTCCTCCAACAAACCTTGTTTGCTTGATTGAGTTCAGTTGCTGTTGTTAACACAAACATACACATATGGAAATCGAACGTTATTTCCCTTCGTGAGCTGTGGGGGTGTGTGTCTATGAGCCTTCTATTCCTTATCATTTCACCCCATTGCCATCGACGAGATGCGATATCCTTGGAGACAGCAGCAACCAAAAGACAAGAAAGTGAGTAAGCTGATCTGACTCAAATCTTGACCCCTCTACCAACTAGTGTCTGCCTTATCACACTCAAGGGCAACCACGACGTCGAATCCAACTCAAAGGCCTTCAGGGTTTCCGACCACCTCCAGGAAGCGCACATCTCAGAGCTGATGGACTTTATCGCCATCTCGATCAAGGAGTTTATCAGCAGCGAGCACATCAGTTCTAAGATTGTCGAACACCCCACCGATTCGGACACCCTCGAGCTCGGCTTCACCTTCTCCTTCCCTGTCGCCCAAACCGCCATCGATGCCGGCATGTTGCTCAGATGGACCAAAGGGTTCAATTGCCCTGGGGCTGTTGGCAATGATATCGTACAATTGCTTCAGGAGGCTATTGACCGTAACAAGGTCAACGTTCATGTTGGTAAGCAATTGAGGGGATGAACAAAACAGCTTTTTTTCTTTTCTTGACGCATGTGTACTTTGCAGCTGTCTTTATTTTTTTCCCCGTTATTTCAGGCACCGACTGTCATTCATTCCGCCAAAACAAACAAAGACTGGTCCTTCCCTTCCCCACTTTACATTTCTCGAACTAACTAATCGTGGCGTACTCTTTCATGGTACAATAGCCGCCCTGGTGAACGATACCGTTGGCACGCTTCTGGCACATTCCTATAAGCACCCCAACACCTTCATCGGGGCCATCTTCGGAACAGGAACCAATGGTGCCTATGTCGAGGCCACCCGCAGCATCAAGACCATGCCCACCCCGACTGCTAAGGAGATGATCATTAATATCGAGTGGGGCAACTTTGACAAGGACAAGCGGATCCTCCCCGTTACACCGTTTGATAACAAGCTCGACCGCGAGTCCATCGTATGTTTCTTGAGAGTTCTTGAACCATGTATTTGCCAATCAAATGTTCTGTTGTTTTTATCTCTGTCAATGCTTTCTAATTGGGGGGGGTTTTTTTTTTTTTTTTTTTCAATCTTGCAACTCTGCCCTTTATGACTAATAGAACCCAGGAATCCACATTTTCGAAAAGATGATCTCTGGAATGTACCTGGGAGAAATCACCCGCAACATCCTCCTCCACCTCATTGACCACCGTCTCCTCTTTGACGGCACCTCGTCCCAAAAACTCAACACCCACTGGTCATTCGAAACCAAATTCATGTCACAGATTGAATCTGATACCTCCGCAACCCTTATTCCTATCGCCCAAATTCTGGAACAGGAGCTGGGTATTTATTTAAATACCCAGGTTGATAGGGAGATTGTCAAGGCTGTGTGTGAGTTGGTCGGAAGGAGGGCAGCACGGTTGAGTGCCATGGCGACGGCAGCGGTTGTGAGGAGGGGGTTGTCGGTTGAAGGACACTTTGCGGGGTATGGGTACCCTCTGAAGTTGAGTGAGGGGGACCATGTCATTGGGACAGCAGCAGGTGTGAATAAGAATGAAACGGCCGCGGAGGAAATCCATGAGAAGACGGACTCGGTGGCCGAACATGGTGGTAATCTGCAGCAGATCCATGTGGGGATTGATGGGTCGGTCTTTGAGCACTACCCGCATTTTGAGGAGCGTATGGTCGAAGGGTTGACGGAGCTGTTGGGATCCCGTGCTAAGGATATTGTTGCCCTCGGCATCTCCAAGTATGTATTGTTCAAACTGTGAGAGCGTTTGTTGGTTTTTGGGTTGGTCTGCTTGACTATAATTGTGTAAGATATGTGACCTTTCTAACGCAGCTTCTTGTTTTTTTTTTGCTCCTTGGAAAACATCAAATAGAGATGGATCAGGTGTTGGCGCAGCATTGGCAGCATTGATCGCCACCAAGAACGCTGACCACTCTTGTTAAACATGGTACAAACACCATCGAAGATCGAACAAAGTAGGTTTGCGGAGAAATATTAATAAAAATAAGGATTAATCTATTCTCACAGGGCTGTGTGGCCTTATTCTCACAGGGTAATATCACATCCATCAATGTAAAGTCCAAAAACGCAATATGAAGTAGCCCTTTCACTTTAGATACCTATTGTGCCTCATAAAGAGGTGCATCGATTGGTATAAGAATGGACATGATTGGGGTTCTGGTTCAATGAAATATTGGCATCAAAGTCTTTGTCAATTATAGGACCATTAGATGGTCAAAAAAGTTAAATTTGGTCGAAGAAAGCAGGAGTATGAAGGTGGTAGGCCATGGCAACAATAGTTAGGATGGCTTCAGAGGGTCTTGAAGTGATTGCGAGCAGTTTGAGAAAAAAAAGTAGAGAAACTGTTTTTGCACAAAGACCATGTCACCTTCTTCATGCTAAACCCATGTAAATTTTTAGGACCCTGTGAGAATAAGACTTCACAGGGCTGTGAGAATAACTTCATCCTAAAAATAATAGCAAAAACAAAGTTATGGAGTAGGAAAAAAAAAAACGGAGAGGTGGATGTTTATGTATATGAATGGTATATCTGCGTCGCCGTTCAATTAAGCACAATAAGCCGGCGGCGCGTCAAGATCATCATGTCTCGCAGAAGGCTGAGCCACCCTATGCTGCTGTTGACTATATGGCACCCTAGGTGTCGTCAACTCAATCGCCTGCCCTTGCGACTGTCCCTGCACCTGATACCTCGGCGGCTCATAGAACCCGATTCCACCATTCGGTCCTAGTCGCCTACGCGCGTCAGCCCTCTCAGCCTCCAAAGCCCTCAACTTCCAGTTCCTCCCCTTCTTCACAACATAATAAACCAAAAACACCACCATCATCGTCCCCGCCATCCCCCCCAGAATTGCACCCACACGCCCCCGCGAGTATTGCTCTTCAGGCATATCCCATGGCGGTGCCAATGCGATTCCAAAATGACTATCATACGGCGCATTCACCCACACCGCGCCCGCATTTTCTGTCCGACCGAATGTGTTGGAAGACGAGTTTCCGGAGAGGTTGATTCCATAGATGTGTCCTTCGGAGGAAAGAGAGATTCCGAAGTGGAAGGTGTTTTGGATGACGGGGGAGGAGTAGGAGATTTCAATTGGGGAGTCAGTGGTGTTATATTGGGAAGTGACGAAGAGGTAGGGGCGGAGGGGTGTTGATAGAGAGGTCGAGGTCGAGTTGGTGGTGGTGATGGGGTAGATTTGAGAGGTTTTAGGTGTGGTGATTGTGTTGTTTGTTTCGAGCAAGTTGGATATGAAGTACATCTGTTTGATTGTTGTATTGTCGATACAGGGTATATGTGCGGACAAAAGAAAGTTAAGACAATAAGACATTAATAATAAGGTCGGTAACAAATGGTTAGCAGGAGCTTAGATGTTTGTTTTTCCCTTCGTGCAACCAAAAAAAAAAAAAAAAAAAAAAAAGACTTTGGGTCAAACACAACTTACAGAATTATCACCAATGCATGCAAGGAACGAAATGCCGTTGCGAACTCCAGGGATGATATGTTTGAGGGTCAGACCCGGTAAGGCATTGGTGGAGATGTAGCTAGGAATGGAAGCATTTACGTCGGTGAGGGGGTAGGATGTGATTGTGCCTGCTTCCTCGCGGTAGACGTGGGCGTAGCCTTGACCGAGGCTCATAAGCTTTGGCGTCTGGGGCTGTTTATTTTTCGAGAGAGAACAGTTGAGATGCATGCATGTTTGTACCGAGGAAAGGAAAGGCAATGGGAGGAGTTAGAAAATCGGTATTTTCACACAGGTAAAAGTCGACAAAATGAGCGAGGAAATTCGATATGTAGATCCTAAAATAAAAAAAAACTTACAAAGGGAAGGGAACTGTTCATGTTCCATGAGGCGAAGGTATCATTCGAGAGCGAGTCATTAGGCCCATAGGATCCAAATAGGAGCTTCCCGTCTCCTCTCATAACGGCATGAATGAACCTCTCCTTCACAACACCCTCAGCCGGTCCTCCTTGGACTTTGACTCTTTGGTCATAATAAATAGCTGCATGTGACATAAAGTAGCCCGCATTGAGGTAATCGTTCCCAGCTCCAAACGGTTCCCATCCCGATGATCCACCGACTTGACTGCTACCATTAGCGCCCTTGACACCCGATGCTGGATCAAACTTGATACCGGTCCACACGGTCGAACCATAGTTTTTATACGTGGGTTTTTGGACTGCCAGGGCGGTAAAGATGCCCGTCCGAGAGACGGCACAGTCGACGAAATCAGTGCTCTGGGCCCAGAAGTAAGGAAATTCCTTGGCCTGGACTATGGAGACGATTATCCATTTGATTCTTTTGAAGGAGGTTAGGTTGAGTTCTGAACGGACGAGGAGGAGGGAGGCATCTTCGCGAGTGAAGTTGTTGATGCCGTCAATGTAGGCGCTACCGATTCCGTAAACGATTGTGTTATTTGGATTGACGGCTAGGCAGTCGAGTTTGATGATTCCCATGGAGAGTAGAGGTGGTTGGATGAAAGAGTGCAAAGGGAGGAGAGAGAGAGAGAGAGAGAGAGAGAGTGAGAGTGAGTGAGAGTGAGTGAGAGAGAGAGAGAGAGAGAGAAAGAGAAAGAGAGAACAAGTACTGTTTTCATATCAGATGGAAAGCCGAGAAATTTTAATTTTTGGAGGGTAGAGGTGGTTCCTGGAAAAATGGAATGACGAGATCTGGCTCTCTGTGTGCGTGTGATGCATAACGCCACACAGTCCGCCCCATTCACTTCTGTCGCAGGGGAAAGAGGCATCGTGTAGACCTGCACTCCGCATCCATGGAACATTCTTCAGGTATCATGTATCAGCATTCCTCCTGGATGCCGCAAGATATCAGCCACATACGTCTTTATCTCTTCATCTTGTGAAAAACATACGCGCATTGACCAGTCCACTCTCTTCCCCGGGTTTCTTGTCTTTTTTCGACCAAATGCATGTGATTAAGGGCCATTGGTTCAGGGAGCCAGAACGAGAATGGTAAAATAAAACATCCCTATGGCCCACTTCCTGGCACCGCTCACCCAAAGGTCGTTCGCATCCACAGCAACAGCCAGCCGAGGTTGACCTCTCTCACCCTAATAAATAACAACAGCGCAGGACAACAACAGCACCAACACCGATGAACAGGACGACTCCCATACGGACATTGACGACCAGGAGGATTACTTCGAAGTTCTCAACCTACAAGACATCGCAATGTCTTCCTCTTCCTCATTCTCATTCATCACTACCAACAACACCAAGCCCAAAAACAATGTTAACAGACCCTACGGCCTCAAATTCTGCGTCTACCCCTCCAGAACACCCCAACCTTCTCCAACCTAGACTTTGTCCTCCGTGACCAAAAAATGAAAACCATCTATTTCAAAACCATCGACCGATCCTTCGCCGCCTCACAATGCCTAACAACTTTGCCACACCAGAGGCTGCCACAAAGACAACCTTTTTTCCCACCATCTCGAGCTCTCCCCAGAGCTAGGCGAGACTGCAGACGGTACGATGGTGATTGGTATCTGTCATCATCCGCCGTTGGACGTAGCACTGTTGGATTGTACTGATCAGGCGGGGTAGTATGGGTGTTCGGAAATATTTTTTAAGTTGGCGAGTAGGATTGATGGAGCGGAATGTGCGAATGGGGTCTTTTTAGTGGAGTCCGAGGTTTCATGTACACTCAGGATCCCAGGAAATAAACAATTGATGTTTGATTTCCAAGACTCGTTTGATCATCGTCCCTGGATTCAGGGACGATCAGTAAACCCTTCTCAGGAACGATCACCAACGTATTTCACAGCAGCAAAATCTTGTCCAAAACAGTCGGGTGACAACACCTTCATCTCCTGAGACAGACGACCTTTTTATCAGCTATCACAAACGCCATTAAACTTTGATCCATATATTGACTTTTTATTCAGGCCCTCTGATCAGCCACGGCTGAGAACTCTTCGAGACAATTGCAATTGAACGGACGTCTAGAATGAACCGGGGGACGGCAATGATACCCTTGCGTAGATTCTTGGCAACAGCCCACGGCGCACACCATGCCTTTGTAAAACTCTCTTTGCTTACATACAAGTGCTGTTTCCTCTGATCAACCTTCTTGTAATAGAAATGGGCCAGCATGTTTTGTTTTTTTTAACAAGAGAATAGGGTCCCCGCATACCAGCAACAAAGAAAAAAAAACAAAGTTTTGGCCCACGCCCATGCTAATGATGGGCTGTTGTCAAACCTTATTTTTCTCGTTTTTAGAATTTGAGTGGCTTTTTCCTCGGTATCCATTCAGTCTCCTACTCTTCAACTCACTTTGATTCCGTTGTTTTCTCCCCCTCTTCTCCCTCTTCTCCCTCTGTTTCCTAAACCCCCGTTACTTCTCATTTTCCTCCTCCTCGTCGCATTCTTCTTCATCATTATCATGGGCGTCGTCGACCTTGACTGTATCGCCTCAAACCCAAACTCGACAATCCTCTACGGAATCGGTAACGGCGAGGACTCCGGGGGTGAGGTTATCACCACCATTTATCGTTCCAACATCAATCCCGCCAATGCCACCGATATCAAATGGGAACAACGGCGTTCGGCCTTCTCTCGCAATTCCGACACGCCCGGTGCCCAACCTCATTTCAAGTACTCCCGGTTTGGCGGCGTTGATTGTGCAGTGAGCACCTCGGGTGAATTTACGGCCTTCTTTTATAACCCAGTGTTCGCAGTGACGGGGAGCGCTAGACCGGTGCCGATGGGGATTCGGCTCCATAATAATTGGATGCAGCCGACGCTAGAAATCTATGGGTCGACGATGTATGGATGGACGAATCAAAACTTTGTGCACCAGTCGTTTTATATCGAGAAGGATGGGGTCGAGTCGGTTGTGCATGCTGTCATGGATGAGACTGCATCGGTGATTCGGTTTGGGTTGGTCGACAAAGATACGGGCTATCTCCAGTTGGCTGCCATCTGGAAGCTGGTAAGATTCAGGGCTGAACCAACGTCACGTCAATTGACTATTTCATTGGTAATGTCATGTCTAAATATATGTCTACTGTATCTACCCCTTTTTAACCTAAATAGGTCGACGGGAGGTTCATGGTAGGGGAGCTGACAGATAAGATCCCCAAGCTTCCTAATCCAATGTCAACAACGTTCGCCATACAATACTCCCCAGCGCCAACCATCAACACCGACCAGAGGCACATGGTCTACCAGAACGGTAGTCTGTACCTTTATTCAGATACCACAGGCCTCATCTCGTCGTTCCCGTTCTCAAGCCCTCTCACAACTCCAACACAAAAGGATTTTTTTCAAGCAACTCCCATCCCAACCAGCAGGAGGAACATGTTCTTTCAAGGAATGAGACAAAACTCGTCGTACCTCGGATACCTGGCACGAGTGGACAGTCTTATCGATATTGAAGATGATGTATGATATCTTATTGTTATAGGACGCTTCTTTTTTGGGTTTCGTGGGGCAAGTAACAAGCACTAGCGGCTAACAGTTATTTCTACCTCGTATTAATATGTATTTTCTTCTTTCTGATAGTCGCTGAATATCAACATGACTATGCAGCTCTCAACAATTGAAGTCTCCTTCGACCTCACAGTTTCTCCCACTACCAAAAGTACAACGCGCAACGCCACGATGGACCGCTATGGAATCTACAAGGACGTGGCTTACCTCCAGACCATGGGAGGGCAACTCCCAGGCCAAGTGCCCTTTGCAGTCGGTCTTACGGCGGAGGGGTACTATGGCATCACACTGGACGGGACGTCCATGGGAAGCATGGTCCCTTTTGAGGATCGTTCCTCCATCATCGAGGGGGTAGAAGACCGATACACCCGAAGTCGATTCCGGAACCACGACCAACAAGTCGTCCCCGGATACAAGGAGCCTATCGAGTTGTCCGCAGGGGAGATTTTTGGTGTCGTCATGGGGGTCATTTTTGGATTCCTAATACTGCTGTATCCCATCGGTAAATTCAGCAAATGGTTGGAGAAGATTCGATTGGATGATGAGAGGCGGGCGGTGGAGAGCGAGTCGTTTGAGTTAATTGCTAGGTTACGGCATGCCAATGCACAACCCAGTAGCGATCCTTCTTCAACGACAACAGCAGTAGGAGGAGGAGGAAGAATGGAAAGATTGCCGTTTGACTCGTCTTCGGCCAACACTACCTCCCATACTCTACTGAATGACCTTGGGCTTACAAGACACCCTCGACCTAATACCGTTATTACCATTGGAGATGGTGTGGATGAGTCGGTTTAGGGTCGTGTAGGTGTAAATACCCGATAGCCATTTTTGTTCCTTGTATGATACATTAATACCATTCCTGTACCCATGGATATTTATTGTCTGGATGGGGGTCTTTTTGTTCGACATTCATCATCCTGGCGGCAATCGACAACGTCGTACGTCTGTTATTGGGAGTATGTTGGGTTGTGAGTTTGATGGTCGCTATCTTGCCCATGATCATGGTCTTGGTGGCGAACTGGTTTGTAAGTGAGGGGATGAAATAATAAGAAAAGGGAAGAGTAGAAAAATGTCGCACGTGAAATGTGGCTGATGGTTCTTTTTCACACGCTCCAGGGTCAAAAACTCGCGTTCATTCTTCCATCCTCTGCACCTTCTTTTCCATCTTCTTCAACTCACATGGACTTCAGCAATCAAGACGACCCCCATCAGCACCAGTATAGCCTCACGTCTCACTACAGACCTATTCGAACCTTACCGGCGAGACAAATTGTTGCACAAGATCAACCCACTCTCATAGACACCTTCTACATCTATGGTTTTTCAACATGAACCCATCCTTACAGAGCAGACCTAACGTCTCGCTCTCCCAGGCACCCTCATGGACAAGGAAGCAGGAAAGACATCAGCATTTGGTAGCCTCACTCGCTCTATCATGCCTTGATGTCTGATCGTGAAGACGACACACCCTCCCTCTCGTCATGGTGGTCTCTGCAGGCGGCCTCCAAGTCGTCTCGGAGTCATCTACCAGAACCCCCCTTTGGTCCCCAGAAGAGCCATCGCTGGCGCATCAGAAACACCACAAAGGTAACTGGATTAATTTCCACTAAGGTTTCTGTTTGCATTCCCACAACCACAAGAGAATACACGGCATCATGGGAATGTAAGTTGTCAGGGCGTCGCAGTACCTGCATGAAGTATCCCCAGTCCTTTGTGGACCATGGGGACTATCCCCTCTGAATGCTGCTAAATTGACTTTAGCAGTAAAGTCCCCACGTGCCAGCATAGTCAGGTCATCGCTAGCCCCGTTGATCTGTGCGAAGCTTGGCACATACGACACGGAAGCGACAATGCCAAAGGGTAGACGAGTTGAACGCGGGCTGCGTACTGTCCGCTCTGCATCTTGCCCATGCTGAATAACAATTGGTCCAGCGCTGAGTTGGCCAATTGCTATCTCAGTTATTCTCAATTTTGCCGTGTTCCACCACTTGGGGAATGACTTACTTGTTACTGGTCCTAGCCTTTGGGTGATGAACTAACTTTTTTTTTTTTATCTTTCTTGCTTATTTCATCTCCTATGCAACTCCTCGCCGACCCGAATACCCCCGAGATGGCTGTTCGACACACGGATAAGGATGGAGACAAGGACGAGTACAAGGACGTGGTGGATATTGGATGAAGATCTTCTGACAGGTAGGCTTTTGGACCATTTGGCAAGTTCAACTAATCCTCATTATTGCTATTCCCGTTATGTCTTTTCTTCCATATGCGCAAAATGATGGATTGGGCGCGGACATTAGGTGACTTGACGCATGAATTTATTGATGTTATTCTTGGTATAAAAAGTGCGAGCCAAAGGCCTATTCAATAAAGCGAAGTTGATACTAGCGAAAAGCATACCCCATTCTCCAGCCTCACCGCACTAATCAACATACACCCAACACACTCTCTTCAGAAAAACAACCAAGGAGGCGCAAGGGAGCGTACAAGGCTGGAGTCCTGTTCCTGTTTTTGTTTTGTTGTCGTTCTTGGAATCACTTTTGTCGAGGTTACTGCAGAACGGTTGGAGTGCGCGGATGACCTCTACAGTTCTCTCGAGCTGTTTTTTTTGTGAACATGTCCTCCTAATTTGCTGCTGTTTGAATAAGACCGGTGTTAATGACTACGTTGTCGGATTGCACGAGCTACTTGATGATCCCCGCCATGACCTTGACTTTACGCACGGGCATATCCACACACTCTATTTGTTGATGAACAAGAAGACGTTAGCGTCTTGAATGAATAAAAATCTCTACAGCCGGGCTTGTCGTCCTTTGCTCCGAGAATGTTAAAGATCTGAAGGAGTCTGTCTGATCCTTTTGTCCCGTCTCATGGTGTTTTGTATTTCATTTGCCTTGTCATTGTCTTGACCCAATTTTTTTTTTGCCACCAATTATTTTCTTTGTAGCCTTTCTTTCATTCTTCTGCACGCATCTCTCTCTCTCTTTTTTTCCCCTCTTGTTTACTTACTGCTGACAGCGTCGTCAAGTAAAAGTATCTTCGGCCCGCATCATTGTCGACATACGCCTATTGAATAGAGAGATCAAGGACAGGTCTGGTTAGTAACCTTGAACGAAGCACTTGTATCCATGAACAGGAATCGTTGGACAACGTCAAGAGAAACAAAAGCGGACAGCGGGAAATCAGGACCGGGATCACAACGAGCGTTATCCCCAAGGGCGTGACGTAGCCTCCACGCTCCTCGACCGGTTCGTCTTCCTCATCCTCGCCATCCTCGTTGTCCGAATCGTGCGACTCCTGAGGCTCTGGGGACGAGGCAGGCGCAGGCAGTGGCAGTGGACGTGGCAGTGGCGGTGGCGTGAGACGGTGACGAGGATGAGGGGGGGCAGGCCGAATGGTCCAATCGATTCTGGGAGGTCTATCCACCGGATCCAATCGGCGAGTTCCTGCGATTAATGTCCCTGGACGACGACCTGACGTTCCTGTGCCTTTCACCCAAGGATCTTGGGAGGTCTGAACCGTATGGGCACGGTGAGTTCATGTGTGCCATCAGCAACAATCATGTGTTCATAATCCCGTCGAAATTTTTTGAAGTCATGATCCAAGCGCGCATTCAACTTACGTCGCTTGCCCGTTCTCGTCTAGTGCGTCTGACAATCCCAGATTCGATACCAGGGCCTCCCGGGACGCCACCAACAAGATTTTTTCAGGCTTTATGTCCCAGTGAACTACCCCCATGCTGTGGAGGTAGTTCAACCTGTGACAGATGACGCGAGCGAGGTCCTGGATATGGCGTCTTGACATCTGGTCCCAGTTCGCCATCTCGTGCTCTTGTAGGTTCTGTTTCAATGGACCATGGCCAGGTAATAAAGACACAAGGATTAGTTAACAAGAGTGACATCATGGACCGATGCTCACTCACAGATCGTCACATTTCCTATGGAAACAAGGCACAGGTGGCAGTTTCGTTACCATGTCCGCGAGATCCATGGCGATGCAACGCTAACCGCAGTAATAGAGCGTTTTGAGCTTGAAGTTCCTACGAGAATAGGCCATGAGCGATGTCATTGACCTATCGACGAGCCTTTCCGGACCCAGCCATTTCTTTATTGATGAATCGTCTCAAGTCCTCTATGCATGTATCGTAAGAGCAACAACATGGTTAATAGATGGCACCATTAACAGATGAAATAAAAAAAACCAGAGTCCAAGTGTGGAGACTTGGTCTTACTTGAGAAGCCTATTTGCTCGACGTGACGGATCACAAGTTGACAATAACAAATCCTTCCACGATCCAGGCTGCGTTTCAATTTTTTTCCCTTAGAACGAAGACATGGTCAGGTTGGTTACTATTTTACACCCACAGCTCAAATCACGCATTTTTCTTTCAGTCAGAAGAAGCCAATCCTAACATTGAAGCATAACTTACCTAACCGCCGATTCCATTTACTCAAGGGTTGTCGATACGAAAGTCTCCTATCTTCGAGGGATTCGATCGTCGGCATCCAGTTAAACGATTTCAAATCTGACGTCCCGCCGGACGATAAATGCCGCGTACATATAGCCGATTACAGAGGCGATCCTCAAGCGGGACGATGTATGCTTCTGTACAGTCATCGCGTTTCCTCCACTACACCTCCCACCAGATCCTACGGTTGTGAGTGTCACAGAATAAAATTGCTTTAGAGGGCATATCCAATTGCAGGCACTAGGACAGAGAAAGTGATATGGCATTCAATGGCAGAAGAACACCACAGTCATTCACCTCTTTCTTCAAGACAAAAAAACAACAAGGTGGCCCTTATTTCGAATGCTCATTAGACGGATACATCGATCACTTGATGAAGGAGCCTTGTCGCTGTCGTCGATATTTTCACTCAAACCACTAGCAATGGACGTCAAAAAAAATTACGAAAGACAAAAAGTTAGATGGTTCGCGGCTTAAGATGACATTCTTCTGAGAACAAAGCAGAAGAAAGGAGAGTTAAGCATACCCTTCGGTCCTCGATGATCTCATTTGTGACCATTCCCCCCGATCTAATTTTTTTTGCTCGACGGTTGCACAGAAACCGAAATTTGTTAGTGTCAGTCCAATGCAACGAGAGATCTTGCCACCCCCATTGTGCACAAAATGCATGTAACGTTTTATCCGACTGTGCACCTACATTTGTCGAACGGATACGTGTCTAAAAGGAAAACAAGAGAAAACGGGAGTAGATGTTCAATTTCTTCGCTCAAAAAAGAGTTACTTTTTTTAAAAGCTGATGGCGAACGCATGCACTCTCATCTCGGAACCTTTATGTCACGAATGGTGAAAAAACACCACAACAAAAACGAAAGCTCACCTCTGTACAAGTCCATCACACGAACTCGATGAGGGGATAGACACATTTTTAATATAATGGCCTAGTTCACATCTTTTTTTATTTTGATTGAAATTGGAAGCCCTCTGCGGGAGTGAATAGGTGAATTGGAAGTGAGAGGATTGGAAATGGGATTCGGCAAGGAAGGGACAGACGAAAAGCAGAAAAAAGGAATAAAAGTGGGAAGCATGCCATGGAAGAAAAGGAACTGATGTGTAAAACATAAACTGCTGACCATGCGCGCACGATCAACCCATTCTTCCCATCACCTTTCTTTTCGGTCTATTGCTGTTGATCGCCTACATAAACATATATATTCTCTCCTCCTTTTTCTCAGTCTGACACCTTTCTTTAACTTCGCAGGCCTCAGTTGACACGAATAACATACCAGAGATGGTTCAATAACTCCTTTGTCCATGCATGTTCGATTCACGATCGTTTCCTCCACATTCAATTCCTTTTTTTTTCTTCGTAATCGCTTACAAAAAAGGGCACACAAAGAGTAGCAGGACACACAATGAAAAGATATGGGAAGCAAGCACCTCTATTCCTCTCCGTCAGTCGCGTCAAAGGTAACACCACTTCTACACACCCAGACCGCGCTCTGGCGGCCCTACTTCGTGCACATTACACCCCGCACTTTTGCCGCAAATTCGAGAAGTCCTTTCTTTTCTTACTTATTCCCATCAACAACCACAGCAACAGCAGCACCACTAGCGGGACCTCCTCCCCTCAGGATACACATAACCAGAACTCACAAACCAACAATCAATACCAACTCAGTTAAAGATGTCATACTATCCCATCTTCGACTACTTTTTTTTAGCGCGGCTAACGGCTAGCTTCAAGTCATACCCGATCTTCCGTACGTCCATTATCGCACACAACTCCCATCAACAATGCCCTCGCATTTGCGCTCTTTGGTACCAGTACAAAGTACCGTAACATGCGGTGACCGCCTGGCTGAGGGGACGCAGAAAAATAAAGACAGTGTGTAGGTGCGATAGAGGACTTTGGGTGGACGGAGATATGGCACGCACGTTGCAAGGTGACGGACAAATGGGAGAAGGCTCAAGGAATAACAGCTCAAGAGAAGAAGGCGGGTGTCAAGAAAAACGACAGGATTCCGCCTGCCAAGGCGACGAGTTGGTTTGTCAAAACAAGGTCTGAGTGACGCGGACGAGAGGGTCTACAGTACGTACGTTGCAGGACGGTGTTGCACTTTATGGAGAAGAAAGGATGCCTCATAAATTCTTTGACACAAGATCTCGACTACCAGAGAACTCATCGCACCCGAAATGCGGAGGGCTGGCTCGGCGCTGGCCTCTCCAAGGCATTCATGCGACCCAAGTTGTGCAACCAGAGGTATTCAGGGCCCCTGGATGCCCGTCTTACAGCGCAGCTACTTCGAAGCTGACATTTTCCTCCCTGAATGTAGTGGGTTGTGTCATTCAGGCCTGAAACGCTGGCACGATCTGACGTCAATAAAAAAAGCAAAGAAAAAAAAAGGGGGGTCAAAAAGAAGAAAAAAAGAGAAAGCAAACAAAAAACCCCCAAAAGAAAGGAAGCGAAAGAGAGAAATGAGGAACTGACAAACACAAATAAACTTTGAAATATTCAACAACCATTATTTTTATCACTTCACACCTCCGTGAGCAAAGCCATGAGTACCATTCTAGTATTGTAAAAAACTCTGCAGTAAATACATGTAAAAATAATTTCGCAGAAGATACGTGTAAAAAACTTTGGAGTAGAGCCATGTAAAGGAGCCTATAGTGTTGATGTATTGTCCTGAATCAACAGGGCGACCTAGAAACCCTCTTTGATGCTCTATGGATAGACACGGCTTCAGATAGCAATTGGGTCATCTTGAAAGGGTATTACTGTTTTCTCATGAACCCACTGGTGTGCACCAAGCCAATGGCTATTGCAAGGCAACATTCATACTACGTGTTGTGGGAGTGAATGAACAAGAACGAGAGTGGGTGCAATGGTCGACCACTTGTCATTGAGAAAGAGGAGAAGAAAGAGCGAAATTTTCCAACGTTCGCTGATCAACGACACTTATCAGTCTCGGAGACAGCTTGGACACCATCATTGGTGTACTTCGTGACTCCAAACAACAACACGCAGAGGAAGATACGGAGAGGCTGACGACAAAGGGTTCTGCTCCTTGGCTACCAACACCGTACATTCCACCAGCTCGTCCATTTGACAGTAGGGAAATGCCCTCCCCCAGTGCTCCAGCATATGCCAGTGTCGTCCACCAAGTCCAATCACTTCTACACGACTCGCAAAGCGTCGCGCTTCAGGATTCCGCAAAATATAGTGAAAACGAGGTATCCACCCCAACACCACCTTCCACGGCTGACTTTGCACAATACCCGCCCCAATCTTGAGATTCGGGGTTCACCTTTACCTTTTTTGTTGACCCAATAGCATTCACATTCGAACTCTTGCAATGAATAAAACAATGGGGGGGGGGGGGGGGGGGGGGTGATGTAACTGCACCTGTTATTCTTTTCGATCATCTTGTTTAAACTCGACGACCATGGCTCAGGGAATGACAAGAGCATATTTTTTTCTCTTTGCTTCATTATCACCTCAGTCAGGGGTGTCACCATGGCAGGACAGGTAGCAGACGGTTTAGGAGAGGAGGCAACCGTCGTTGGTGATCCTTGTTGACGTTCTTTGGTCCTGGTGGGTCTTCATGACATGGTCGTGTTAGCTTGGTTGGGGATGGGGTTGAGAGTAACAGTGTGATGGGTTAGCCAAGTGTGTGAGTGTTGCATTGGAGGAAGAAAAAGAAAGAAAAGAAAGAACGAAAGAAAAGAGGACGGGGGCGAGGCAGAGTAATGTCAACAGAATCGTCAGTCACACGAACTGACCACTTGTACCACCATCCAAAATCCGACGATAAAAACGCCTGCGCAGCCTGGGGTGAAAAGGAAAGGGGAGAGATAATTGAGAAAAGAGAGAAGGGAGGAAGCGTTATGAATTGGAAGAAAAGAAAGAAAAGATTGGATGCAGATCGACCAAACAAAGAAAATGTCGCAAAGACAAGGCGCAGGAAGATCAGGGGTCGAGATCGGAATAGCCTAAGCGAAGTAGGAGGATGATGAACAGAAGACTTAGCATGGGGATGGCTTGAAAGTAAGGCTTCGGATATATCCTTTTCCTCAAGGTTTCGCGAGCCTGCTGAAAGAATCAAGTCGCATGTTTGTGTGCAAGTGAGAAAGTCGTGTTGGTTTATGTCCAGGGACCAACCGTGTCTTTTTTGTTTGTTTGTTTTTTTTACACAGAACAACAACCATTGAAATGCAAAGAAAACTATTTCCTAAGAGTCAGTTGAATCGAAATTGAGAAAGAGAAATGGTCGCATGCAGTTTGCTCAGTTTGAGAAAGGAAAAACGTTAGCAAAACTACAATGTTCCGCATTCAGTGAAAACAGCGGAAACCTAATAGCCATTAAAGTACGAGCGAATATGGGACAGAGATAGAGGATGTGGAGTGGGAGCTGGGCCAAGACAACGGTAGTGGGTGCACAAACAGAGACAGCAACTAATTAATGACCAACGTGAGTACTTTACATCTACATGCATGCATATCGCCAACCTCGCGACGATCGAGAGGGAATCATCTGTGCTATCGATCCAAGGTAAGGAAAGATATTCCCACAAAGTCGAATCGATAGCTTAAATTGAAGTCATCTCCAAAAGGAAATTTTTTTCCGGTGACGTTTTGCGGGTGATAACGAATGAATGCGACGTTGAAATGTCCCTTAATTCTTGCAGTGACGAGCCAATCGAGTCTCCCCAGTGGATTGACCATCGCCATCGACCCTTTTTATTCCTATTTAAACCCTTTTCCGCCTTCTGCCTTCTCTCCTCTTTCTTTTTTCTTTTTTCTTTTTTCTTTTCCCTTCAACTTTTCACCTCCACCGAAGACACAAACATACACATTCTATCGTATTTCCCTGTGCACTTCTCAACATGACCAACAAAGGAACAAAGAGACGCGATCCTCCCTCGCCCACACCCTCCTCTTGCCCAGAGTCGTCAGCAACAGCTCCTGCGCCCGTGCGTCCGAGAAGAGGAGAACGCCAGTCCGTGTCCGGTCAACCGCCCTCCTCCTCCTCCCTAACCAACCCTCCCGCTGCCACCACCTCGCTTACACCATCTCCTCGACCGTACGTCGACCTCTCGCACCTGCCTGTCCGGTTCAGACCCACCCAAGATCCTTGGGTGGAAGGCTCAGGGACGTCGGGTCGTCGTCCAGGAACATTCATCGCAGGAAGTCGCCGATTAGATCCTGTGGATAGACCTCCCCGAATCGGTTTTGCCATTCGGCCTGCCCCCCCTCATCCTCGTCCCCGTCTCACGCCACCGTCACCGCCACGTCCACTGCCACTGCCTGCGCCTGCCTCGTCCCCAGAGCCTCAGGAGTCGCACGATTCGGACAACGGGGACGACGAGAATGAGGAAGACGAACCGATCGAGGAGCGTGGAGGCTACGTCACGCCATTGGAGGTAACGCTCGTTGTGATCCCAGTCCTGATTTCCTGCTGTCCGCTTTCTTTTTCTCGACATTGCCCAATGATTCCTGTTCCTGGATGCGAGTGCTTCGTTCATGGTTACTAACCAGACCTGTCCTCGATCTCTCTGTTCAATAGGCATATGTCGACAAGGATGCGGGCCGAGGATACTTGTACTTGGAGACGCTGTCGGCAGTAAGTAAACAAGAAAAAGAGAGAGAGAGATGCTTGTGAGAGAATGAAAGAAAGGCTAGAATTAAAATAATTGGTGGCCAAAAAAAAAAAAAAAGTCCAGGGGGAAGCTTAACTCTAATACTGTACCTTCTTTCTCCACATGTCTTGCTTAGGGAGAGCAGGGGACCATCATCAAGGTCCTGGCCATTGACGAGGACTGGGAAGATGATCGCGAGATTGTCCTGAAGATCTTTAGCAGCGCGAACAAGGCATCTGTAAGTCAAGGGTGGTCAATTGAAAAACATGTGAAGATGGTAGGGCAGTGTGCAAGGAAAGAAAAACGGCCACGCTTCGCAGTCAACTAACGCCCCGCTTGTCCTTTCAATTGCCTCTCTCTATGTGAATAGTGGCTGCAGGAGGTGCAAGGATACGAACGCGTATCCAACCCCGGCCATCCCAACGTCCTCAAGTACTACGGTGGCTTCTATTACTGCGACCAGCGATGCATCGCCATGGACCTCGCGGAATCGGTAATGAAACTGCCACCTATGCTTTGTTTCCACAGGAAATGTGACGATTCGTGATTGAGCATCGGTCCATGATACCACTCTTGTCAACTAATGCGTCTTTTTTACCTGGCCATGGTCCATTGAAACAGAATCTACAAGAGCACGAGATGGCGGACTGGGACCAGATGTCAAGACGCCATATCCAGGACCTCGCCCGTGGCATCTGTCACGGGTTGAACTACCTCCATAGCATGGGGGTAGTTCACCGGGACATAAAGCCTGAAAACATCTTGTTGACGGCGTCCCGGGAGGCCCTGGTATCGGACCTGGGGTTGTCGGATGCACTGGACGAGAACGGGGAGGCGACGTAAGTTGAATGCGCGCTTGGATCATGACTTGAAAATGCTTTCGACGGGATTAAGAACAACATGTTTTTTTGTCAATGGCACACATGAACTCATCGTGTTATAAAATTCCTTTGACTCAATAGAGGCGACAATGGAACGGACGGCTTCAGAGCACCGGAGATCGAGGGTACGTACACGACCAAGGTCGACGCCTTCTCGTTCGGGGCTCTCTTGCACGAGCTGATCCACGGTGTCGTTCCCGAGAAGAAGAAGGGCTCGGAGAAATGTGTTAACATGATCAGGTAAGCGCACAACCTTGTGGATTACAAACTCAAGGGAATGCTTTGCGCTTTGGAAACACTTTTGCTCATTCATGCTTGCAGTGAATAAGCTTACTTACAATGTGCTCCCCTCTGGACCTTCGAAACCTAGAAAATGGAGACACGCCAGGGATTTGGTTGATGGTCTGCTGCGTCCTGATCCAGAGAGCAGACTCAGCATCGACCAGGCCCTGCAGCAGCCCTTCTTCGTCCTAAACCAAGGCAACCTCGACCGCAACGGTAGAAAGCTGGTCACCGCTGCCATGTCAGTTGCTCAAGCAACGGTTGGTGACGTTGCTCCCGAGGCCCAGGCTCAGAGCACGGCACCAACAGCAGCAGAGGAGCCAGGTTGTGAGGACAAGGCCGCTGCTCCCGAGGAGAACGATGACGACGAGGTAGCCGAGACGAGCAGCGACGAGGAGGCCGAAGATGATGCCGATGAGGAGACTGGAGAAGAGGACGAGTAAGAGCTACGACCCGCTGCCGTCTTTGTGCCCGTTGCCGTCTTTGCGCCCGCTCCCGTCCTTGTGCCGTTTATTCTTGCTTTTTTTATTGCTTTTTTTCTATGTTTTTTCTTTCTTTGTTTTTTCTTTGTTTTTTCTTTGTTTTTTCTTTGTTTTTTCTTTCTTTGTTCTTTGTTTTTTCTTTCTTTGTTCTTTCTTTGTTCTTTCTTTTTTCTTACTTTGTTCTTTCTTTGTTCTTTCTTTGTTCTTTCTTTTTTCTTCTTTTTTCTTTCTTTGTTCTTTCTTCTTTTCTCGTTTCTCGTTTCTCGTTTTTCTTTTTTTTTCTCTTTTCTCTTTTCTCTTTTCTCTTTTCTCTTTTCTCTTTTCTCTTTTCTCTTTTCTCTTTTCTCTTTTCTCTTTTCTCTTTTCTCTTTTCTCTTTTCTCTTTTCTCTTTTCTCTTTTTTCACCAGGACAAGATGGACCACCCTTTGAGCTATATCGCCACATCTTCACAATCCCTTGGGTTCTCCATCTATTTGTCAACATCCCTAACGACGCCTTACTGGAATCAGCCTTCCCCCAGTCCTGGAAACGCACAGTCGTGATCCTGCTCTACAAGAAAGGCGAAGCCTCACAACTGTCCTATTGGCGTCCGCTGTCGCTCATCAACTGCGACGCCGAGATGTTTACAAAGTTGATCGCACTCCGACTCAACCTTACATGCACACTCTAACGGGCCAGCACCAGACAGGATTTACGACTGGTCGGCATATTGCCGACAATGGCATGGTCCTCAACAATCTCCGTAACTACTGCAGGAACAGAAAGCTGAAGCATGTCGGAGTTCTACTGGATCAAGAAAAGGCCTACGATATGGTTCACCCAGAGCACCTGGAGATGGTGATGGAGAGATTTGGCTTCCCCCAACAAGTCATCAGGAGTATTTCGACCCTCTTTTTTTCCACTCAAATATCTCTCAACATCAACGGCTACATCTCGGACCCGATCTCTCAGTCCAGAGGCCTCCGCCAGGGTGACTCGCTATCCCCCTCCTCTTCAATCTAGCGTTTGAACCACTTCTCGCCCATATCCAATCGTTACTCCTCATTCGAGGAATGAACATACCACAACGCCTAGAGCCAATCAAACTGGGAGCCTACGCTGACGACCTTATGACGCCCGTCGCTTCAGTACAGCAATGGAAGGCATTGGACGAAGCTCTACATCTATAGGGAACGCCTCAAACGCAGGAGTCAACTTTAACAAAACGGTTGCCTTCCCAATGTCTACCTACTCAGACCCGATCGTCAAGCCACACTTCGCCTCTCTCCAGCTACAATGGCACGACAGCGCAACAAATGAAGCACCCACCTACCTTGGCTTTCTAATATTTTTTTTGCAGAGAGCAGGCAACAACATTCTGGAACAAATTATTCGGCGAAATCAAGACAGGGATCAACATACATTCATCTCGTTCCCTCTCGGTCCTAGGACGCGCTACCATCGTCATCACCCTTATCCTCTCCCGCCTTTGGCACCTCGCGTGGGTGACCCCATTCCCTACCTCTTTCCCATCCAAAGTCAAACAGGCCATCACACGATTTGTTTGCCCCTTCAAACCCATACCATCATGGAAAGTCATCACCACCCCTCGACACAACGGCAGCCTTGGGGTTATTGATCTGGACAAGCAGCATCGGACCTTCTTCAGCAAGCACCTTCGCAACGCCTCAACCACGTCAGTATACTGGGGGAAGGACATTGTACTGGATTTCATCCTCTGGAAGACAAAGTCCACCCACCATCAATCCTTCATGCTGAACCCCCAGGAGAACCGACCCCACCAACAACTTGAACACTTCCCCCACCTTCTGCAACTAGTCAAAGTGGCCAGCACACTTCCCCCGCTCAAGACACTCACCATGCAAGCAGGACTTCCAGATTCGACCACTTTTCTGGAGAGCCCGCTGGAATGGTGGTTCCCTTCGACGGATGACAACAACACCACCCTCACCGCACGGATTGGAGACCTGTTCACGCTAGAGATAGACGAGAACAACAAATTCAAGATGGCATACAAGCGCTGACTCTCCCGTAAATCGAAGCGTGTAAGAGGCGACCTTCTACTTACAAGAACCAATATCTGACGGATATCACAAGTATATCTGGACGCGATACAGATACCACATGTTGGGGTTGTCGGAGACCGCCTGGCTCAGAGGATATGCTCACTCATCCTCCTGGACAATGGCAAGACAAAAGTGACTTTAAGGACTGCCTCCATCACACAGATCCGACAGTACTTCTTCCCGACTCCCGAACCCGAACCACCCCCGACCCACTCGTCGATGCACCCTAAATCTGGCACCAAGTCCCAGTGGCACAAGTTCTAGAAGACCAAAATTCCTCACAGAGCCCGCACTTTCTAATGGGGATACAAGCGTGGCATTATCCCATGTGGCACACTTCGGGCCCACCGGTGGAAACAGGACGCTCAATGTGGCGCTCAGGGATGCAGGGAAAGAAAGGCGGACAAGAATCATAATGTCTTCGGATGCAAGGGCAAGTACCTAGCATGGCAGTTCATTTTGAGAGAATACACGGACAAGGCCACATGGTCCGATGAGGATCTCCATACTTTACTCTCCTTTAAGCCCCCCACCTTGTCCATTAAGCCCAAATACAACATCACCCCCTCACAATTGCTGGCGTGCTGCCTCATTGTATAAACACAGCAAACATCATCCTCTTCCTTCACAAACACACACAGTCCTCGGAGGAAATCTCTGACTGTATTTCCATAGAAATTAAGAAGGCAATAGCACACAACGATCATCTCTTCAAATTCACGGCTACAAGCCTCAAATAAAATCATAGAAAAGTAAAAGCCTTTTTTTATCTTGCACATTCGCGACGTTTTATTCATTAATTTTCCTTGCATTTCTTTTGGTTTCTTTTCTTTTCTTGACTGGTCACGAATAAATGAGTTGGCTGCTGAGCGGAGAACCAGGTCTGGATTTGCTATGGTCGACCCACCGTGTCGGTCCCATGCGAAACAACATGAAGTCTGCTGTCGAACAGGACATGATCGATTGGTAAAGTTCAAATGCGATGTTAGGTATTTTAGTAAAGACATGCGTTTATTCGTCGTTAAGCCATATCAATCCTCTTCTTCACGCAATTGACTGTGTGTCCTGACCGTAGCAGTGGAAGAAAGAAAAAAGTGCAACGAGGACGGTGGTGCTCAAAACATGAAAACTAGCAGCGCTTAAGGAGTGGGCTTGAGCGAAAAATAATAATGCTGGCATTTATTCGACACTATACGACTGGGAACTTGATTGTTTGTAGTATATTCATGCGCCAAGCTGCCTAATGTCCGCGCTCGATCCATCATTTTGCGCATATGAAAGAAAAGACATAACGGGAATAACAATAATGAGGATTAGTTGAACTTACCAAATGGTCCAAAAGCCTACCTGTCAGAAGATCTTCATCCAATATTCACCACGTCCTTGTACTCGTCTTTGTCTCCATCCTTATCCGTGCGTCGGGCAGCCATCTCGGGGGCATTCGGTCGGCGAGGGGTTGCATAGGAGATGAAATAAGCAAGAAAGATAAAAAAATTAGTTCATCGCCTAAAGGCTAGGACTAGTAACAAGTAAGTCACTCCCCAAGTGGTGGAACACGGCAAAATTGAGAATAACTGAGATAGCAATTGGCCAACTCAGCGCTGGACCAACTGTTATCCAGCATGGGCAAGATGAAAGAACGCACAGCACGCAGTCCGCGTCGAATTGTCTACCCTTTGGCATTGTCGCTTCCGTGTCGTATGTGCCAAGCTTCGCACAGGTCAACGGGGTTAGCGATGACCTGACTATGCTGACACATGGGGACTTTACTGCTAAAGTCAATTTAGCAGCATTCAGAGGGGATAGTCCCCATGGTCCACAAAGGACTGGGGATACTTCATGCAGGTACAGCACCGTCCAATCAGCTTACATTCCCATGATGCCGTGTATTCTCTTGTGGTTGTGGGAGTGCAAACAGAAACCTTAGTGGAAATTAATCCAGTTACCTTTGTGGTGTTTCTGATGCGCCAGCGATGGCTGTTCTGAGGACCAAAGGGGGTTCTGGTAGATGACTCCGAGACGACTTGGAGGCCGCCTGCAGAGTCCACCATGACGAGAGGGAAGGTGTGTTGTCATCGCAATCAGACATCGAAGCATGATGGAGCGATTGAGGCGACCAAATGTTGATGACTTTCCCGCTTCCTTGTCCGAGAGGACGAGTAGAAGACTGGAACCAGGAGAGAGGGACGACCGATCGAGGGTGGAAGGTTAGGGAGTTAGGGGGCGCCACAAGGCGACAATCAGACGCAGAGAGACAATCCGATGCAGAGAGACAATCAGACGCAGAGACAATCAGGCGCAGAGAGACTGGAAGACACGAGTGACGATTGGCTGTTGATTTCGCCCCTGACCCTAGACACCGAGTGCCGATCGAGGATCCTGACTCTTGTGGGAGGTCCAGTGGCCGAGCAGAGTCTGCAGGGAAGGTTGGGTGTGGTGTCGATGGGATGTTGGGTGGATGGAGGGTGCAGTGGAGTAAAGATGTGACGAGATGACTCGGGCGGTCAATTCCTTTAAATAGTAAACGACTCTGCGGTAAATACACGTAAAAATAATTCCGCAGAATATACGTGTAAAAAACCTTGGAGTAGAGCCATGTAAAGGAGCCTATAATGTTGATGTATTGTCCTGAACAACAGGGCGACCTAGCAACCTTCTTTGATGCTTTGTCGATGGACACAGCTTCAGCTAGCAATTAAGTCATCTCGAAAGGGTATTACTGTTTTGGTATAAGCCCACTGGTGTGCACCAAGCCAATGGCTATTGCAAGGCAACATTCAGACTACGTGTTGTGGGAGTGAATGAACAACTACGAGAGTGGGTGCCATGGTCGACCACTATGGATGTCCAAGCTGTTTCCGAGACTGATAAGTGTCGTTGATCAGCGACCGTTGGAAAATTTCACTCCTTCTTCTCTTCCTTCTCAATGACAAGTGGTCGACCATGGCACCAACCCTCGTTGTTGTTCAGGACAATACATCCACACTACAGGCTCCTTTACATGGCTCTGCTCCAAGGTTTTTTACACGTATATTCTGCGGAATTATTTTTACGTGTATTTACCGCAGAGTCGTTTACTATTTAAAGGAATTGACCGCCCGAGCCATCTCGTCACATCTTTACTCCACTGCACCCTCCGTCCACCCAACATCCCATCGACACCACACCCGACCTTCCCTGCAGGCTCTGCTCGACCACTGGACCTCCCACAAGACTCAGGATCCTCGATCGGCACTCGGTGTCTAGGGTCAGGGGCGAAATCAACAGCCAATCGTCACTCGTGTCTTCCAGTCTCTCTGCGCCTGATTGTCTCTGCGTCTGATTGTCTCTCTGCATCGGATTGTCTCTCTGCGTCTGATTGTCGCCTTATGGCGCCCTCTATCCCTCTAACCTTCCACCCTCGATCGGTCGTCCCTCTCTCCTGGTTCCAGTCTTCTACTCGTCCTCCCGGACAAGGAAGCGGGAAAGACATCAACATTTGTCGCCTCAATCGCTCCATCATGCCGTGACGTCTGATTGCGAAGACAAGACGCCCTCCCTCTCGTCATGGTGGACTCTGCAGGCGGCCTCCAAGTCGTCTCGGAGTCATTTACCAGAGCCCCCCTTGGTCCTCAGAAGAGCCACAAAGGTAACTGGATTAATTTCCACTAAGGTTTCTGTTTGCATTCCCACAACCACAAGAGAATACACGGCATCATGGGAATGTAAGTTGTCAGGGCGTCGCAGTACCTGCATGAAGTATCCCCAGTCCTTTGTGGACCATGGGGACTATCCCCTCTGAATGCTGCTAAATTGACTTTAGCAGTAAAGTCCCCATGTGTCAGCATAGTCAGGTCATCGCTAACCCCGTTGACCTGTGCGAAGCATGGCACATACATACACGGAAGCGACAATGCCAAAGGGTAGACGAGTTGAACGCGGACTGCGTGCTGTCCACTCTGCATCTTGCCCATGCTGGATAACAGTCGGTGCAGCGTTGAGTTGGCCAATTGATATCTCAGTTATTCTCAATTTTGCCGTGTTCCATCACTTGGGGAATGACTTACTTGTTGCTAGTCCTAGCCTTTGGGTGATGAACTAAATTTTTTTTTTATCTTTCTTGCTTATTTCATCTCCTATGCAACTCCTCGCCGACCCGAATACCCCCGAGATGGCTGTTCGACACACGGATAAGGATGGAGACAAGGACGAGTACAAGGACGTGGCGGACATTGGGTAAAGATTTTCTGACAGGTAGGTCTTTGGACCATTCGGCAAGTTCAACTAATCCTCATTATTGCTATTCCCGTTATGTCTTTTCTTTCATATGCGCAAAATGATGGATCGAGCGCGGACGTTAAGCGGCTTGGCGCATGAATATACTACAGACAATCAAGCCCCCAGTCGTATGGTGTCAAATAAATGCCAGCCTTATTAGTTTTCGCTCAAGCTCACTCCTTAAGCGCTGCTAGTTTTCATGTTCTGAGCACCACCGTCCTCGTTGCACTTTTTTCTTTCTTCCACTGCTACGGTCAGGACACACAGTCAATTGCGTGAAGAAGAGGATTGATATGGCTTAACGACGAATAAACGCATGTCTTTACTAAAATACCTAACATCGCATTTGGACTTTACCAATCGATCATGTCCAGTTCGACAGCAGACTTCACGTTGTTTCTCTTGGGACCGACACGGTGAGTCGACCATAGCAAATCCAGACCTGGTTCTCCGCGCAGCGGCCAACTCATTTATTCGTGACCAGTTAAGAAAAGAAAAGAAAAGAAATCAATGAATAAAATGTTGCGAATGTGCAAGGTAAAAAAAGGTTTTTGCTTTTCTATGATTTTATTTGTGGCTTGTAGCCGTGAGTTTGAAGAGATGGTCGTTTTGTGCTATTGCCTTCTTAATTTCTATGGAAATACAGTCAGAGATTTCCTCCGAGGACTGTGTGTGTTTGTGAAGGAAGAGGATGATGTTTGCTGTGTTTATACAATGAGGCAGCACGCCAGCAATTGTGAGGGGGTGATGTTGTATTTGGGCTTAATGGACAAGGTGGGGGGCTTAAAGGAGAGTAAAGTATGGAGATCCTCATCGGACCATGTGGCCTTGTCCGTGTATTCTCTCAAAATGAACTGCCATGCTAGGTACTTGCCCTTGCATCCGAAGACATTATGATTCTTGTCCGCCTTTCTTTCCCTGCATCCCTGAGCGCCACATTGAGCGTCCTGTTTCCACCGGTGGGCCCGAAGTGTGCCACATGGGATAATGCCACGCTTGTATCCCCATTAGAAAGTGCGGGCTCTGTGAGGAATTTTGGTCTTCTAGAACTTGTGCCACTGGGACTTGGTGCCAGATTTAGGGTGCATCGACGAGTGGGTCGGGGGTGGTTCGGGTTCGGGAGTCGGGAAGAAGTACTGTCGGATCTGTGTGATGGAGGCAGTCCTTAAAGTCACTTTTGTCTTGCCATTGTCCAGGAGGATGAGTGAGCATATCCTCTGAGCCAGGCGGTCTCCGACAACCCCAACATGTGGTATCTGTATCGCGTCCAGATATACTTGTGATATCCGTCAGATATTGGTTCTTGTAAGTAGAAGGTCGCCTCTTACACGCTTCGATTTACGGGAGAGTCAGCGCTTGTATGCCATCTTGAATTTGTTGTTCTCGTCTATCTCTAGCGTGAACAGGTCTCCAATCCGTGCGGTGAGGGTGGTGTTGTTGTCATCCGTCGAAGGGAACCACCATTCCAGCGGGCTCTCCAGAAAAGTGGTCGAATCTGGAAGTCCTGCTTGCATGGTGAGTGTCTTGAGCGGGGGAAGTGTGCTGGCCACTTTGACTAGTTGCAGAAGGTGGGGGAAGTGTTCAAGTTGTTGGTGGGGTCGGTTCTCCTGGGGGTTCAGCATGAAGGATTGATGGTGGGTGGACTTTGTCTTCCAGAGGATGAAATCCAGTACAATGTCCTTCCCCCAGTATACTGACGTGGTTGAGGCGTTGCGAAGGTGCTTGCTGAAGAAGGTCCGATGCTGCTTGTCCAGATCAATAACCCCAAGGCTGCCGTTGTGTCGAGGGGTGGTGATGACTTTCCATGATGGTATGGGTTTGAAGGGGCAAACAAATCGTGTGATGGCCTGTTTGACTTTGGATGGGAAAGAGGTAGGGAATGGGGTCACCCACGCGAGGTGCCAAAGGCGGGAGAGGATAAGGGTGATGACGATGGTAGCGCGTCCTAGGACCGAGAGGGAACGAGATGAATGTATGTTGATCCCTGTCTTGATTTCGCCGAATAATTTGTTCCAGAATGTTGTTGCCTGCTCTCTGCAAAAAAAATATTAGAAAGCCAAGGTAGGTGGGTGCTTCATTTGTTGCGCTGTCGTGCCATTGTAGCTGGAGAGAGGCGAAGTGTGGCTTGACGATCGGGTCTGAGTAGGTAGACATTGGGAAGGCAACCGTTTTGTTAAAGTTGACTCCTGCGTTTGAGGCGTTCCCTATAGATGTAGAGCTTCGTCCAATGCCTTCCATTGCTGTACTGAAGCGACGGGCGTCATAAGGTCGTCAGCGTAGGCTCCCAGTTTGATTGGCTCTAGGCGTTGTGGTATGTTCATTCCTCGAATGAGGAGTAACGATTGGATATGGGCGAGAAGTGGTTCAAACGCTAGATTGAAGAGGAGGGGGATAGCGAGTCACCCTGGCGGAGGCCTCTGGACTGAGAGATCGGGTCCGAGATGTAGCCGTTGATGTTGAGAGATATTTGAGTGGAAAAAAAGAGGGTCGAAATACTCCTGATGACTTGTTGGGGGAAGCCAAATCTCTCCATCACCATCTCCAGGTGCTCTGGGTGAACCATATCGTAGGCCTTTTCTTGATCCAGTAGAGCTCCAACATGCTTCAGCTTTCTGTTCCTGCAGTAGTTACGGAGATTGTTGAGGACCATGCCATTGTCGGCAATATGCCGACCAGTCGTAAATCCTGTCTGGTGCTGGCCCGTTAGAGTGCGCATGTAAGGTTGGAGTCGGAGTGCGATCAACTTTGTAAACATCTTGGCGTCGTAGTTGATGAGTGACAGCGGACGCCAATAGGACAGTTGTGAGGCTTCGCCTTTCTTGTAGAGCAGGATCACGACTGTGCGTTTCCAGGACTGGGGGAAGGCTGATTCCAGTAAGGCGTCGTTAGGGATGTTGACAAATAGATGGAGAACCCAAGGGATTGTGAGGATGTGGCGATATAGCTCAAAGGGTAGTCCATCTTGTCCTGGTGAAAAAAGAGAAAAGAGAAAAGAGAAAAGAGAAAAGAGAAAAGAGAAAAGAAAAAAGAAAAAAGAAAAAAGAAAAAAGAAAAAAGAAAAAAGAAAAAAGAGAAAAGAGAAAAAAGAAAAGAAAAAAGAAGGGAAAAAAAAGAAGGGAAAAAAAAGAAAGAAAAAAGAAAGAAAAAAGAAAGAAAAAAGAACGAAAAAAGAAAGAAAAAAGAAAGAAAAAAGAAGAAAAAAGCAATAAAAAAAATAATAAAAAAGCAAGAATAAACGGCACAAGGACGGGAGCGGGCGCAAAGACGGCAACGGGCACAAAGGCGGCAGCGGGTCGTAGCTCTTATTCGTCCTCTTCTCCAGTCTCCTCATCGGCATCATCTTCGGCCTCCTCGTCGCTGCTCGTCTCGGCTACCTCGTCGTCATCGTTCTCCTCGGGAGTAGTGGCCTTGTCCTCACAGTCTTGCTCCTCTGCTACTGCTGGTGCCGTGCTCTGAGCCTGGGCCTCGGGAGCAACGTCACCAACCGTTGCTTGAGCAACTGACATGGCAGCGGTGACCAGCTTTCTACCGTTGCGGTCGAGGTTGCCTTGGTTTAGGACGAAGAAGGGCTGCTGCAGGGCCTGGTCGATGCTGAGTCTGCTCTCTGGATCAGGACGCAGCAGACCATCAACCAAATCCCTGGCGTGTCTCCATTTTCTAGGTTTCGAAGGTCCAGAGGGGAGCACATTGTAAGTAAGCTTATTTACTGCAGGCATGATTGAGCAAAAGTGTCCCCAAAGCGCAAAGCATTCCTTTGAGTTTGCAATGCACAAGGCTATGCGCTTACCTGATCATGTTAACACATTTCTCGGAGCCCTTCTTCTTCTCGGGAACGACACCGTGGATCAGCTCGTGCAAGAGAGCCCCGAACGAGAAGGCGTCGACCTTGGTCGTATACGTACCCTCGATCTCCGGTGCTCTGAACCCGTCCGTGCCATTGTCGCCCCTATTGAGTTAAAGGGATTAAAAACGCGATGAGTTCATGTGTGCCATTGACAAACATACATGTGTTCTTAATCCCGTCAATAACACAACATTTTCAAGTCATGATCCAAGCACGCATTCAACTTACGTCGCCTCCCCTTTCTCGTCCAGTGCATCCGACAACCCCAGGTCCGATACCAGGGCCTCCCGGGACGCCGTCAACAAGATGTTTTCAGGCTTTATGTCCCGGTGAACTACCCCCATGCTATGGAGGTAGTTCAACCCGTGACAGATGCCACGGGCGAGGCCCTGGATGTGGCGTCTTGACATCTGGTCCCAGTTCGCCACTTCGTGTTCCTGCAGGTTCTGTTTCAGTGGACCATGACCAAATAAAAAAGACGCATTAGTTGACAAGAGTGGTATCATGGACCGATGGTCAATCACGATTCATTACATTTCCTATGGAGACAAAGCACAGCTGGCAGTTTCGTTACCGTGTCCGCGAGGTCCAAGGCGATGCATCGCTGGCGGCAGTAATAAAAGCCACCGTAGTACTTGAGGACGTTGGGATGGCCGGGGTTGGATACGCGCTCGTATCCTTGCACCTCCTGCAGCCACTATTCATATAGAGAGAGGCAATTGGAAGAAGAAGCGGGGCGTTAGTTGACTGCGAAGCATGGCCGTTTTTCTTTCCTTGCATACTGCCCTGCTATCTTCACATGTTTTTCAATTGACCACCCTTGACTTACGGATGCCTGATTCGCGTTACTAAATATCTTCAGGACAATCTCGCGATCATCTTCCCAGTCCTCGTCAATGGCCAGGACCTTGATGATGGTCCCCTGCTCACCCTAAGCAAGACATGTGGAGAAAGAAGGTACAGCATTAGACTTAAGCTTCCCCTTGGACTAATTTTTTTTTGCCACCAATTATTTTCTTTGTAGCCTTTCTTTAATTCACTTGCACGCATCTCTCTGTCTCTCTTTTTTCCCTCCTGTTTACTTACTGCCGACAGCGTCGTCAAGTACAAGTATCCTCGACCTGCATCTGTGTCGACATACGCCTATTGAACAGAGAGATCAAGGACAGGTCTGGTTAGTAACCATGAACGAAGCACTCATATATAGGAATAGGAATCATTGGAGTCAAGAAAAAAAAAGCGGACAGCAGTAAATCAGGACCGGGGTCGCAACGAGCGTTACCTCCAATGGCGTGACGTAGCCTCCACGCTCCTCGATCGGCTCGTCTTCCTCATCCTCGTCATCCTCGTCATCCTCGTTGTCCGAATCGTACGACTCCTGAGGCTCTGGGGACGAGGCAGGCGCAGGCAGTGGCAGTGGACGTGGCGGTGGCGGTGGCGTGAGACGGGGACGAGGATGAGGGGGGGCAGGCCGAATGGCAAAACCGATTCGGGGAGGTCTATCCACAGGATCCAATCGGCGAGTTCCTGCGATGAATGTTCCTGGACGACGACCCGACGCTCCTGAGCCTTCCACCCAAGGGTCTTGAGTGGGTCTGAACCGGACAGGCAGGTGCGAGAGGTCGACGTACGGTCGAGGAGATGGTGTAGATGAGGTGGCGGCGGCGGGAGGGTTGATCAAGGAGGAGGAGGAGGAGGAGGAGGAGGAGGAGGAGGAGGAGGAGGGCGGTTGACCGGACACGGACTGGCGTTCTCCTCTTCTCGGACGCACGGGCGCAGGAGCTGTTGCTGACGACTCAAGGCAAGAGGAGGGTGTGGGCGAGGGAGGATCGCGTCTCTTTGTTCCTTTGTTGGTCATGTTGAGAAGTGCACAGGGAAATACGATAGAATGTGTATGTTTGTGTCTTCGGTGGAGGTGAAAAGTTGAAGGAAAAAGAAAAAAGAAAAAAGAAAGAAGAGAGAAGGCGGAAAAGGGTTTAAATAGGAGTAAAAAGGGTCGATGGCGATGGTCAATCCACCGAGGAGACTCGATTGGCTCGTCACTGCAAGAATTAAGGGACATTTCAACGTTGCATTCATTCGTTATCACCCGCAAAACGTCACCGGAAAAAAAATTCCTTTTGGAGATGACTTCAATTTAAGCTATCGATTCGACTTTGTGGGAATGTCTTTCCTTACCTTGGATCGATAGCACAGATGATTCCCTCTCGATCGTCGCGAGGTTGGCAATATGCATGCATGTAGATGTACAGTACTCACGTTGGTCATTAATTAGTTGCTGTCTCTGTTTGTGCATCCACTACCGTCGTCTTGGCCCAGCTCCCACTCCACATCCTCTATCTCTGTCCCATATTCGCTCGTACCTTATTGGCTTTTAGGTTTCCGCTGTTTTCATTGATTGCGGAACATTGTAGTTTTGCTAACGTTTTCCCTCTCTCGAACTGAGCAAACTGCATGGGACTATTTCTCTTTCTCAATTTCGATTCAACTGATTCTTAGGAAATAGTTTTCTTTGCATTTCAATGGTTGTTGTTCTGTGTAAAAAAAAAAAAAAAAAGACACGGTTGGTCCCTGGACATAAAAACCAACACGACTTTCTCACCTACACACATACATGCGTCTTGATTCTTTCAGCAGGCTCGCGAAACCTTGAGGAAAAGGATATCCGAAGCCTTACTTTCAAGCCATCCCCATGCTAAGTCTTCTGTTCATCATCCTCCTACTTCGCTTAGGCTATTCCGACCTCGACCCCTGATCTTCCTATGCCTTGTCTTTGCGACATTTTCTTTTGTTTAGTCGATCTGCATCCAATCTTTTCTTTCTTTTCTTCCAATTCGTAACGCTTCCTCCCTTCTCTCTTTTCTCAATTATCTCTCCCTTTTCCTTTTCACCCCAGGCTGCGCAGGCGTTTTTATCGTCGGATTTTGGATGGTGGTACAAGTGGTCAGTTCGTGTGACTGACGATTCTGTTGACATTACTCTGCCTCGCCCCCGTCCTCTTTTCTTTCGTTCTTTCTTTTCTTTCTTTTTCTTCCTCCAATGCAACACTCACACACTTGGCTAGCCCATCACACTGTTACACTCAACCCCATCCCCAACCAAGCTAACACGACCATGTCATGAAGACCCACCAGGACCAAAGAACGTCAACAAGGATCACCAACGACGGTTGCCTCCTCTCCTAAACCGTCTGCTACCCGTCCTGCCATGGTGACACCCCTGACTGAGGTGATAATGAAGCAAAGAGGAAAAAATATGCTCTTGTCATTCCCTGAGCCATGGTCGTCGAGTTTAAACAAGATGATCGAAAGAATAACAGGTGCAGTTACAAACATCCTACATTGCATACATGGAGGAGATACATCACCCCATCGTTTTATTCAATGCAAGAGTTCGAATGTGAAAGCTATTAGGTCAACAAAAGGGTAAAAAGGAACCCCGAATCTCAAGATTGGGTTGGGCATTGTGCAAAGTCAGCCGTGGAAGGTGGTGTTGGGGTGGATACCTCGTTTTCACTATATTTTGCGGAATCCTGAAGCGCGACGCTTTGCGAGTCGTGTAGAAGTGATTGGAGTTGGTGGACGACACTGGCATATGCTGGAGCACTGGGGGAGGGCATTTCTCCACTGTCAAATGGACGAGCTGGCGGAATGTACTGTGTTGGTAGCCAAGGAGCAGAACCCTTTGTCGACAGCTTCTCCGTATCCTCCTCTGCGTGTTGCTGTTTGAAGTCATTGGGTGCGGCCGCTGCCGGTTCACCTAGGTACAAGGCGGACGTTACGTACGTCGTCCGTGGGTGATTGGAGAATTGTGATGCATGGAGTTGCTCCTGTAGTGCCCGCATCTGATCGTGTAATGCTTGGAACTGCTCTTGGATGTATTGAGTATAGGTGTGATTGGGGCCATGGGAAGGATTTCTGTGGACGAAGTTCTTGGTTGCTCTGGGTACGACAGAATTACGTACTTACCCTCGAGGTCATAGGAATTTGCTCCCTCCTTTGGTCCTTGTGCCGGCGGGTCGTCTTTGTTGCCGTCGAGGGGCTGGCTGGGTTGGGACTTTTTGGCGTCTGACTCCGCAACCTCGTCATCATCCATTTTCCTGTTCCTGCCGCTTGTCTTTCTTCCCAACAAAAACGTCAATACTGCGAGGACGAAAGCTCTAAAAACGATGCCAACAACGCCTGCTTTTGATAGGATGGTCGGTATCGGTGCAGCTGGCGGTGGTGGTAGATTGGGGTTGATGCCATAGGTTTCTGTCGCGTTGACCTTGTCGATCATGTGGGTGTATCGTAGCCCTCCGTTGTTACCAAATCCATACATTGTTTCTTCCTTCTTTAGCAATTCAAATGTCGAGGCACCATCCCCGCTCCCGTCGCCAATGAACGTAAAGAAATCCATGTTAATAACGTCGGCGTCGAATTTCGTCACTATTCCTGTTCCGTTCAAAGTGTTGGGATCCTTTATTGTGAGGAACATGCTCGCAGTAGAGAAGTCCTTTGACGAATATATCTATCAATTGAAGCGGATAATAATGATGCGCATTAACTCAAGAATGAAAACACATCAAACACTATCATAAAGGAACATTACAATTAATTACCTTACTTTCTGTCCACAAAGTAGCATCAAGGGATCATGGAGGAAACATACAAGTGGAGTTGGAGAAAAATAGCAGTTGACTGCCTCTGTGTCGTAGCTCTTGCTAATAGGTGTCGTTGTGCTTCCGACGGCGATGTTTGAGAGGAATGCTCACGAGGTAGAGTTTTGAGGTGAGAAAATTTCCCATTTGAGGAATGATTGCATCGCCGTAGGTGTAAAAGTGGTCATTGCCGATCATCAGTGCTCTTAATGACGTCCCATGGATAGTGGTTCTATAGAAAGCAGTGGCGATATGGCTCAGTTGTGTTCAAAAATAATTAACCAAACGTAAACACCCAGCGCACACTAATAAGCACTTTATGACCTACCATAACCCACAGACCCGTGCCATAAAGGTCCATGGTCGAATCGTTCATCATTGCGAGATTGACAGTATTGTTCGTGTCAGAGATGGACGCGTGGACAAGAACTTTGGTAGCACCGTTGTTGACATATCCTAGAGAATGCCTGTTGAGGCCTCCTGACCAATCGTATCCGCCAGCGACTGTGATGTTCTGCCATGCACCCGGTCGTCTATAGTTAAAGCTGTCGTCCATTGATCCACTGAGATTGTATCGAATCCCGTAAGGCCTTTTGAGGCCAGAGGTGGAATCACTCAGGGCCCGACCGAACATCGTAAAGACATCCTGGGCGCCGCTTGAGCATGTGCAGTCGGAGCCATCGGTAGTGTAAAGGTGTCCTGCCAGTTTCCAGCTTTCAATGAGGGAGACTATCGACCATACGAGGTCCCTAGGGGAGATTGGGTTGGTGTTGGACCTGATAAGAACGACGTATTTGGAGGTACTGTCAGTGCTATAGTCAGTGGCATATGCAAGTCTATAAAAGGTCGTCGAGGCTGGGTCCGTTGTTATGCAAATAAGGTCGAGCCATCCCATTCTGTGATGTTGTCGTTGGTGGTGGTGATGTTCTTCGAAAGAGGTTGTTGAATGAGAGTTTGTGAATGAGAGGAGGTGGTGGGCAGTTGGAGTGAAAAAATGAAAAAACAGGAGACAGAGAGAGTAAGCAAGCAGGGTCCGTAATTCAGTTGTCTTCCCCAACAGAGAAAGGGAGCCCGTGCCAGGTACACCATGTTTTGTATCTTCCCCCGGATACCATGTCCGACTGACAACGTAGCATTCAGTCAAACAAAGACTGTCACTACTTCCATACTTTTGCCACAACCACCAAAACGTTCTTGTATTTGTTTGCACCCTCTTCTTCTGCTTCATCCAAGCCGCCCTTACCCTGGGAAGCCATGTTCTACTCCGTAGTCAGGCATCAGTTCGCCGAGACTGATTGAATGCCTTACTGGGTTTAAATAATTGAGCAAAAGAGCTTGGACACGAATCAGGCCAGGCGAAAGATTGGAAAGGTGCTGGTACATTGCTGTTTGATGTGTATTCGATGCAAGAGTGTGAATGGGTGCGTGTCCCATCTGTTTGCCATTATGGTATAAGGGTCTTTAATCTCAGGGCTGGGTCGGTTTTTTGTGAGGAGTTGAGGGTAGAAGGGGCTATTGACTCGGCGAACGCCTGAGGTGCGACTTCTAGTTCTGGGAAGTCCTGCGATGACGACGGCTGTGCAACGGAATTGGAGTAGGCAGGCGCACTGGGAAAGTGCATGGCTTTGACTTCGCCTGAACCAGCAGAAGGACAAGTGGTGTCAGTTGCCAGGGCCCTATCCACGCTGCAGGTTCAAAACCGTCTCCTGTATCTTGTTCTGAGCCGTTGAGTGATGATAACGTGGGGTTTCCTTCGAGGAGCTCGACCAAACGTCGTGAATACACCCTGTGCGCTTGCAGTGCAAGATTAGGGTTTCCCACTAGTAGTGAGCTATCGAGCATGGACACCACGGACCGGGCGATCTGGGTTTGTGTTGACGAGAACAGCGTATTTGGTTTTGGTGTTGGCAAAGTTGTGGCCGTCGGCGTATACGAGAATGTAGAACTTTGCCAGGTCCGAGTTTGTTGCCATGCCAACGAGCTCCAGGATTCCCATGCTGCTGCTGATGGTGATGTTCCTTTGAAGAGAATGTCGAATGTAAGTGTTGTGAATGAGAGTGTGCGAATGAGAAGAGTGTATGGTTGAAAGAAGTACGTCCTTGGAAAGTAGGCGGAGGGCAGGTAGGAATGAAGAGAAAAAAGAGTAAAGGAGGCAAAGGTGGGTAGAACAGAGGACAGTGGCAAGTGGTGTAAGGAAGATGTACTGCACAGTAGAGAGAAGGTGGGGCTCTCATTTTTGCCTCATTCTCATTGTGTTTCCTCCTCCACCAAGAGAAAATGCAAGGTTCATATGGGAAGTAGGACGTTTAGATTTGCACCTGCATTTACCTTGCAACTGCAAGCCGACTTGACCTGGTATCCATCCTCGAAATATCGTCTCTTTGTTCTTCTTCATTAACCACTTCTTTCCCTTCCTGCCACATCAAGCTATCAAGGATGGGGTTTGTTCGGCCTGAAGACCAGTCTACATCAATGTGCCTGAAATTACACGTGACTGATCTCGACTTGAACACATACGTCTGTGGGTGATTCTTACAAACACAAAAATATTGTTCTTCATACCGCGCATTTTTTTTTTTTTGCATTGTCCGACATCTTCAAGGGCTTTTAATCTCGGAAAAGGATAACTGATATCACGAGGAATAAAGGGTGGAGGAGGATACTAGTGCGCATACAAGGTACTCCCTTGGCCCATCAGAATCCTGACGTACAACCGGCTGTAAAATCTTGCCATGACGATTTTGCACTGTCGCTGGTGTGTGCTGAGACAAGAAGTCGGTATTATCTCACTTTTCAGCAGAGCGAGTAGCAGACGGAGCAAAAAGGGGCGTCGGTGCAGACGTTGCTGTTGCTACTACTGTTGGCGTCTTAGGTGTAGGAAGATCGGGACGGGGGTTGCTGGAGAGCCGCCTTGCCGATATTTGTTCCTGCAGCATCCGCATCTGGTCCCGGAGCGCATTGACTTGCTCTTGAACGTAGGGAGGCATGGGTGATGTTGGCGAAAGAGGAGGGGCGTTCGTTGATCCTAGCCGTCCCTCTAGGTATGTCGGGTCCTAGTATTTTCCTTCGAGGTGGGAATAATTAGGTCCGTCTTTTTATCCTTGCGCCTGTGCATCGTCGTTATTATCGCTGAGGGGTCGACTGGACTGGGACTTTTCGGTATTCTCTTTGGTGACCTCGTGTTCGACCTTCTTCTTCCTGCTCCATCTGCCAGTTCTCTTTCCCAATAAGAACGTGTATAACACAAGAACGAAAGTCCCAACAACAATCCCAACAATCCCTCCTGTCGAAAGTACGATCGGTTCCGGGGCAGCTGGAGGAGGTGGTGGGGAGGTCGATGCCATAGGGCTCTGCCACAATGACCTGTGAAACAGTGCGATTGTACTCTATTCCTTCATAATTGCCATTGCCAAACGCATAGATGGTTCCTTGACTTTTGACCAACGCAAACGCCGAGGGTCCGAGCTCGTGCCAGTCGCCGATTGAGACAAAGAAATCCATGTCGATCAGTGTGGTTGGGCTCAAAGTCGCAAATCCTTGGTCGATAGCGGTGTTGGGATCAGTTATCGTAAGGGTTATAGAGACTTCGCCTGCGAATGCTATATCGGGTTTCTATCAAGTGGAATGCAAACGTTGAAGCACACGTTAGTTGAAAATAATACGTAAAGCGATCCACCTAACATAATTTACATAGCCTACTTACTTTCTCTGGACAGACTAGCATCAAGGTCTCGTTGAGAAAATATACGATTGGCAGTGGAGATCCATAACACTCGGCTGCCTGGGTCGTGTTGTAGCTTGTGCTGACAGGGGTTGATGGACTGGTGGTGGTGGAGTTGAGGGGGAGTCCCGTGAGGTAAGTCCTATAGTTTTCACTCACTCCCTCGCCGTAGGTATAAAGGTGATCGTTGCCGATTGCGACTGTGAGTAACTTTCTCCCATGAAGAGTGGCATTCTATTGAAAACAGAGATGGGTGTGCGTTTGTATTGCACAAGATGAAGAATACAATGCAGTTGCTCTAGGATCACAACGAAAACAAACACAAAGGTACAAAATGTTTAGGTAAATGACACGTTACCATCGTCCAAGCAGCCGTAGTTGCAAGAATTCCTGTAGGATCGTTCACAGTCGCAAGGCTGACGACATTATTCGTGTCGGAGATGGACGCATGGACAAGGACCTTGGTGGCCCCAGTCTTGACATATCCGAGAGAGAATCTTGTAAACCCGCCCAACCAAGTGTACCCTTCCACTGTGATGTTCATCCATGCTCCCGTGCCCTGGTAATTGAAGCCAGGGTCCATCGATCCATTAGGGTCGTAACGAACTCCAAAAGGCACCATGGTTGTCACCGATGGCGAGCCTCCCGTGGTTCGACCAAACATCGTAAAGACGCCCTGCTCGTTGTATGCGCACGAGTAGTCGACGCCTTTGGCTGCGTTAGGGTATCCTGCTAGTTTTGAACTGTCGAACGTGGAGATGGTGGTCCAAGTGATGTTGGTAGACGAGGCTGGGTTGGTGTTGGACCGGAAAAGGATGGCGTGCTCGGGCTTGGCGTTGTTGGGACCGTAGCCTTCGGCAAACGCTAAACCATAAAAAGCTGTAACGCCTGGGTCTTTAGTTATGCATATGGTGTCGATGAGTCCCATGCTGTGGCGCAATGTTGTGGCGCAATGTTGTTGCTGGTTTTGGTGCTGATGGCGGGTGATGGCCTTCGGGTAAGGTTGTTGAATGAGAGTTGGTGAATGAGAGTTGGTGAATGAGAGAAGGAATTGTGCGGATGGAGTGAACAAGAGTTGGTAAAATAGAGGGAGGAAACAAACAAGACCGAGAAGGGTCCAGGAAAAGTCGTGCATAGTTTTAGTTTTCCTTTCCCTACCGTGAGCCCATACCATGCATGGTGCAGGACAGGGGTGAGCAGCAAAAGATTTTGCTTAGCCGTCTACTTCAGATTGTTTAACGAGGGGCAATTAGTCGTCTTGGCCTTGCAGACGTCCATCGTTGAGGCAATGTTTTTTATTCTTCTTTATCGATCTCTTGGTCCTTGTCTAGTACCTGGCACCTCCAGAAACGAGCAATTGGTCCGAGAGAGGGATCTTCGACGCGAAATTTGTCTAATGGTAATCAAAATGCCGTACCTGAATAAAGTATCTTCAACTGAGTTTGAGAGCTGGCGCTGAAGAGAAGACCGCAAACGTTTATTTTCCTCTGGACCCGTTCTCGCAATCCGATCAACATAGTACACCAGCGCGTGTATCTTTTTTCAATTGTGCAAGACTGTGCAAGAGTATACTGCACTCACTGGGCACAATCCTCTTTGCTGGGGGTACAGGGGGACTGTACCTCTCCACTTCCGATTGAGCGGGACTAAGGAGTCCTATCATCAGTAGCTGTAGTGCATCTCACGACCTCTCATCAGGTCTCCTCTAATACACAAAGACAATCAGACTGTTGTTAGCGGTGCATTTTAGAGACAATCCATTGCATGCTCAAGGACAAAGCGGGAGGTATCAAGTGCCAGCGACATGTCTGTGGTCGCTGTGGTTTTACCCATTCCTCTCTTGCCACTCAATCCTCCTTCATTTCACCTCTCGTTCTTTTACTCTCCTCTTTCCACCAGCCCCTGCTTTATTTTCACTCTTGGTCACTCATCACTCTTTTTTCTTTCACTCTCCGCTGCCAGCACTGTGCAGGAACGACCACCGTTCCCAGTGAAGAGTCCACGAATAAAAGTTCCTCCTCTTTCCTTTCTTCAGGGTGCAAAGGACGATCACAAACCTTCGAGTTCCTTGTCAGTGTGCATTGATACTGTCCCTGCCCCTCTTGTTCATTCTTATACAACTACGTATTCTTTCTTGTCACTATTGGCCACCCAAGGCACGACTCGTCCGGCGCGCGCTGGCACTTTGGCCAGTTCATCCACGCTACCGTCCAGTACAAGAGTGAGTGCAGTGCCCTTGAACCGAGGAACGACTTCCTTCCTGTAGGCGATATCACTGCACTCAGTTCTAGAACGACAAGTGGGTGGTAGCTTACACAACCCCCTCGTCTCTCTTTCTTCCCTTTTCAACAACAAAAACACGATTTCCACTATGCCACGATCGTCTAAGCATGTGTTCCGCGAAAACGACCTAGGGCGAGAGCACTGCCTACGTGCCATCGTGGCCCTGCCTCAAGCTATACCTGCTGATTTCCTCGAGGCAATGGAGCGGGAATACGTCAAGCAGCCACAGCTGTGTCAAATGATCGTCACTACGCTCGCTGACAGTCACCAACGCTGATCAGGAGCAGTTACAAGTTCCTGAATGCAGTGGCCAGAAGTGGGGCAAAGATTGATATGGTCAACCTCTCCATCCAATTGTTTTTTTATTTTTTTATTTTTTATTTTTTATTTTTAATTTTGCATGAGCCTTATGCATCCGTCTACCATATTCAGGACGGAAGGAAATTTTGAATGTCGCTGATACTCGGTATAGATGTGCCATAGTCAGATTGAATGTCCTCCTGTCCGGCCCATAGCATGCCCTAAATCTGCTGACTTTGACCGACCTTGATCCTCCTGGACTTCAGTTCCTCCATTTTTCGGCGATAAGCAAATACAGGTTGGTAAAGCAATTGCCTGTTCACAACTAGATCCTTGTCCTCCAAGGCAGGAGGGAGGACCCTATTGTTTGATGCAGGAGCGTCGAATTGATCTTGACGTCCAGAATCATGATGCATGGCTGTATTGGTGGCGACTAAAGTGAGTCAGGCCCGTAATATCCCACAAAGCGCCGCCGTATTGGCCTCACCGGGGTCATCCAGACATATATTTCCTCGAAAGATGAAACGCCAAACTCGTCCAGAATCGACTGTAAGTGTTAGGAATCGGGTTTCGGTATGGTAGACAGTGCTGTGAAAACATGTGGCATGGAGTTCCTTGTCTTTGGTCGAATACAGGTTGTTGAGCGCGAGCATAAGGTCAGATCCTGTGGGAGGAGAGTTGTCGACAGGGAAAGGGGACTCTTGTCACACCCAATTACTTTCTCTTGACACTCTCTGGCGTAGTTGAGGAAGCAGAACTTGTTGTCCAAGTACGAGTGAAGGAAAGTTAGATCAAAGACGGTCGGATGATTTTCATTGACGAGAGCTTCTAACGATTGTTGGGCGTCTCTCGCATGAAGTTTGCTAGGCGGAGAGTGACTTCTTGATCTCTTCCGGTTTTCTGTAGAACAGCATCCTGATCAACTTTCCTTGTGTCATTTCAACGAGTGTGGATACATCCTTGGTGGTCATGAGCTTAGCGGCAGTAGCAGCGGACGAGTTGGGGACCTTCTTGTTCGTCGGCCACAAGATCTGGGCAGAGCACGATCCCCAAATGTGATAAATAGATCGGTGAACTGATCGAAGGCTGAATAAAGTCGCATAGCCGGCGGAAGACGTCCGGCCTCTGTCCACCAGTGACGGATATTTCCTCCGGCAGATCACATGTATGAATCGTCGTCATCCTCATCCTCGTCCTTTTCGTGGTCGTCACAGCCGTCATGGCCATTCATTTCCTCCTTTGTAGTCTCTTGGTCTCCTCCAACAGTATGGGATCCCGGCTGCTCCTTTAATGATCTAGAAATGAACTTTGTGTAACGAGGTACTTTGATGTGACCTTAGTGCACACACTGAGGCAAGCTGGACTGCATTTGACCCCTTGGACACGAACAAATGGGACATACGCGTTTTCAGTATCAATGATATGACGGAAAAGCATTGTCGCTCACCAGAACAGAGAGGTATAAACCCTCTTCTCTCTCTCTCCCACCTTCTCTCTTTTCCCTTTCTTTCCTTCTTTCTTTTGCATTTTCTCTCTTAAACTTCCTCCATCCCCTCTATCTTTCCTCCTTTCTTTTCTCTCTTTCGTTCTTTCTTTTTTCCTGTCCTACCCTTTCATGCCTCGATTCAAGGCCCTCCACACCCATCTACACATCCTACACTCGACTCATCGTCATGGAAGACGGTATTCTCAACAACCAACCAACCCCCACCGCACAATCCTGACCAATCCACCCCGCCCTATCACTTGTAACGAGTTCGGGACAAGGAAGAGAGAGGCGAAATGGCGAAGAGATGAACAGACGAGCACCAACGAGGCCACGAAGAACAAATACTAGAGAACATGTCTTTTTATTAACGAAAAAGTAACTATGAAGGAAGGAAGGAAGTTGGTTGTGAGTGATGGTTTGGTATTTTTAATGTGGTGATTGCATCCAGCCAGACGCTAAAACAAAAAGAAGTAAAAAAACCAGCCAAAAGAAGCAATGAACAAACAAAAAAAGAAGCAAGGAACAAAAAATAAAAGAAGCAAAGAACAAAAAATAAAAGAAGCAAGGAACAAACAAAAAAAAAGAACAGGAAATGAAGAAGAAGAGCAAAGAACAAAAAAAAGGGGGGCAAGCTCTCAGTTGCCTACAATGCCTCATAGTGCCATAAAAAAAAAGAAAGCTCGCATTGAGCGGGGGCCTCAGATTTTGTGCAGGTGTCATCATAGGCATAGCGCCTCAGACTTGGTGCAAGTGCCATTATAGGCATGGTGCCTAAGACTTGCTGCAACTATCATCATAGGCATATAGCCTCTCCCATCCTAACAAAAAGAAGACATGCAATGACACATAGATTAGCACCCCCATTACGTCTTCCTCCAACAGCATATGTCAGTGCTGGGAGGGCCAGACGCCCCCAAGGCGACCACCATGCCGGCGCACCCACTCCCTTGACACGGCCAAGCACGCGGCCACCCATGCCAAGTCGGGATTGCGGACACTTAGGTATGAGGGGGAGGGAGGTTGTGACTCCTCTTGACCCCTTCCTGATAGCCTCTTGTCACTAAAGTAATACGACGGTAAGTAAGTTTTGTGATTAATAAAACGTTTGTGCCACCAAAATTATGTCTCGAGAAAATATAACCAACCCACGCACGCACCAACTTTCTTTCCAGTTGCTTGAAGGGAAGGGAAGGGAAGGGAAGGGAAGGGAAGGGAAGGGAAGGGAAGGGAAGGGAGGTATTCATCTTACCAGGTATCGGTCTACACGGCAGGGGCGGGTGCAAGGAGGGCATCACTTCCTCCTAACACCCTTTCATCTCGGCAGCGGCGCGGGTGCAAGGAGGGAGTCACTTCCTCCTAGCACCCTTTCATCTTGGCTAGGGCGGGTGCCAGGAGGGTCTCATTTCCTCCTAACACCCCTTCATCCTAGCAGGGGCGGGTGCCAGGAGGGGCTCAATCCCTCCTAACACCCTTTCATCTTGACTGGGGAGGGTGCAAGGAGGGGTCTTATTCCTCCTAACACCCTTTCATCCCGCAGGGGGAGGGTGTAAGGAGGAGCAACGCTCGACTCTACTTACACCCTTTCATCTCGGCAGGGGCGGGTGTAAGGAGGAGCACCGCTCGACTCTACTTACACCCTTTCATCTCGGCAAGGGGAGGGTGTAAGGAGGAGCAATGCTCGACTCTACTTACATCCTCTCTCCTTGATGGACCCAGGCATGAGGGTGAGGAGGGGGTCAATTCCTCCATGCACCTTCCCTTGCCCTAAAGAGATACGGATGACAGCAATTAAATATCTGATGATCAGTATATAGTATACACGTAACCATGATGACACAATCACTCAAGGACAAAGGGGCGGGAGAGCGTGGGCACTGATAACCGTGGAGTTGTGTAAAGACGTAAGGAAGGAAGCAAGAGAACGTGGGAACTGGAAACCGTCCGTGGAGTTGTGTAAAGAAGGGGAAGAAGGAACCTAAAAGGCAGCACGAACGCAACGCTCACCCCCACAAACAAAGACAAGGAAGGAACAAACGAAAGCAAGCCAAACGCGCAACCCATACGCGATAACTCAAAAAAGAAAGAAGCCGGAGAGCGTGGGAACTGGGAAAGGACAAGGAGAGCTTAAAGAACGCAAGGGACAAGATAAGCAGCGCGGACGCAAACGCTCACCACAGAAAAAGGCGAGGAAGGAACAAAACGAAAGCAAGACTTGTGCTGCAGCACAGAAACTCGAAGAAGGAAGGAAGAAGCTAGGACAAAACAACGCACACGCGCACTCAACAACGAGAAACAACGAAGAAAGGAAAGTAGGACGGGAAAGAAAGTGTGGGAGAGGAAATACAACGAGAAACAGATACACACACCCTCGTCCGTTTCTGTTCTTTAGAAAGGAAGGGGAGGGAAGGGGAGGGAAGGGAAGGGAAAGAGAGGAAAGGGAAGGGAAGGAAAGGAAGGTGAGTTTCTTACCAGGCCAGTGGCGGTTTCCAGACGGTAGAGGGGTGACAAGAGGAGGGGCCAAAGAGGAGTGAAGAAGAAAAAGAAGAAAACAAAACAACAGTTTTGGTCGGGGAGATTGCCTTTTATACCACGTGGCACGTGCAAGCAGCAAATATGACTGCGTCATTTTGGGTGGCAAAGAGCAAGGGCGAGTGCGTGTGTAACTAGAGGGGTGGTTGACAGGGCTCTCAAAAAGGAAGTATACTTAAAGGCTTACCATGCATTATCGGATATTCTCGTTTCTCTAAACGCAAGACCCTCTCCATTGAGCACCAACCAACCTTTCTCTGGCTCTTGTTTCATTTGTCATACATTGCCTCTCTCCGCACCTCTTCTTTCCCTATCTTCATGCCTCTTCTGTCCTTCTCCAAGGAAAGGGTGGTTGCATGGTCAATGGAGTCCATGATAGAAGGTCCTGCGTTTAGAGAAACGAGAATATCCGATAATGCATGGTAAGCCTTTAAGTATACTTCCTTTTTGAGAGCCCTGTCAACCACCCCTCTAGTTACACACGCACTCGCCCTTGCTCTTTGCCACCCAAAATGACGCAGTCATATTTGCTGCTTGCACGTGCCACGTGGTATAAAAGGCAATCTCCCCGACCAAAACTGTTGTTTTGTTTTCTTCTTTTTCTTCTTCACTCCTCTTTGGCCCCTCCTCTTGTCACCCCTCTACCGTCTGGAAACCGCCACTGGCCTGGTAAGAAACTCACCTTCCTTTCCTTCCCTTCCCTTTCCTCTCTTTCCCTTCCCTTCCCTCCCCTTCCCTCCCCTTCCTTTCTAAAGAACAGAAACGGACGAGGGTGTGTGTATCTGTTTCTCGTTGTATTTCCTCTCCCACACTTTCTTTCCCGTCCTACTTTCCTTTCTTCGTTGTTTCTCGTTGTTGAGTGCGCGTGTGCGTTGTTTTGTCCTAGCTTCTTCCTTCCTTCTTCGAGTTTCTGTGCTGCAGCACAAGTCTTGCTTTCGTTTTGTTCCTTCCTCGCCTTTTTCTGTGGTGAGCGTTTGCGTCCGCGCTGCTTATCTTGTCCCTTGCGTTCTTTAAGCTCTCCTTGTCCTTTCCCAGTTCCCACGCTCTCCGGCTTCTTTCTTTTTTGAGTTATCGCGTATGGGTTGCGCGTTTGGCTTGCTTTCGTTTGTTCCTTCCTTGTCTTTGTTTGTGGGGGTGAGCGTTGCGTTCGTGCTGCCTTTTAGGTTCCTTCTTCCCCTTCTTTACACAACTCCACGGACGGTTTCCAGTTCCCACGTTCTCTTGCTTCCTTCCTTACGTCTTTACACAACTCCACGGTTATCAGTGCCCACGCTCTCCCGCCCCTTTGTCCTTGAGTGATTGTGTCATCATGGTTACGTGTATACTATATACTGATCATCAGATATTTAATTGCTGTCATCCGTATCTCTTTAGGGCAAGGGAAGGTGCATGGAGGAATTGACCCCCTCCTCACCCTCATGCCTGGGTCCATCAAGGAGAGAGGATGTAAGTAGAGTCGAGCATTGCTCCTCCTTACACCCTCCCCTTGCCGAGATGAAAGGGTGTAAGTAGAGTCGAGCGGTGCTCCTCCTTACACCCGCCCCTGCCGAGATGAAAGGGTGTAAGTAGAGTCGAGCGTTGCTCCTCCTTACACCCTCCCCCTGCGGGATGAAAGGGTGTTAGGAGGAATAAGACCCCTCCTTGCACCCTCCCCAGTCAAGATGAAAGGGTGTTAGGAGGGATTGAGCCCCTCCTGGCACCCGCCCCTGCTAGGATGAAGGGGTGTTAGGAGGAAATGAGACCCTCCTGGCACCCGCCCTAGCCAAGATGAAAGGGTGCTAGGAGGAAGTGACTCCCTCCTTGCACCCGCGCCGCTGCCGAGATGAAAGGGTGTTAGGAGGAAGTGATGCCCTCCTTGCACCCGCCCCTGCCGTGTAGACCGATACCTGGTAAGATGAATACCTCCCTTCCCTTCCCTTCCCTTCCCTTCCCTTCCCTTCCCTTCCCTTCCCTTCCCTTCAAGCAACTGGAAAGAAAGTTGGTGCGTGCGTGGGTTGGTTATATTTTCTCGAGACATAATTTTGGTGGCACAAACGTTTTATTAATCACAAAACTTACTTACCGTCGTATTACTTTAGTGACAAGAGGCTATCAGGAAGGGGTCAAGAGGAGTCACAACCTCCCTCCCCCTCATACCTAAGTGTCCGCAATCCCGACTTGGCATGGGTGGCCGCGTGCTTGGCCGTGTCAAGGGAGTGGGTGCGCCGGCATGGTGGTCGCCTTGGGGGCGTCTGGCCCTCCCAGCACTGACATATGCTGTTGGAGGAAGACGTAATGGGGGTGCTAATCTATGTGTCATTGCATGTCTTCTTTTTGTTAGGATGGGAGAGGCTATATGCCTATGATGATAGTTGCAGCAAGTCTTAGGCACCATGCCTATAATGGCACTTGCACCAAGTCTGAGGCGCTATGCCTATGATGACACCTGCACAAAATCTGAGGCCCCCGCTCAATGCGAGCTTTCTTTTTTTTTATGGCACTATGAGGCATTGTAGGCAACTGAGAGCTTGCCCCCCTTTTTTTTGTTCTTTGCTCTTCTTCTTCATTTCCTGTTCTTTTTTTTTGTTTGTTCCTTGCTTCTTTTATTTTTTGTTCTTTGCTTCTTTTATTTTTTGTTCCTTGCTTCTTTTTTTGTTTGTTCATTGCTTCTTTTGGCTGGTTTTTTTACTTCTTTTTGTTTTAGCGTCTGGCTGGATGCAATCACCACATTAAAAATACCAAACCATCACTCACAACCAACTTCCTTCCTTCCTTCATAGTTACTTTTTCGTTAATAAAAAGACATGTTCTCTAGTATTTGTTCTTCGTGGCCTCGTTGGTGCTCGTCTGTTCATCTCTTCGCCATTTCGCCTCTCTCTTCCTTGTCCCGAACTCGTTACAAGTGATAGGGCGGGGTGGATTGGTCAGGATTGTGCGGTGGGGGTTGGTTGGTTGTTGAGAATACCGTCTTCCATGACGATGAGTCGAGTGTAGGATGTGTAGATGGGTGTGGAGGGCCTTGACTCGCTCGAAGGTCGAGGCCCCCATTCTTGGCAATTAATTGATTGTACCTGAACTGGGGTTGAAATTAAGCATTCTCACTCTGTCTCACATCATTACACACATTCTCACAGAGTCAGTCAAAAGGGGGAGTCCAAACGCATGTACCAGGAGCGGCGACTGGCCAAAATGCGTATCAAGCAACACTCGATTCTTTTTTGTTTGCTTTTCCAAAATGCTGATCTTATTAACTCCTCAGCACTGCATATATCATGGAGCCTCTTAAAGTCTGGTACAAAGAAAGAAAGGGAAGGGAAGGAATAGGGAACAAAGGGAACAAAGGAAAGGAGCAGTACTATGCGTCAGGGCTTTGGATTAGTTATTATCCAGCTCTCATCATGAAGTTTGTCACTTTAAATCGTCCAGAGTTAGATATGCGTTGTTTTTATTTCACGAAGAAAAAAAAAACGCGCGCGGGAGGGTGTAGGTGAACTTACACGTTTTTATTCTTTCTAGTTCAAGTGATAATCGTCAACATACTGTGGGTTCTGGGACCTCGCCAGTAAGGCTTGAGGAGACGATGCCGAGCTAGCCTCCTGACCAAGTCTCGTGCTGTGAGATACCGAAGGGGGAGGAAATGAAGGCGGAGGAGTTCCTCTATCCTGAGGGTCACGAGTTGCATTGGCCTGAAAAGCAGCAGTGCTAGTCGTGGTAGAAAGCGCGGTGGCAGTAGAAGTATCGGGAGAGTGACCAGCTGCACCGGCACCGGCACTGGGTGATGACAATCCTGTGCTGCTGGCTGGTCGTACGGGTGGGACAAACGGCGTTGGCTCCCACGCTGCTTCTGGTGTTCCTGACGATCCGGTATAGGATACTGGTGGGCTAGAGGTGTCTGGCTCTGTGCTGTAGGCAGTCGTGACATAGTTGGGCCGAGGGTGACTGGAGAACTGGAGTGCCTGCATCTGGTCGTGGTAAGTTTGATGTTGTTGCGGCACAGGTGGCATGGACGTGATGTGCGTTCCTGGGAAAGTGGTGGCAAGGGATTGTCCTGCAACGAGGCTATGAGGAGTAGATCCAGGATTTGGTGGTGGATGTTGAGGTATGGTGTTGTGTCGGTTACTGTAATAGTTGTGTTGAGGTGTGGTGTTGTGTCGGTTACTGTAATGGTTGCCTGTGCCTTTGTCTATGCCTGTACCCCTGTCATGAGAACCACCGGTCGGTGGAGACGTCGATTGCTGTACTGCCGAAAAACTGGGAGTGGCGGCGGGAATTGGTCCAGCCACGCTGAAAGTACCAGCCCCACCTTTTTGTGCTGGCATGACATTATGTCTGTTACTAAAGTTATCGCCTGTGCCTGGTTTCTTGCCTTGAATGGCACGGGTCGGTTGTGAAGCCCCGCTACACGCACTCCCCAGCACTAGCGCCACACGCGCCTTGACAGCCTCCTCCTTCCTCCTTCTCTCCTCCTTCCTCTTCCCCATGTCATGAATAATCGCCACAAGTGCAATAAGCACCACCACTGCACCTCCCAAAACCAGACCCACAATCACTCCCTCCGCCACCATTCGAGATTTTTTGGTTGCTGGTGTGTTTGTTGGTAGGGGATTTGAGAGGAGATTTGAGAGGGGTGCTGGTGAGTGACTTTAGGAGAATTCGCTTTGCTAGGCGGAGAGATTTGGTGCTGTGTAAAAAAAGACGAAGATGAAGGACGAAGGTATGAGGGTGCAGAAAGAAGGTGGATAGGCGAAAAAAAGAACGAAAAGAAAGAGAAGAGAGAAAGAGAAGAACAAAAATATAAACGAGGGGGAGGAGGTTTTGTTTGTTTGTCCCTGGTAAAATCGGCCTAAAATGACTAAGAAAAAAAAAGAAAAAGAAAAGGCGGCGTCCGGGTTAAGGTTCATTGAAAAGACGGTTTCGACTTTCAATTGAATTGCTCATCCCCCCATCGTTGCATTCATCCCCCCATCGTTGCATTCATCCCCCCATCCTTGCATTCATCTCCCCAGATCTCTCATCATCGTTTGTCAGAGAGGTGGGCAGACTCACTCGGGATCTCTATTTCAACAGCAATCACGATCAGGAAGGACCATCAGGAGAAAACATCCCACCTCCCGAAGCCGGTCGACCTAACAAGATCTTCCCGAGGACAAGGGAAATTCTTGCTCGCCAATTTTCAAGACTGGCCTGATGGACCCCCTCACGATGGCGAACGGTTCATTCAAGCCAGAACGGGTACGGATTGGACAAGGGCTTCAAGAAAAGGCATATGAATGTCAGAAAGAGATCCGGAGGATGAATGCAACGATGGAGGGATGAATACAACGATGGGGATGAGCAATTCAAAATGAAAATCGAAACCGCCTTTCATGAATCACTTTTTTTGGAGCACTGTAACTGAACGTGCACATTTTTTGCCACCAAATCAATGCCAAAACGTCTCAGAATGGCTTTATTTGACAAAGTGTACCTCAGAAGCTACGCCGCATCCGGCGAGAAACACCCGCAGTGAACCCCAGCGAAGTGAAAGAGTTCGATGCCGCCGGACTCTGTATGCAAATGGCTTGAGGTGCTCTAGGAATCGGTTCAGGCATAAGCTCTACAGATTGTTGTCCCGGGGATTGATGATCAGGCATGTCGACGGCAGAAGGTGCGGAAGGGACGGGGGTGATAGGGAACGCGACCGGCCTTTGCACCATCAAGGATGACGATGCCGAAGACGAACATGAAGAGGAAGGGCGGTAGGTCAAATTATAGTGAGAATACTCCTCGGGAGTCTGACTGTAGGGTGGTGCAGAGTCAGAGGTTCCATGGACTTGAGACCACGCCTCGTGTTCTTTTGAAGAAATCGAAGACGGGATAGGGGGACTTCCTGTGGATCGGAAGGGTATTGGCGAGAATCCAGTTGGTGGGGGGTCAAGTGGTGACAGAGACGGGTGTGAATGGGTATAAATGTAAGGTGCAGTCGGGTGTTGGCTGAATTGTTGTTGGTGGGTTTTTGGGAGAGGTGGTACAGACTTTGTCCATATTGATGACGAGGAGTTGTTGGCGGTGCTTATGGTAATAGGGGGCTGCCGCGGTTGCTGGGCGGTCAGCTCATAGTCCTGGCCATAGGGCGATGTAGTTGGCGTAGACGTCAACAAAACCGAATTTCCTATCGTCCTGTTGTTAAATCCAGAGGCGGCGGTGTGTTGCGAAGACGTATCGCGTTCGCTGTCAGATCCCGCCATTGTGGTGGTAATTTTCGGCCGTGGATGGTGCTCGAGTCCAATCTCCCTCATATACCCTGTCGAAACATCAACCCCGTGCTCCTCCATATCCTCTGTCACCAAGATCTTGTCCCTGCCGTCCAGATCAGTCGACGGCGATGGGTGCTCGATCTTGTTGATACAGTCCTTGTCCGATCCGTCCAGTTGGTCGTCCTTCATCATCGCCTCGAGAATCCTGGTCCCCAGTTTCCTGCGCCATGCGGGCCATCGTTTCCGGATGACAAAGTACAGGATGAGTACTATCGCCACCAGCCCACCAGCAATAGATCCACCAATGATTGCTGGAGTGTGATTTGGACGGTCGGTTTCTATGTCCCCATAAGATGCTGTAATGTTGATGTTGTAATCGGACCAGCTCCCGTCGCCAAATACGGTTTCCCCTAGGTATATGCTCTGAACTGGCCAGGTTCCCGGCGCGTTGACGACGAATGCAAACGGGTCCGGTGCCTCAGGAGTATTTCCACCAATGGGCTGAATCGCAGCTCCAGATAACCGGTCAATGTCGGTCTGGTTCAAAGAAGAGAGTGCCTTGTCCCGAAAGGTAGGCCCGTCCTTGAACCTCATGACGATCCCTGGTCCTGGTCCGATGGGTCCGTCGGCGCCCTGACAGAATACATACAAAATATCTTTGTAGAAGGAGGTCGAGAGGTAGCCGGGAGCGCAGTCGGACATGCTAGACGCGCTGTATGTCGGGAGGTCGTCTGGTGGCATGAAAGAGTCGAGGCTGCCGGAGAGAGGTATCCTTGTCAAGATTGTGTTGAGTTGTCCTGTCCTGTTGTTGGCGAGGACGGTTCCGAACTGGTAGAGGACATTGTTTCCGTAGACAAGCCGAGTTGGGTATCCATGCGTCAACGGGTCCTATTCAGCAATAAACATTTCACCGAAACGTCAATACTTTTTTTCAGTTCTTCTAAATTAATAAAGCAATGACAGCCCACACTACTCCTGCAGCTTACGAGAGTCCAGTTGAGAGCATTAACAAACTGGGGCACACCCTTTGCATCTTTGCTCATAACACCCAGGGCGACAGCATTCGTGGTTCCAACATTCGCTTGCACAAGTGTCGTTGTGCCCGGCCATTCAAAGACTGCAAAACTATCCGTCACGTCCCCCCAAAGGTAGTCTGGCGAGAGACTAAAATTGGTCCAGAGTGAGGTTTGTGGGTCGTATTGGAACCCCCCTGAAGGTCTCTGAGGGACTGACGGATCGGGTATATAGTTGGGGTCGGTGAGGTTGAAGGCAGACATCATGGTAAAGACCCCAGTCTGTTGGTTGACATGACAGACCATGGGCGAGTAATCTTGTGGGTAGTACATCTCTCTAGGCCAGGCAGCGATAAGGGACCAGGACATGTTGTTGATGGAGGTTGGGTTCTCGTTTGACTGGACGATGGCGACATAGTTGTCTTGCATGTTGTCGCTGTCCTTGAGTGAGTGTGTGTACGACATGCCGACCAGTCGTGTGCCGTTGATGGTGAGACATTGAAGTGATATTATGCCCATTGTTGGGGCTCTTGTGAGTTACAGGAAGAGATTTGATCAAGTGAATGTGTTGTGATGCTATGCTGTTGTTGTTGTTGTTGTTGTTGTTGAATGCGGGTTGGCATTAGTTTGAAAAGAAAGTCTGATCTTGGTGAGAGGGTGGAATGCAGGGTGAAAGTTGGATGTGTTGTTGTTGTGATGTGTGTTGAGAGTGTTTGTGTTTGTAGGGGTGCGTGATAAATGTGTATGTGTGTGTGTGTGTGTGTGTATGTATGATAGAGAGAAGTGTAAGGGAAAAGACAAAAGAAGAGTAGCGCAGGGGAAGTGTGTGAGAAAGAGGTAAGTCAACCGTAGCCGAGGAGGAAGAATAATAGAGACAAAAAGGAGATTGTCGCTGTGGATATAAAAAGAATTAAGAGGACTGGTCCAGACCCCTGCCGCCACTATCCTAACCTTGACCTAACCCAGTTGTTCCACTTCACAACAAACAACAAAACTCCCCCAGCCCTGTCTCGCTCTCCCACCCCACTTCTCTTCTCTTTGTTCACTTGGACCCTTCTGCTCTCGAAATGAAATTTCCCGCAGCACTGCTTTCTTTTGGTGCGCCACTCAACCTCAACGTACTCTCTCAATCGTAAAAGCTCCCCCCATTTACCCCTTTATCTCCACCACCATAACAACTTCCATCAGGCCATTCTCCCTTTTGCTCCCATCCTTTCTTCTCTTCTTTCTTGGTGTTAGTTGTGGATCCATGACCAACACCCGCTCGTCTTTCCCGTAGAAACGCACGGTCCCGTACCCTGTGCCTTTCTTTCCATGCACCTTGTACCACCCATTTTTTATTTCCCGCTCCAAATTCTCCTTGTTCCCATCTACTCTGCACCGTCATCAGAACCAACCCCAAGCAGCTTAGTAATCTTGCCAATCGCAATCGTCTTACCCTCATCCCTCAAAGTAAACCTCCCCATTTGCGGCGAATCCGCAAACGTCTCTACACACAGCGCACCTCCCGACGTCTCAATCGTCACTATCCCCTGTTGACCCTTCTTCAAGAACTGTGGTGGTCGTTTCGATTTCCGGCCCGTCTTCTTGTCGATCAAATGCAACATTGCCGTAAGAGTGATCTCCTCGATAGCGGTATGGATATGGAGGACGGCAGTGTAGCCAGAAGCAATGATGTTCTTGAGGTCGAGGATGCCCAAGGCTGCTTCGAATTTCGAGACGGCGTGGACTGGATGCTTCAAACTGCACAATACGAATCCTAGCATCACGTCCTACACGGCATTTGTTTGTTTTGTTTGTGTTTGTGTACATAAAAGGGAAATAACAATGTCAGGTTCCGTTTTGAGTAGCATTTGGAAGTGAGATGAAGGATAAAAAAAAGGGTTTCGTGCGAGTAGTATGTATCCAAGATAGTGCGATTTGCGAGTTGGCCGTTTATGCAGCCAGACCGATGAAACATGAACATGTGTATCCACTCCCTTCCATGCACTTGAATACAGGACACAAAGCAGACTTACCTCTTCTTCAACACCACGCAGACGGAGCCGGATATTATCACCAACGCCCGCGACAGGGATCTCCTTCTCCAGCTCATTATAGATATTCGCCACCTCAATCTTGACCGCATTCGGCATGATCAACACCTGCGCTCCCTTCTTAATCGACCCCGCCTCAATCTTGCCCACAACAATCGTACCCATATCCTTGTACTTTTCACTAATCGGCATCCGGAACGGCGCATTCAACTTCCTGTCCGTAATCGTGATCGAGTCCAAGTAATCCAACAACGAGGGGCCAGAATACCAATCGCAGTCCTTGGGGTCAATCCCCTTCTTGATGTTGGCCCCCGTGTACCCAGAGACGGGCATGAACATGACGTCAGTCTTGAGGTTATACCGATTCGATTTGAGGAAGGGAGTCAACTTGTCGACGCATTCATCAAACCGCTCCTTGGACCAGTTGACGGTCAGGTCATCCATCTTGTTGATCACGACGATGAGTTTGTTGATCCCGCCATTCTTGGCCAGGACTGCGTGTTCGCGTGTCTGACCGCCCCTCTCGAACCCAGTCTCGAACTCTCCCTTGCGGGCAGAGATCACCAGCACTGCGACATCTGCTTGTGCAGCACCGCCAATCATGCTAGGGACGTAGGTCTTGTGTCCAGGTGCGTCCAGGATCGTGTACCGTCGAGTGTCTGTCTCAAAGTACGCTCGTCCTACCTCCACCGTCTTTCCCTAGTATCATCCACCGCCATGAAATGCTATGGTTAGCTTGTGTTGCTCGTAGATAACAACTTTCTTTCAGTATTCTTCAGTCGAGAGCAAATAAACGCAAGAAGTTACCTTGGCACGCTCCTCTGCGTTAGTATCCAGCGCCCAGGACAGATACCACGAGTCCCGTCCAGCGTCATGGGCATCCTTTTGGATTTTTTCCATCGTCCTCTTATCAATCATCCCCGACGCTTCCCTTTTTTGTTTCACGCAAGTAAAGATCAACAACACACATGTGAGTAAATTGTGCCCTTCTCTCCAAGCAACACACACTAATCATACAAACGCCAAAGTTCACATTGCACAAAATGTCTTACAGGATACGTCCACCCATAGTCGACTTGCCCGCATCAACATGTCCGATAAAGATCACATTCATATGCTCCTTGCCAAAGAACTCTGTCAATGTCTCCTGGTCCACCGCATCCTCGTCCGCCTCCTCTGCTCCTCCTGCTGCCTCCGCCGCCGCCGCAGTCGTCGCCTTCTTGGGTGCTGATGACGACGTCTTTTGGACAGGGGTGCTGGACCTCGGTGTCGGAGGCGCTAACGTCGGGACTGGAGACGGGGCTGGAGACGATGCAGCCTGAGACCCCACCCGGTCCACGGCTGCGGACTTGTTCGACACCGCCGGTGGTCGAGGCGCGCTTATTTCTGGAGTGGCAGCAGCACGAGTTGGTGGAGTGTCAACAGACTTCTGGAGGACTGCAGCAGGCGGAGGAGCGTTAAAGTCGATCCCTGACGACGAAGGTGGTGCTGGTGCAGGTGCAGGTGCAGGAGGGGGCATCCAGGAGGGAACAAAGGCCTTTGCATTAACTCTGGGGACAAAGGAGCCTGCACTTGGGTTCAGTGAGAGACCTGCCAGGTCTGTTGTTGGTGGTGTGGTAGACTTGTCGTTGTCCTGGTCGCTCATTTGTTGTGATGTCGAGTTGAGGTGTTGGTGAATGAGTGTTTGTTGAATGGCTGTGTGTGATTGCGAGAAAGAAAGAAGGGAAGGATGGAAAAAAGAAAGGAAGGAAGGAAGGAAGGAAGGAAAAAGAAAGGAACGAGATAAGGAAGACTGACTAGAAGAAGCGCGCAAGTCTAGCGCGTGGGAGAAAAATAACGACGACAGACTTACCAGGTTCAAGTCACATGCATATTACACGCGATTTCGACACTGTTCAACATTGTACTCATGCACACAAGTTGTGAACAACAAAGGGAAAGAAAAAAAAAAAAAAAGCGAAATATATATTAAAACGAACACGAACGGCTAAGCTACAACGATGTTCAAGAACTCTCCTCAGAAGGACGTCTATCCACAACGAAATGCTCCTTAATATGTGGGTTCTCGGCCTTACCAGCCCTCCAATCCGCCAACCGTTTCTCCTCAACCAAATGCTCCGCCCACTCGATCGAGCCCACCCACCTGCTCAACACCAACGTGAAATAAAAGCCAAAGAGCAACCCGAGCGTGACCATGACAATCGCAGTGATCGCGGCTGTCTTGCGGCGTTCATCACATTCCTCGAGAGACCATTCTGGGGCGTTGAGTTTGAGGCAGCCGGCATTGACTTTTTCCTCTTGGTGCATCTCGACGGCGATGTAGACAATTCCCCAGCAGAGGAGCATAAGAAAGAAGCCCCAGCATGCTGAGACGAATTGGCGGAGGTGCCATGTGCTTCCCTGGTTTTTTGTTGTTGTTGTTATTGTTGTTGGCATGAATCCAGAACGAGTTGTTAGGTACAGGTCGGAATATCAGTTGATCGATCAGTGATGAATGACTATTGATCAGTGATATGTGATTACCTTGGTGGTAGCCCAGACACCGTAGACACCGGTGAACAACAACAGAATGCAGATAACGCCCCATGGAATCGATAGATCATTCTCAGCATGTGGCATAATCCCTACATCGTTTGCAAGTAAAAGTAAAAAAAAAAAAAGGTAAGCGGTCAGTCAAACACGTAGGCTAAAGTACTTTTTGTTCCTCTCCACACCCTGCATCCTGCATCGGTTCCAATCCTTGGCTCCTTGTCCCTTGCTTGCTGTATCCTCGGTAAACCTAACAGCTGCCCTTTACCCGGAGCTACTTCGGCAAAAAGGCGCTCGCGGCGAATTCTTTTTTCGTTGTTTTTGTTACAACGAATCGTGTTCTAGCCCCAACTGAGTAATCACCCTCTGCAGCAAATCACGCAAAGCTCCCCTTTCACCACTCCAATAGATACCCTCCCCTCTCTTTCTGTATCTGTCGAACCAGGGTAGAATTGTCCATGAGAGCCCCATCGCCCACCAAGTGCCTGGTTACCATATTCTCTCGTCGTCTCATTGCTGCCAAGGGCCCTTACTCCTTTTTGAACTCTAGTGTTTCTCTGCTCACAACATCCCTCATCCGTGCACTATCCGCCCTCGCACAAAACAAATTAAATAACACACCCTCTCTTCCCTGCATGTGTGAAATAGAAGCAAGAAGAACTTACAGCGTCCAAAGGAGAGGATCATGAAGACGAACCCAACGACAGCATAGAATCCCGCAAGGAAGGGTGCAAACGTTTTTGGGTCAATAACCCCAAAGAACTTGTCGAATATACCCATTGTGTCGTATTATTCCCAGTGATTTGTTACAGTTGTTGGTTGTAGTATTGTTAGTTGTAGAGTGAAGTACGACAGGGTGGGTGAGGTGAAGGAGGGGAAGGGAGGGAGGGAAGAGGAGAGTGGTGAAGAAAAGGCGATTAGGATTAGGAAAAAAAGGAGTGAGATGGATATGGAAGCCAGGTAACGAAGGGAAAAACTGCTGACTGAGGACTGAGACACTTGAATGAAACGCATCCCAATCCACGCCAACAGAGTCTTCATACGACATCTAAATGAACAGACTAAAGACGTCCGCAAGAAGCCCTTTTGGACTTGGGTCATGCATACAGCGCACTTGCGGCAAAGGATACCCGGTTACTCCTCCAGGTCCGTCTTCGTCTTGACCTTGCTCTTCCTCTTCTTCTTCTTCTCTTTCTCTCTGTTAGCAGTAGGGTCTTCTTACTCGACGCATCCTACCTTTGACAATAACTCCATTAGTGTCATTCCTTCTAGCTAGTCATCCCCACAGACAACGCATCTCGAAGGAATCACAAATATAGGCAACATACACCTCCTCGTCATACAACAACTGGAGAAGGCAAAGTAGTGAAGAGCAGCAAAAGAATAAAACTGTATTCATCATTCCCGCGCTCGTCCTTAGTTTGCTAAAAGTACAACCCTGCAATGAGGATGAAAATGGAAAAGGAAGAAAAAAGAAAATAATAAAGTACCGGTATTGTACAAAAACCTGAAGGAGAATAAGAGCCACCGTCGCCGTTACCATCCAATGACTACTGCTGACGCCGACGATAGGTATACCCTCCCCCACCACCGCCCGGGATCCCCGCCGAGACCAAATCGCCATCCTTCAATACAATCCCCTCCCCGACCTGCTGTCCCCCCATCAGAGCCTCAGCCATCCCGGCAGGAACACCCTTCGGCAGCGGCTGGGCCACGTCATGACAGTAGGCGTTCAAGCCGTTGGACCAGACGTAGCCATGGCGGATCACATTCTGGAGTATCTTGTATGCCTCCTTGTTGGCGTATGGGATCCCGCTCTTTGGGTCCTTGTACTTTGCTGGTAATCCTGTTATCGGGCAGAGCGGTTTGTGTTCCGGATCTGTCATAGGAGGTAAGTTGGTGAATTAGCTAAGATGGATTTCCTTCGGGATCAGGTGCATAAACACACGCTTCAGACCCAATCCTGGCAAAACTTGCGCGTTTCGATAAGAAACAAAGACGACTTACAGTTTTCTTCAAATGACCATTCGCTGACAGGCGAATCCTCGTCATCAAAGTCCATAAACGTGATCCAATTGCGTCCACACATCTGCGTAGGATGCAGCCTTTTCCGTTTCCGTGCGATCGATCCCGCCGACATGTTCATGGTCGCATAGTGAGCAGGCGTGAGTGCTCCGCTAGGAATCTCTCCTGCTCCGCCCTTCCGACTTCTCGATTCTGCATCTCCCATTGCTACTCCTCCTGCAATAGACATCTCGACGTCACCATTTTGGCTGCCCACATCCACACTCATAGGTGACGCTGGCGTTCTAGAAACGGGTCCGCTGTCGACACCGTTGAAATCAACCTTGAGCTGTCTACTCTCCTGGGGTGCCGGGCTCGAATCCCTAGACATCGACACCGATCGTGACGTCTGATTCTGCTGAAGTTGAAGCTGCTGTTGTTGCAGCAATGATTGGGCCAGAGATTGTGCAAGACTCTGAGCAGGGACACCACCACCAGCCCCAGAATGTCCATACTGAGTAGGAATAATATCTGGTGCAGCACTTCCTGCTCTGGATCCCGCTCTGCTCCCTGCTCTTGATCCCACACGCGTCGGGGGTCGAGTACCTCCAGGTGTCGCAGGTCCAGTATCAGCCAGTGCCTGGATCAACGGTCCATGCCCAATCCATTCCGCAAACGAATGGTACCGCACAAACGGTCCCATCGCCACGTCCTTCTTCTTGACGACCTTCTTCTTTTCCATTTCCATCGCCTTGAATGCTTGTAGAGAAGCCAGGTTGATCTCCTCGGTCTTCTTGGCTTCCTCCAAAAGCTCCTCCTGCGTCATCTTGTGAACAACAACCTTCTCTCGCTTGGGTTGCATCGCCTTCCTGGTCTCGTACTCCAGCAATTTGAGCTCTGTCTCTTGATTGTTGAGGACCGTAGTCCGACGTGACGATTTACGAATCTCGGCCGGGATCCTGATCATGGCTGCTGATGAAGGTCCTGGAGATGCCGCTGCAGAAGTGGTTGCCGTCGATGAGGAACTGGCTACCCTTCTCGAACTTGTCGATGTAGTCTTCCTCTTGGTAGGTACCGCAGTAGTAGTAGCAGCAGCAGCGGCAGCCTGCCGAGCCGATTTCGCACGTCCCGTAGTAGCTGTCTGTCCTGCGGCAGGCACTGTAAAGGCAGATTTTCCTGTTTTCAGATGACTAAGCATAGCTTGCTGTTTCCTCCGCGCTTTGGCTTCCTCTGGATCCTCGTTCAAGTCGATCTCCTCATCCTCAGCTGGCTCCTCGTCCGCACTCGACTGGTCAAAATCTGAATCCACAATATCGTCCTCATCTATGTTTACAGGAGGGGTTCATGATGAAAAGTTTGTTGTTGAGCAACTGTAACGGGCGACACGCTTGTTGGGTAGCAAGAGTCAATGCAAACAGGGGACAGAAACAGAGTAGTGGCATGGCATGGTAGGTTGCGTTTTACCTTTGCCTTCAATCTCAAACTCCTCATCGACACCCTCATCATCAAACAGCTCCTCCATGTCCTCCTCCTGATTCAACAGTGCTTGAAGGCTTTTTTTTTACAGTATCACGAAGAAAAAAAGTCCATGGTCCGAGTTGGAAAATGGTAACAAAGAAGACAGATTGTCTTGTTAGTGATTGTTGATCTCTGAAAGGATTGCGCGAACTACAGTAAAGTCGTCGGAAATCCCCATGCCTGCAGAGTTGTGACTATATGTCCAGTTGGCCCATACCGGTTTCCCGCGTTCGCGCGTCTCTCTCGATTTGCAGCCATGCTGGGGGGTCGAATGTGTTCCTGTAAACGTCGATTGCTGTCAAGACGAGAGCGAGAAAGAGAGGTGGAAGGAAAGGGAAGTCGCAAAGAAGCAAACTATGAGGGTGCCCCCTGTCAATTCGTCAATTCCTGCCACTAAATCAATCCAAGCCACATATTTCTAACGGGTCTTACGGCACCTCACACCTGGCTTCACCAGACAAGCACAAAGGGCTAAAGTGTAAGAAAAGAAGGGTGATGGATGATAAAACCTTTCTAATGAATGACTGGAAGAAGGAGGAATATACAAAGAACGAATAGTGACACGTCTTCAAGGGTGGTAACCTGTGCGGTGACCCCTCACACAGTCACTCTTTCACTTCCCTGGCAGTTTGGAAGGACAATTCTACTAAAAGCATTTGCAACAGAATAAAGAGACCTCCGAGATATAAGTAGCGGTGGAAAGGAATAAAGAGGAAATGAAATCTTGACAGGAGAAGGGAAGGGTAGGATGTATTAGAGCAAAAATGTGGTTCTTATTATATTAGATCTAGAGAGCGACAGCGGCGGGGGTTTGGTTCTGAGAAGCGAGCCACCTCTTGGACGGGGTATTGGTGCGTCCTGACTGGTACGTGCCCCTGAATGTTGTAAAAGGCAAGAACACAATATGGGGCCGGTATTCGTTGTAGGCGTCCGTTCCTTTCTTTAGCAGCCAGTTCGGGATGCAGTTAAATCCAATACGGCGAATCATGTTACCCACAAAGCCCTATTCAAAAACAAAAGGAATAGTACGATCGATGTTAATCAACAATTGCTCCCGCTAATATGAATGGCAGGAAGCGGCACTAATACATCAACGCGTTGAACACATACCTGCTTGTGCATTAAGTATGCCGTCTTTCTCGATCCGTCGACCGACTGCTGTGCCAATCCACTGCGCTCATCGTAGTACTCTTTGAACGCCTTGGTAACCTCTTCCTGAGTGGTGGGAAGGTCTTCGTAGAGAATGTTGGCCAATGCTACCGCAGACGTGATGGCCATAGAGGCACCCATTCCTCCGAAAGGCAGCATCTATTGTTCCATTGTGCAAGAACGTGTGAGAAATAAGTCCATGATAAAGTCAGGTAAAGTTGTGTTGACAAATGAAAAAGAGGTCGCGTTGTTTACCTTGTGGCAAGCTAGGAGAAGCAAAATGGCCAATAAAAGATGGGTGGAGAAGAACGTGAGAAGGTTGGTGAGAGTAGTGATCATTTGGTACATGGCATTATATGCGACAACAACATAAGACAAACATCTTACCATCTCCAAGAAGAACAGTCCTTCCGTGGTACCAGTTGTGGTAGAGCTAAAACACAGATACCATAGCTTAGTAAAAGTTCTGCTGCAAGAAGAGCGGAGTGCTATTAAACCAAAGAGACCAAAGTCCTTTATACCTTGTCCTCGAGAACGACTTTGGTAATCTGCTCCTTGGGCGTCTTGTCGAAAATGTCTCCAACAACACCTCCCAGCGGACAGGGCATATCCTTGACCAAATCGCACATCTCCTTGGCAGCATTGGCGCTCCAGTCCGAAGAAGGTCCCTGGGTCTTGTTTTCGTCGTTGCTGCTGCTGTTTCCTTTATTCATTTTGTTCCACGCATTGTTGTCCTTAGTGATCATCCATCCAACTCTAGGGCCCAGTTCAGGATCTATCACTGGCATGAACCACCACTACCATGTTATGGAAGGGAAATGTCATGAGAAATATTTTGCTGTCAGTCTTGCATGTACTTCTCATCTTGTATCAGCAATGGTAGTACCCAGACTCGAGTATGTACCACCGAAAACAACTGAAACCTACGACAGAAGGAAAAAAAGGACTTACAGTCATTGGAAGAGTCGTTCCCATAACAATTTTAAATTCACAGTGTTCCTCTTTCAAGACTGGATATTTTTCTGTGTCCATGGGCCCAGTCACTCCGACGACACAGTCATAGTCACTCTGCATGGGTTCGGCGTCACTAGTGTGCATTAACCCTACTGCTTCGAGTTCCTTGAACATGTGTTGACGGATTGAGCTGTAAGCTCCGTCGGTTCCGACCAAGATGGTTCCCGAGTAAGTGGTGTCGTCTGCACAGGTGATTGTGACCTGGTTGTCGTCCTGGTGGGAGGCGATGACTCTTTTGTTGTAATGGAGCTTTTCTTTTGGGATCCTTGAGGCGAGGATCCTGATCAGATCGGGTCTTGCCATGACTGGCGATGCGAATCCGTACCTATGATGATAAGATAGGGAGTAGTTCAAGGGGTACAATCGCAATTGGACCATGACCGCATCAGCCCATGTTTTTTCCGTTGGCTTGCTTGTTTGCATTTGCTCACTTTGCATATGTATATGTTGGCTGTGGGATAATCTAAACGATGAATACTGAACGCCGTCAAAACTTACGCTTCCTTTTGCGAGACCCCAGGGGCACGAGCATAAAACGATCCTTGGCAATTCAGATCCTGGTCCAACATATGTAGTCCTCCAAAGGACTTGCTGTAGGCCTCAACTTCTTCCATGATCCCTACTTGCTCGAACAGATAGTTGATCTTGTTCAATGCAATCGCAGACCCGAGTGGGCGCAGTGCCTTTGATTTTTCGAATATCTGTTATCAACGAATAATAAGTTCACGTCGAAGGTTAATCTTTCGCTTCACTCGCTCCGGAGGGAACACCTTTGCTCTTTACAGTTACCAATTGACCATGCTCAGTGCCCGAGAAAACACTGTCGATTTTTGTTACCTGGTAAGGGATGTTGCCCTTCTCGCACAGCAAGCCGAGCATGAGACCGCCCGTGCCAGCACCAACAATAAGAACCGTGGGGCCCGACTTCTTCTCCGCCATAGTTTTTTCTCGGAATAACTTTTTTGTTGTCGTAGAGAAGGGTTAGTTGCTGGTCTATTCGTTCCTGAATGAGCCCTTTTTCGGAATGAGTGATGGAGGGAAAGAGAGAGGCCGAGGAAGAAAGTTGTTGATTCCGAGAGGGAATGAAAGAAACGAATGAGATGGAGGGAAGAAAGATGAAGAAGACGATGAGTGAGAAAAAAAGAGATGGAGAGAAGAAAGAAGCGGAGAGGAGAGGCAGAGAAAGAGGAAAAAATAGAGACTGTACCCGTCTACCCCGTTTGATTAATTGCAGACAGTGTTGGGCTCAGTCAAGGTCAACAAGACATGTGTATGAGGTGATCAGGGTTCCACACGCCAAAAACGAGTTGTTTTTGTTTGTTTGTTTGTTTGTTTGTTTGTTTGTTTGTGTGTTCAACATTGAGAGGCGAACTGAACATAATTGATAGAAACTCAATTGCTATCGTATGCAGGATAATCCATCTATTGTGTTCTGTTGTAGTAACAGCAAGCCATGATGGTGCTATATGCGCATTAGTGCGCAAATTAAAGGGGGATCAAATATAAATTACTGTACCGATAGATGCAAGGGATGCCACATCTGCAAGTGAATGCACGCAACAAATACTGAGGTCGAGGAAATGGAACTGAGAAATGAACATCGGTGCAGATAGTGAATGATGAGATTCTATTTGTGGTGCATTCTTCTGTCGCTCTCGACTATGTTCGTTCATGTCCGCACCCGACCCATCAATCCGTACATCTGAACTGGAAGACAGATATCAATGGTTGCCAGTGGTTCAAATATTAACATACCTTGTAGAGTGGTTGTTGTTGTTACTGAAGACAGGACAGGCAGTGACAGCAAGTGATTCTTATGCTAGTTGATTTTCGTCATTGTCTCCGTTCGTATCCGTGAGTTCAAGCAGCCAAGTCGTGTTCATGAGTGACATTTTAAGATGATGCATTAGACCATTGTTGGCAAGCGCACGCCAAGAAAGTTGTTCTGCTAGAAAGACAGGCAGTGGCCGCAATTCTGGAGACAGGCTAACGCAGCAAAAGTTACCTTTGAGCAGTACTATCATATAAATAGACCCAAAGTACTAAGTATATACCCACAACCAAAACACATTTCCCGAATGGACCACAGACACTGTCTCCTTTTCGTGGTTGCCGTAGGCGGCCTCAATAATAAACGATAGCCAAATGGCCACCTGTCACCTAGCTTCAACACACCGCAGGTCAGTGACCGACACAAGGTCAGTGTCCGCCGTGCATGGCAAGAACCTCACGGTGCAGCGAGGCTATGTACTCGCTGACCATATTTTCACGCCACGATGGTGACCCAACCGCTCGAAAACAATACATCAGTATTCAGAGGGAGTAATCTCCGCAATCCACAAAGGACTGGGGATGCCTTCTGCTGCATTCGATGTATCGTAGCAACCAATCCACTAGATACCTCCCTTACTTTCTTCCCCTCCTATTTTGATTGTTGAGGTGTGCTGACTGTTGAAGTGTGAATAGAAAAGGAAGCGTAGTTAACTCAACCTGCCTTTGTCCTCAGTTCTTATCCTTGTCCTTGTTCATGTCCGTTGCATCCTTCCGTATCGGTGAGGTGAGGAGTCATGTTGGAGGTATTCGACGGGGGATGAATTGCATAGGATATGAAACAAAGTCAGTTCATCGCCCAAAGGCTAGGACTGGTAACAAGAAGTCGTTCCCCAAGAAGTGAATACACACCTGTACTGAGAAGGACTGAGACAGCAATTGGTAAGATTCACAGCCAGCGGTGCCAACGCTAATTGGATCATCCCAACGCGGGGACCCACCACCAAAATCTATTTGGCAGCATTCAGGAAGGGATAGTCTCCATGATCCATAAAGGGTTGTTGAAACCTTCCGCAGGTACCGGGCTGCCTTGATAACTCCATTCCACCAGATATCTTCCCATATGCCGTGTATTCCTCTAGAATATTGAGTAGAAATTAATTCAGTCACTAAGCGCGGCTATCTCCAAGAGCTGGAATAATCTTCAGAGAAGGCGATGAGTGGCCGAGTCTGGTCGAACGACATGCTCCTCTAAAGGCCGGTGTAGAGCAATGCTGTCAGAACCAAACCCTCAGATTCTCATTTATGAACAGGCGTTGTGTTTCCTGTAGATCCATTCCTTTTTTCATAAGCAATGTACATGTGTACCCTCAACAGCCGAAGAACAAACTATTTTCGATCTCAATCACACATTTCAGTTGGCACTTTGATCGAAGATCCTTCTCCCTTGACTGTATTGGGATAAAGGAGAAGCTGAAAGGGCAAAAAAAATACGGCTACTTCAACGATAGATAAATAGGACTCAAAAGTTAAAATAAAGTCTCTGTCCTTCTTGATTGTGTTAGCACTGGGCTCTCGGATGAGTGAAATACAAAGGCGTGAAGCTTTCCCCGTCCTTCTATCTCTGTCCGTTGTCTTTTCTTTTTTCTTCTTTTTTTTTGGATCATTTGCATTCCATCATCTGCGTTGCATTCACAATCGCCCATTCAACACTCTCGCCAAAGAACATCACCGCCACCACCACCATCCAGATCAGCGAAGCAGGAGTCCTCAACATCCTCTGCGTTACAACAGACCCAAACGCAGCGACGTTTTTCGGCTTTGCATACGCCGATGATTACAGCACCATCACCACCAATCCCCAACTCGCAGTACGGGTCCGGTCCAACACCAACCCATCCTCCGAAGGCGACTTCACCTGGTCTGTTGTATCAAAGTTAGATGGCTCAAAACTGAACGGTTACCCCGACGCAGTGAACGGCGTTGATTACTCGCGCGCCATAAACGCAGAGCTCGTCGTTACAGTGTTTGGTCGACACGCACCACACACCTCCCTATACCGGCACCGAGGTCCCCTTCAGGATTCGATACAGTCCTACAGGAACAACGGAGCCCGGGTTCGGATACACTGGACTTGGCGCATGGACGAATATTTCTTTATCCTAGGGGTTCAATTGGTCAGGATCTTTTAACAGACGCGCTCTAGGGCATGTCGGTAGCGGTGCGGCTGCGATACTCGTCCATGCGTCAATCTCCGAGACGAGCAATAGCACTACCTTGGCGACTGTCAACGAATCTACAATGACCCTCGCGCCAGCTGCTGTCTGGAACACGTTATGTTCAGCAGTTGTATTCAACTTTGTAAATAATGTACTCTACCACTGCACTTGCTCGCATATTTTGTACGCAAATTGACCAAAACTTTCTTTGCTTTTTGTAGAACGCCTCAATTCACGGGACATCAGTACAAGCGCTGACAATTGGGAACAATTATCTCTACACATATGGTTTGGGACTCGGCAATACAATCCCGCCTTTTCTGTCAGGATTATCTCTTGCCACTATTAGTCAAACGATACCTTTTAGCACATCTTACAACACCTCTAGCACCACTCCGATTATCTATGGCAGCACACCCTGCTTAAAGTCTCCGACACCGATCGTCTACGCCAGCCATGGCTCCCTGACGCTGATCTGCGGGAATGAAGTAAGAGGAAGAAGAATTAGGCATAGTTGTGTCTTTGGAACGAGATGTACTTTTTACTATTGCACATCGTGTCCGCTTCCTAACTCTGTGCACTCATCCCCTTGCTTCACTTGCTTTAGATCCATAGACCTGACAAGAGCGCATTCTATACGCTTTCAGCTCCCAGCACCTCCATTATCTTGGGCCCGGTCGTGGAGTTTGACGCTGATGTCATTGAAATGGAATACTTTGTACCCATCGGCCCCAGATCTGGAGCCTCAACTTTTGGATTGATCAAGAAATACAACGATATGTTTGCCTTTGATAATGATGACGATCTCCGATACACGCATCTGATCAAGGATATCAAAGTCTCAGACACTTCAACCAGCAACCTATATCCTGTCTTGCCATCAGATCCACCTTCAGAGGGACAACACTATCGGCAGGAGGCATCGTCGGGATTGCTGCTGGAGTTGCTGTTGTCCTTGCTGGAATCGTTTTTCTATTGGTCGGGAGGTATCGCAACCGCAGGAGGAACAAGGATATTATCGCCATTTCGATCCTCGACAAGGAAAAAATCGCTTCTGACGAGGACAACAACAGCAGCATCTCTTCCAAAAAGATCGGCGATGAGGGCGACGGCCCTACTCCTTTATTCCTCGAAGGAAAGTACCCCGACAGCAGTCACAGAGAAAGACGAGCACCATCATACACCGACAATCTTCCCATGGCGCCCACCACACCCGTGCCAGAACGCCTGCAGGATCAATTAAAAGAGCTCCAGGCCGAGATGCAAGCCCTTCAGGACCGGACCTCACAAACAACTCAATTTTCCAGTCATCCCCGACCGAATTTCGTCACGACCATCTCCTACGACAGGGCGCCAGCAACAGCAACAACAACAACACCTGATCCCTCCGAACCACAGACAAGAGTTTTGACAACATTGAAAGGACCTTGAGAACCAGCACCATTTGTCCCACCTGCTGGGTCGTCCACTAGCATGGACTTGCACTCGCCCAGCGCCCCTCCCTACTCCAGTGTCGTTGCTCAATTATCACCGTCGTCACAGGACTCGCCAAATCTTATACCTCAGGATAGCGATGATTCGCCACCACCATCGCCGACAATTCCCTCCTCCCATGACCATACATAACTGCAGTTCTTGAGCGATAGATGGAGATCGCCTTATACCCAACAATAGCTCACACCACTACATCATTACTTTTTTTACTCCAAAGGCGTTTGTTACGAGCATTAATTTACACTTTGAAAGAGAAGCCTAAAGAGGTAGCCGAAGGAGCTAACAAAAGCAAATGTGGTGAAATGTGGAAGGAAAAGAAGTGCTTTATTGGCGACACAACGATCTCTTAACTTGGCAACAAGTCCTGCACCATACTCCTCAACAAATATCCTTGGTATTCATCTCGCCTACTAAGACATAGGTTGTTGTGATATCGACGATGGCAGGTTCTCTCTCAGTGAGAAAATCAAGGGGTCTGTTTTATTTTCCTTCTTTGCCTTGCCTTTTTTTTGCGAGTCATTGATACATTGTGAGCTGTTGGATGTGACTAATGTCTGAGAGGACCCAGTGTCTGCATTAGGTCTGGTAGTGCGAGGTATCGTGAATGACGGCGGTAGTTGTGGCGAAGTAACGCGTGCGTTCGAATGATCAACAACGTCTGCGGATGGTGCAACTGCGCTAAATAATGCCGCACGGTACACCATGTGAAAAGTACCCCTCGTCCTAAAAAGAAAAAAAAATACTTGTTGAAGAGATTGAAGACCAAACATCTATAGAAGAGATAAAGAGATGAGGCGCAACATTCATTCACACAGCTGTACCACGGTTCAAATTGCTACCGTCAGTCGCTACAGCGCCGAGGGATCGGGCTTGGCATCGAGACCGCTTACACCCCTGGCAATATCGGTTATGTGGTAAGAAAAGCACCCATTCATGATTTTCTTATGCCAAAAAAAACGTATGAATCATATTTGCCATAGACACCGGCCGCCACCATGCGTTTCTTGCAAGCATGACACAGTTAGCGTGGCACTCTTCATGGATATTTTCTTTTCTGCAAAGAAAGAATTGATGGTGTGCACATTGGCCTTTCGACCTTGTCAATATAGTTTCATAGTCCTCTTTTTTTTGCTGTCCCGGCGAATACAAGCACATGGACGAATGTAATTTTGCCCTGGTGCACCATTACCTATCGTTGATGTGATGCGGCCTGTCTTTTTTTTACTCGGCTACTCTTTCTCTGATCTGTCGCGGGATACTGGGGCGAGTGTGTTTTCCCAGCCCTCCTTGCTTGTGGATGTGACCACATATATTTCAGATTCAGGAAGGCAGCGCCATCATCCTTCTTCGCAAACATCTTCAGCGCAATCCATATTGCAGCTACAGTCAAACCTCCCCTATAGCATATCCTTGGGCTGCAAGTAAAAGTATGCTATAGGAGAGGTTATGCTATTAAGAAGGTGTGCTACACCCATGTAACGTAGTAGGGGTGATTCAGGATCATGGACCCAAACCTTATTTTCCCGAAAAAAATATGCAATAGGAGAGGGAATAGCATATGAATATGCTATAGGGGATTATGCTATAGGGGAGGTTTGACTGTAAAATGATATTGCGTCTGGGTCGGTTGAAATGCAAAGAAGATCGGGGATGACCATTATTGCAGGTGTCAGAGTATCCACTCTGATATGTGTGGGAGTTTTGAACCCCGGGTTCGAAGAGAGAGCAGGGGGAGAGTTGCTATGAGATGGGAAGGCGCTAACTGGTTCTTCCTCCTCCCTTCTGGAGGACCTGGTGTCGGCTCCAGGGGTTTGGGTCACTTCGTTGATGGCTTGGTTTGACAAGCTGTTGCGTTGTTGGTATTTGTGGGCGTCACTTTTTTGTATATGTATCTCTTCTGTTTGTGTTGTAGTTGCAGTTATGGTTGATAGAGTGGTGATGAAATGAAATGAATGAGGGATAGATATTGTGTGTCGCTATTGATAGTTCTGTCTCTGTTGTGGATGTCGCTATTGTTGTTGTCGCTGTTGTTGTCGTTGTTATCGCTGGTGAACCCATGAAGCCTGCACGAAAGAAGGAAAGAAGGTTGATATTTAAGTAATATCCATCACGCTCATACTTTATCTGTTGTGGTGTTTGCTTACCTGCACGAAATATGGAGGAAAGGTTACTTTCCTCTCTCGCGTACAGGCTCTCTTTTTGTTAGAACTTAAAAGTTAGAAGAGACTCTACTTAAGGGATGGTAGACGAGGCCACAAGTTCATGGGATCGAACCCCGCCATGACCACCAAGTTCCATATCCTTCCCTTGATGATCAAGTAATGGTTGACTAAGCAATAGGATCCTAGAAACCCCAGAAGCCGTTCCGGCTTCCTTCACGCACATATAAAAGTCATAGTCTGTACCCAGTTAAGTCTTCAGTTCATAACTCATTTCTTTATTAAAAACACTTAAAAAGCACACTCGCTCCTCGTTCCCTCGTCCCCTCGTCTTTCTATAGTCCCACACCCTCGTCTTGTTGCAGCAGGTAATGCCTTTTTTTTTTTTTTTTTTTTTTGGGATGATTGCAAAGATTGGGCGAGAATGAGAAAGATGTGACATTTGGACAAAGGAAAAGGAAAAGAAATAGGGCGAACATTTATGTCGACATTATCGTTCATAATCAAAACAACCCGACACTCCCTCAGAAGGTGGAAAGAAGCCCCAAACCATTTTCCCATGGAAACAAAACCTTACAATGTTCCTTTGGAACAACTGGAATGTGGCTATGCAAAGTGAGCAAACGTAAAGCATCCGACCCACAGACATTGTCCGATACTCTAATTTTTTTCGAATTGGCCCTTCCTAACTGGCTTGAGGCAGCCAAGCGTTCATAGCGACGTTGCCTATCAATCCTTCGATGTCGGCTCTTTCAATCCTTGCTTCGTCAGAATTCGAGGTCGCGTTGTCGATGCTTTGTTCGTTTGTAATATTTTTTTTATATCCTACTTAATTGATGGTCTGCACAACTATCATAGCATGAAAGATTGACGTTGATTGAAGGTTTATCGCAGTTGGAAGAATAAACACATCTCCATCTATCACTCGCAGGGATACAAGACTTCCTCCCTAGACTCCAACAGTTCATCACCGACCATGCGTCTTCTGCGGATATGGATCGGTTTCCCCTGCATGATGCGGGTGACATTTTCGGCGACGTCTTCGATAAAAGAATACTCGAGTCCCTCTGATGACCTCGTGATATTAATCACTATATCGAAAATCGGACGTGAAGTACGCTGGGTGACGACCTTTTTTCCGTCAACCGCTACCCGGTCCGAAACGAGAGCTTGTGTCGACCCTCCGAGCGCCTTGTTCAGCATCGGGTTGAACACAAGGTCCTGGATGTTTCCGTGGACAGAGGCAACCATCTGGATGGACCTCAGTGCGATGGTCTGGCATACTTCCACCTCGTTCTTTGTGTTCAGCTCATCGATTGCAATAACGTCGGGCGAATGGTTCCTCACACAGTCGAGAAGAGTCATGTACTGTTTGGCAGGGTCTACTGGCCGGAAGACTCGTGAGGTGCCTACAATATGGCTCCTGTTTCCTGTTTCTCCGCACACTTCGCCGGACGTGTCGATCAAGCACAGACATTTGCCGCGGGAGAGATACTTGCAGATCTCACGAAGGGTCGTCGTTTTCCCAACGTTAGGGGAGCCGCACAGAAGCACGTTCTTTTGCTCTACGAGTCCCTCGAATATGGGCAAGAGTCCTGACACACTCCGACCGACTCTGATGGTGATGCCCTTGATGGAACCGTCATACGTCACTGCTGCCAATCGATGGAGGGTCTGTCCGAAGATCACACGGTTGTTTTGGCTGAAATCAGGTTCACCTCCTGGCAGCTGTTCCAATATAGTGGATACATCGGAATGCTCGATTACTTTGTTGTACTGAACGCACTCCCCACTGGTCTTGACGGACATCTTGGACCCCACATCGAGAAAAATATCCGTCACCGCGGTGTCATCCAAATCGAGATACCCGGTTGCAATGTCGCCGAGAATATCAATAATCGCCTCTGTGTCACAGTCGACAGACAGAGGAGGAACTGACGTTGTGGCGTTTGTGGTCTTGCCAGCCGCGAGGTGTGCGGCGGAGGGAGGAGCTGGCTTTGTGACGTTTGTGACCTGAAAAGCGACGGATTTGACGGCCGAAGGAGGAAATGCTGTTTCTTGGAGGTACTTTGTAGCCATGTGAAGAGGAGGACGGGGCGGATCAACTGCCGCTGCTGTGAATGTGCTCCTTGTGAGCACCACCCTGGTGTTTTTTTCCACCAGCGTGAGATAGTCTGTGGACTCAACGATCCGCGTGAGATTGGAGCGAGTGATGACGTTTCGCTCCTGGAGTGCCTTGATGAACAGAGAAACGTGGACCGTGCTACTGTCCACGAAACATGCTCTGGTTGCGGCTTGGATTGCGGCTTTCTCCATTTTTGCGCTGGTCATGGTTTCGCGTCAGAGGATGGTGGATATGTTGGAATGTAGAGTGTAAAAAAAAATGTGTCACAGTCTTAAAGCGAGAGGTTTAATAGTCAAAAGCGAAGGATAAAGGAACGAGCAAGTGAGGCAAATGGAGAAACAAAGGAAGTGCAAGGGAAGTGCAAGGGAAGTGCAAGGGAGATTGGGAAAGAGGTAAAAACGGATCCTGTTTAATGTACAAGGAAGGAGCGATATTTATAGGTCCCAGTTTCCAATGGTGGCGAGTGCAAATGTTGATATTGATCGATTGTGCCAAGAGGACATGAGGTCATGGGATTATCAAAAAAGACGGGAAGGTGTAAAGGTAGATGCATACAAAAAGGCTTGGGAGTCGATGGGGGAAAAAAAAGGCAAAGAGCAAAGAATCAACACATGAAACAGATGTGAAAAAGTGATAACATCAGAGGTATGTAAACAAAAGATACGAAAGGCGCAAAAACATGAGGCGGAGGCTTGCATGCAGTTGCAATGTACAAATGCCATGAGTGAGGGAGTCGATTTATGCATTGTGCATAGGACGTGGGAACATGGAGAGTGGTATTCATGCATCTTGCATAGGACATGGTCATTTAAGGGGCGCACATCTTTGGGTTTGGTTGTCCACCTGTTTGCAACACCTTTTCACCAACTTTAATTCAACGGGGTATTGTAAGCAATAGAGTAGCCTTGTTGCTACGACCTGCTGAGATTAAGCCTATCGCTTCAGATTTGTTCGAAGAAAGGTGTGCACAGCGCATGAAAAAGAAAGGGAAGTGTTTTTTCAAAGGGGAAGAAGTCAGGAGTTGAGACGCCTGGCATGATTCTATTCGCCATTTTCTGACTCATCTTCCCTTTTTATCGTTTTCTCTCAATATATCCGCATCCTTCTACTCATTCTTATCTTCCCCTTTTGAGCCTTTTCAAATCCCTCTTTATAATCATTAGCACACTCTACTTACTTGTTTTTTCTATGAAGAAGTTTTATCACCATTCTCTCAATTGCATTTTCGGCGATGTTGGTTAGTGCGCAAGAAAATGGCGAAGTTCGCCAATTGCGTGTTGGACCAAATCGCATTCAACGACGCAATGTGTGTGTGACGGTCGTTACATCATTCGGTGTGTCGAAATGGAGGGAACCTCGGGAGACTGCTACATGATTGGTGCCTATCCCGACAAACCTCGCCAGCCAACACATGCAGCCGCCTTTGTTTTCATCAGTGTCTTGACGAAACGATGCACACTGGTGATGGTTGCCGAACTATTTGCAGCCGTGATAGACCTTGCCTCAAGCAAGCCAACACGTGCTACCGTATTTGTTTTGATCAATGTCTCAGCGAAACAACGTTTGGCTGCTATAAGCCAGTTCCCAGGCACGCTCCACAGACCGTTCAGGTACTGCTGGGTAGGAGACTCTATCCAACGGTTAAACACGAAAGGTGGGCGCGAGCTCACGCCTAGAATACCCTGTTCTTTTTTCATACGCTGTGCACACCTTTCTTTCTCTTACTACCTTCGCCCTCACACGCTCCCACGCCCCCTTTCTTTTTACTACCCACGCCCTCGCGCACTCCCATGTCCCTGATCTTTTTCTTTCTCTTACTGCCCACACCCTCACATGCTCCCATGCCCCTATTCTTTTTCATGCGCTGTGCACACCTTTCTTTCCCCTATTACCCTCGCCCTCGCCCTTTTTCTTTACAAGGAGCCCTTTATTGAATGGTGCTGCAATTAATCAGCAGCCTTTTTTAATTGACGAATTGAGACTCAAATGTGGCTTGGCAGGATCACTAAAAGGATCCTGTCTTCGCCAAATTGAATAAAACAACTTTTTTTCCTCATCTCCTATTCCCCATCTCCTTTTCCCCTGTACTTTTCGCTTCGAAATCACCAACACGCTTTCTATTTATCTCCCCCGCTCGACCAAACATACATACATACGCTCTCTTCTCTCTATCTCTCTCCCACTCTTTCGTGACAGCTGTAACTTGTACTCGTTAACAACCCCCTGGTTTTTCTTTCGCCTGTCATTGTTCTCTTTCAACATTCATCGCAACAGGGGATAACGCACATGGATCACATCAACGATGTATACCGCAACGCCCAAGCCAAACAGCGAGAAGCCTACTTTGATTTGGCTCTCCTGCTTGTAACTATTGGGGTCTTTCAGTGGAAATCTATATGTCATCCGAGCTGGTGAGTGAGAAATGTGTTGGTCATAGTGTTTGTTGTACTCTTTACGGCGTCAGCGCTCCTATCTATATTTCGACTCGAGTGTTTTCTTTACTCAAACTCATACAATAGGGTGTATCCCAAGGACCCTGAGAATGAAGAACCGATAGTTATTTACGGCCTCTTTGAGGTGTGCTCGAAAATCTCGGGGCAGTGCAGTGTCGAAAGTTTACAGATCATACTATCGATAACTGTGTAGGATATGGCACTGGAAAGACAACGGACGGGTTTCGCTATACAGAATGGAAAATTCTTCGAATTATGGCGGAAATGAACGAAGGCTTCGTTCTCCTCTTATGTTCCGGGTCCATTCTAACCGCCTGTCGACTTGAAGCCTACACTCAAGGATGGCGCATTTTTCAATTTTTTATTGCCGAGACGTGTAAGTGTGTAAAAAATTGATGATTCAAAAACGTTGGGAGATGCAAAGGAAGCAGAAAAGCAGTTTTATAACAAAGGTGGAGAGCTGCCATAATAGGCCTGGAGTGTAAGAGCTTGCTCATAGAAAGTGTACGCGGGGGATTGTAGGGCAAATGAAGGATGTCCAAACTGCTAACATACTCGTTCTGAACCACTATCTTTAGTTCTTGTCCAACTGGCAGTTGCTGGAATGATCTTCGATGTTCTATATTCATCTGAGCTGTGGATTGGTCATACCTTTGGCTGGGGCTTTTACTTGTGCGTTCTTTGCATTCTACTTCTCGCTTCTGCTTGGGGTGGTCAAGAATACTTTCATCTTTCCCATGAAGTATACCCGGAGAGAATTCCTTTGGTATCGCAGTTTTTGCAATGGATATCAACAAGTCGCCACGAAACTGAAGGTTACATACCTTTAAGATGAATATACTATATCTCAGTTAATTCTCTCTTTTGATTGCCATTCGTCCTCTTGAAAAGCATTAAAGCCTGTCCTTAATTAATTATGATTTCCACATTAACTGGCCTAAACGTTCATAGCCACGTTGTTTTTTGATCCTTCGATGTCGGCTCTTTCTCTCCTCCATTAGAATTCGGGATCGCGTTTTCATTGTGGGTTTTCTCTTTGTCTCTTTCTTAGGGATATCAGTTCTAAGAGGAATATTTTAGGGCTCATTCACTATGCCGTTGATCTTGAATCGGGTTGTTGTAAGATGGTTCTGCGACATCATCTTTGCAAACTACATAATGTACTCGAAGGCTTCCTCCACCTGTTCCTCCCAGTCCTCGTTCTCATAATTCCCGTTGACCGGAACATCGCTCGTACATACGACGGAAGGGCCAAAGAACTTCTCGGTATCATACATTTTGGTTTCAGACGACACTCAACAAAGTGCCAATTACATGCATAGTAACAATTCCATACGCCACATGAAGCCTTGCGCCGCTCCGTAAATCTCGTAAGTTGCAGCCTGTTGAGGCTGCATCTTGTTGCATCACGTTCTGTTACACCCTGTCGGGAACGTTTGTTTCGTCTTGGCTTCCCCATCTCTTGCCACATACCGTCGCTTGTCATTCCTCGTTTCCATCGCGTAGTCTACCGGCCCAGTGACCCATCTTTCTATGACGTCCCTTTCCGGAGTAAGGGACAGTACCGGGTTCAAGACAACGGCAGCTTGGAAAACGGGGCAACATACGTTATAGTACATGCTTCGCTATGAAAGGCGGTGGCTGTCTTGGCAAGGCTGATCGCTACCTTCATCTAGTCCGACACCGCCTCACGTTATCCCGTCTTATAATCTGCCCCTCCAAGCTCAATCTTGTCAACCCCCTTAACGCCCCCTAGCCATCCGTAAACCTCCAACGTAAAATTGGAATGTCCCATTTGCAGGAACTCAAGGTGCACAACAAGACGTGTCAACCCACCTGTGACATACTTCTTTAGGATGGCTCGCAGTCTGGCGTGGCTCAGGGGGGTCGGTCGATCCCGCCATTAGGAAATAACGGGGACTTTGCGTGTTCAATCGCAATGCCTCAACTCTTATCTTTGGGGATGCAATGTGTGGCGTATTTATTTTGCCGGAAGTCTTCAAAGATTCTGTTAAGGGGTAGTTTCCCAATTCCAAGGTTCGACATCCTTGGCCTTCACTGAGGCTGAGAAGGTTACATCACCAGAAAGATCCAACACCCTATTTCATAGATAGAATTTTTGCTATTCACATAACAAATATCCAACTTGAATACGGTGCTGCTTGGCGATTACGACTGTTACCGGTCCTGGACAAGTATATGAGCTGTCTCTACTGGGATAACTCTGGGAGAGACCTTGGGAAGAAGATTTGCTGGACCGCGTTTCTTCTTATCATCGAGGGAGTTGAGCGACAGGGGGACTATCGTCATAGAGTCGGAGATGGGGATCGAGACGCGCCAGAGAGGTGAGCTTGTCTGCAGAATGTTCGTCAAACTGGCTGACTTCTCGACCTCGATAAGCTTCTTGAGTTCTCCGATTGTTTGCTGTCATGACATTTCTCACTGTTACTGCGTTCATTGTCACCATCAACTGCAGAACACCCGCAACTTTTTATTGAATTGCTGATACAGCAACTCTGGACGAACTACGAGATGAGGTGTACTCCAAACATTCATCTTTGATCAAATGAATACGACGCATTGATATTTATTATGAAGGTGTTGTCTATCTGGAATCTGACAAACAACTGCATACCCACCTCGGCTTTGCTCCAACAGCCTTGAAAATCGAAGGAATGGCCATTCAGGATATATCAAGCGTTTCTCGTCAAGCGTCTGCATTTCAAAGTACATGATAGTCAGACAATCATAATCAGACAGACGCAAAGAATAGCGTGCACACTAGGTAAAAAAGCTGCGTAGTGATGGCAGTGAAATGCGACGCCACTTTATTTTCTCTCATGCTGCCGAAGCTCTGAACTCATCCTCTCCTCCACTCAATTTTCCACTACTGAGAGGCTGGGACAAAATCTTTCACTTTCTTATGGGGTCACCCTTCCGCTCCCATTTTGCCCAAAAAAAGGAAGCACTCCAATGCAGTCAGGACTAGGCTCGACTCCATAGGCTCGACTCCATCCTAGGGAAGCGCCTGCAATTCTTATTCCCAATCTTGGTCATGAGGCATTTACATCTCTGACGGCTGGCGTCAAAGTCGGAGGCCTTTTTGTTACATGATGTCATGGTGAGTCTCTGACGACCAAGCCACTCGTCAACTCAACTGTCCCCTATCACGCCGTTCCCTCCACCGTAAGAGTGCACCTCCCCCTCCTGTTTTTTCTTTTTCTTTCTCTTTCTCTTTTCTCCCCCTCCTGTTTTTTCTTTCTCTTTTTTTCTTCCTCTTTCTTTCCTCCCCTCGTCCACATTCTCCACCCTCAACCAGCTCCCCTCTCAACCAGCTCCCCTCTCAACCAGCTCCACTCTCATACAGCTCCCCTCTCAACCAGCTCCACTCTCAACCAGCTCCACTCTCATCCAGCTCCCTCTGTCCGCATCGTCCTCGCCACCTTCACCTCTCTTTACTTTCGCCATCTTCAATCACCCTCGAATCCTTTCCTCACCTCTTTTGTTGCTCGATATTGGACTCACCCGCAGCCGCGTCATCCGCGCACATACCAACAAGGAACCAAGGTAAAAAATGGGTCAGTCTTGAGTGGCAACAGCCATGACGTGTGTACGGGTGGAGAAGTGATGGTGAGCTGGGTCCACCTTGGGTACAGAAGGGCCAAAAACTGGGCTGTGCCCTGGGCTGCTCTTCATATGACCTGACCGTCAGCCTCGGCTGGCAGTGGCGCTGGATTTGAGCGGGGCTACTCGAACCACTCTGTAGGTACATAAGGGCTATAGAACATGCCATGCGCTGGGCTGCTCTTCATATGACCTCCGCCATCGGCGGTGTTGCTGGTCCTTGTAGCTTTGCTCTCCGTCAGACTCGTGGGTATTTGAGGGTGCTTCGGCCCTCACGACGACCTCTCTCATTTCTTGACATCCACTTCTCGCTGAGGGTACCGTGGCTTCGTGTGCATCGATGATTGTCCAACTCCGTGGGTACCGAGGGCTATAGGACATGCCACGCGCTGGACTGCCCATCATAATGACCTCACCGCTACCTGCCTGGGGCAAGCTTTGGGTAACGGTGGTGATGCTTGGTTCTGGATCTAGTACCGTCGTCTGCGATGTGCCTGAGGTCTTTTGAGACCTCGCTCAGTTCGGCTGTTTTCACCGCTGGGTGACTGGGGCCATCACCCCCGCTTTGTGGGGGTGGTTTAATAGCACAAAAAGAAGTTGTACGGTTGTGTTTTGTTGTTGCTTAAGGCTGACCCATTTCTTTTTCTTCTTTTCAGTCTTTCTCTGTCCTTAATAGGTTTGTACGAGTTTTCTTAGGATTGTTCGAGCAAGATTATGCGATAGAATCGAACAAGAGGGTTTTTTAGGATCAACGACAAGATAGAGTTAGATGTATTCCGGCTGTTCAATAAAACATGGAGTAAAAGGTGCTGAAAAACAATGTTCAACTTGACAAATATAACAAACTCACAAGGGTATTGCAGTTGTTTGTTTACATCGAAAAACATGTCTGTATTAATATACGAGTAGATTGTTTTTTGCTTCCATTATACAGCGGACGCAGTCTGAGTCCCATAAAAGACACATTCCTCCATCTGACCATTTTCAACTTCTTCCACCATCTCTCTCTACTACACCTTCTCACGGATATTCATCATTAGCATTCACGGCCTCTGAGCTCGACTGCGAAAGAAAAACATATACCCAACCCCTCGCACGCATGGGCACAGCGTTATGTCCCACATGCAGCCTTGGCTCTTGCTCTCAGCACTCGATCCATGTCGATTTACTGGGTTCTCTACCCTACAGTTCAATGTGCGTGTAGCTTCAACATTATCCAACATCGCATGGCTCACACAAAAACGTTTTGTGGAGAAGGAGGCTCAAGGCAATCAATTCGAACCATTTTTTTTTTGAAAAGCTGTCGATTGGAAATGCAAGCATAGGCATACAAAGTGTCGACTGTTCTGAGGATATTGACGCTCGCTGTAATCGTGTTGGAATCTTCAGGCAGATCCGGCCTTGGACGGAGTCATATTATATTTGTTTAATTGTCTATGTGCTATCGTCCTATTTTCGTTGTTGCTTTGGGGATGATGTTAGAAGACTTTCTGTCGTCATACAGAAATACAGATACACGCTAAAACCAAGAAGGTGGTGGAATTGGTGAAAGTACTCGTATAGTTGATGTGCCACTTGTGTCTGCGATATGACTTTGATAAAAATAAAAAATCGCCTCACTTCCTCAGCCCATCCTTTCTTTGTCACCATCTCCTCAGTCACCTATTCCTTCTTTGTCGTTATCTTCTCCGTCTTTTCGCATGTCGTCGTTCCTGCTCCAAGCTCGAGTCCCGCTCCGTCGCCGGTTCTTTCGCCTATCATCACACCCGTTTCAGTCTTGAGTCCTGATCCTTCTGCCTCATTGAGTCGATCTACACCTCACTTCCCCGAAAGCTACTCCACCCAACACTGCAGCTCCTATCACTCCAGCGCTTTCACCCACTCCAGCTATTCTCATCACTCCCTCACCTCTCCCGTTTGATGCAATCGATCCTATCTTTGAGCGGGTAGTTGATACCTTGGACGAGGCTTGCAAAGAGCGTCTCCTCTGCCCCACGGCCGAATACAATGCCGAGGTCCTTCTCATCGCCAATGAAACCAAGAAACAACAAACGGCTGCCAGTACAAAGTACGCTATGCTCAGAGCCCGATACTGGAAACAACTTGCCAAGAGACCTCAAGACTTGGCTGTCTTACTTTCCACAATCGATACTCAGGTCGCCAACGCAACCCACCCGCATTATGACTCTCTCTAGTCGCTGCAAGACTGTTGTCCTCGGGATACGTCGCCAGGCCACCGAGGTCATCAACATCACCAACACCACCAATACCGCCGATACCACCAACGCCACCAATACCACCAGCACCGAGATTCTTAATGAAGTCGACTAGGGACTTCTCAACATTCTTTGCCCTGCCTTCTCCAACAAGGATTTAGTCGGATGCAACAAGGAGGGAACAGACCAAGAGCCTGACACACTCGAGGGGCCAAGGAACACGATGACATACATGACAAGGAAAACGAGGCGCTATCGTTTCTCATGTCGCTCCGTACAGCCATACATTTTCTACCAAGCTTCCCAAAAAATAAGCGAGATGGGTGTTTGCACGTTCGGAGATTCATCAAACACGCGCATGACTTCTTGCCCAACTTTACGAGGGTTAGAGCTGCAGAGGAGTATTCTGGGTCTTCATTTCTGAGGTCTACCGCCTTGCAGTTATCCGTTGAGCTAAAAAAAATCACTACAGGAATAGAGCGATCAGTCTCCGCGATAAGGTAAAATGAAGTGAAAGCTGTAACTGTCATAAGTTTTTGACATTGATCAATTTTAACATAATTCTTTTCCCCAAAACACATAAACCGAAGTCCTCAAGCGCAAGAAACTTCTGCCTTCAGAAGCGAGAGATTACATTAGGCCTCGAAGATCCGCAACAGAGAATTTCGTAATATTGAACAGGGCCTGCGGAAGTCGTTGCTCGTTGGTGCCAATGTCGTCTATCGATGTCAAGTCCATTACTTTGTCGGATCTGGATCTAACCAAGATCTTTTGGCAGGACCTACCATTGGGGCGCGTGCTTCAGTTGTATGGCTTTCCAGAGTATCCGAGTATGAGCATTCCGATCAAGGCGCACATGCACATGTTGGTCTTTGCCTGTCAACAAAAATGCCTGGGTTCCTCATCACCAGGCTACTCACCAACATTGGCCGGTACTCAGCGGATCAACGGAAAACGCCTCGAAACTATTCCAAGTCGACCATCCTGATGCCTTTGGAGATAAGGAGTCATCTCCAGAATATCAGGGACGACAACTTTGAACCTACCTCCCTACACCGAGAAAGACTAAGTTCTGCGTGGGTCTATTCGGACAGACGGGTTCCGATTCCAAGTGCTCGCTTTCAAGTTGAATGAGCTCCATTCGGTCAAGTACAGGTGACTACCCTTGGAGAAGCTGCCTTCTCGACTAACATCCACTGTTGGCGGCACGGATATTTTTTTTGACGGAGATCATGAATATCGTTTCAACAAGTAGGATGTCACCCAGCTCTGGAGATGCGATCCCAAGAGTATCAAGATCCTCGGGATTGACTTGGACCAGGAATTTGTCGTTAGAGCGAGTGCGATTCTACCCACTCGCGAGCAGCCAAATGTCGAACAAGTACAAGAGTCTAGTGTTACTACCATGGAGTCGTCGCTGTCGAGTGTTGAGTCAGAGGAAGATGAAGAGGCCCTGCACCTGCTCTTCGATACCGGTGCATATAAGTGCTTGCAGTTGCCAGCATGCTCGCCCTGTGCGAGTGATCTTGTCTTGTGCCGCTTGTCCTTGTCCTTGTCCTTGTCCTTGTCCTTCCTTGCATGTTTGTCCCTGTGCTGTTACTCGGTACACCAGTGTCATGCTTGATGCAATCATGCCGCGAGATACCATCTATTGATCAATGAGAAAGGATTTAAATATAAAATCGTCAACTGTGACAGACACCTATCCAATGGGTTGGAAAACGGTGCTGAACAAAGACAAGGCCAAGGCGCACAAGGTGGAGAGCAGAGAAACACGTATGGAAGTGACCAAGTAATCATACACACATCCTTCACGAATGACAATGCGACCCAATAGGAAAGATGCCCAGCATTGACAAATTAGAGAAGACAACCTCCAACAAACTGCACAATGTTGCTGTATCCCTTGCAAACCATGGAGACCCTTTTTTCCATCTCTCTACACATGTCTCTCTTATTCGTCTTTCTCACTGGCAGCTACCAGAGACACGTTTGTATCCGTAGCGCAGAAGAAAAAGAGAAGACGTCAAAGAAAGAAGTGTGCACTGTGCAAGGAGAAAGAAATCAAAACAAAACGTGCCATGGTGGAGAAGAAGACCAAGGAACAAAAAAAGATCAAGGCTTTGACCTTTGAACAGGAGGAAATAATACAAGAGATGGCGTCCACCGATGGAACAGATGATTGTCGACATCGGTGTCTCTCGTCACAATGCATCCCTGGATGATTCATCTGGCCTCCCCAGTCTGCGAATGACTTATGTATTGTTATCAAACTCTTCAGCGGCTTCGTACCTTGTGGTAAATAAGGGAGGGGAGAGAAAGAAAAGTGGGCGAGGAATTTTTCAAAAAATAGTTGGTCAAAATTGATTGCCTTGAGCCTCCTTCTCCACAAAACGTTTTTGTGTGAGCCATGCGATGTTGGATAATGTTGAAGCTACACGCACATTGAACTGTAGGGTAGAGAACCCAGTAAATCGACATGGATCGAGTGCTGAGAGCAAGAGCCAAGGCTGCATGTGGGACATAACGCTGTGCCCATGCGTGCGAGGGGTTGGGTATATGTTTTTCTTTCGCAGTCGAGCTCAGAGGCCGTGAATGCTAATGATGAATATCCGTGAGAAGGTGTAGTAGAGAGAGATGGTGGAAGAAGTTGAAAATGGTCAGATGGAGGAATGTGTCTTTTATGGGACTCAGACTGCGTCCGCTGTATAATGGAAGCAAAAAACAATCTACTCGTATATTAATACAGACATGTTTTTCGATGTAAACAAACAACTGCAATACCCTTGTGAGTTTGTTATATTTGTCAAGTTGAACATTGTTTTTCAGCACCTTTTACTCCATGTTTTATTGAACAGCCGGAATACATCTAACTCTATCTTGTCGTTGATCCTAAAAAACCCTCTTGTTCGATTCTATCGCATAATCTTGCTCGAACAATCCTAAGAAAACTCGTACAAACCTATTAAGGACAGAGAAAGACTGAAAAGAAGAAAAAGAAATGGGTCAGCCTTAAGCAACAACAAAACACAACCGTACAACTTCTTTTTGTGCTATTAAACCACCCCCACAAAGCGGGGGTGATGGCCCCAGTCACCCAGCGGTGAAAACAGCCGAACTGAGCGAGGTCTCAAAAGACCTCAGGCACATCGCAGACGACGGTACTAGATCCAGAACCAAGCATCACCACCGTTACCCAAAGCTTGCCCCAGGCAGGTAGCGGTGAGGTCATTATGATGGGCAGTCCAGCGCGTGGCATGTCCTATAGCCCTCGGTACCCACGGAGTTGGACAATCATCGATGCACACGAAGCCACGGTACCCTCAGCGAGAAGTGGATGTCAAGAAATGAGAGAGGTCGTCGTGAGGGCCGAAGCACCCTCAAATACCCACGAGTCTGACGGAGAGCAAAGCTACAAGGACCAGCAACACCGCCGATGGCGGAGGTCATATGAAGAGCAGCCCAGCGCATGGCATGTTCTATAGCCCTTATGTACCTACAGAGTGGTTCGAGTAGCCCCGCTCAAATCCAGCGCCACTGCCAGCCGAGGCTGACGGTCAGGTCATATGAAGAGCAGCCCAGGGCACAGCCCAGTTTTTGGCCCTTCTGTACCCAAGGTGGACCCAGCTCACCATCACTTCTCCACCCGTACACACGTCATGGCTGTTGCCACTCAAGACTGACCCATTTTTTACCTTGGTTCCTTGTTGGTATGTGCGCGGATGACGCGGCTGCGGGTGAGTCCAATATCGAGCAACAAAAGAGGTGAGGAAAGGATTCGAGGGTGATTGAAGATGGCGAAAGTAAAGAGAGGTGAAGGTGGCGAGGACGATGCGGACAGAGGGAGCTGGATGAGAGTGGAGCTGGTTGAGAGTGGAGCTGGTTGAGAGGGGAGCTGTATGAGAGTGGAGCTGGTTGAGAGGGGAGCTGGTTGAGAGGGGAGCTGGTTGAGGGTGGAGAATGTGGACGAGGGGAGGAAAGAAAGAGGAAGAAAAAAAGAGAAAGAAAAAACAGGAGGGGGAGAAAAGAGAAAGAGAAAGAAAAAGAAAAAACAGGAGGGGGAGGTGCACTCTTACGGTGGAGGGAACGGCGTGATAGGGGACAGTTGAGTTGACGAGTGGCTTGGTCGTCAGAGACTCACCATGACATCATGTAACAAAAAGGCCTCCGACTTTGACGCCAGCCGTCAGAGATGTAAATGCCTCATGACCAAGATTGGGAATAAGAATTGCAGGCGCTTCCCTAGGATGGAGTCGAGCCTATGGAGTCGAGCCTAGTCCTGACTGCATTGGAGTGCTTCCTTTTTTTGGGCAAAATGGGAGCGGAAGGGTGACCCCATAAGAAAGTGAAAGATTTTGTCCCAGCCTCTCAGTAGTGGAAAATTGAGCGGAGAGGATGGGTTCAGAGCTTCCATGCTGCCATCTTAGTGTTTCAGGAGACGTTCTGTGGAAGTAACAGAATAAAAAATAAAGTTTTTGTGTCCATTAAAGTTTTGGACACCCACATAAAAGCAAAGTAGACAGCCCAAGGTGTAATGCACAACGATAAATGATGATGATTTTGATGAAAGGTGCACTGGTTTCCTTCTGCTGGGAAGCATTGGCCAACATGTAGAAGTTTGATGGTTGGTCTTCACTTGCCCCCTCTTGGTCAGACTTTCATATTTATTTTTGAGTTTGTGATCTTGATTCTTTCTTCCCCACACTTTGCACACCAGTTGTCAGGAAACAGAAACCGAGGCTCTACAATGGCCCGAGAGACTGCTTTCGCGTCTTGTCGACTTTTAGTCTCCGCCACGCTAAAGAAGTAGAAAAACAAAATAATTGTCGACTTTACCGAGCAGAACTCTTTTCTTAAATAGCCACGATTCATCTTACTTTTCTTTTCTTCGATTTCAACTTCAACCCCCAACTTCAACCGCAACTCGTCATTCGATCATTCTTGCTCTCCAGAAGCACAAAAGCAACTCCCTTACTCTTTAAACAACAAACAACAACAAACCAGTACTCCACTATAGCGATGTCATCTCTCGCCGAAGTCGTTGCACAAATCATGTTCAAAAAATCAAACTCTGCCCCACCCAAACCACCTACCCAAACTCGACAACAGCTCCAACAGCAAAAACAATACCCCCTCTCGACCACGATCTGCTGCCTCAGTCTTCACGACACCGACAAGATCCGTCTCATCAACGCGCCCCGGTCCCAGTCTCTCATCAGCCCACTCCGCCAGGCGATCGTGAATACCTGGAACCAGTCCATCAAACACGAGACCACCCTTGAGCAATGCGATGGATACGAGTTCAAGCTCAAGGGCAAACCGTGGGGACCCCAATCTCCTAAAGCTGGTCCGCCTGTTGCCTCGACAAATTTGGTCCTTGCTCTCTCGAAGGTTATGGAGCAGGCAGGGTGGTCGTTGATCATTGCGTCGAATGTGAGCCACATCAGGGAAGAGAAGGACTCGTTGTTCTTTGAGCGTGTGGGGGATCCGCTGTTGTCGTCATCGAGGGAGAGAGAGCCGGATGAGATGACCCTTATAGGTGACTTTGAGCACAGGGACAGGAAGAATAAGGAGGGAGGTGTTGGCTCGTTCGTTGTCGAGTTGTTAGGGTACGATACTATCCATGTCACTGAAGCTCCTGCCGCCATTATCGACCCTCTTCGCCTTGCTATCCTCAAGCACTGGACACAAGGGTAAGTTCATTCAAAGCGAAAGTCATTTTCCTTGCAGCTCTCATGCACATGATCAAAGACAGTCATATTGCTAAATGCATTTTTTTTCTTCCTCCGAATTCTATGCATAGAATCGAGAAGGAAGGCTCCAAGGGAAGCACACACGAGTTCACGTTGACAGGCTGCCCATTCCGGACATGGGGGTCAGAGACCAGCATTGAGACAGTGATGATGATGATCCAAATGTGGGAGAATATGCGCCAGTTTGGGTTCAAGTTGGACGAGTCGGTGGATCGAAATGCTGTCGGGAAGACAAAGCAGGACAAGAAGGTGAAGGTGGAGAAGCAAGTCGTCGATTCTTGGGTGCTCCAACGCTTCGAGCAGATGTAGTGGTTTATGGAAGGATGAGCTTGGAGAGAAGCAGACTGGAAGAGTTGTGGTGATGGTCGTGGTATGGACGAACGAGATGACTTTTTTAAACAGAAAGAAATAAAAAATCAACTGCCACGGTACTCGTGGCAGCGCCTGTTTTTTTATATGTTGATTGTTTTATCGATGTGTATCTGTTCTTGAATGGAAGATGTGTTTGCTTATAGAGGCGCGTTTATTAAGTATGTCTTCTCTGCATGCTAGGGACTGAGTCTTGTATTGTGTGGAAACGAGGGTGGTGATGTGAAGGATGTTGATAAAGCAAGATCTCAAGATGACTGAACTACACCACAGCAAAATACGGTCGTGGGATTACAAGTAGTCGGGGTCGCACTATCCGTTGGGAGAGTGGATGGTACAAAGGGCGTACCCTCTCGATTGGTAAGGTATTCCTTGTACTTGGTCCTGAAGCGCTGACAGCCTCACTTGAGAGCATTTGCACATTACCGGGTGTACGTGCTTTAATTCTTTTTTTCTTTTCTTCTCTTTCGTACCAGATTACTGGGCGCAGTGAGGTAATGTTCTCCGCTGAAGATCCTTCAACAACGCGGTTGACAGAGAACGATGCAAAAACGGATTGGATCTCCGTGTTCGCTTTTGAGCTCTGAGCACGTGTAGAACTAATAGACGCCCTCTTTGAAGAAAAAAAAAAAAAACTTTATTCGCCTCCTTCTTCTCATGTTGTTTGGTTTTGCTACTTATCTTCTTTTTTACTTCTTCGTGGTTGTTCATAGATACCTGTCCTTTGAAGAACGCGTTATAGTACATACTAAGGACTACTTCGCTAAAACCACCTTTTATCACTCTGCGACCGAATCATCATGGCATCTATTTGCGCATATTGGTACGTGTTCTATGAATACAGGTAAGTCAGGGATACCATTAGGGTATGGGCATATCTCAGGGCTTGATCGAGTACATTATATGGTGTTGATGGTAAAGGATACTGATATGCATACTATTACGCTATTGCCAGCTCCGCGGACTCTTGGCGCTCAACCTCTGGCGAGTCTTGTGACGACGGTTGTGTAATGTCACTAGGATACGCCGGGGCGCTGGGGGTGTACAAATCTGTGCTTTCCGGTGAACCATTATGTGCTACATATGGCATCGATTCCGATGACCTCCTTAGAGTTGTAGGTGTTGCTATGGCCCCTGATCCTGGTTCTGATTCTGGAACTTCGGACGCCTTTGGCTCGCCTTGATTCGATACTGTCGTAACAACATTGGGCCGAGGATGGATTGAGAACTGAGTAGCTCGAGTCTGCTCCTGCACCACTCTTATCTTTTCCTGTAATACTTTCAACTCCTCCTGCATGTGCTCGAGTATAGGTGTGATAGGCGCCATAGGAAGGATGTCGGTAAATCCTGCCTGTCCTCCTGTGTAGTTGCTGTAGGAGTACTTTCCTTCCATGAACAAATAATTAGGTCCGCCATCGTCTCCTATCTTCTCAAATGAAACGCTGATGTTGTCATCTTCATCAGGAAAGGATTGGTACTTGTCAGCAGTGGTGTTGATGGTGTTGTCCCTGTTCCTACGGTTCCGGTACCTCCTGATAAGTAAAAAAAGAATTCCTGCTATGACGACGATAACCCTAAACGGCGATGCCCCAGATGCCTCCTGATGATAGCGCTGACGACGACGACGACTCCGGCGTAGGCTGTGGTAGAGACGGTGGATTTGGGTTGCTGCGCACGGGATCTGTAACATTGACCGCCTTGATCAGATGCGTGTATCGAAATCCATTATCGTTGCCAAAGGCGTATATCTCCTTGTGCCTCCGGATCAATGCAAAAGTCGACGCTCCTGGCCTCGTTCCAATGGGTACAAAGTAGTCCATGTTGACAACATCGGCATTAAATTGCACTTCCGAGCTTAAGACAAGGGACGTGCTGGGACTTAATCGTGTAGAGTGTGCTTGGGTAAGACCCGCTGTACTGCAACAAGTGGAGCGAGAGGATAAATAGATAAATGTAGTCAGACGACACGATGGACGGATTGAAGTTATATTTCGTTCCCAGGGTACAATCACCTCTTTTGCTTCTTACTTCTTCTCCGCAGACCAAGGTTAAGGAACCGTGATTGACGTAGACAATTGGTTTGGAGAATAGTAGCAGGATGGAACGTCGAAGGGAGCTGGAAAGAGCACAGTGGTATTGTAACGTGTGCTGGCAGGTATTGCTGGACTGACGTTTGCGGGAGAGAATCTTGACAGGAGAGGAGCGATCCTATTGTTTGCTCCTAAACCATAGGTGTAGAGATTCCCGTTGCCAATCGGCAGGTCTTGTATTGATTTCCCCTGGAGTGTGCTGTTCTATCAGAAAGATTGCAGTACAGGTCAGTTGTGAACAAAACAATAGGGAAGCCCGTAGTATGCTCGCTCGTAACGAATAAAAATTCTGTCTTTACCATGTTCCAGACAGGCATTGGTGCCAGGGTCATCGTAGGTTCGTTGAGAGTCGCCAGAGTGATGGTGTTGTTCGTGTCGGAGAGAGACGAAATGGACGAGCATGGCACCCGCATTGCTGTTTGTATATCCCAGAGCATATCTGTTGAACGGTTCCGACCAGCTGAACCCATCGGTGACACTGATGTTTGCCTATGCTCCACGTCCATTGTAGTCGGCCCTGGGTTCCATTGTTCCTGCTGGATCGTATCAAATTCCGAAAGGTACCATGGTGCCGACAAGGGAAGTTGTCGATGTGTATCGACCAAACGTGGTGAAGACACCCAGTGCGTTCATCGTGCAGGTGTATCCACGCCATTGTCCAAACCAGGGTGTCCGCTCAGTTTGGAGCCATCGAGCCTGGAAACGACGGGCCAATTAAGGTCCCCAAGGGAGGTTGGGTTGGTGTTTGACTTGACCAAGACGGCGCCTTGGGGCTGGAGAAGAGTGGAGTTGTAGTCTTCTGCGTACGCGAATCCGAAGAAAGTTGTTGCATCTGGATCTGTTGGTACGCAAAGGAGGTTAAGGACTCCCATTCCCGAAAGTTGTCAGTGATGGCGGCGGCGATGATGGCGGTGATGTCCCTCGAGTAAGATTGTAAGACAAGTGAGTGCGAATCAGAGGAAGGATGGCGAAAAAGTGAGAGAAGGCAGAAGAGGACAAGGGTTCGACCTTCCCTCTTTTCTCTCTTTCCAATCGGTGAGCCCATTTGATTTTTATTTCTGCAGAACTTCCTCCTATGAACAAACACACGCATCCATATTAGACCCGTTATACCCCTCCGTCGTAATTGACACTTTTTTCACTTCTTCACGACGGCAGTACTTGCCCCGGGGCACACAACAAGGAGGAGTGATCTTCGTCGTCGAATACCAGCCTATTTTTGAGACTAATAGAGAGTGTATCGATCCTTGATGCTTGATCACTCAAAGATCAATCCATTTTATGAGAGGTCATTTGATTGTTCTCTAATCATTGAGGTCGAGGGCGCTCATTCTGTGATGTTGTTGCTCTTGGTGGTGGTGATGGCGATGTTCGTTCTTGAAATGAGTGAGTGAAGGTGTGAATGAGAAAAGTGAGATATGAATGAAGGTAATGAAATCAAAAAATAAAGGGAAAGACGAGTGGGAACATAGAAAACGTACTTGAAAAGGGTGGAAGGGAGAAAGCAGGAGAAAGAGCGGTTTTTTAGTTATTTATTTCATCAAGCACACAGCGCTCACCTTCTTGTAGCACGCTCGTTTGATGAACGTTTACTTCCCCGTTCACCACCCCGTCCATCATGATTGGCCCTGTTTCTTTTCTTCCTACTTCGCCCAACACTCACCGAGACTATGGAGTAGCTTGGAAATGAGTTTGAAAGTCGATCATACACGTCTTGAAAGAACATTGACCAGTAAGACGACAAAGACGGAATTACGGAATCAAATTAAGCGTTAAAGTAGAAAGAAAGATAGAGTAACCTAAGAGCTTGGACGTGTACTGTGGGGGACAGAAGGTGGCGACGACAGCGGTGTAGATGCAGACGGTGCAGGGTTATCGACAGAGTGTTGAGAAACAATCGCTTCTGGTTCTTGTGGCGACTGTGCTGCTGCAGTGCTCGAAAAGGCGGTAGCAACAACAGAAGAGCCGCCTGCGCTGAGTGTCGGAGTGTTTATACTGCTGGATGGTCGTATGGCTGGGACGAATGGTGTTGGCTGCCACACTGCCTGTGGTGCTCCTGACGATCCGGAATAGGATACTGGTGGGCTAGAGGTGGCTGGCTCTGTACTGTAGGCGGTCGTGACATAGTTAGGCCGAGGGTGGGATGAGAACTGTAATGCTTGCATCTGGTCCTGGTAGGTTTGATGTTGTTGCGGCACAGGTGTAATGGGTGCCATAGGTAGGATGGTTGTGGGTGCTGGTTGTCCTGAGGGATATGTGGTAGAGGCAGGGGGCTGTCCCGGAAGGGGGTAATAATTGGGTCCGCCGGTTTGACCTGGTTGTTGAGGGTAGACGTAGTTGTTGGTGTTATTGAGTGGAGGAATGTATGGCAGGGGCTTGTCGGGGGTGGCATTCGTGGCCTTCGCGGCCTTCGCAGTCCTGGCTCTCATGGTGAGCCAAACCATCAGCCCTAGGAGAAAACCCCCTCCAGCAATCACTCCAATAATCGCACCTGCTGGCGAAGAATCGCCCTGAGAACTTGAGGAGCCTGTTGGTGGTGTCCTGGGGTTCGGGTTGTAGCCAACAGGGTCCGTGATGTTGACTTTGTTGATCTCGTGGGTGTATCTGGTCCCGTTGTCGTTGCCGAAAACATACATTTTACTATACTGCTTCATCAGCGCAAACGATGTTGGGCTTGTTCCATCTCCAAGGGGTACGAAAAAGTCCATGTTGATAGCTGAGTTGGTAAAATTGGCGACGGGAGGTCCTGTGCTGTTGGCATTATCGGGGTCGTTGATTTTGTATATAGCACTATTGCGTGAAGAGCCCTATAATGAAAGAGTAAAATATGGATTAGAGGGGGTATTAACGACGGCGGTAAGAAAACAACGCCAAAAAAGACCCCCTATTTTGGTGTGAACTTTTCATGCCTTAGTAGAGTATGCCACTTACTAGTAGAGAAGAGATCAACGTTAAAGTATTCTGGTAGGTGTAGATATATACTCCCCGAGAATAAAGGTTGGGGTAGACTTGACTCGCGTTGTAGATCTTTCCGACGGGCGTGGTGGGACTGATGGTGGCGAGAGGGAAACCGGTCAGGCAGGAATATCCACCGCACAAAGACCCATAGGCCGAAGAGAGTCCGCCGTAGGTATAGAGGTGGTTGTTGCCAACACCAATTGCCGTGACTGTTCCATGCATCGTTTTGTTCTATTTGAAAAGGATAGAGTCAGTACTGTAGAATAACATGAACAACAGTAGATCATGTAATCAAATATGGAGTGATAATGCGCAGACTTACTAGAACCCAAGTGCCGGCGGCGGTCAAGATCTTGGTAGCCTCGTCCACCTTTGCAACGTATATTGTGTTTTCATTGCTGCTGAGGACCGTGTGAACGAGGTCGGTTGTTCCGCCATTGTTAACGTATCTTAATATATGCTGGGCGCTTGTAACTGCCCAGTTGTAAGCCTTGTCAATCGTCACGTTCATCCATGCTCCAGAACCCTGAAAGTTGTAATTGGCGTCCATTGTTCCAGCAGGGTCGTATCGGATACCAAAAGTTATTTCCGGGTTACTGTATAGTTCGCTATCGCGGGCCCAACCGAACATCGTGAAGACCCCCTGGGCACTTATTGCGCAAGAAAATTGGGCATACATGTCCACGGCGGTCCCTGTCATGTTTTTGCTGTTGATCTTGGAGACCAAGGACCAGGTAAGCGTACTTCCCGAGGTAGGGTTGGCGTTGGACTTGACGAGGACGTTGTGGCTGCAAGAGCTGCTGCAGTCGTAGCTATTTGCATACGCAAACCCATAGAAGGCCGTCGAGTCCGGGTCTGTGGTAAGGCAAACGATGTCGAGGACGCCCATTCTGGAATCCTGTTGGTGATGGACGAATGTTGCTGTTACCGAATGAGGGTTGGGTGAATGAGATGGAAATGAGAAGGAGTGGAGTGAAGAGGTCACAGTAAGAAAAAGGAAAAAAGGAGAAATAAGCATCGACTCTGACGGCAGTTGGTTGGAGAGGAGTCGAAAATGTCACTAGCATAGAAATGAGAGCCCACACGCCGTCTTTTCCTCGATGGGATTTCCACCTACCGTCTCGAGGGGCCTGCTACTCACAAACAATCAAAACATAAGGATACACCACATTGCACATGCACTAACACACCAGAGCATTCTCTAGAAGTAACTTATATTACAGGGAGAGCATCAATTATGTACATCGGGGATAATGTCGGGACTAGGTCTGGAGTCCTGAGGAATCGAAGGTAGAGAAGGTAATGGCCTGGATGAACTGTTGGTAGAATTTTCAGCTCCATTCTGATGCATTTCGCTTGCGGATGCTGAAAAGGCTGTCCATGTGTGCACGAAAATGCGGCCGTGCTTGGACTTGGAGAGTGACTTAGAGCGGGAGTGGACAATCTTGTGCTGCTGGCTGGTTGTGCGTGTGGGGCGAATGGCTTTGGTGGCCATGCTGCTTGGGGTGCTCCTGATCATCCTGGATAGGGTATTGGTGGGTTGGTGACTGCTGGTTCTGTGCTGTTGGCTGTTGTGACGACGTTAAAGTGAGGGTGGCTGGAGAACTGGAGTGCCTGCATCTAGTCCTGGTAGGTTTGTTGTTGTTGCAACACAGGTGTGATGGGCGCCATGGGGAGGACAGCTGTGAGCGCAGGCTGTCCCGGCCGGTATGTGGTGGTGGTGGTGGCAGGGTCCCTGTGGGGGGGGGGGGGGGGGAAGGGGGGGGGGGAGTATAATAATTAAGGTCGATGATTTGTCACGATTGTTGCTGTGGGTTGATATAGTTGCTGTCGACCTAAGGATAGGCGAGGTGAGGCTTGTTGGCGGTTGTCGATGGAGTGCTGTTGGCATTGCTGGCCTTTATTGCCCTGAAGCGCCAGAACGCCAACCCTACAAGAAGGAGCAATCCTGTGATGCTTCTAATAATACCCCTCCGCCGGCGAAGAATCATCCATTCCTGAATTAGGTGATATCGAGCTAGGTTTCGAGATAATGCCGACAGGATCGCTAATATTTACCTTTGTGAGTAGGTGAGTGTATCTGAATCCATTATCGCTCCCGAAGACCTTCACGTCAACATACCTACTCACCATCAGCGCGAACGATGTCGGACTCGTCCCATTGCCAAGGGGTACGAAGTTATTCATGCTAATAATCTCGTTGGTGAAGTTGGTGCGTAGTCTTATGCTGTTGGCATTGTTTGGATCCCTGACCGTGAAGAAAGAGCTGGGGGTGAGTAAGAGCTAGTCACACACGCACTAATATTATCTGCACAATCAAAACATCCTTGAAGTGAATGAAGGGAGGAAGTTGGAGAGAATTAAGCAAAAGTTGAGAGAGGATGAAGCAGCAGTGTCGGAGAATACTTCCTTTTTGAGAGCCCTGTCAACCACCCCTCTAGTTACACACGCACTCGCCCTTGCTCTTTGCCACCCAAGATGACGCAGTAATATTTGCATGCACGTGCCACGTGGTATAAAAGGCAATCTCCTCGGCCAAAACTGTTGTTTTCTTTTCTTCTTTTTCTTCTTCACTCCTCTTTGGCCCCTCCTCTTGTCACCCACCTCTACCGTCTGGAAAACGCCGCTGGCCTGGTAAGAAAACCACCTTCCTTCTCTTCCCTTTCCTTTCCTCCCTTTTCTTTCCTCCCTTTCCTCTCCTCCCTTTCTCAGGAACAGAAAACGAAAGAGGGTGTGTCTGTGTTTCGCGTTGTATTTCCTCTCCCACACTTTCTTTCCCGTTCTACCTTCCTTTCCTCTTTGTTTTTCGTTGCTGAGTGCGCGTGTGCGTTGTTTTGTCCTAGTTTCTTCCTTCTTTCTTCGAGTTTCTGTGCTGCAGCACAAGCCTTGATTTCTTTTGTTCCTCCCTCGCCTTTTTCTGTGAGGGTGAGCGTTTGCGTCCGCACTGCTTATTTTGTTCCTTGCGCTCTTTAAGCTCTCCTCGTCGTTTCCCAGTTCCCACGCTCTCCGGCTTCTTTCTCTTTTGATTTATTTGGCTTTGCTTTCGTTTTGTTCCTTCCTTGTCATTTTCTGCGGCGACCGTTTGCATTCGCGAGGCCTTTTTGGGTTCCTTCTTCCCCTTCTTTACACAGCCCCACGGACGGTTTCCAGTTCCCACGCTCTCCTACTTCCTTTCTTACGTTCTTTACACAACTCCACGGTCCCCCTTTGTCCTTGAGTGATTGTGTCATCGTGGTTACGTGTATACTATGTACTAATCATCAGAGATTTAATTATTGCCATCCGTTTCGCTTTAGGGCAAGAGGGGGTGCAAGGAGGAATTCATCCCCTCCTCACCCTCATGCCTGGGTCCACCAAGGATAGAGGGTGTAAGTAGAGTCGAGCGTTGCTCCTCCTTACACCCTCCCCCTGCTGAGACGAAAGGGTGCTAGGAGGAATAGGACCCCTCCCTGCACCCGTGCCGCTGCCGAGATGAAAGGGTGTTAGGGGGAATTGAGCCCCCCCTTGCACCCACCCCAGTCAAGATGAAAGGGTGTTAGGAGGGATTGAGCCCCTCCTGGCACCCACCCCTGCTAGGATGAAGGGGTGTTAGGAGGAAATGAGACCCTCCTGGCACTCGCCCTAGCCAAGATGAAAGGGTGCTAGGAGGAAGTGAAGCCCTCCTTGCACCCGCCCCTGCCGTGTAGACCGATACCTGGTAAGATGAATACTTCCCTTCCCTTCACTTCCCTTCCCTTCCCTTCACTTCCCTTCCCTTCCCTTCAAGCAACTGGAAAGAAAGTTGGTGCGTGCGTGGGTTGGTTATATTTTCTCGAGACATAATTTTGGTGGCGCGAACGTTTTATTAATCACAAAACTTACTTACCGTCGTATCACTTTAGTGACAAGAGGCAATCAGGAAGGGGTCAAGAGGAGTCACAACCTCCCTCCCCCTCATACTTAAGTGTCCGCAATCCCGACTTGGCATAGGTGGCCGCGTGCTTGGCCGTGTCAAGGGAGTGGGTGCGCCGGCATGGTGGTCGCCTTGGGGGCGTCTGGCCCTCCCAGCACTGACATATGCTGTTGGAGGAAGACGTAATGGGGGTGCTAATCTATGTGTCATTGCATGTCTTCTTTTTGTTAGGATGGGAGAGGCTATATGCCTATGATGATAGTTGCAGCAAGTCTTAGGCACCATGCCTATAATGGCACTTGCACCAAGTCTGAGGCGCTATGCCTATGATGACACCTGCACAAAATCTGAGGCCCCCGCTCAATGCGAGCTTTCTTTTTTTATGACATTATGAGGCATTGTAGGCAACTGAGAGCTTGCCCATTTTTTTTTGTTCTTTGCCCTTCATTTACTGTTCTTTTTTTTTTTCTCTTTGTTTTTTTTTTTGCTCTTTGTTTTTATTTTGTTCCTGGCGTTTTTTGCTTTATTTTTTTGTTCTTGCTTTTCTTTATTCTTTCTCTTGTGAGGCACTGTTGGCAACTGAGGGTAAACTTTTGCTCTACTAAAGCAAAGCTAGGCATTGGTACTCTCCACTTGCTGAGTAAGGGCCAAATCTGAGTAGACGAGGGAGATAGAAGAAGTGTTGGCAAGAGTGTGCGGAGGCGAAGGTGTAGTAGGAGCTTGGCGAATGCCTCGTGTGCGTCTTTAGTGTGAAGAAAGACATTGTCGAAGGAGGGCGTTGGAGGGAGAGTACCTTCACAAGGGTTTTTTTGGAACGGATGACGCCATTTTTTTTCAGGAAGCGAAACATTGAATAAAGAATGTAAAGGGAGCGACGACGAAGATTAATAAAGAGAGGTGCAATTGTGAAGAGGAGGAGCAAAGTCGAGTTATTAGTGAGAATTACTTTGCCTGATTGAGACCAAGAAGATTATAACTAATGGTTCCTGAACGAACGTAATAAACAATGTTTAACCCAACTGAAAAAAAATGCCGCCGACTCTTCGCATTTCTTCTTGTTCTCCTTCTCCTGCGCCTTATCGTACTCTCAGATATCTTCTGTTTTGCAGTTGAAAAAGAGGGTGAAAGAGGTTGGATATCGAAATTTTTATTCCAGCTCTGTAACTAGGATTGCGCCACGCAGTTCGAACAACCTACGATTAATCGCACCGAGACCAATAACAACATTGAGAACGGCACTAGAGGCGACCAACAAAAACTCTTCCTGGCCCATCCTTGTCCTCCGCCACCCGCCAGGAATGGATCGATCCTTCAGCATTTGCCGTCGCAAACTCCAACCTAAAAGAGAAACCGGTCAGGGAGGTCGTCTCGTTCAAAGTGGAAACCTCTGGACCGAAGGTGTAAACGTGATTGTTGCTGATCGTGATCGCTTCCAGTGTTCCATTGGTCTCTACGCTCTGTTGAATGAAATCGAATAATTATAAGCTAGTAAAAAAAAGAGCAGCTTGGCGAAGAGGAATCACCAAGGTTACCAAAGTATGACTTACCAATTCCCAGACAGCAGCAGCACCCGTTAGGGTCTTTGAAGCCTTGTCCACGGTTGCAAGGAAAACGGTGTTGTTTTTCTCGGCAAGGGAGGACTTTGGGACCTCCGATGTTGGCGTGTCTTAGTGACTGTTTCCTCGATGCCTCTGAAAGAATGTAAGAGAGACCAACGGTGCTGTTCACCCATGCGCCTGGTCCTTTGAAGTTGCCGCTGGAATTCATTGTTGCAGCAGGATCATATCGAATTCCAAAAGTTCCTTTGCTTGGAACCGCCACTTTCCCATCACAAAGATAATTATCATCTAGCTCCGTGGTAGTTCAAGCACTGAAAGTACTTGCAATGCGGCAGTCTACTGAAAACGATGGCGGTCTAGATGGTGTTGAATACGGATGCACACAGTCCTCTATTTCGTATGGTTTGATACCATAATTTGCCGTCACTTTGGCGAGGAGAGAGGCAACGGCGGCAGTAAGCGCAAGACAAATGTGAAGGAGTTAGGCTAAGCGCGCATGCAAAGGATTGATGGTGGCCGAACGCGTTGAAAGTGTCGCAAATACCTTTTTGCGTTCGGCGTGGTATCCCTCCCAATCCCAACGAAAACGTCCCTACATACGCCTTGCCATTTTCCACCGCCAATTTGACGGTTCGTTCGCCTCAAGCAATGGGGGGGTGGGGGTGTCAACCGAGGCATCTTCAACTACGCAAAATGGGAGATGGAGTACTATACAACATCAACGACGTAGAGTGGGGAGTGCAGGAACTAGAAGATACAAGAGCATAAACGTACGTGATTTGCCCTGGTGCACCATTATCTATCGTTGATATGACGCGTGTCATTTTTTTACTCAGCTACTCTTTCTCTGATCAATCGTGGGATGCTGGGGCGAGTGTGTTTTCCCAACCCCCATTTGTTTGTGGATGTGGCCAAATACATTTCTAAATATGCCAAAAGAAGGGGCGCAAAATCAGTGCTGTGTGTGCACAGTCCCGTGCGACCATCCAGGGCGGGACTGCTCACTTTTATTGATTATGTAATTTCTTCAGTAGAGCTCAGTCCTTCCTTTTCATTAGCACCATACCCCAATAAAAAGCAATACGCTGCGATATAGATTGCGCTAACGGTGTTTGCGAGGAAGGAAGATGGCGCAAGATTGAGATAGTCTATCTTGTTTTTCTCAGGGGTATAATGATCTCCGCGGAACACCAAATATCCAAACCTTAGCAAAAATGCTTGTTGTAAAGTATTATGCCCCTGTTTACGTTCAGACTCGCAGCGCTGTCACCCTTCTATTGTTCACAGACAGGAGTGTTGAACAACCTGTTTCATTTTCTCCTTTAACAAGGTCCACCATTGCGCCCCATTGCTCAAAACATCTACGCAAGACGCCCAAGTTTTACCCAAAGGAAAAAGTACCACCAGACACCTGGTAAAATAGCATATGGTTTAATGTTGATTACGAAGCAACATTTTATCAAGTCAGAATATTGAGGAAACTGCACTCAGATCAAGGTGACGCGTTAAAAGCAGACTAGTTAAAGCACGACAAACAAACCGATGAGATTGTATTAGCAAAGCATCAACAATGCAAACTTGAATTCCTGCTGGAGCAAGGATTGAAAGAGCAGACGTTACAGGACCAAAAGGCAACATCTCTTTGAACGCTTGGCTGCCACAAACCGGCTATCCCTGTTGACAAAGTAGATATTAGAGAAGTGACAGCTAGAAAATCAAACAATGGTAAAATGTCAGTAGGCAATGCAGTATCACAGTAAAGTGAAAGACGGCAAAACAAAGCCAAGCACTTTGTAAGCGATAGGTCGAAAGGTACCCTTGAATTTTTCCTCAGCTCCCTTGAATTTTGTTTGTGCAACCATGGTCGATATCATTGACCGACGAATACCAAAGAGTATTTATGCGCATAAAGGAGACATCAGTTCGTTTAAGCAAACAATAAAGGGAAGATACAAAGAAATGGCGAAGCAGAAGGACAGCGCACTTTTCGAGTCAAAAGGGTCCATGTTGAAATTGTGTCTCTTTCACCTAAACTCTTCTTTATATTCACGCATTCTTCCTTGCCTTCCTTTTCTCACACATAGTCGCTATTTTCTTCATTCCTATATCCCCAACCCACAATACATCTAACAAGAGCAATGGAGGATACTCAATCGTCTCGCTTGATCGAAACCACGGATACCATGAAAATCACTCTCAACCATGTTGACGGACAGACCATCGTTAATTGGGAGGACATTGAGCAAGTCTTTCCTGGAGTTAAGCGCATTAGCAATGGCTATTCGGTGATCAAATTTCTTCGGGGTTTAGATCAAGGGTAATAAGGAAACGTAAAAATTATTTGAGATGAATGGTTATGACGAGCAAACATCTCATCATACTGTTCTCTTCCTTTCTGAATCATGACATATAGCATCCTGGACGTTATTTTGTCTACCTCTGTCCAACCTGTTCTTGCCAACCCTGCTAAGTTTGATCCAGTCGGTGGTGAAACTAATGCTCCAGTCGGTGTTCCGGTTAATAACAACGTCACTGTTGCTTTCAGGGCTACCCCGCCTATACCAGAGACGCCCGTCAGCGACATTGGCCTTCTTGACACACCATTAAGTCCATCGTCTACCATCGGTGCTGTTTCCAAGGCAACATTGTTCCAGCAGATTGTGATACGCGCGTCTAGGAAGGCACGCGAATCTGAGGTCGAGCAGCGATTTATCTCCCTCCTGGACCCTGAACTCCAAAGAACAGTTCGAGACTCGCCGGACATCTACCAGGCATTTGCCAAGGCTATCAAGTACGGTAACGGGGGGCTTAGTCGAGCAGAGCTTAAGCAAGAAATGGGTGGGCACTTTCAGAAGCTGGAGGCTATGATGGACATGAACTTAAAGTTTCAGGAAGCAATGCTTGCTAAGCAGGATGAAGTGAAGCAGCTGCAGGATCATGTCATCAGAAACCAAGAAGAGATGAGGCAGCTGCAGGAGCAAGTCCTTAGCAACCAAGAAGAGATGAAGCAACTGCAGCAGCGAGCTCTTGAGCAGTTAGCCGTGCTCCAGTCTCGTGTGCGAGCCGTCCTAACTCAGACCTACGAACTCCACGAGTACCCGATCCCTCGTCTTTTCGTTGTCCTTCCTCAAGACCCTTCAGGTTGGGATGCCGTAAACCCTTTCTTGAACAAGTTCCGTCTCTACTTTTTATGCGAGTGCGGAGAACACACCAAGTCGATCGACTGCAAGACCGAGATCTCTCATGATATCCACATTGCTAAGCATGAAGGCTATGATATTGCTCGACCTTCAGAGTTTTTTCAGCAATACGGCCTCTATGTCCTCACTATCCTCAAGATGCTCAAGTTCGGTGTTTCGGTTGCCGGAGTAGCTATACCAGCTATCTCTCACCTGGTCAGATCGGACGCCATCGATCAAGCTACTGCCAGTCTACAACAGTTGAGGGACAACATTGAGCCTGGAATGGATCATGTCATAGGCTGGATAGACAAGGTCTCTGTGGATGAAGGCGAGGCAGTTGATGAGTTTTCTAAGCAGATGGAAAAGAAGGAGGCATTGGAAGGCGCCGATCTACGCAAGCTGGTCACCTTTCTGAAGGACATGGACGGCAATAAGGTGTTGGGGAACCTGTACAGGACCGTTACGGACGAGGGACATGTCAAATGGGTTTGCATTGACCACTACCGCATGAACTATCTAGAAAACTCGGCCAAGGAGTTCCAGCGCGTGTTAGGTTTCGTCGGAGGATCGTTTAGTGAAAACGTCGGTAGGGTTGACGTGAGACTCCAGTCGAGAGAGTTGGCAGATACGTTCTTTTCGGCACTGGGAAAGGCGAGATCTGTCTACGAGCTCGATATTGGCTGGAACTGCGCCTGCTCTACAAGTGATCTTGAAGCACTGGAGGATGCGCTCAAGAAATCAAGAGTATCAATTCTTCGACTGGATCTTCAACAATTTCGGACGGGCGCCGTCAGGAAAATAATGTTGGCATCCTCACCATATGACGTCATTTACCGCATCAGAGATCTTCCTAATATGAAAGTGCTTCATATCCTTCTTTCAAAGGACCTCGTCAACTTTCTTGGATTTCCACCCAAAAAATCAAATCATATTTGCAAGATGTCCTGCGAGCTGGCATCTACAATGATTGGAGGAAAGGATATTGGAATGCTAGCTAATGCACTCAAGACCAACTCGACCCTGACCACTTTGGACTTGGGGAGCAAATCGATCGGAGACAACGGAGCCAAGGCGCTGGCTGACGCACTCAAGGCCAACTTGACCCTGACCACTTTGGACTTGAGGAGCAACTCGATCGGAGACAATGGAGCCAAGGCGCTGGCTAGGGCACTCAAGACTAACTCGGCCCTGACCACTTTGATCTTGGGGAACAACCCGATCGAATCCGACGGAGCCAAGACGCTGGCTGAGGCACTCAAGATCAACTCGACCTTGACCACTTTGGTCTTATTCAACAACCTGTTCGGATCCGACGGAGCCAAGGCGCTGGCTGAGGCACTCAAGACCAACTCGACCTTAACCACTTTGGACTTGCAGAACTGCCAGATCGGATCCGACGGATCCAAGGCGCTGGCTGAGGCACTCAAGACCAACTCGACCCTGGCCACTTTGGACTTGCAGAATAATCTGATGGGATCCAGCGGAGCCAAGGCGCTGGCTGAAGTACTCAAGGCCAACTCGACCCTGACCACTTTGGATTTGTGAGAGGGATGGGTGAGATATGAAGTGAAGTAACGAGTAAAGAAGTTGTTTTTATTATCTTATCCCTGATCAGTACTATATAGTACCTGAATAGGGCCAAGTAAGTGGCCTATCCACTTCGTTAAATAAAAAAGAAAAGGCAGTGAACCCTCTAGTATGATTCACATCTATCCATAACACTTGCACTACAACTCGATCGGAGCCAAGGCGCTGGCGCTGGCCGAGGCACTCAAGACCAACTCGACCCTCGTAACAGCAACTGAGTGAGGGGATGCAAACAGCGAACAGAGAGAGATAAGAACGGGAGAAAGGATATGAAAGCAGTAGGGACAAGAGAAAAGGCTAGAAACGGATGATGTTTATTATAAAAGGAGAGAAAGGTATTTATACTAATATCTAGGAGGCGTGGTTGTTAGGGAGAGTAGAGGCGCGGTTGCTGTGAAGATTGGAGGCGAAGTAAGAGAACAGTCTACGATGTTATCACAATCCTGGCCACTTTGGTATTGGAGGAAAACCCGCCCATCTTAATGACATAGACAGCTATAGGATGCAGCAGTTTAAACAGCAGTGATGAGATAAGAAAGCCTTACATTACAGCTAAACAATAACATTGCACGCTGTTCGACGATACAAAGGGCAGGATGACTCAGGTTGACTTAGATTGATGGGGTTAGTGTTGGACTTGACGAGGACGTTGTATGAAATCCAGAGGGCTCCAGGGGTGTCGTACGAGTGGGCGTATGCAAAGCCATAAAATGATGTTGTGTCCGGGTCGGTTGAATGCAAAGGAGGTTGGGGATGTCCATTCTGGCAGGTGTCACAGTATTCATTCTAATATGTGTGGGAGTTTTGAAAGCCCGGGTTCGAAGAGAGAGCAGGGAGTAAATTGCCATGAGATGGAAAGGCGCTAGTTGGGTCTTCCTCCTCCCTTCTGGAGGACCTGGTGTCGGCTCCAGGGGTTGGGCAACTTTGTTGATTGCTTGGTTTGGCATGCTGTTGCATTATTGGTGTTTGTGGGCGTCACTTTTTTATATGTACTTTTCCTGTTTGTGCTGTAGTCGCAGTTATGGTTGATAAAGTGGTGATGAAATGAAATGAAAAAGGGATATACATTGTGTGTCGCTGTTGATCTGTCTCTGTTGTGGATGTCGCTGTTGTTATTGTCGCTGCTATTGTCGTCGTTATCGCTGGTAATAAAAGAAAACGCTGGTGAACCCGTCATAGCCTGCACGAAATAAGGAAAGAAGGAAAGAAGGTTCACGCTGGTGCTATCCTACTGTTGTTTGTCTTTGTCTATTGTGGCGTTGTTGCTCAGGGGAGAGGGTCGACGGCCAGAGTTGTAGGACCGCTGTTAGGTCCTCAATTGGTACGGAGGGGGGGAAGGGGGTTGTAGGTTGGGGGGAGGGGAAGTGACAATAGTGTCCTAAAAGAATCACACAAAACGATACACTGCAGCGTGCCAGCGAAACTCTTGTCAATACTGCTCTCGTCCAAGTGATGTGTAAAAGGACCTTGTATTCATATTAATAAAGAGGGGGTTGTTACCTGCAGCGTGCCAGCGAAACTCTTGTCAATACTGCTCTCGTCCAAGTGATGTGTAAAAGGACAAAGAGCAGACAAGAGGGCTCGGCGCACTACTAATACTATGTCTACTAAAGAATATGACTGCTAACCTAAGGCATCGCCGCCACTGCCTAGCCACCACATCTTTTTGTAACAGCGTCTGGGAAAAAGATTACTTTCCTCTCTCGCGTACAAGCTCCCATTTTAAGAGACTCTACTTAAGGGGTGGTAGACGAAGCCACAAGTTCATGGTGTTGTTACGGAATCAGGTGGGTTCGGTTGAGATATTGTGGAGTGGTTGTTACACTCACAGTTGAGGTTAATGTTGTGAATAAGGGAAATGTAGAAGAAGGTTATTGAAACTGGGGGGGATCCTATGGCACGATACGCAAGCAAACAATACACACTGAAATAAATGGCGTCAGCTAACTCAATCAATTGCTTCGTGAAGTTGTCTTTTGAAAGGACATGGAGCAAAAGATCGAGCCGCCTCGCTATTTCTACTACTGCAGTATCTACTTTGGTCTAAATTGCGGTGAGGTCAAAGCACTGCAAGGAATGGCTCTCTGTAACAGTGTTGCAAAAAGATGTGGTGGCTAGGCAGTGGCGGCGATGCCATAGGTTAGCAGTCATATTCTTTAGTAGACATAGTATTAGTAGTGCGCCGAGCCCTCTTGTCTGCTCTTTGTCCTTTTACACATCACTTCTTGGACGAGAGCAGTATTGACAAGAGTTTCGCTGGCGCGCTGCAGTGTATCGTTTCGTGTGATTCTTTAGGACGCTATTATCACTATCCCCGGCTATCAATCCCCCCTCAACCTACAACCCCTCCCCCCCGTACCAATTGAGGACTTAACAGCGGTCCTACAACTCTGGCCTTCGATCCTCTCCCCTGAGTAACAATGGGATCGGACCCCACCATGACCACCAAGTTCCATCATGTGTGATCAGTTTGCGAAAGATGGGTAGAGAAAACGCCAGTATTGTCGTTGGATGATTAGGGTATCTGTATTACTGTGCCAGCCGCATAGCGAAAAAAGAGGAAGAATTTATCTAATTTAATGTAATAGCCTCCACCTAAAAGGTCGAGCTGGGAGGAAGAGTGCTTGAGGGTTGCGGTTGTTTAATAAGGATGTGAGTTACGGATTGCTGAACTATCAAGGGTACCGACTATGAATTTATATGTGTGTGCACACCAAATTGGGTCACTATTGTTACTCTCCACGAGAAGACGCGCTTTAATTAGTCAGCAGAAGTTTTTCGGGGAATTTAGCGGCGTTGGCCAGGTACAACATAGAGAAAACAAACAACAGTGGGCGCCTCTTCACGGAGAGTAAGTGGACACATCCTTCCCAGACAAGTGCGAGTATTTGATTTCAACAACTTTTCCTCAAGCTCTCAGCTCTACATCGGCCCATCAGGGGCATCGACACGGCATCTGGAATCACACCACTCACAGCACCATCGCCATTTACCTTGCCCCCCCGAAACACACACTTCTCATCTCCACACACCCAAAAAGGGTTTCCATGAACATATTCTGGCAATCACCATCCCACTTCCATCGGAAACCAACACCCACCCTACCTGCCTCAAAAGCACCTACCACACCAATGCTCCCAGCCCCAACATGCCCGGACATCAACACCAACACCAAGTACGCACCATCACGCAGCCAAGAGGCAGGATCCAGTACCTTCCACGCTCGGAAGACGAAGATGTGACGTCTGGAGAAACCCACGAGGACGCAGAACTCACCTCCAACAGCATGGACGACCAGCAACCGCAATCAAAGGAGATGAGGAAAAATCATCTTCAACACCGGTATCCAGGAGGTCATCCTCAAAGCTGCAGACTTTTTGGACCGACGATCTCGGAGCCACCGGTGACATTATCAACGATTTGGCTTACAAATTGAGAGGACTGGTTACTTTCATCGTCAAAACTTACTATCCGCTACCCTCCAAATCAACAGCCAAACCACTGAGAAGTATCTCTCCGTCAAGATCAGCGACGAAACAGTCAAAAAACTACCTCCTCAACTTGGCCTTCAACAAACCAACAAAGACAACGATCCCCAGCACAAATGGCCGGGGCTGCTCTGAAAAAGCCCGCGACAATGGCGGCAAGGATTTTAAATACCCCGACAAAAAGATAACCAAAACCAGCACGATTCAAGCTCTACGCCGACCATCACACCGCTGAGCACTGGGCAAGCGCAAGTACAGAGGCTTTGGGTTCAGGAGTAGCGTTCTTAGCGAACGACACCTGGAGCAGATATATAATAAGAAAAAGACACACAAAGGGCAAGGCATTTCTTTGGACTTTGGATTCCACTTGGGCGCCCACATATGAATGGTGAACTGCTTTGTACTAGCCCGAAAAGGCGTCAAGGAGGAGAGAAAAGAATTCGAGCTGTTCAAGTGGGTGATTAAAGAGATTCAAGATGCAAATAAGAGATGCACGGAGACGGCTCATGTGCAGGGACTTTAATGGCGTGTGAACCCCGCACGCGACCGTTCCAATGGAAAAAAAATACAGAACAATAACACCGAAAATAAACTTCTGGAGTAGCTCGTTGATAATTACCAGTTCACTGACAGTTTCCGCAAGATGTACCCAGAAGTTCGCGCTTACTCCTTTAAAGAAACTAGTAGTTTGTACATGGTATGGCTATCACAGGGACTGACGGGAGTATCGACGGGAGCAGGAATGATACCCTTGGAGGGTATTGTTCGTGCATTGGATAAAATTGATCTGTCGTCACGGACAGGCATCTTTTACTTTGAAAAAAAACACAACTTAAGTAGCTGTCTACTAACACTCTATGATCTTCATTTTTATCCCTTTTCTTCGCGGAGCTGATTATTCATGAACTTTGGCGCTCTGACGTACCCATTCTTCCAACCCATCGGCGGCAACCTACCCACCCAAACCGCCTTTGCCGTCCTCATGTCCGACAATATCGTCGCCGAGATCAACCTCGTCGCGGGCCAGACCCAATTCTCGCTCAACGTCATCGTCAATGGTACACTTGGCGGCAACGGGACGACTCTTTTACACTACGCCACCGTCAAGATGGTGGTGGTGATGGGTCAAGCATAGAGATAGGGTTAGGACTGTTGGGGAATATTGTATTCTTGATTGCGTTGTTTTTCTTGTTTAAGAAGAATTAGCGTGGGAAGTGGATGGAAATTTTGACGAGGGTGGATGAGGATGATGCGCCGAGGAGGCCGGCGGAGGTGAATGAGGGTGCGATTGAGTTGATCGGAGACGGACAGAGTACCAGCATATTCAGGATGATAATGTGGTGCCTACGGATCCTCCGCCAGTTTATGAGTCTAGGGGTCGGGATGCTCAGGCGGCGGCTCAGGCTGGGGCTTCTTCTGCATTTCCTCTTCCTCCTCTTGCATAGATGCTCAGGCCTTACCACAACCTTTGGTCTATCAGGAAGCCAAAAACCACATGGACATGGTCAATCTGCAGAAACAAACACAAAGATACCCCTTTCCCAAAGTCGACTTGCTTCGGGTCCCACTTCTGCTCGTTCACCCTCTCTCCGTTGTTCATGCTTGTTGCTTTATTCTGCTGAGGTGGGTATGATGAAGATGTGTTGTGGAGGAGAAGAAGCATCGCTGATTGGTCTTCTTCCCATACCTATGTCTCTTCTCCTTTCTTGGATCGAGAAACAGATCAACGACAAACGTCAATGCTGGAAAATACACACAAACCTTAAAGTGAACAGTCAAAAGTCCCACAAAGGTACCCTTCTATGGCGTGAGAAAAGCGAAAAATTCCGCATATCCGCCCTTTTGCTACTTCTGTCTAGTACATGTGGTGTAAGGTACACGGGTGTGGACGACGACTTAGTAGGGGGGTTTCCGAGAAAAAGGAGAAGGAAAATTACACACAGAGGTACACAATAAGGACCAGGTTGTTCCTTATTGTGTACACCCGTCCATTTCTCTGTTTTTGCGTTTACCCCTGACTCTCTCTCTCTCTTCTTACTCTCTTCTCATATAAAATGACTAGCTCCCCGCCCCTCTTTTCCTCTTCTCTTTTCTTCTCTTCTTCCGCTTCCACTTACAACAACAACTCCTCACACGCACAGCAAAAACACAAATTATGCTCGCAACCCCCTCCCCAACACCACCGCAAACACCTCCAGGACTAATCATCCACCAATGCAGGGACAACGAAGCCGCAGATCTCTTTTACGACTGGGCGACAAGAGTCGGCTGGAACCCTGGTCAAAAGGCCGGTATCCGAGACGTCATGCTCAAGACCGACCCCCATGGGTACTTTTACGGAAAGATCGATCCCTCTGACGTTATCCATGACCCACCCTCCACCACCAGCGTTCAGGAACAGGAACAAGAATTGGCGAAGAAGAAGAAGAGAAAGGAGGATTGGGGTAATGGAAGAGGGAGGGAGCTGGTAGAAGACCCCTCAGTGATCTCGGTCATTAGCGCAATCCGCTTCGGAGATGACCAAGCCTGGATCGGCTGCTACATCACGGACCCCAAATATCGCGGGCGCGGGTACGGAATATCGACCTTCAACCGAGCCCTCGAACACGTCGGTCCCACCCGTAAAAGTGTCGGCCTCAACGCAGTCTTCAGTCAAGTCGATAACTATCGCAGATCGGGATTCACGAACCCAAGTTGGGTTAATGAGCGGAGGCGAGGCTCTGTCCGGGACTTGGTCGATGTTCAGGAACCAGAACTGGCAGCCAGGATTGTTGACGGAGAATTTGATGAGGAAGTGGTGTTGTTGTCGGACGAGAGGGTCGATTGGGAGCAGCTGCCAGGGATCGAGAGACAGTATACAGGATTCGAACGTCCAGGATTCGTCATGGACTGGGTCCGATTCCATGCCTCCCATCCAGAACGCCACCGCGTCGGTGTCGCGGTCCTTTCCCGCACTCAGAAGGATGAAAACACAGGAAAGCCCCTTGTCCTCGGATACGGGTGTGTCCGCCCAGGGTTTACATCATACCGCGCCGGCCCGCTCTACGCCCGTGATGCTTCCACCGCCAAGAAACTCCTTCTCAAACTAGCCGTAGAAGTCCTAGCAGCCGATAAGCGGGATCCCTTGGTGGATGTGCCATTAATTTTCGACATTGACATCCCGGACCAGAACCGGGCCTCTGTCGAGATGTTTGATAGGATTGGGTGGATGAATACAATGTCGACACAGCGGCTGTGGAGGGGAGTTGTGCCGCCTTATGATGCTCGTGGGTGCTTTGGGATTTCGCTTCTCGAGGTTGGATAGGCAGCGAGGGCTAGCAGACGAGAATAAATTAGCGTGATATTTCAGTCAGGATTGTGAGTAGGTTTTCTACAGAGAAGAATTCTTGTGCAGCTTCCACTAGTGGATTTTTTTTTTCAGAGTCCGTGCAGCCACAAAAAGAGTAGCAGCACATCATCAGTCTCTCTCATTCTAGTCCCGGTTCTCACCGAAGACAACCGTAAGAGTATCCCAGTGTACATCCACGTAGCATGGACTGTAGTTGTTCATGCTAGCATTAAACCACACCTTTCCTAAAAAACATGCTGATGACCCTGAAAAAAAAAACTCCAATCCTCCAACTCTCCCCGAGTCCTTTCATTTTTTTGTTCGTTGTGAAAAAGAAAAGAAAAAATCAAGGTTTTCAACTCAGGACGCTCCCTCCCTTTACACTCTCGTTCGTTTTAGCATGCTTTTTCTTGTACTCTTACCCAACTTCAATCCTCATCCTCTTTTCATCATCCTTTGTGCCTATTTCCCAATACCGGAAAGGCCCGCGTCTGCCAAAAAATTAAAAACGATGAACACTGACAACATGCAAGTTGACTCATGCGAACACCAGTTCTCTCGCTCTCTTTTTTTCCCCATCCCTGTTGTATCCACAAAAGGTGAACAAAGCGCTCTTGTAGTTTGATTTGTAAAATGCTTAAATGTGGAGACGAGAGGTCATTGGCACAATACAAAAATAATCATCTCCATGCGAGCCCCCCCACCCTGTGTCTCTCAGCCCCGCAGTTCGAATGCCTCTTCTTTACCCCTAGCCTTTGTCCCCCGTTGTCTCCTCTTTTAGTCTCAATTGGCCCCCTCCCTGCCTTTGCTCTTTCGCCGTGATCACTGCCGCACACACCCCTCTCCAGTCAGTCCCCGCACAACAGCCCTGCCTCGACTCTCACTGCTGCGCGCCCTCTGTGCACCCTTCTACCCAAACCTTTTTCCGTTTTGCCCCCTGGCTTCGCATTTTTTTGTCATCGTCGACTATTTCTACTCGATTCATCGTCCACTCATTCCTCCTCTTTTTCTATTCTTCACTTCTCATCACTCCTCTCTCCCCTCCCTCCTTGCCCTCCTACAACTCACCAAAAGGATGCTAGCCTCTCCGACAAGACAGGTGTTCCACCAAACTGACCGCGACCAGGCCGCCGACCATTTCTTTAAATGGGCCTCCTCCGAGCACTGGAACCCCGGCCACAAGGGTCTCGACATCAAACTCCTTCACAGCGCAGATCCCAAAGGCTTCTTCTTCTCTACCGTCGATCCTCCTTCCAACACCACCACCACGGAGCAACTCCACCCGGAAAAGGACGAAGTCGTCTCGATTGTGAGCGCAGTCCGCTACGGAGAAGACCAAGGCTGGATCGGGTACTACATCGCATCGCCCAAATACCGCGGTAGGGGCTACGGCATTGCCACCTGGAACCGCGCCATTGACCACCTCACCCCAGACACCCGCGAGTCCATCGGCCTTGACGGCGTCATGACTCAGGTCGAGAACTACCGCAAGTCCGGGTTCACACAGTCGTCCTGGTTGAACGAACGTCGTCACGGATCTGCGGTCGACCTTGTTGAGAAACAGGAACGCGAGTTGGCCGACAAGATTTCCAGGAATGAAGTTGAAGGGTTGGTGTTGTTGTCTGACCCACAAGTCGATCTGGACCAACTCCCTGGAATCGAGACCAAATACTGTGGCCTGAAGCGTCCCCAGTTCGTCAAAGACTGGGCACTATTCCACGCCAACCACCCTGAGGAACACCGCGTCGGCGTCGCAATCCTCTCGTCCGATAAGAAGGACGAGAAATCCGGAAAGCCCCTCGTCCTGGGTTACGCCTGCGTTCGTCCCGCCATCTCTTCCTACCGCGTGGGTCCCGTCTACGCCGTCGACGGCGACGTCGCCAAAAAGTTGCTCGTCAAGCTGGCTGTTGACGTGGTGTCGGCCGAGAAGCAGTCCCCCCTGGGTGTGCCCTTGATGTTCGATATCGACATTCCCGACAAGAACCCTGCAGCCGTCAAGATGTTTGATGGCCTCGGCTGGAAGAACACGTTCCCTTGTCTGAGGATGTGGAAGGGCAAGATCCCTGACCATGATGTCAACGGCGTCTTTGGCGTCACCACCCTCGAGGTCGGTTAAAGAAATGGAGTTTTCGTTAGAATCCTGCGGTGACTCAAAATGCCTACTAGTCCGCCTTTGTTCCCTACGCTCTTGTTTTCTTTCGTTTTCCTCCCTATCATGCATTTTCCCATTGCTCTCTTTGCCCCTTCCTTTTCCCATTGAGCTCATGCATGTCCTGCTGTCATGCTCCTTTTTTCCTTGAATAAAAAACAAGAAAGAAAATAGTTGCGCTCCTATAGTCGATTCCCTGTCCTGTATTGTGGTAATTGGCAAGCAGCTGAATCCTGAACGCGCCCCTGCTATGAGTTGGTGAAAAAAAAAAAGTTGGTACCTTTGTAGGAAGACAGAGAGAAAGCGGGAAGAGATCCTCATACGCGTCCCAACAAAAACAACGATGGGAAGTTCTGTCGTTCGTTTCCCTCTACTCTCCTTTTAACAATCACCTTCCCCTTCTCCCTTTCTTCCCACCCCCCACATGTTTCTCACCGAGAAGGCATGCACGCACGCGATGTTTCTACTTTTGAGTTTCCCCCCTCCTCTCGTTGTCCTTGTTCGTTCCCATCCCTTCTTCCCTGCCTCCCGATATGCTCCCTTCGCAGCCATTACGACCAATTGACTTATCTCTTCCCTCCCCCCCCCCCCCTCTCTCTCTCTCTCTCTCCTTTCTTCTCCCGATTTCTGTCAATGCGTCATTGTAGATTCTTGTTGTTTGTTGTTTATTTTTCTTTCCAATTTTGAGTCAAAGTTTTCCTTTTTTTTTTCCTTCGCGAGTGTGATATGTGCTGGTGTATGTGGTGGGAGAGGAATTGTTGACGAATGAAGAGGGGAAGTGTTGCTGGTATGTTGCTATTGATGCTGTTTGCTCATTCCTTCTTCTCAATCCCGTATATTTTGTTGTCCGCCATCGTCAACGCCAGCGTCGATCCTTCCGTGAGAACTAAAGCGTGTAATACAAACGAAAAGAAAGAAGAAAAAAAAAAGTGTCAGTGAGGAACGAACAGACATATCGAAAAGAAGATCCTCGACCCCCCCCCCCCCCCCAATAACAAACTCCTTTCGTTCTTTCTGTCCAGCTGCCCTACAATCGACAAAACAACCACAACAAAAACCACAACAAAAAGAAAAAACCCCTATCGTCCCCAGTAGGCAGAAAACGAACTCGAATGAATTTAGACGTTTTACCGGTGACTTTCCGGACAATACTATCCTCGACCTCCGTTCCAGAATCAGCCGTCGACAACAATCCTGAGCCTCCTTGCGGTGAATACCTCGACACCAACTGTCCGACATCCTGCATCAGTTTCTGGATCACCGTCGCCTGATCCTGAAGCAGCGGTCCATTCGCCTAATTTACGCCATAGAAGAAATAAAGCAGAGACTGTTTAGGAAGGAGAGTCTTGGTGAACCAGAGTGAGAGCGAGCAACTGAGAGAGAGCGAGAAAGAAAGAAAGAGAGAGAGAGAGAAGAAAGTTACATTTAGGAGTTGCCCAGAGGCGAGATCTGCAGAAAAGGAGGCGACATGGCCGGGAATAGTGGCCAATTCCTCAAACACGGGATCTGGTGGTGCTGTCGTCTACGAATGAAATGAGAGCGAAAGACAGGAAAGAAAAGATGTGAGCGACTGCAGGGAATCCCAAGAAAAACTCGAATCCTGCGAGTGTGTGTTGATTCTGGTGAGACGGGAAAACGAACCATGGTAGGTGCTGTTGTAGCTGTTTTGTTGATGGGTCGAGGTGAAGAGTGCTAGTCGGGGTGGAGCTGTATTGGGTGGGTTGGCGTTGATGAAGGTGGAGGAACGATGGAGGAACGGTGGAGGAAGAGGCGAAAAGGTTGGTCTGTTCAAATGTTGGATGCGAAGGAAAAAAAAGTGATCACAAAAAAGCCCACCTGAGAAGAATGCTCGGACTGCTTTTCTATACACGCGAAGAAAAAAGAACTGTGAACGCACGCACATAGGCAAAGGAGCGGTGTCAAGACAACCGGTGTCAAGACAACGGAGCAAAAGAAAGAAACGATGCAATTTTGTGATTTAATTTTACAATGAAGGAAGAGAAGAGAGTGTGCCGTAGAACAGTGAAAATGCAAGAGATGGAAAACAAAGAAAGAAAAAAAGAGTCTACTCTATAGCACGATGCGTGGGTGTGAATGATGTAAAGAAGTAACCGCCGGGTCGAGCGTGTCTCCAGATCGACGTTCGTTTACAGTTGAGGTGCCGTAGATCGAACCAAGGTGACAATAACCGTGATATCATCCACTTTTCTATCATTCACAAATAGAAAGGAAGAGGCTCGATTAGTAAATTGGCAGCAATAGTTGAATGGCACACAATGAACAAACAAACGAAGAAAGACGTACCCGCCCGACTGGATATGACGGGCTCCCTGGCTGAAGGGAGTCGTGCGCTTGGCATCGAGAGAGAACCGTCTTGCAGTGTTGGTGAGTCGCTTGGAGAGTGCCCGCACTCTGGCCAGGATCTCGTCCGCAGACATGGCCTCGACAATCTCTCCAGCCGACGATAACCGATGTGTGGTAGAATGGAGCAACTGCTGGTCGCGGATAACATCGCCCAGCTCCCGGTCAACAAGCTCAATGGCCTCTTTGGTAAATACGTTGTCCCAGAAGCCATCTGTCGCCAGCACAATCACATCACCGTCCTGCAATTGATGTGTAGTCTGAACCGCGTCCTTTGGTAAATCTTGGATATATTTCTTGGCCTTTTTTGCCGCTACTGTTGGTGCTGCTGTCGCATCCTGTTGTGTTGCATTGTCCTTGCCGTCAGTATCACTACTTCTCTGCTGCTGTTGTTGCTTCTGTTGCTGCTGTTGCTGTTGACGGTCCTTGGGCAAGACAGTAAGTTGGTAAGGGCAGTTCCAAAAGTGCTGCTGGGAGGGTGACTCGTAGATGCACTTGTTGCCACGGATCAGCAAAAAGGCACTGTCGCCCAAGTTGGATGCTCGCAGTGTTCCCGTGGTCTTACAAAGTGACAAGATACAAGCTGTACTGGATCCTACTCACGGAAAAAAAAGAAGGTACAAGAATGAGGGTACATTAGTTCTAGTCCTTCTTGTTCATTGGGAGGTGAACGCGGGAAAAAATAAAAATTTAAAAGGGCCAAATGAAGAAAGAAACAAAAAAAAGGCATGTGCACAGTCCCTCTGCCACCCGCATAACAGATCTGGAACCTCTGGTCCTTCCTAAGATGTCCCCCCTCTTCTTTTTTTCCGTAAAGTTGATATTTTACCTGCTTCGACGGTCCCACTCTGGACCAGTTCGTTGTAGGCACCGTCCAAGATTGTCTGAGCATCCAGAATACTCCTCTCACTGCCAGCGGTGGGAAGATCTATCTCGGGTGGCACACAGTCTGTCAATCGAGCAATGTTTTCAGCATTGTTCATCAACGCCCATGAGAACAACGCAGGGTCGACTCCCAGCTATTTGAGCACGAAGTCAAAAGTTAAGCGTACGTTAGTAATTTGGTTTTTGTTTGTAACAAGTCCAGACTGAACAAAACAGTCAGCCAGCCAACCAGCTGCCCTCCAAAGGCGCAATGCGAGGTTGGGCAAAGGGTAATGGGTCAAACTGCAAAAGGAGGCAGGTTGAGTAAGGTAAAAACAACATCAACAAGAATAGGGACCATGTGTGAGTGGGGATAAAAATAAGAGCGCATCGCATCCATCCTCGGCTACGCCATTTTTAGGCACTCCTGTCGATCCGGATTGACCTTGCCCACATGTTACGAGGGAACACAGATCGATCGATCCGCTTTCAACCTGACAATTGAAGTTGCCCTCTCAACAAGAATGTGTGTGCATATGACGAGTAGAAGTATAAGAGAACTCACCTCTGACCAGCCGCCAACACCGTCAGCAACTCCAAGGGCGACTCGACTGCGTGTGGAGACATGGAAGAAGGCATCCTCGCCAGCGTCGACTTTGCCAGGATGAGGATGAGCCGCCTTTAATTTCTCCTTCCAGAGTAAAGTTCGGGCAGTATTTGCTGCCTCTGCATCCGCCTGTGCCTTTTGTACTTGTTGCACTTGTTGCTGCTGCTGTCGCTGTCTGGATTTGGGGTGCCAGCTTGCTGCGAGGAGATAGTTGTATGCAATGGCGTTATGTGATGCGGGTGTTGGTGTTGCTACTGCTTGTGGGATCACTTCGGAAGCGGTTGTGTCGGAGGAAGAAGAGGCAGGTGATGCCAGAGTGGATGTCCCAAAGAGGTCTGGCGGTAAGAGGACATCGTGTGCTAGTAATGGTGGTGGCGGTTGGTGCTGAAGGAGAGTAGCAGCAGTTGCTGTTGCTGTTGTGGAAGTATGCAGTTGACACAATGACTGTGTTGAATTGGTGGCGGACCCATCGAGGGCAACCAGGGTCGGAGTCGAAATTCCCTGACTACTACTAGCAGGAGTGAGGAGGTACTGAGGGGCGATGGAGAGGTAGCGTTGCATGGTGGCCATGGCGAAGGGGCGGGACAGCATCCAGTGGGCGAGTCTGTGTGCTGCGACTGAGCTGTAGGCGGTGACGAGCCTTGTGGGGATCATCCCCAGGGGTCTGGCTGCATTCCTGCCCAGCATTACTGTTATGTGAGAGAGCGAGGCAGAGTGGAGGTGGTTTTAAAAAAGTTTGTTGGTTGGAAAGGAAAGAACGGAGGGTGGAGAGGGAAAGAGTGGAGTGGAGAGAGAGATAGCGAGAGAGAAGAAAATAAGCGAAGGACGGAGAACGAAAAGGAGATATAAAAGGGAAGGGAAGGGAAACGTAGTGTGGAGTCAAAGGAGGAAAAGAGAGACACAGCGAGACACAGAGAGGGGCAGAGAGACAAGAAGAAATAAGAAATAGGGGGAGTGTCGTTGTGTGTGTGCTTGGGAGTGTGTCGATGGTGAGAGTCAATGGGTGGTTGTGGTTGTACGAGTGAGAAGGGTGAAGGGTGAAGGGTGAAGAAGGAAAAGAGCTGGAAGCGGCGATGCCCTTACCTTTTATTCGCCTTGGCCGTGGCCTTGGCTCTTGTGGTTCCGAAGTCCCTACTTGACTTTTCCGAACCAGTTCCGATCGATTTCCTTTTCCGTCCTCCACTCTCACTCCACGCTCTCACAAATGAACGACGTCCAAGCCAGAGTTACACGTCCTGCGTATCCCTATCCAAGGACGCTCTCTCTATCTCTTTCCTTGTCCCTTTCAAATGCCATTGCTCTTCTTTTATTAGCCACCCTTCTCTGGCTCTCGCTTCCTTGCTTGCTTCTACTTCTTCATTTTCGCCTCTCCTTCTTCAAGCTTAGCTCTCCCGGACCTAGAAAACTTGCCTTCATTCACGTCGGCTTACCATTCCAAGTCAAGTCTCCGTTATTCTCATGCCTTTCTATCTTCTTCGCGATATTTCATATCTTATGACTTGGATATTCAATTAAAAATGGAGAAAGCAGGAACAATAGACAACGACACGATTGTGCGTGTGGGTTTGTGGAGGAAGAGGAAGTGTGGAGCGAACATAAGGAAAGGGCAGGACTGACCCTGAAGAAGGGCGTGATCTTCATGTGGGAAAGTGGAGGTAAGAAAGGAAAGGAACGGATGGCAAGGGAAGGAAGGGAAGGAAAGGAAAAGAAAGGGGACAAGAAAGGCGAGTAAATTGACATAGAAAACCAAAGACACCAAGCGAGAAGGAAAGAGAAAGAAAGGAGGATATCAAAAAAGGGACATGGTCCTCCCTTTCCTTTCCCCACTTCATCCCTTTCCTTTCTTTTCCTTCACTTCCTCCACTTTTCTATCCTTTTTCCAGGGGAGAACCTGAAAGAAAAACCAGGATAAGCAAGATACATCCCGATCAATTGGAAAATAACCAAATGGAGAGAGTGGCCTTCTTCACTGTCCCTCGCTCGCCCTTATTTCCTACCAAACAAAAACTGTATATCCAACCATTCGTCTGTGATAGCCATCCAATTGATAACGGGAAGGAATGAACGGAGCAAGAACCGCAAGTTCACCTCTGTTAATGTTTCTCTTTGTCGCGTTTCCTTTGGTCCAATGTACCCGCTCCCTCCAGAAGCAATGGGTCAGTGCACGCGCAATTAGAGGCACTTTTGGACCGGACTGCGGCGAGGCAAGGTGTTACAACGGACTATCATATGGTGGCGCGTTATGCAATTTGCATTGTTGGGTGTCTTAGATTGACAATAATGAGAATGAGCAGACAGGTGCTTTCATTCACTCTCTAAAGATATGCGAATAGACAAAGGCACCTGTTGGTATTGTGAACGCATGACAGATATGGATTGACGCAGCAACGAGGGGGACGAATGCGAGGAAGATAGCGAGATCACGATGTTGCTTCTAGGGCTGTTAATGAAGGATAATTTCTTGGTGTGTCGCAGAATGAGGATCAGATAAATAAAAGATGACCCATTGTGACAGTGCTACAGAAGGAGGAGATTTTGTCGGTGGCGCGCATAACTGAGTCCGTACGCCACCTCCACCCCCGCTTTTGCGCCGCAGAAGGGTCAATAGATAGTTAATATCAAAGGGTGTGAGAATGGAGAAAAGAGAAGTTGAGGTGTGGGGTCAAATGGGAGAAAGGTGCCGTATTTATGGCTATTTTTCGTCTGACATGGGCGCGGCGAGGCTGCGATGATGACACTTTCTACGTACAGATGAAGTAAACTCCAGGCTGGGGGTGGTCAGGGTGTGTGTTGAGGGAAGACGGTGATTCGAGGGCAAGAATGCTGCGTTGATGACGAGTGAGCACAAGGAAGTGGACAATGTGACGTGCAACAACTCATTTCGCCCAAAGAGAAGAGCATTGCACTAGAAATAGATACTAGTAGTCATATGATCACGTTGAACCTTGTGCAAGGACAAGGAAGCATCCATTCCGTAGATGACAAAGGAAGAAGTAAGGCCAGATTGATTGACCCTGGTGGACAAACAAACACAAGGACAATCAACTAACCCGACCCGGTGCGTCTTCATTCTGCCAGGACATGTACAGGCTAGGTCCCAGCCTCATCATCAGGCCATGTTCTCCTCTCTCATATTGACTAATAGAAGTATAATAAATAAATAGCCAGCCCTTGCTACCCCGCCCCAGGTTCTTTTTAATTTTTTGAAATACATCTTTGACCACAATCTCTCCTTTATCCTTCCTCCTTTCTCCTTACTCTCTCACCCATCGTGCATACATCTCACTCGCACCTTCCAACAGCAATCGCCCAACGCACACACACCTCCTGAACACAACTCGCCATTCGTCCGCAGTCAACCCATATATCTTCTACGCAATAATTATCACAACTCAATTCAATAGCCTCTTTCTCCTTTCGCTTTGCTTAGCCTGGCATAAATAGTCAGAGCATTCCTTTCTCCCACTCTTTTTCTCTTTTCCTCTTCAACAACACATACACCTCAATCTACCAAGCTAGCAAACCATTTACTCTCACTCTCGCTCCACAAACACAACTCTACCTCAACACTCCACCCTACCAACCAACAACAACAGCTATCCAACATGTTCATGCTTTCGTGGATTCGCTCTTCTGACACCCAGGCCGCCAGCAACAACAACAAGGCCACCACTCCCTCCTCGACTACCTCGGACGACCACCACCACCAGTCGGACGACTGGGTCTTCCTCCCCGCAGATGAAGAGACAATGATGAACGCCTCCATCTCCGACCTCCAGCTCCTCTCAGCCTCCACCATGATCCTTCGTCCTTCCTCCACACATCCCGCCTCTTCTTCTCGGACAGCCACCTCCTCATCTTCCGTATCAACAACAGCAGTGGTGCACAAGTCGCGGAGGCAGCTCAAGCAAGAAAAACGTCTCCAACAGGCACAGGACGACCTCGAACGCCGACCGCGCTATGACCCCATGATTGCCAAGATGCGCGACTATGAGTTTAAGCTTGCAAAGCTTCAAAAGTTGGGGATGCGGTCGGGTCGGATTGCGAGCTCAACGACGGGTGGGGCCCATTCTGTCAAGTCTATGAGGGGTGCTGGGGCTTCTGGAGGCCCTCAGGTGTCTGCCCCTCCTGCTACCACTGCCTGCTAGTCTCCCTTGACAGGAATGTAACTTTTAGCCCTTCCTTTCCCTCCCCCCTATTGCTTTTTTACTTTTTCCTACAAAACACGCGCTGGAGATTGGCCTGTCGCTCTTTTTCATTTCCTTGTACTTGCCTTCTTCTGTAACACGAGGAAGATAGGGTGAGAAAGGGACAGGAATACAAGGTACACGGGTCATTGCGAACCTGACCACCCTTCCCCTTCCCTCCACTACAAGTATTCTTATCCTCCCCTCTTCGTCTTATCGTACGACATTCACGCTATTTCTCGACACAAGCATTCCCCAGCACCGCCAACAAAAAAAGCCTTTATTCTTTACTTTACTCGACCTGTTTACCATAATTCCTCAATACTTGACAACCTTACTACCTCGCACCCCTTCTCGTGTAGCAGAGAAAGACACCTTTTTTTTCTTTTCTTTTTTTTTTCTTCTTTTTTCTTACTTTTTTTTCCACTTTTTTTTTGTTCGCTTATCCTTTGCCGGTTCATAAAAATAAAAAACTTTAAACCCCCATTGTGGCATGCAAAGCCCAGTCAACCCACATAACTTTTCTCTCTCTCTCTCTCTCCCCTGAACTCATTCTCCCTTTTTCATGCACACCGAATTGACCTTTTTTGTGAGGTACTTCCATGTCAAATGAATAGAATCCGATACATTCCGGGGACCACATCTTGATATTCTAAGAGTAGTCTAATTTTACTATTGCAGATGAAGGAGTATGCAAGAAGGAGAAGAAAATGGAAAGAAAGGGAGTGGGAAGACGTTGGTCATTTGTATCCTGCATCCGACTTGCGCCCACAACTCAAAACCACCTCTCTCGCTCATGGACACCCAACCTCCGATTATTATTTTTTTCATTTTTGGTGCGACTGATTGATTAACAGGTGGCTCCTCCGTTGCAGGCTCCGTAGTACTGACAGGGCGATTGTGTTGAATAACGCGGTGTCTTTTTGTTACACATCTAATGTTGTGATTTGAAGTTAGGAAAAAAAAAGCGATGAGTCAAGAAGCGAGCGATGAGGGAGGGGCGGGATAGGGTGTTGCCAAAGGGGGCCAAGGAGGGGTTCATATAGACAAGCGGAAACGATGACGTGTTTTTGAAATGGAAAGGAGGGGAGTAAAATGTAAGGCCATGGGATAACATGGACATGTTTTTTTTTTTTCTTTTCGAATTTAGTGGGGAGAGAGCAGGAAGGAGAAGTGTATGAGTGTTAAACATGTCGTCGCTAGGGTAAACTCGAACCTTTGTACCAGGACATGTAGCTTCTACATACAAGCGAGAAAATGATGAGGAGGAGAAAGAAAAAAAGAAGTAGAAGGAAGACAATGCTGTTAGAAAGTGTGTAAGCCATCCATCAGTCAAGGATAAACAGATAAAGTACAGAGTGCAAGGTCGAAGAAAAGTGAATGGCTCCATACTTCTGCCTCCACACGTCTCATAATTATTTGGATCAAGGCCTATTGTTATACGAACAAAAGAGAGAGCGAAATGGGGCGACTGTCAGTTTTGATTGTTGACTCGATACGCAGAAAGTGGATTGGCCCTCTGGGACGAAGGGGGAGAAGAGAGATAAGACGGGAGCAGGGGAGGAGAGGAAGGCGGTTGTTTTACACTGGACAAATCCTCCAGGTGGACACCCGTCGGCATGTGCGGGTGCGACCAATGTTGAGAGGAAGAGGATTGTCGACAATAAGCCGAGGAAGTGGAAAAAGAAGAAAGTTCTACTGCCGGTTATCATTGCGTTGTGCTGGCTTTGTGGAAGGTGTGTATGAGAGTTGAGAGGAAAGGGCAAGGAGAAGAAGAAGCTGTGCTGTATGGAGAGAGGGTAGAAAATGGTTAGGACGTTGAAGGAGTAGGAAATTAGTGAAGAGAAGAGGAGATGGGGAACGAGGAGTGGGTGAGGACGCTGAAGAAGGGAAAGGTGTGGAAAAGCAAGAAGAAAAGGTCAATACGCTTGAAGTAAAATAATAAATAGATTAGAGGCAGGAGTAAATAGCACCTCCGTTGTGGACAACATAGAGATAGTGTGGTTAATGAGGATGATAAATGAGAATGGGGCTGGATATGTGGTTGAAGGTGGTGCTCGTGCACATTGAGATCATACTGAGGCAGAAGGGAACCACCATCGCTGACGTATAGATGGTCCAAACGAAGGGTAGACTACTCATCAAACTATTAAACGTGAAACATGACCGTTTCCTTTTTTGTACCAATTGTCCGTCCCCCCCAGCACCGGACCAATAACATCGAGGGCAGAGTTTTCTTCTCTCTAATAGCCGCATCAGTTGATCCAGCCACCTCTTCGATCCCCTTCTTGTACATTCCTAATCCACACTTCTCTCACTTCTTCATACCCATCACATCACAGACACAGGACACAATGACAACAACGAACGACCCCCTCTCTAACACTCTCGCACCCAGCACAGCTGCGACATTGACGATCCGTGTCATCAAGTCATTCGAATACCGCACTTCCAAGAATCTTGTCCTCCACAACATCGACCTCACCACCACCAACGTCGGCCAGCTCCGCGCCTTGATCATCGAGAGTAAGACTTCCTAGTCAACACTTCATCCACTAGGAGAGGTTCTGTTGCATCACCGAGAGGGCGGGAAAGTGGCAATGCTGAGGACAAAGATGTCTACCTCCGTCAAGAAGGGGCTTGGGAGAGAACGAAGAGACAAGTGGACGGCACTAGCCTTTTTTGTATCACAAAAGCCAGCAGGAACTTTTCTGTCAAGAACCAACAGGCACTAACGACTTACCTATCTTCATTCTGCTCTCATAGAGATCAAAACTGCTCCTGGATGGAAGCCCTACCAGACCGTCGTCTTTGGTAACGAAACAAAACACGACGGCCTTCAACTAAAAGGATACCTACCCAACGTTTTGCCGCCCTAACACCCAGCCCTCAATTCTATTCTCAATTACAGATACCCTGAAGCTATACACAAAAGCACACGGCGCCAAGACCATGAACTTGATCATCAACATGGACAATGACGACTGGATCCTTAACAACGACGACGAGATCCTCACCAACCGTGGCATCGGTAAATATTACAGCCTTCACCCCAACAGCATGAAATAACGTGATAACGCAGGACAGATCATTTGCTCTCGTTATTAACGGACGCTCTTTTTCTGTGGATCGAACAATATAGAAAACGAGACAGAGATCTCGATCTTCAATAGGGAGCTGTACGAGGCTTTCAAACAGCACCCTGACATCAAGTGGTAGAGAAAAAAGCGACAGAACGGCGCTCAGGAAACAGGGATGCAGGACGACAGGATGTAAGTCAAGAGGCATGGGCTGCGGGATCCGACTGTTTTGATACGTCACCACTAACGCCTGTTGCGACAACCTATCTTGTGTATGCCAACCCTATCCTATCTACCCCCAAATCAGACAGGAAAACACAACAAAAATAAAATCGACCTATTGAACAACATTTATCGATGATATGGAGAAAAAACAATCACCACATCGAACACTTTCAGTTAGTGCGGGCCTCAATGCACATGGATACAACAAGAACGAACAAGGCGGTCTATTTTGTTGTTAAAAGGCGTTTATTTGGGTCTCGTAAAGTCGACAAGCAGCAGGATCTGAATCGTACGACGACAAAGGACAGAAAAAAGTCGCAATTCTGGGATGCACCATCGTCTTTACCGCATCGTAGTGCCCAAAAGCTGCCGCTTGTAAAGTCCACAGCACCACTGTCACCACCTTTTCCACCTCCCTCCATCCTCTCTCGCCACCACCGCTGCTGCAGCTTCCGTTGTCGACACACAACCACAGCACCTATAACCGAGCCCACAATTATCCCCGTCATCGCTCTCCCCACCTTTCGCATGTACCTTCGATCCAAGAACTCATTCTAATCTACCCCGGCCTTGTACGGCGAACACTAGATCTCGGACATCCTCAGATCTGTGAACCCCATGGGCACCGGTACTGTATTGCTACCACTGATGGTATTGGTGAGGTTGGGATAAGGGGGAGAAACCGTAGTTCCCTTGGGCGGTGAGGCTGATGATGATGATGAGCGGGGTTTGGGTTTAAGATTGAGGGTGGGGTTGATAGTCGCTGAGGGTAATGAAAGGGTTGGTGGACAAGTTCGTAGTAAGTGTAGGGGCGATTCTCTTTGTATGCGAGGTTTTTGAGGTGAGCGGTGTGGAGGGTGTTTATATTCACGGTTCTAGAGGTGGTGTTGTCTTGGGTCATGGTATAGATTTTGTATAGCTCAGCCTAAGAGAGGGTCGAGAAAGGTTTGTGAAGGAGGGCGGGGTGCCGATTTTTTTCGTTAGTCGTTGGGCGGGGAACAAGACAAATAATTAGGCGAGGCTTTACATGTCAAGAGAACGACCAATAGCATGCAAAACTTACCAGCTCATTATACAGCTCGATACCATCCAGGTACGTCGAACCATCTGGCGTCGTCCCCCACAAACAAATAATCATTATAAAACTCCCTCGACCCCTCAAAACCTTCTACATCCTCCGGATACGGCGGCTTAGTAGTAGGATCTGTGAACAGGCAAGAGTAGATGACACTGCTGTCGTTGACAGAATACCGGGTCATGTAAGGCCGTTGATTGGCGTAGAGGATCACGGTGGAGTCGTACCGTTTCTTGGTCTTGAAGAGTGCGCCTTTGAATGGATAAGTTCCGTGTAGACTTTCCCAGGATATCGTGTCGTGGATACTTCTAGGGGGGTACTGGTTCTTGTAAAAAAAAAAAAAAAAAAAGTAGGGTTGGCGAATTTAAAGAAAATGGGAACGAAAACTTAATTTGGGTCAAGGTACATGCCAGTTTCCAGACACGGAAGTCGAAACACATTGTCAACCTTCTTCTAGAACCCCAAACCACACAACACTCCTCACAACATCCGTCAACATATGCACTAGCACCTTCTCCCATCCTTCTCCACCTCCACCACCACCCTTACTCACATATAACGACTGTTACTGTCAAATACTAGACATCCACCCATACAACCCCACCGTCCGCACATTCACCCGCCCCTACTCTCCTGATCAAACCTCACACCCACCGGAACCATCTCCCCCATCCCACTTCCGGGGGTCAAAGCCTCCTCACTCTTGAACAGTGGCGTGAAAGCGCCTCTCCTGCTCACCGCACAATCGACTAGGCGAAGTTGTTTTTGGAAGTTTAGATAAGGCGAGGAAAGGGTAATGGGGGTTGTTGATTTGAAGAAAAAGATTTTGTTGTTGAATATGCACGTGAGGAGGATTCTGGATCGGATGTTAGTTTCTTGGTGGTGATGGCGTAGTGAGGATCGACATTCTTTTCAGTCTCAGCCCTCCATCATACATCTCATGTGTGTTCAGTTTGCGAAGGGAGGATAGAGAAAATGCCAGTGATGTCGTTGGATGATTAGGGTATATGTATTATACAACGTAACAACAATGTACAAGAAAAAAAGGGAAGATTACGACTGAGAAAGGACGACAGGATAAAATGACAAAAGCTGGGTGGCGTATGTGTGTGAGTAGAGCTAGAGTACCCTCACCTTCCGATCGCGCCATCGCCCTCCTCGAAGATGATCGTCATCATCGTCATCATCGTCGCGGTAGTAGTAGTGTTGCCGACTTGTTCCTGTAACACTCCCCATGTTGGCACTCCTCAGACCCATTTCGACATACTGCTCCTGTTGCTCCTGTTCCTCTTGCTGTTGTTGTTGTAAGTATTGTCGTTCCTGTTCCTTTCGTTTTTCAGCCGCGCGCCTTTTTAACTTATTCCGATGGTCGCTGTACATGATACAACAGAAAAGTCCAGCGGTGACGCCGAAAATGATGGCAAGAACCTGCCCTTTGGTAATGTACCTAGCCCAGGCTTTGTCTCGGTAATAGATATTTTCCATGGTTGTGTTGCGAGGAACTGTGCCTCTAAAGTAGCCTGGGATCACCACGTCTAGCGATCCGAGGGCGTTGGTGCCGTTCTTTCCGATTGTTGAGAACTGGTAGACCCCCTCTGAGGATAATCCGACGACATAGGGGGTTTGTCCTGGCAATGGGCCGCCAAGAGTTACAAAGTTGTCGTGGACCGCCACGTCGTTAGTTTGTGTGGTGTTTCCGTCGAAGATCGTGGTGATGTCGTAGAAGGGTGACGTTGACACTATTGGGGTTTGAGCCACTCCGTCTACTATGTCCATGGTGAACGATGTGTAATCTTGTCCCTACGTTTTTGTTTCCAAAGCGAAGCAGAAAGCAAGTTATGTTTTAGGTGTAGAAAAAATACGTAGTACAGTGCAATGAGCGAGCAAATATTTATGCACTAAAAAAAAAAGGAGCTGGTTACCGTAGTAGTTTTGTTGTCTTGTCCAATCCCTCCCAGGAATGTGATCCCGCCTCGAGTTCCCGTAAAGAAATAGCTCGAGAGAAAGTTATCGGGTCCCTTGAAGATTTGGCGATTGGGTGAGGGAGATGCGGTGGGGTCTGTGAACGGATATGACTCGATGACGACGTTTGTGCTTATGTTGTAGTTGTGGTGCATCATGTACAGATGGTTCTCCGCATAGACCACCTTTATACGGCCTTGAGAACGCGTCTTTCGAAAAAATCCGGGTCTTGGCAGATCCGTCCGATTGAACCACGGTTCGGGCAATAGGTCGATTTGGTTTCTGGCAGTGTACTCTCCCAATATCTCATTCTGTAGAAGGTATATACGCACAAATAATTGGAAAAAAGCATACATTCGATAATAAAAGGGAGGTGATTAGGACGGCGCCAAAGGTTCACTTTTCGTTGTTGTTTTTTGACATAGCAAAAGTGGTCGATCACCTACCAAATTCCAGATGCCGGCAAGATGGAGGTACCTTTTCGTCTCACTGAGGACCCCGAACCGAATAACAGACCCCACGTCATCCGTGAACATATGCACCAGAGTGTCGACTCCATTCCTGTCAACATAAAATGACATATGCGCCACCGAGTCCGTGTCCCATCCGTATAAAGATGACGTCCTGATACTCGTCCACGCTTCCGTTTCGGGATCATATCGGATTCCCACAGGAACATCGGCAGGTTTAGGAGATATGTAATCCTTGTTCCTGAAAAATGCCGTGAAGACGCCTTTGCTGCTAACGGTACAGTCGACAGTGCCAAAGGGCATCTTCCAGTATGAGAATGGCCTAGACTGGGAGAACGACACTCTTGACCACATGCCTAAGCTGAGTTGGTCTGGGTTGGGGAGCGATTTGACGAGGAGGAAGCCCTCCTTGCCGTTTATTAACCCATTAGTAATGCCGTAAAGTGCTGTTGAAGTTGGATCTGTGGCGATACAATCCAGAAGCACCGTGCTATTTTCATAATACGACATGACACCCGAGGGACGTTAATATTGGTGTTTTTGTTGGCGGTGTGGGTGTGAGAGTGTTGGTGGGTGATAGTGGGTGTTGAAAGAAGAGGAGAGGTAGGAAGACGAATCAAGAGAGTACGAGAGTAAGAGAGCTTGAGAGTGTGACAAGGTGATGGTGTAGCTGTGTGTAAGGAGGTAAGAAGAGGATAAAGAAGGAGGGAAGAGAAGAGTACGAGAGATAAGAGAAATCGAGTTTAATTGTCTCTTTTGACAGGACTTATGCAAAAAGCGAAAAGGAACAAACTCATTCACCCGCACAACTCGGGGCATGGAAAGAAAAATAGAGGCGTGTTGTTTTTGCTCACACAAAGGAAATAAGTCTTTGTGCATGCATGCAACAACATCAACAATAACAAAAAAACCACAGCCTAATCATGTTCTTGTTCTTCTCTTGCACCCTGTTGGGGTAACGCCATCCAGTTGGCGCCACTGCTCCGAATCGTATGCGACTGTTCCTTCCAGTGGCATTCGTAGACGCACCACCTTTGCCCAAAAAGCAAAGAAAGGTTACCCAGGTCACCGGTAACAAGAAGTCATGATGACATGGTGGTAAACTCAGGTGTAAAGTCCCAACAAAAAAGAAAAAGAAATAAAGGATGAATGGAGAAAAATTTGCTCTCATTTCCAGCTTGTACAAACGTTGTTAATATGCAAGGCTAAAACCAAGAGCACTTTTGTGCCAAAATGGCTAAGGATTTCGAAAGATGGAAGGAAGGGAGGAAGGAAGGGAAGGGAACAGCCGTCCCCAGGTCAGGATGGGAAACGTGAACAATGCGCACTGCCCTGGGTAAGAGCAATTATTGCATGCTTTCTTTGTGTTTTGTGTTGATATATTTTCTGATAGAAAACAAATGAGATATGGTGGAACAAACGACAGGGGGAAATGAAGCGCAGTGAGAGATGGATGAGGACAAGCAAAAATTGATGTAGCGCGAACACAAGATGATTGGTCTGATGACGACTTGAATATCACTCCCCTTCCTTTTCCATGGGAGAGCGAGAGAGTGACAGATAAGATTCGAAATGAAGGTGGCCCAAGGCAGTTCTGAACTCGGAATTCGAAGGTATCATTCTTGTTGGTGGGTCTTGGAGGTGCGCTGGAAGGTATCCTTTGAAGTGCTCACCATCGTCAATTGCTTCTCAAAGTAGGTGCACGAAATTGACACTGATGGCAGGTTAGGCTATGTATTGCTTGGTATCAATGTACAAGGAGGAAAATAAACTACGACTGAGCACTACCACCAAGAGAGGTGACAGTGTTGGGGCGAGGGTGTTGTGAATACTCTGGGGTTTGACTCTCGTCGCGCGCGTATGCGGGGGGTGTGGAATGAGAATAGTCAACAGAGGTAGCGAACTCGGGTGGAAGGTCGGAAGTGAAATACTGGTTTGCGATCCGCTCCTCGTAGGCGATCATCGCGAGGTTAGTTGTTGTCGGCGGTACTGCAGCACCCATGGTAGACCTCCTTGCGCTCAATTCTATATCCTGGTCCTGGTGTTGTTGTTGTTGTGCCTCTGCGACTGCACGCTTCTTGGCCTTGCGACGGTTGTTATACTTGACGAGGATGAATAACACGACGAAACAGGCCACAACGATCCCGAATTTCTGCGAACCCGTCAGCTTAGCCTTGGTATTAGCTTCATCATAATTCCTCTGCCAGATGTAATCCACCAAGTTCTTGGCATGATGGGTGATACCTGAAAACAAACCGGGTACAATGACATTGACCAAGCCAAGGGTGGTCGTGCCGTTCACTCCAACGATAGAGAACTCATAGATCCCCTCCGAGGCCAGTCCGACGACAAAGGGGTTCTGTCCTGGCAATTGTCCACCGACCGTCACAAAGTTCTCGTGGATTGACACGGTTCCGGTTTTTCGATCGCTTGAGTGCTCGTCGGTAGTGTGGTTATAGAATGGGGACGTGTGCACGACTGGAGTTTGAGGGATTCCGTCCAGTAAGTCCATGGTAAACGAGCTATACTCCCCGGCCTATCGTTTTTTTTTCCAAGAAAAAAAAAAAAAGACAATGGGTTGTTAATTGCAGGCGGTCAAGGAAAATAACGTGAAGTGTAAATATTCTAAAGTGTAATGAGAAGTCAACAAGTTATTATCTACCAGCTTGGTTCCATTATAGTTTCCTAGGCCTCCCAGGAAAGTAGTATTGCCTCGAATTCCAGCAAAAAAATATTTAGGTCTGAAGTTATCGGGTCCTTTAAAAGTTTGGCGGTTTGTGGAAGGAGGGGCGGCTGGGTCTGCGAAGGGAATCGAGTCGATGGTGACGTTCTCTGGATGGTTGTAGTACATCATGTAGAGGCGGCCGTTCGCATAGATCATCTTCTTCTGGAGTGAATGATGAGGCTTTCCGAACGCTCCGAGGTTTATGTATGGTTCTGCATAACCGGCCCTATCCCCGCGCTTCGCGTCGAGCATGCCGCCGGACTCGTACTCTCCTGTCTTCGAATTCTACGAACGATAAGTGACAAAAAAAAAGCACGTGAGCGTGCAGCAAGTGAAGTGCGAATAAAAGATGTCACGATTTCACATTCATTATTGGACTACAGCAAAAGCTGCTTACCTGCTTCCAGACACTGGCCAGCTGAAGGACGTTCTTTGCCTCATTAAGGACCCCGAACCGAATAACAGTACTATCAGCATCCGTCAACAAGTGTACCAGAGACTCGACTCCATCATTATTGATATAGAAAGACGTGTGCGTCCAATCATCCGTGGCCCAACCATACAAAGGCGACGTCTTGATACTGGTCCACTTTTGCGTCTCGGGGTCATATCGGACGCCGACAGGGATACTGACAATTCCAGGGGTGAGCAATTGACCATTATTGAAAAATGCGGTAAAGACACCCTTACTGCTGACAGAACAATCGGTGCTCCTGAAGGATGGCCGCCAGTAAGAGAAGGGTATAGCCTTCTCCTCTGATACCATAGACCACATGTTGAGGCTGACGTGATCAGGGTTCGGGGATGACTTGACGAGGAAGAAGCTCTTCACATTGCCGGCGTAGCTCCATCCAGTGGCGATGCCGTAGAGTGTTGTTGAAGTTGGGTCTGAGGCGATACAGTCCAAAGGGATCTGGCTGTTGTAGGTCGACATGGCTGGAGTTTGTTTTGGTGGGTAGATAACTTTGGGCGAGAGGCGGTGTGTGCTACAAGATGGATGGATGTGGGTAGGAGCTTGATTGAGAAAAAAGAAAAATGAAGGAAGGGTAAGAGGAGGAAAGAGAAGAGTATAGGAGAGGATGGCAAAAGGCATCGGGGGAATGGACGGTTCGTGGCACCTTTTAAAGATAAACGCAAACATGGGCGTACCGAGTTCAGCAATGCTCATCCAATTATCTCTTTTTTTTTGCTCACGATTGAAGAAACCTTGTGCACAACAGCCCATTTTTATTTCTTTGCATCCTGATGGGACGATCAACTTTTCATGCACGATATAGATGCGTTTTTAACTGGACATCGACTGGGGCGCTTTAATCCATCTCCACTCATGATTCACCATCTTCGTCTCAGTTAACAAAGGAGAGTGGTATTTCTAATCATCATCACCAGAATGATCAACTCCAACCGGCGATATGAATGACATGGGTAACAAAAAACAAAGGAAGCCAACTCATATGTTTTTGTTAACCTTATCAGAGCAAGTGAGACCCAAGAGCTCTAACCTTATTTTTCCTCAAAGTCGAACAAAGGTGATGGCAGTGCTTCGGTGCTGGTTGTGCAGACCATGAAAGCCAACGAAGGAGAGGGTTGTCCCGAGGAATCGACAGTTGTGAGGGCATCGAATCTCTCTCTACCATGGATTACCGACATCCAACTAAAAAAGGGATCCTTGGGTGTGTGCACAACAAGAAGATACCCCTCCTCGCCAAGGTTGCCCAACTAAAGGAAGTGTCCAAGCAAAATAGTAACGTAACAACTGCCAATTTATTGTCGCATACGATGGGAGAGTCTAGATATGTATAATTAGGTGGTGGACGGTTCTAAAGATTTGTCTGTCAATACACGTCTAAGAGGTGTAATTGGGCAGCCTTGACTCCATCCTCGGTCGTATCGATGCTAACGGTGGGCCAATGGTCCGAAAACTTGTGTGATCAGGTATGCACTCGTCCTCGGGGATGATGCCCACACTGTGCACCTCGTGCTTCCCAACAAACGACGGTAGTTCCATTGACTTCAAATGTCGCTCTCTCTCCTCCATCTCGTTCTTGCGGAATTGCTTCCTGCGCCGTGCACGTCGCCATAAGGAGCATCCAACCACCAACACTGCCATTAACACGACCGCTCCTACAACCCCTCCGATAATCTTCCTGCTTTGTTCCTGCTGCTGCTCCAACTCAACTCCATTGTCAAGTGCTTGTATTTTATTTTTCAGTTTCGAGACAACTCGCGGAGATAAACTGTTGAGGTTGTCCAGGATCCTGACCTTGTAAGGTCCCTCTAATGTTCCTGCAGCTTGTCCAAAGATAGTGAACTGGTATAGTCCCACAGAGGTCAGGGCTACCACGAATGGCTCCTGTCCCTCGATCAAACCCCCTACGACCTGCCAGTTCTGGTCCACCGAGAAGCTGGAGGAATTGTCGCTCCGGATTATAGTGTGTTCGAAGTACTTCCTGCCCTCCTGCTTCTCAGTCGTGTATATCTTGAATACCTAATGCACGTAAAATAATAAGTAAAGTAAGTATCGAAACCATCAATCATAAGCACTATGATAGTCAAAAGCGATCCTCCGGATGTACGACAACTTACATTGTCGACCTCAAAGACACCACCAAAGAACGCCATCCCATTGCGATCTCCGCCAAATACATAATGCTGAGCCATATATGTCCCACGATTAGACACACCCTGGTATGCACAAGGTTCGCCAAGTCGAGTACCAACCGAGGCTGTCAAAATGACCGGGCAAGAATCGTTCTGCGGAAAAGTTCCGCTTAGGAAGAACGTCCCTCCGTGGTATGTCATGAACCTTGTTGACCGGCCCTTGTTTGTCGAAAAGAAGCCCTGGCGAGAGTAGTCGAACGAGTTGTAGATCCATCCAAAGTCCACTGTTTCCGGCCTGATGAACGCGTTGACTTCTTCTCTCTACATGCCGGGTTCAGAAAGAAGCAAGGTTAGTTTTTGTTTTGTTTTTGTTTGCATTTGAATTTAATGTATCTCAGTTATGGTACTGTACAACGAACAGGAAATGCGCAACGGAATTGATTTCCCTTTCATTCGTCGACTTACCAGCTCAAAAAAGCTGTTGGGCCAGAGTATGTTGGTTTCGTACTCCACACCTGCAATTGTGAGCTGGTGACCAACATCGCTGGTCAAGAAGTGTAACGCATTTCCGTATGTAGAGTTTATGTAATATGACCTGTGGATGAGGCGGTCGGATGTCCATCCGTACATGGACGGACCCCGGATAGCGGTCCATGTGTCACTAACAGGGCTATAGATAAACCCCATTGGTAGCAAGGTCGCCGGCGATGTAGTTCGATAGGGGCTTCTAAAGAAGGCTGTGACCTCGCCATTGCCGTTCACTGCACAGTCGACAGAAGTGAAGGTCGGGTAGCTGTACGAGAGACCCTTGCTGTTGTTGGTATGTGCGAATACTTCCCAAGTGAGAGTGGCCAGGTTTGTAGGACTGGCGTTGGATCTGACAAGGATGATGGTCGATTCTCTGTATCCGTAGTTGTTGGTGGATGAACCATCGTTGGCGCTCGCAACCCCGTAGAGATATCTCGAGTATGGATCTGCGGCAATGCAGTCCAGGTTGAGAGTCCCTTGCATTGCCATGGTTCTTTCTCGCGGGTTCCTGTGTAATCAGAGCAAAGGAAGGTGGAGATCAATGAGGTTGAAAAGAGATGTTGTGGATTGAAGAGGTGGTGGCAAAAAAAGAAAGAGGGATGAAGTGCGCAAAAGAAATAAAACGGTGAGAAGTGGACGAAAAGAACAAGGAAAAGAAAAACAAAATCATACCAAATCAAAGTGGTCGGAGGTTTAATGCACTAACGGGCAAAAACAACTAACACGCTCTTGAATTGGGGCATGTAAGGAATAGCGACAATGCATATCATGCACAAGCGGTCGAAAAAAAAAAATATGGTCCCAGGAGTACCACTATACCATTGAACATATGTGAGCATTTATGTACGTTATGTCAAGAAAAGGGACGGAAAAATGAAAGGGGAATGAGGAGGCCGAGCCATTGCATGTACAGCGCCGTTGCAAAAAGTAATAGGCAAATTCTTTTTGCAACGGCACTGTACACTATCCCACCTTTATGTCCAAGTCTGTTGTCAAGTGCATGTCATCTCTTATTTGAACGAGCTCTGCCATTCACATCCCTCGGTCGAGCGCCTCAACATCCTGTCTGGGACCAAAGCGAGTCGTCTTAATCATGAGCCATGCATGCATTAATTAGTCGACGGTTTGCTGAAGGAAAATTCAAGTCACAGCCATGGCAACTTTTCTTTTGGAGTCGTAACATTGACAAACAGGTCGTTGCAAAACAAAAGGATGGCAGTCTTGTGTCTGTTTGCGTCCGTGTGCTGTATGTACCTTTCATCGACCCCTCTTCACCTGTCACTGATCAACTGGCATACAGACGCGTCCACAATTATCAAGAACAAGAGACATGTCCAATCATATGCGAGCGTCGTGGGAGCATACTAAGGCAATTGGGTTTACCCATGAGTACAATGGACGTTTATTTTATTCATTTTCTTGTGCGCAAAGGCCTTGGTACCTTCTCTCCCTACCCTTTGCTGTGAAAAGAACACAAAGAACATAAAAAGGCTGTCATGACCTTCTCTTCCTCTCATCACTTTTCTCCTTCCCCATTCCTCACCCTCATCACCATCCCCCCATGACCACATCGTCTCTCTCATCACCCCCAGAGGGTACAGCAGCAACAGCAGCACCACCAAAAACAGATGTCCCCGTCCTCATCTCAGGAGCAGGACCAACAGGCCTCCTTGCCGGCATCCTCCTCGCGAAAATGGGTATCCGCACCCACATCATCGAGCGCGACATGACCGTCTCTCCGCTCTCTAAAGCATTCTCTCTCCACCCGCGGACTTTAGAAATCCTTCGACAAACCGGTCAGGACCTCTCGACTCGGTTCGAGAAACAGTCTTTAGAGTGTCATATGGGAAGGATGTATTTTGGAGGCAAGTTGACGGCAGAGTTACAATGGACGCCCGCAATGGAGTCGCAGTTTCACCATACTTGGGGTCTCCCTCAGACTTCGACTGTGAGGCTGTTGACGGAAGAGTATGAGAGGACTGGGATGGGATATATTGATCGCGGGTGGGAGTTGGTCGACACCAAGGTCGTCGAGGACATTGTTGGCAAAAAGACCACGTCGTGGGTTGAGACAACCATCCGCAGAGCGGTCGAGGGGACGAACTCGCGGAAGGGCGAGAGCGCGGTTTTGGGAACTGTTGAACAGGCGGGAGAGGATGAAGGGAAGCAATACGAGATTAAGGTTGTCAAGTCCGATTTCTTAATTGGTGCCGATGGAGGGCGTTCGACTGTGCGCCATGTCCTCGACATCCCTTTTCCTGGCAGGACCCGCGATGCAAACATCATCCTCTTTGACGGACATATTGACACTGACATACCCCTGGATGAGATGGCGTAACGTTTTACCGGTGCATAAGATGGTCTCGCGGTTACATGGCATTTCCTCGCCCCGTTATCGCATTTTCAATCATTTGTACTCACATGCAAATATATGCCTTCTCCTCCTTTGCAATTTAGATCAATCAATGGTAGCAACTTGCATGCAGTCGGCATGTTTCCCCTCAACGGCAACCGTGTCCGCTTCCTCCTCAGCGACGGGACATTGACCGAGGAAGAGTTTGCAGCCCGCAAGGTCAAGACGCCAACCAAAGAGTACTTTGAGAGGCTCCTCGAGGAGACTGTCACTCCGCACAAGGTCAAGATCCTCAGCTACAACTGGTTGACTTACTACCGAGCCAATGAACGGCGCGCTACGGAATTTGTGTACAAACAACGCATCATTCTTGCGGGCGATGCAGCTCACACCCACTCTCCCATGGGCGGACAAGGTAACCTTTTCGATCCTCATTCTCTTCCCCTCATCCCAAACGTATTTGCGCTGACATGTCCAATTTCCCTCGTCCAAATAGGATTGAACACAGGACTGCAAGACTCATACAACCTAGCATGGAAAATCGCTATGGTCCTCAAAGGCACAGCACCCCTTTCACTCGTCGACTCCTACAACGAGGAACGCATCCCGATCGCAGACGAAATCATCCAACTGTCCTCCAAGAATCTGAATTTTTTTGTCTCCGAGAGCTACTGGTTCTTTCAGGCCAGAAAAATCGGTCTGGCTTTATTCTCGTACCTGGCGCCGTACTTGCCTACAGGCACTGGTGGCCCTACTTTTGCAATGGTATGTCATCGTATCCTTCGTGTTTCCTTTTTCTTTAAAACCTTTCTTCATGTCGGGCCTGTGCTTCATTTCGCTAACAAGAATTTGTTTCATCTTTGCTCGTAAATTTAGCTGGGTCTTCGATACTACAAGAACTCATTAAACAAGGAGCACGCCACACATCACTACGCGCCAACGGCACCAGCATCCATCGGTAGACGAGCCCCCGACGATATTGTATACCCACTCGCCGCAGACTCCACTCCAGTTCGCCTGTACAACCTAATGGACATCCTCGGCGCATTCCAGATTCTGGTCTTCACAGCCGACTGCCAAGTTCAGAAACATGGCCTTGAGGCGACACTCTTTACTGATGTTGAACACTACCAAAGATCTTGGCTCGCTCGATGGCCCGGTACCGGAACAGGCGCTGCTACGGGTGTGGCGGCGTCGAAGGCGTCACCTCAGTTCATGGTCCATATCATTTCTCATCCTGGTCTGGACGCGACCATTGGTGACAACGACCTGAAGAAGGGGTCAGGATATGGCAAGATGTATTTGGATTCCGAGGGTGGAGATTTGCATCGAAGGTACGGCATCACGGCCAAGGGTGGGATTGTAGTCGTCCGACCAGACACACATATCTCGTACCGCGTCGAGTCTTTTGATAAAGCAGCCTGGGTTGATGTGGACAAGTACTTTGGATCGATCCTTTGCAGGTCATAGTTAACTTTATTGTTTGTCAAACAAAGAAAAAAAACGAATAGTAATATGATATTGTTGTCGTGAATGAATGAAAGGTTATGTAAGGAAAATCGTGTGTGTGTGTGTGTGTGTGTGTGTGTGTGTGAAAAGAAGAAAAGTGATAGGGCAGCTTCATTTCATATTTGTTTGTAGCTCTTATTGGTTGCGCAGAATGTACCGAGGTGAAAAATATGAAGCATTGCCCTGCTTGCGTGAACACATTCATCCAGACATGAAGAAGCAAAAACAGGAAAGTGGGAGAAAATGAAGGAAGGAGACAAGAAGGAAGAAAAGAGCCATGTCTACTGCACATGCGAGTTAGAAGGAAAAGGTCAATGGGTTGGTGCCTTCTCTAGTCGGTGTTTGTATGAGTGAATGTATCAAGAGGTTCCAACCAAATATAGATCAATTGATTGAAGAAAGGGCTCTCCCCTCGCAAGGAATAGAGATCGCTGCTTTTTCTTTCCTTTGAGAGCATCCTTCCTATCTAATTCACACACACACACACGCACACACACACAATCTCTCTCTCTTTGATCTTTATCTTGCTGCTTACTTCGTGTGGCACTCGTGGGAGTGTTCTTTATCTGCTGTTCAACCCTTATAGCGTACTGTGCTTAAGTAAAACGATGATCCATCGTCATTTTGCACGAGAGACAAAGAAAGACCAATTCCTTCCATCCCCCAGCGACAAAACGGACCGTGCTCTCCCTCCTCATCTCTTTTTTCGTCGAGAGGGGAACAAAACAAACGCAAAACAAACAGCCATAGAAAATGGATCACGTTGCAAAAATCGAGGGCCAATGCCACGTTTTGTTGTCATCTCTCCCTCGTTGATACTTCTATCTTTCAACTTGCTTTTTCATGTTTACCGCTGTACGCAATGCACAATGTTATTTCGCGTCATAAGTCGTGCGCCTCAATGCGTCCTTGATACCCGGTATCCACCAGTGTCTGCACTCTCCCTTTTTTTTCTCGTTCTTTACGATCCCTCTCTACTCTGCGTTGCACGACTAAATTAACATTTCAAGTTTCCATGTTCTTACGTCCTAACCAGGAACACATTTTTTCATTACCTGACAACAGGCTGGGTTGAGAGAAGAGTGACCGCACAGCTGGTTGTGTCTGGCGCCAACCTAAAGGTGGGGAGGAGAGTCAGTTCTTGAAGACTTTGTTCGACAAAAAAAGCCTTGGCGGGTTACGCTGCACCGCCCTGACAAGAATAGATCGGCCGTCAAGGTTGAAATTTGTCCATGCTGTGCGTATGTCACATCAAACAGGGTGTCCCCCACTTGTTTGTTTTTGAGTGTATGAGCTGACCGAAAGGAGCTGATAGAGGAAGAGAGAAAAAAAGCAGTTAGGGGAAGAGAGAAAAAAGGCAAATAAAAGTGGTCAGAAAGGGAAGGGGAACAAGAGATCGATGTGGCAGTGTAAAAACAAAGAGCTCACCATTGCTCAGATTTAGATTTGTTTACTCCGTCTCTGTCTGTCTGCCTGTCTGTCTGGGGATGGGTCAATTGACCACCTACTGTCCCCCCCCCCCCCCCTCCTTCTTTGCCGCTTTTTGTGAGCAAATGACACATTTGTCCCGGGCGCAATCGCTGCAACTCAAACGAACTGCGGGGTCTCCGCCACCTTGAACGAATATAAATACCTTCCTCACTTTGTCTTTCTTTTCTCTTTCTTTTCTTCAACCATACACACACTCACGCACAACACAACTCACCATGCACTACAGAACACACGACAACGAACACTCGACAACAACCACTACTACAACCACAACAGAGACGATGTTGCACAGGACATCACACAAATCTGGATCCCACATCCACCACGACCACCAACAAAGTGTCCACATGCACCACATCATTCGCCAGCTCCAGCTCGAAAAAGAGCACCAACACCATCACCGGCAACAACAACAACTTGCTGTTGGTGCACATACACCCCCTTCTCGTGATACTCCCTACAGGAGGGACTCTCACATGGAGCACTACATGTCCGACATCCTGGCCGCACCCGCACCGGCTGCTCTTTTGGAGGAGGAAGGAGAGGATGCTCTTATGTCAGAGTCGCATGTAGTTTCGATGAGGGATTTGAACGACAAGCTGGAAGAGATTAAGCACCTCCACAACAACTTACAGGCACAATCCAACTCCTCGGGCGACCGTCGGTCTTCAAGCGAGTCCACTCATCATCACCGTCACCACCATCGCCACCACAAGAGCAACAGACATGAACATCATCTATCGGAGCCAGCCCCCGTCTCAGGAACACCCATCTTCCCAGCGTCCAGATCCCCGCGCTCATCCTCCAGATCCTCATCTCCAATCCCAAGCGCGTCTGCCTACTCCAACTCATATCGTCACTCGCGCTCACCTTCAAGAGCAACATCCCCTCAACGGCCTTTCTACCCTCAATCCTCATACTCTCGCCCACACTCAAGATCCCCATCGCCACAACCCATGGCCTCACCTTCATTGGCATACCAATTCCCCTCCCGCCCTCACTCTCGCTCCCCTTCACCTCAACCTTCCCCTTGCGGAATGTACCAACATTCGAACGGAAGCATCTCCTCCGTTCACACATTCTCCTCTTCCACCACACACCCGCGTATGCCCCAAGAAGCCCTTCTCCAAGGTCTCCTCGACCGTCTTGACCAACACCACTCTGAACGGGACCAGGACCGACTCCGGGAACTGGAACTCGAGAACGAGATGCTGCGTCGTCACCAGATACATAGAATTAACCCGGACCTGTTGGCCAGGAACTGGGACCATGCCCATACCTTGTCACAGAAACATGGCAATGCCAATATTAGGCATTCTTAAGTACCAAGTCATCAAGAAAAAGAACAAAACAAAAACATTCCCTGTACATATGTTCCTACATCCCCCCCCCCCCCTCCTTAGATAAATAAACAACAGTAAATTAATAGAACATTCGTTAATCGTTCCTTGTTTTCGTTTGACTGAATGGTACGTGCTGAGAGAGAGGCACCATGATCCCATGCATGTCAAAAAATTGAGCCATCGCTCGTCAAAAGCCCGCTGTGAAAAAGAATCATTGCATCGTCAGCATGAGAGAACAAAAAACAAAGGACTGAATCTTTCTAATGAACCGATCCACAAAACTATAAGTTTAGTATGGTTATCCATTTTAAACGCGCAAATGTCATAACTATTGTTACCCTCTCATTCTATGAAAAGAAACCTCGCCCATTATGGTGTCAACAAAACCTCCCCCTCCCCCTTTCTCCTACTTGCTTGTTGTATTGCACACTTTGCAACCATCGCCCTAGGACGCTGCCAACCCCGCTGCCCCAATGACTCCCCAATCTACGAAATCGTTAGCCTTTCGCCCAAAGAGGTCGTTTGCTCCCCTGCAGCGAAAAATTGAATCAACCTCCTATCAGTTCAGTCTGATCACCATGGCTCTCTTTCTCACCTCAGTCACCGATCAAAACCACCTCCCTCCTTTCCGTTTTTTTCTCAATCAACAATCATTCGCTCTCCACCAACACATACGAGAGTGCGTTTTCGGAACATATCCCTGCACATCGCCCGGCTAGGTTCTTGCGACCCAGGGTCAACGGCCTTGTCAGGGTCCTGATCCAATCCTCTCCTGCAGCGGTAATATTCTGGGCTTCGACTATATCCTTATGCATCCATCTACCACATTCAGGACGAAAGGATATTTTGAATGTCGCTGATATTCAGTTTTGATGTGCCATAGTCAGATTGAATGTCCTCCTGTCTGGCCCATAGCATGCCCTAAATCCGCTGACCTTGACCGACCTTGATCCTCCTAGACTTTAGTTCCTCCATTTTTTGGCGAGAGGCAAATACAGGCAGGTAAAGCGATTGTCTGCTCACGACCAGATTCTTGTCCTCCAAGGCAGGAGGGAGGATACTATTGTTTGATGCAGGGGCGTCGGGTTGATCTTGATGCCCAGGATTATCACACATGGCCGTATTGGTGGCGACTGAAGTGGGGCAGGCCTGCAGTCCCACATAACGCCATCGTGTTGGCCTCACTGAGGTCAATCAGACATATATTTTCTCGATGGATGAAACGCCAAAATTCGTCCAGGATCGACTGTAGTGCTGGGAATCGGGTTTCGATACGGAATGGAGACAAAGGCGGTTTTGCTCCGGGTAGGGCTTGGTGGCATGAAAATATGTGGCATGGGGCTCCTTGCCGTTGGTCGAATACAGGTTGTTGAACTCGAAATTGTTGAGGGTATAGGGTCGGATCCTGTGGGAGGAGAGTTGTCAGCAGAGGAAGGGAACCATTGTACAAGTGAAAGATAGTTGGATCGAAGACGGTCGGATGATTTTATTGACGAGAGCTTCCAAGGTTGTTGACCGTCTCCGTATGACATCTGCCAGGTCGAAAATGATTCTTGCTATCCTCCGGTTCTCCGTCGTTTCAACGAGTGTAGATGCCTCCTTGGTAGTCATGAGCTTAACAGCAGTAGCAGCGGATGGGTTGGGGTTCTTCTTTCCCGTCGACCACAAGATAGGTGCAGAGCACGCTCCTCAAATGTGATAAATGGATCGGTGAACTGATGTTGAAGGCTGAATAAGGTCGTATAGCCGGTGGAAGGCGCCCGGCCTCTGTCCACCAGTAGGAATCGTCGTCATCCTCGTCCTCATCCTCGTCGTGATCGCTATGGTAATCCCTTTCCTCCTCTGTAGTCTCTTTTTCTCCTCCAACAGTCTGGGATCCCGCCTGCTCCGTTAATGATCCAGGATGTACGTTGTGTAAAGAGGTACTTTGATATGACCTTAGTACACACACTGAGGCAAGCTGGACTGCATTTGACCCCTTGGACACGAATAAGTGGGACATACGCGTTTTCAGTATCAATGACATGACGGAAAAGCATTGTCACTCACCAGAACAGACAGGTATAAACCTCCACTCTCTCCCCCAACTTGTCTCTTCTTTCTTTTTGTATTTTCTCTCTTAACTTCCTCCATTCCCTCTAACTTTCCTCCTTTCTTTTCTCTCTTTCGTTCTTTCTTGTTTCTTGTCCTACCCTCTCATGCCTCGATCTTCGAGCGGGTCAAGGCCCTCCACACCCATCTACACATCCAACACTCGACTCATCGTCATGGAACACGGCATCCTCAACAACCAACCAACCCCCACAGCACAATCGTGACCAATCCACCCCGCCTATCACTTGTAACGAGTTCGAGACAAGGAAGAGAGAGAAGAAATGGCGAAGAGATGAGCAGACGAGCACAAACGAGGCCACGAAAAACAAATACTAGAGAGCATGTCTTTTTAATAACGAAAATTAACTATGAAGGAAGGAAGTTGGTCATGAGTGATGTTTGGTATTTTTAATGTGGTGGTTGCATTCAGCTAGACGCTATGAACAAAAAGAAGTAAAAAAACAGGCAAAAGAAGCAAAGAACAAACAAAAAAAGAAGCAAGGAACAAAAAAAAAAAAAAAAAAAAAAAAAAAAAGCAGGGAGCAAACAAAAAAAAGAAGAGAAGAGCAGAGAACAAAAAAAAAGGGCAAGCTCTCAGTTGCCTACAATGCCTCATAATGCCATAAAAAAAGAAAGTTCGCATTGCGCGGGGGCCTCAGACTTTGTGCTGGTCTTATCATAGGCATAGCGCCTCAGATTTGGTGCAAGTGCCATTATAGGCATAGCGCCTAAGACTTGCTGCAAGTATCATCATAGGCATATAGCCTCTCCCATCCTAAAAAAAAGAAGACATGCAATGACACAGAGATTAGCACCCCCATTACGTCTTCCTCCAACAGCATATGTCAGTGCTGGGAGGGCCAGACGCCCCCAAGGCGACCACCATGCCGGCGCACCCACTCCCTTGACACGGCCAAGCACACGGCCACCCATGCCAAGTCGGGATTGCGGACACTTAGGTATGAGGGGGAGGGAGGTCGTGACTCCTCTTGACCCCTTCCTGATAGCCTCTTGTCACTAAAGTGATACGACGATAAGTTTTGTAATTAGTAAAACGTTCGCGCCACCAAAATTATGTCTCGAGAAAAATATAACCACACCCACGATCTTTCCAGTTGTCTGAAGGGAAGGGAAGGGAAGGGAATGGAATTGAGGTTTTTATCTTACCAGGTGTCGGTTTACACGGCAGGGGCGGGTGCAAGGAGGGCATGACTTCCTCCTAACACCCTTTCATCTTGGCTAGGGCGGGTGCCAGGAGGGTCTCATTTCCTCCTAACACCCCTTCATCCTAGCAGGGGCGGGTGCCAGGAGGGGCTCAATCCCTCCTAACACCCTTTCATCTCGGCTGGGGCGGGTGCAAGGAGGGCGTTAATTCCTCCTAGCACCCTTTCATCTTGACTGGGGCGGGTGCAAGGGGGGCCTCAATTCCCCCTAGCACCCTTTCATCTTGACTGGGGAGGGTGCAAGGAGGGGTCTTATTCCTCCTAACACCTTTCATCCCGCAGGGGGAGGGTGTAAGGAGGAGCAACGCTCGACTCTACTTACACCCCTTCATCTCGGCAGGGGCGGGTGTAAGGAGGAGCAACGCTCGACTCTACTTACACCCCTTCATCTCGGCAGGGGCGGGTGTAAGGAGGAGCACCGCTCGACTCTACTTACACCCTTTCATCTCGGCAAGGGGAGGGTGTAAGGAGGAGCACCGCTCGACTCTACTTACAACCTCTCTCCTTGGTGGACCCAGGCATGAGGGTGAGGAAGGGATGAATTCCTCCTTGCACCCTCTCTTGCCCTAAAGCGAAACGGATGACAATAAATAAATCTCTGACGATTAGTAAATAGTATACACCTAACCATGATAACACAATCACTCAAGGACAAAGGGGCGGGAGAGCGTGGGAACTGAGAACCGTGGAGTTGTGTAAAGACGTAAGGAAGTAGGAGAGCGTAGGAACTGGAAACCGTCCGTGGAGTTGTGTAAAGAACGTAAGGAAGGAGGTAGGAGAGCGTGGGAACTGAAAACCGTCTGTGGAGTTGTGCAAAGAAGGGGAAGAAAGAACTTAAAAGGCAGCACGAACGCAACACTCACCCCCACAAACAAACAAAGACAAGGAAGGAACAAACGAAAGCAAGCCAAACGCGCAACCCATACGCGATAACTCAAAAGAGAAAGAAGCCGGAGAGCGTGGAAACTGGGAAACGACGAGGAGAGCTTAAAGAACGCAAGGAACAAGATAAGCAGCGCGGACGCAAACGCTCACCGCAGAAAAAGGCGAAGAAGGAACAAAAAGAAAGCAGGACTTGTGCTGCAGCACAGAAACTCGAAGAAGGAAGGAAGAAGCTAGGACAAAACAACGCACACGCGCACTCAACAACGAGAAACAACGAAGAAAGGAAAGTAGGACGGGAAAGAAAGTGTGGGAGAGGAGATACAACGAGAAACAGATACACACACCCTAGTTCGTTTCTGTTTTTTAGAAAGGAAGGGGAGGGAAGGGGAAGGAAGGGAAAGGAAAGAGAGGAAAGGGAAGGGAGGAAAGGAAGGTGAGTTTCTTACCAGGCCAGCGGCGGTTTCCAGACGGTAGAGGTGGGTGACAAGAGGAGGGGCCAAAGAGGAGTGAAGAAGAAAAGAGAAGAAAAGAAAAAACAACAGTTTTGGCCGGAGAGATTGCCTTTTATACCACGTGGCACGTGCAAGCAAATATGACTGCGTCATTTTGGGTGGCAAAGAGCAAGGGCGAGTGCGTGTGTAACTAGAGGGGTGGTTGACAGGGCTCTCAAAAAGGAAGTATACTTAAAGGCTTACCATGCATTATCGGATATTCTCGCCTCTCTAAACGCAGGACCTTCTATCATGGACTCCATTGAGCACCAACCACCCTTTCTCTGGCTCTTGTTTCATTTGTCATACATTGCCTCTCTCCGCACCTCTTCTTTCCCTATCTTCATGCCTCTTCTGTCCTTCTCCAAGCAAAGGGTGGTTGCATGGTCAATGGAGTCCATGATAGAAGGTCCTGCGTTTAGAGAGGCGAGAATATCCGATAATGCATGGTAAGCCTTTAAGTATACTTCCTTTTTGAGAGCCCTGTCAACCACCCCTCTAGTTACACACGCACTCGCCCTTGCTCTTTGCCACCCAAAATGACGCAGTCATATTTGCTTGCACGTGCCACGTGGTATAAAAGGCAATCTCTCCGGCCAAAACTGTTGTTTTTTCTTTTCTTCTCTTTTCTTCTTCACTCCTCTTTGGCCCCTCCTCTTGTCACCCACCTCTACCGTCTGGAAACCGCCGCTGGCCTGGTAAGAAACTCACCTTCCTTTCCTCCCTTCCCTTTCCTCTCTTTCCTTTCCCTTCCTTCCCCTTCCCTCCCCTTCCTTTCTAAAAAACAGAAACGAACTAGGGTGTGTGTATCTGTTTCTCGTTGTATCTCCTCTCCCACACTTTCTTTCCCGTCCTACTTTCCTTTCTTCGTTGTTTCTCGTTGTTGAGTGCGCGTGTGCGTTGTTTTGTCCTAGCTTCTTCCTTCCTTCTTCGAGTTTCTGTGCTGCAGCACAAGTCCTGCTTTCTTTTTGTTCCTTCTTCGCCTTTTTCTGCGGTGAGCGTTTGCGTCCGCGCTGCTTATCTTGTTCCTTGCGTTCTTTAAGCTCTCCTCGTCGTTTCCCAGTTTCCACGCTCTCCGGCTTCTTTCTCTTTTGAGTTATCGCGTATGGGTTGCGCGTTTGGCTTGCTTTCGTTTGTTCCTTCCTTGTCTTTGTTTGTTTGTGGGGGTGAGTGTTGCGTTCGTGCTGCCTTTTAAGTTCTTTCTTCCCCTTCTTTGCACAACTCCACAGACGGTTTTCAGTTCCCACGCTCTCCTACCTCCTTCCTTACGTTCTTTACACAACTCCACGGACGGTTTCCAGTTCCTACGCTCTCCTACTTCCTTACGTCTTTACACAACTCCACGGTTCTCAGTTCCCACGCTCTCCCGCCCCTTTGTCCTTGAGTGATTGTGTTATCATGGTTAGGTGTATACTATTTACTAATCGTCAGAGATTTATTTATTGTCATCCGTTTCGCTTTAGGGCAAGAGAGGGTGCAAGGAGGAATTCATCCCTTCCTCACCCTCATGCCTGGGTCCACCAAGGAGAGAGGTTGTAAGTAGAGTCGAGCGGTGCTCCTCCTTACACCCTCCCCTTGCCGAGATGAAAGGGTGTAAGTAGAGTCGAGCGGTGCTCCTCCTTACACCCGCCCCTGCCGAGATGAAGGGGTGTAAGTAGAGTCGAGCGTTGCTCCTCCTTACACCCTCCCCCTGCGGGATGAAAGGTGTTAGGAGGAATAAGACCCCTCCTTGCACCCTCCCCAGTCAAGATGAAAGGGTGCTAGGGGGAATTGAGGCCCCCCTTGCACCCGCCCCAGTCAAGATGAAAGGGTGCTAGGAGGAATTAACGCCCTCCTTGCACCCGCCCCAGCCGAGATGAAAGGGTGTTAGGAGGGATTGAGCCCCTCCTGGCACCCGCCCCTGCTAGGATGAAGGGGTGTTAGGAGGAAATGAGACCCTCCTGGCACCCGCCCTAGCCAAGATGAAAGGGTGTTAGGAGGAAGTCATGCCCTCCTTGCACCCGCCCCTGCCGTGTAAACCGACACCTGGTAAGATAAAAACCTCAATTCCATTCCCTTCCCTTCCCTTCCCTTCAGACAACTGGAAAGATCGTGGGTGTGGTTATATTTTTCTCGAGACATAATTTTGGTGGCGCGAACGTTTTACTAATTACAAAACTTATCGTCGTATCACTTTAGTGACAAGAGGCTATCAGGAAGGGGTCAAGAGGAGTCACGACCTCCCTCCCCCTCATACCTAAGTGTCCGCAATCCCGACTTGGCATGGGTGGCCGTGTGCTTGGCCGTGTCAAGGGAGTGGGTGCGCCGGCATGGTGGTCGCCTTGGGGGCGTCTGGCCCTCCCAGCACTGACATATGCTGTTGGAGGAAGACGTAATGGGGGTGCTAATCTCTGTGTCATTGCATGTCTTCTTTTTTTTAGGATGGGAGAGGCTATATGCCTATGATGATACTTGCAGCAAGTCTTAGGCGCTATGCCTATAATGGCACTTGCACCAAATCTGAGGCGCTATGCCTATGATAAGACCAGCACAAAGTCTGAGGCCCCCGCGCAATGCGAACTTTCTTTTTTTATGGCATTATGAGGCATTGTAGGCAACTGAGAGCTTGCCCTTTTTTTTTGTTCTCTGCTCTTCTCTTCTTTTTTTTGTTTGCTCCCTGCTTTTTTTTTTTTTTTTTTTTTTTTTTTTTGTTCCTTGCTTCTTTTTTTGTTTGTTCTTTGCTTCTTTTGCCTGTTTTTTTACTTCTTTTTGTTCATAGCGTCTAGCTGAATGCAACCACCACATTAAAAATACCAAACATCACTCATGACCAACTTCCTTCCTTCATAGTTAATTTTCGTTATTAAAAAGACATGCTCTCTAGTATTTGTTTTTCGTGGCCTCGTTTGTGCTCGTCTGCTCATCTCTTCGCAGCTAAAAAAAACCATACGTGTCTTGGGTACCAGAGTTTAAGGACCTCCGATTGAACATACATAATGGATGCTGTTATTTCGTGGTTGGCCGAATGCAAACGATTTACACTCGTGAGGTTATTGGAGCAAGAGCTCGAAGAGGCAGTCACCGGTAAGATGTTGTTTGTTTCATAACATGTTTGTTTTTGCTTTCGTCTTCGCCCTGAATTGATTTTTCGAACCAATGTCTCTTCCCCCCTCTAAATTCATTCTCCTATTCTCTATCGTCACGCATTCTACCCTACCTAGACCACTACACATTGGCACAGCGCTACACGCCGCAGGTAGGCTGCGCTGGAAGCTATTATAGAACTGGTAGCACCTGTGGGTATAGTGTCTTCGTCGTCTGTAATTATGATCCCGCCAGCAATATACTAGGTGAACATCCATACGTCTCATCAAGCCCCGGCTCTCCCTTTTGTAATCAGGCTCTCCCTGTTAACAAAGCCCAGTCAAAAAAAATGCAAAACATTAGATATCGTCGCCTCCCCTCCTCTCTATTTCTTCAACTTGACCGGTACAGCAAGTTTTTTACAAGGCTTGTTTCTGAGTATGGCAAGTCCCTCTCTCCTCCCCTCACTCGCCTCAAGCAGCAGTAATAGTCCTGAAATCCCCGACCCCGATCTCTCTCCCTTTCCTTCCTCCCTCGCCTTTCCTCTTCCCTCGAGAATACAGAACTTGAACTCAACCTTTCTTCAGTGCCAATTCAATTACAGCTCGCCTTTTCAGTAAACCTAGACCTTGTCCATCTGCATCCCCATCTTTTGTTTTTCGTTTTGTACTGTTTGTCGAGTGTTATCTCCTGATCAAATCGTTACGTTTATTAGTTTGGAAACGAGGATTTTTCACCTTTGTCTATCGATCATTTCATTCAGGAACAGTCAAAGTCGGTGCATGCGAGTGCGCCGAAAGCGTATTGTTGTTGAAATACAAAGACGTCAACTTGCGCACTTCATCTACAACCAAACACACGTATACAACCAAAAAAAAAGGGGGAAACGTTAGCAAGCCTCATAAAAATCACACGCCATGCCACCTTATAATCAATACCTAAACGCCCCCTTGCAACGCATACCTTCCACTTCAACAAGGGTACTATCCTTGCGGGAGACAATCATATACACCTCCCGATCCTCAAACCGTTTCCCAACAATCCAATAATTCGATGGCGACCGTGTCGTAATCTCGGTCGCATCCGGCATCCGATCAAAATCTTGCCTGATATCCAACAACGACATTGCAACCTCCGATCCCAACATCAATGCCCCCGAACTACTGCCTATTCCCGAGCCCTTCCCAACTCCCGATATTGTTCCCAACTGCGTCTTGATCGCCAAGTTCATCCGATTGAAATACAAGAACCGGATCTCCTTGTCGTTGGCGATTGTACCTCCGAGCCCACGTGCTGTCATCGCGTCCTTGACCACCTGGCGAGCTACATCCTCCAGAAGTGATCGACTCGTCTCGCCGTTGCCGCTCGTTGGGTCCAGTAATGGCGCATCGTGAACAAGACCTGAGACGAATTCTTCCATTTCCCGCATGAACGACTCCTGATCCTCTAGTATCATGTTCCCCTCCTTGTCCAACGTTGGTACAAAGAAGCATAGGTTAAGTCCGCTCTTGTGCTAAAAAGTCGGAAAAAAAAAGGAAACAATAACGCAATGGTCAATAAAAGTGCCGTCATCTCTGGTATGTGCAAAGGTGACGCATGTAATTGAAGCCTACCTTGAGGGTGATACCGATGTGCTCATCCACATCCTCACTGGCGATAAACTCTCCAAACCACAGTGGATTCGCTTGCGCTTTCACGCCACTGGTCAGTCCTGCCTCTGATTCTCCTGAGGCCCGAGGACTGGCTCCAGATCCCAAAGCTCCTGACAATGCGTTTCCAGTATTCACACCGTCAATGCTGCGAATAGAAGGTGCAGGTGAACCGACACGAGATGTAGGTCTGAGCGGTGGTGTCGAGGGCGGTGTTGATGCAGACGACGAAGACTTGTAGAATCCGAAAATACTCGTGTTCGACCATGACTTGCCAAACTTGAACGTTGAGGTCTATTTTCATCCATGAGCCAAAAAAAAAAACTATAAATAACCAGTATACTCTTCACGATATCCTGGCAAGCAGTCATTTCAAGATGAACAGGACCTACCTTGCTCTTGCGTCCAGCTTCACTCCGGTCAAGGGCAGAGTTCTGAGCACTAGCACCATCAAACCCAGAAGTTTGCACAACCTGCTTCCACACAGCCCTCAAATCTTCATCCCTCACATCACTCGACACCAACTGGTCCTCAAAAGTCACCATCGAATGTGTCACCACCGGTCCTGCTCCGTTTGACCGATAATTCTCCTTGACAGCCTGGAGCAACCGATCAACGCTTAAATAACTCGTCCGACTCAATGGCAAGTATTGAATCCCGTCCAGCGCCTTTTCAAGACTCATCGTCGTCCGGTCAAACTCCCAACCCAGAACCCATGATTCGAAAAACTCTTCCAATCGTCGTTGCAAAGGGCGAGTGTTGCCCTCATGCGCATGGACAAGGCTCTCCATGGTTCCGTGGGTGACCCTGAACATTGCATAGGCTTGGCGTAAGAGCGCAGAGACGACTGTGTCGTGGACTTCGTGCTCAAGGTACTCTGTGATCACCCTAGGTTTCCCGTCCGTGCCTTTGACCGTCCTCTTTGCCGTGCCCAATTCGATCGACTACATGCAGCAAGAAAGAAAAAAAAAAAGACAGAGTAGATGAGTGTTTGTTCTGATGAAGCTCAATAATTACGTCCGCTGTGAAATAGCTTTGTTTTGTCAGGGCCGTTCTTTTACCAAGTTCAGCCAGTATCCTGGTTCTGCCTCATAAAACACCAACCGGTTCTTTTGAGAGTGCACATTCTCACACGGCACCGTAGGCGAGAATATCCTAAATCCAAAAAAAGACAACAAAAGATCAAATCAGTAAGAAAAACCAACGATCCATTCCCAACGAACGTTCGCCTCCAAACCTCACGCCACAAGCGCAACCCGTCACGTCCCCCCCTCCCTCCCTTCCAACAAAATCGTCTCCTTGCAAAAAACTTTACCGAGCAAAGTTAACAAGCCCCTGGGCCAGTCCAATATTCCGCATCTTGGCGTCAATAGAAACCGTCTTTCGGGCAACATAATACAACAGCTGCTCGTGCTGTGTCTCGTCTGTGGGACCAAAGTCTGGGTTGTAGATACAAAAGTAGTTCAGCGATGCTGGGGTTATGGTGAGTCCATTTCCTGATGATGTTGAGGAGGGTGATGTAGCTGAAGAGGTTGTTGCTCCTGCGGCGCCGGTGGGCGGTGAGGAGGAGGCGGCAGCGGCTGATGAGCTGTACATTGTTTTTGTGAATGGAAGAAAAGGAGAAGAGGAAAGAAAAGATGGGATGCCATCCTTCAGCTGAGCTGGCTTGCAGCTGATACTAAGTTGGAACAAGGGGCGCGTGACGCGTTTTTCATTTCGAGGGTGTTCGTTGCTTTTTATTTTGGCCCTGCTTTGTGCTTCTAAGACGTTGTAGCAACAGGTTGCGGTTGTGTGCACAGGGCGGAAGGGCAATGAAAGAAAGAAATGGACAGAGAGAGGAAGAGTAGGGAGGGGTGGCTGCCTATAGCTTAGGTCAGGCAAACGAAGAAAAAGGCAATTCATGATGCTCGCACCACAGATAATCTGATCCAGGAGCAGGGACAGATGATTCTATAACGCCCACTGTTGAATGTCATCGGCAGTCGTAACGGTCCTAATAAACAGTAGCAAAAACAATTGGTTAGGATCACATTTCAAGTGCATGGATTGATACCATCGACACTAACAGACAATAGCAATCAAATGGGTTCCAACGAGAAACGTACTTGACAAAGTCCAGAGGGTATTCCTTGCGAAGGAGGTTGGCCAAGACCTTGCCTGGTCCTAAAGAGATATAGTCGTGCACATTCTCCTGGTCCCGCAGGCATTTTATGCTCGTGTGCCACTGAACAGTTCCTGTCACCTGCCGCACCAACAGGTCCGAGATATCCTCCACCTTCGTAATCTATGAATTCATGCGAGAATAGACAGCCTGGTTAGTTTATCCACTTTGGTCCTTGTGAGCCTGTTGTCGTCCTGTTTGCAGCAACTTGAATCACACTTACGGGCTTGGCGGTGACATTGGAAATGACATTGATCACTGGCTTTTTGAAGTGCACATTCTTGAGAGCGACCTTCATCTCATCCGCCGCCGGCTGCATCAGACTACAATGGAAAGGCGCCCTACAAGTACAGTAATAAAAGTGAAGAAACCTGTAAGTAAAGACGCTTCTATCAATTGCGTTCAAAAGGACAGCTTTCAGAATGGACTCTTGGCTACTTACGAGACAGGAAGATCCACAGCACGGGCAGCAATCCTCTTTGCCTGAAGCATCCTGGACGCATGGTCAACTCCACGGACAGTTCCGCTGATGACCACCTGGAAAGACTATAATATTCGTAAATACGGCCGTTGTTTGAAGTTGTAAAGAAAGTCAGTTACAGAACCTGCATTCAGCAGCAACACTCTCCAATTCAAACAACATACTGCATTCCACCAGAACAAAAAAAAAAGGAAACGGTTGGTGGATCTTACGCTATTGATGTTGGCAATCTCGGCCAACTCGCCAGCCGGTAGAGACGCCTTGATCTCATCCATTGCTATCACTAGAGATTCCAGCTTGTCGGCACGCACAACTAACGCAGACATGGCCGTCGTTCCTTTGTTCGTCACCGCCTTTGTCATGGCCTGTCCGCGGAGCCGCTAGAAAGTACGAGGATGACACGCCCAAGATAAACAAACAGAAGAGATGGTGAGACAAGGAAACTACCACAAGTGTTCCAAACTAAGAACAAAACAAACAAAACAAATGCAAGAAAAACGAGGAAAAAATACGCCTCCTCGCATGCATCATCTGAGACAACAATACTTACAACAAGTTTGACAGCGTCATGCAAAGTGACCGCCTTGGTGGCAACAAGGGCAGAATATTCTCCCAATGAGTGACCCAGAGCATGTTTGCAGCTTTCTTCAATCTTGAATCCACGTTCGCTTTCGAGGACTCTTAGCATTGCAATTGATGTGGTCAGGATGGCTGGTTGCGCATTCTCTGTCCGTGTGAGATCCTCCTGTGATCCATCAAACATGACGTGTTTCAGTGTGCCTCCCAATGCATCGTCGGCCTCGTCCACGACTTGTCGTGCAACAGAGTAGGTATCGTACAAGTCCTTGCCCATCCCAACAAACTGAGATCCTTGGCCTATGTGTGAGAATTACGAGAAATGAAAAACAGTAAGGATCAAAAAAGCTCGTTCTTGAGGTATGTCTATGATTGCCTTGACCTTTTCCATCACTGTTTTTCCGCTCCTAGCCGTATCTGTCCAATCCTTCCTCATTCACCCCTTGCCTCCTTTTTTACACCTTCGTCCTGACCCTCTTTGCTGTAGAATGAGCGTGGTGTCGTCATGTCGTAAAGGCAATTGAGCACATTCACGGAACATTAGAAGGCATAAAAGGGTGGGGTAGCACAAGCGAAAAAGACCAAGCACCAGAGGAAAGAGAAAAAAAAACGACACCGGAGTTTGTGGGAGAGAGCGATCGTGAGAATATTTCGGCACGATATTCCCAGAGGATGGCGACAGAACGCACGAACTATTTGATTTCCAACAGTCCACAGGAGAGGAAGTGCGAATATTTTTGGGGTGGGAATGTGGAAGAAAATAAACGGCACAAAACAACGACTGCTCCATCGATCGAGATACTGCTCTCGAATGCCGTTGCACCCCGTCCGTCCGTCTGTTCATCGTTTGGTTATTATTATTTGGCAGAGTACAGGACCCCGTGGGTAATTGACCGTCATTATTGTGTGCATGTAGTGCCTGTGTGAGGGAAAAGGGCTTGTTGAAGTAAACAAGGTTCAACTCCCGGTTGGCCTCTTTTAGAAACCACGTTTCCACTCCCCACCCTTCACCTTTACCTCCACCTCCATTCACCCACACCCTTTCGAAATTGTTCGTTGTTGTCGTTTTGTTGCCGCCGTCGACGACTTTTTTTTGCCGATGAACCCTCTTTTTTTTTTCTTTCTCCTCAAGACAATTCAATGGAAAGGTAAAGACCTCTTTCTATCTTAAAGTGATATGTTTAGACCAAAGTGAGCATGTCTCTCCTCACCCTTCCCTCGTGTTCGTCACCCAAATAAAATAAAAATTGGCTCTGGTCTGTTGTTGTGTTTTCTCTGTCTATGATGACTGACAACAGTGTCATCACATTTTTGAGCAGCGTCGGCTAGCTTCTTACCTTCCCCACAATTTTCTTTTTTTGTCGTTTGGGTTCTCCCTTGTTGTTTATGAGCTATCATCAACATCATCCCTTTTTTCACTCCCTTCACTTGTCTCTCTCTTACAGCAACAATAACAACAACAATAAACAGCTACAACCAAAACCATGCATATCATTTGTAATTGCCAGAAATTTCCTTGTGAAAGAACGAAAAGAACGAGAAGTATGAATACAAAGGAAGCAACGAAGAACAACCAAAGCTATATGCTTAGGCTGGACTTTGGCAACAAAGCAACAAGTCGTACCTGGGAAGAGAATCGCCCAATTGGAACTATCACTACCAGAAGATGTCTATAAATGCGTCCATCCCCACATGGTTACAAAAAAAAAAAGAGTCATTGATTTTTTGATCGATTAGAATACAACTCTTCCAAGCTTCGCAGCTTACAAAACAAAACAAGTGCATCGAATAAAAAGCCCGAGAGGCTAATTTGCATGTGCGTATGTACCAATGATCTCCTGTTTCTAGGAATAAACCGTGGCCGAGGAGCAATAGGAGTTGTCTTTGTTGAGGCGTTTGTAGAGATAGGTGTCGTTGTCGTTGTTGTCGTAGTGGCGGCAGTTGTGCCTGGGACGCTGCTGAACGCCGGTGGTGCCCTCAGATCGTCCGGCTGTGGAGTTGAAGAGGAAGTGGTGGCGAAGAGCGAATCTGATGAAGAAGAAGTAGCAGTAGGGATGAGGAGGCGAGGGACGGTAGATGTAGCCTGAGTGGTCTGTTTTGGGATAAGCCTTGAGATGGTGGCAATGGGAGTGACGGCGGCCTTGTCGACCATGATGGAGCGGACTGTTGAGCAAGCCATAGTGTTTTGTCTGTTGTATGGTTGTTGTTGGTGGTTGTTGTAGTTGAAAGGTTGTAGTTGAAAGGTTGATTGTTGTTCGTGTGGTTGTTGGTGAGAAGTAGAGTACAAAGAGTGAGGAGAGATTGTGAGAAAGTAGGGAGCAAAGGAGTGAATGGAACGAAGGAAAAGAAGAGCAGGCAGAAGTACAAGGAGTCGTAATCGAAAAAGTAAAAAAAGAGAAGGGAGCCGCGTGAAAGTTGTGCCCCGCGTGAAAGTTGTGCCCCGCGTGCAACTTTACTGGACGACTGGCCCGAAATGTCTGTGACTGCGAGTCCCCCGGCCTTGATCGAACGAGATCAATCTCCAAGAGAGGAGAGATACCATGCATATGCATGGGGAATATTTACTGCTAGAGCATTGCCACAAAGAAATCCAGCGTCGTCATTATCATCATTATCGTCATTGCTGGACTTTCTAAGAGATAAAAAGGTGAGGGTTAAAAAAGTCCCATAGGAAGGACCTACCCTTTTGTGTGAGACATGTGTGTAGGGTACAAGCCAAGATTCTATCTCACGCGAATGCACATCATATCACTCCTCGAGGCAAAATAACAGCCATTGCTGCACAACGTGACTTCTTTCTCGCACTGTCAGCTTGGACAGATTAAAAAGCAAAGCACCGCACAGCATCATATCCAGAATTCAATCACACGAGAATCGTAGAAAAAAGAAAAACGGGGGCTTGCTTTACTTACTAAAAGAATTCGCTAAAGTACAAGTTTCCTTGGAACAAACGTTGTTTTACTTGAACATGCAGAAACGAAAGAAACACAAACGACTTTTTTTTTGAACCCCCCAAAAGCGCATTCAAATAAGAGGATCTCAACGACCGAGAAACAAGCATACAGAAAAAGCAACCTCGCGACTGAATAGGGATGAAAAAACAAAGATCAGAAAAGGTATCCTTTCTCTGGTTTAGTCGGACTCATCCTCATCCTCATCTTCATCATCATCCGAGCCGTTGGCCTTCTTGGCGTCATAGGCAGCCTTCTCCTTGGCGTAAGCGGCCTTGGCCTTCTCGTGCTTGGTGTTGTAGGGCTAAAACAATGAACGTTGACGACAAAGAATGAAGAAAACGTATTAGTGCGTTGAGCAAAAAGAAAAAGAGCGCATAAAAAGCCCAACAAGGAGTTTTCCGATAAGCAACGAGCGGCTGTTCATTTTTTGCCACCAAAAAACAATGAAATCCGGGGTAAAGTGAAAGAAACAAGGCCAAGAACATACCGCCTTCTGGGCGTCAGAGTAGCTACGCCACATATCTCCGAGCTTGCGTCCGAGTTCACCTATTAGTCATTTAAAGATGTACACAAAGAGTGAGCAGATCACCCATCAGCATACTTTCAGAACATAGGTAACAAAACATTGGTAGTTTACAGGGATGTTGGGCATAAAGGCACTATTGATCCTCCTGTTTCTTGTCCCTTCCTCGAGGTAGCTTACCGAAGGATGCATCAGGGTTCTTGGCCTTGATGGCGTCACGGTGGTCATTACAGAACAACAAGTAGGCCGAGAGAGGGTTCTTGGGGGCGTTGGGGTCCTTCTTAGCTCTCTTCTTCTTCTTCTGCTTGACCTCCACGTTCTTTGCACTGCGCTTTGAGACCTTGGGGGTCTCCTTCTTTGAAACCTTTGGCATTCTGTATGTGTTTTTTTATTTCCTATTTGATCAAAGAGAAGCAAAGCTGTTTGGTTAGATGTACGGTCTGAGAAGGCATAGATTGTGAACAGCCACGAGAGGCAGGCTGTTTTTGCTCTGTGTAGACGACTTTTATCAGAAAGGTTCTTTAGGCTCGCCACCTTGTTATTTTGCCACCACTTTTGGTTCATTTGGCTTATTGAATCAATACACCATCTATCACGCGAGAATCAAAGTATGCGTCTCTCGTTATCGTTCTTCTCCTTCAACAGGGGAACCTGATACGAACGTCTGTCCTCTAGGGCACCATGGTCCACTGCCGCCACATATAGCACATATAGCATAACGCACACGCAAAAAAAACCATTGAAACTGACGACAATGAAAAAGAACCACTGGAAAAGAAAAGGGTATTCGTCATTCAAGAAAACAAGAAAACAAGAAAATAGGAAAATAAGAAAAGAGAAAGAAAAGAAAAAAAGGGCAGTGGGAATGAATACAGGAAAGGGAGGAGGATGGGGATGAAATTCCTCTTGGTGAGAGGAGAGGGGGGGATGGAGGGAAAGGATGGATGATGGGTGTGGGGTCATGAGTATGGACGCGTAGCCTAGGTTGTCGAGAATAACAAGGGGCTCTTTTTTGGGTTGGGTGGAGGTGGGAAGTGGTGGTGTTTGGTTGTTTCCTTGTTTCCCTCTCTTGTCTCCAACAGTCAGTCAAAAGTAGCAAGTGGCGGACTTCTGTGTGTATGTGTGCGTTCGAAGTATATGTGCGGGTGTAGTTTGTCAGTTACCTTTGAGGAAGGGGTGGTGGGGTGGTGGGGGTGGGTGAGTAGTAGTCGGAAGGGAGAAAGAGAGACAAAAAACAGCGCAAAAAAACATCTGCCATATGTATGGTCCTCCGCTCTTCTTTTGCTCTTTGCTCTTGCTCTGCTGACTGCCTCTCTCTCTGCACAAATCAAAAGGGGCGGTCAGGGCTGACACGACACATATCCCTTCTCACCTCTTACACATCTTTCGCTTTTTCCACCCCCTGTGGCCATTTTTTTTTTTTTTTTTCGCTGCTGACTCAGGTCGACTATCGCTCTCTCTCTCTTACTCGCACACATACGCACACATACGCACTGCCCACAAAAATCGCACAAAAAAAAGAGCTCCGGCGTGTTTGTGTTATCACCACACACACTGCTACCAGACGTACTTGTCCTGTACATAGTGCATTTTTGTTTGTTTTGTTTTCTTTTGGTCAAAAAACGCGAACGACAAGACACCTCAGATGAACGATAGGAAAAAAATATATATGAAAAAGTAACTACCAGAAGAAGCACACTGGTTTAAGCAGCATCAAGCTCGGCATACTTCTCGTCACCAGTGTTCTTGCGACGCACGAGGTGGTTGATGGTGTTGTGGAAGTGTGCCATGACATATTCCGAGATATGCGCAGGGTCATTCTCGAGCAGCGACGACGAGTTGGACGAAGGAGGGTGTTGGTCCGGGTTCTCCATGTTGCTCAAGTTATTGTTGATCAACTCAATCAATCCGTTCAAGTACTTGACCGTCACCGCCTCATTCTGCTTCTCAAAGTAATAAATGTACCGGTTCAGAATCTCAACAAACAGCTCCACGTTTGTCACAGAGTCCATACACGAATCCGCAATCTTGAGCGCCTTCTGCAAACACTCCAAAACACGCTTGCCGTCCCGGTAAGGCTGTGCCGTCTCTTCTCCATCCTCCTGTTGGCTCACAATCATCGTACCCCACCACAAATGACTGCATGTATACACGGCACGGCACTGGTCGGGCTTCTTCAACAGCTTGGCTCCGTGAAGCGCGCACTTGGTAATAAGGGTATCATAATGGTCAACGTTGAAGCATGACGTCGTCTGAAGAGTTCCGACCATCAACGTAATCGCCTGGAACTGAGCCTTGGATTCAGAAATAGACTCTTCGTAGATCGTAAACGCCTAAAGATGAAAAGAATGAAAAGAATGAAAACGAACGCGTTCAATTGGTCAGTCTTGAATGTCCCGTGTCAATTCAATCCGAACCGTTTGAACGTTCGAAAAGGATTGGACTGTACCTGGACAAAGAACTCGTAGCAGATATCCTCAAATCCGCACTCATCAGCACTCTGACCAGCCAACAAGAACAGACGCAAGACCACTTCCGAGTTGTCGACCTTGCTGTGAAGAATGGAGATGACCTGGTGGATGAATCGGAACAAGGTCGAGCACTTCTTCTCCCAACCTTCATCCTGATCCTGCAACTTCTTGAAGCGGCGAGCCAACTTGACAGCCTGGATCACCAATGGTGGGAACATGTAGCGGATACGCTCGCCGCCATCACCAAACTGTTTCCTGGCTGCAGACAGAATAGCAGCCTGTGTATCTGCGTCCTCACTCTTGAACAGGTGAATGATGCGAGCCAGCTGACCCTGCTCCTCTGCAAACTCTTCCAGATCAACATTGCCGCTCTCGTTGCGATTGCTGCGCGTGTTACGGAAGGGGCTCGAGTTGTGGCCGCCGTCTTTCTGGTCGCGAACCATAACCGCGCAAATCTCCAAGATTCCATTCACATCCTCGGGCGAGCTGAGGATGGTCTCGTTCTTCAAAACAGATCCGACAACAGCGTGGGCGATTGCACGGCGAGTAGGGTAGGGCTGCAAGGCGAGGAGGTGGGTAAAGTTGGTGAGCTCCAAGAGAGTGAGGATGGTGGGGTAGTGCTGGATGGGTGCCATGAGAAGGCTCTGGAGGTTGTTGATAGTGTCCTTGTGCTGGAGCTCAGGGCTCTCGTTGTATTCGACAGTCTTCTCCTTGGCGAATCCAAGCACCTGATCGGCATATCCGAGGTTGTCAGGATAGCAGCTCAGTGACAAGTTAATCAACGAGACCAACAAAGCAGTGATATCCTGAATCGAAAGGTCAGGGCGGAACTATTCAAGACAACGTCAACGTCAACGCAGCAGTTAAAAAATGGATGTTAGACTCAGGAGCTTGGTTTTGCCTGAAGCATTTACAGTCTTGACGCCACCAATTGAATAAGCATTGCATACCTTCACAAGCTCGACAATCTTGCCCCAAAAGATCTCAAAGAGCTTGACGTCCTCAGGGATGCCACGAATCTTGCGGACCTTGGGAGGCTTGGGGGCAGGGGCAGCCTGCTCCTCTGTAGCAGCAGCCTCATCTTCAGCCTCCTTAGCTTCACCTTCCTCGCCTTCCTCGCCCTCCTCGGTCTCCTTGGCCTCCTCGTTCTCGTTCTCTGCATCACCCTCCTTAGCTTCCTCCTCCTCCTCCTCGCCGTCGGCCTTGATAGAGGCAGCCTTAGGCGAAGCTGGTGCCTCTGATTCCTCATCGTCATCGTTGCTGTCAGCCTCCCTGGCAGCGTGGGCTGCAAGTCGATCAACCAAAGCGATAACAATCTGCTTGACGTTGACTTTAGGGTGCAATTGAGCAGTAGCCGAGAGTAATGGTCCCAAAGTGCGCAAGTGGAAGTCGTCGGGGAAAACCTAGTACGTATTTACAGGCAACAAAGACAAAAGTGAATAACTCTAAAAGCATTATCTTGTATACGCGCACAAAAGTAGCTTCGAAAAAGTCGCCCATACCTGAATAATGACCTCCATGAGGTACTCTTGGGCGATCACGTCCTTGCAGCTGACAATCTGCTCCAGAACGCTGGGTAAAATTGTCTATTAGGGACGGACGAGAGTTGCCCACACCGTGAGAGAGTTAGTTTTGAGAACATTGCAGAAAAAAAGTTCATACCTATGCATGTTTGGATTAACATCGCGATTGTTGATCTCCTATAAATGTAGGAAAACACATACCGACTGATAGACGCGCAAGTCGACGCTGTCTAATTGACTGAGACGAACGAGGTTGGTACCGACAAGAATCCTGAGTTCCTTGCGCTCCAACTCACGCTTCTCGCGTTCGCGAGAGTGGCCCTGGTGTTGAAGACGAACCCACAGCTTGTTCATCTCGATAAAGTTAGTGAGGATGAATTGGATCGAGTCTGTAATGTTTCCTTCGGGTCTATTGTCATGAAAGAAGTTTCTCAGTATTAGTGAATTGCGATCAACTCGGAACACGTCAAAACAAGAGACTTTTCTTCAGGAAAACAATGACCCTTCAACAAGTAGAAAGCTGCTTACCCGTCCTCAGTGCCCAAAGGGAGACCGTTGCGGGTCTGTCCACTGAGGTAATATCTCAAGAATAATCCACGGGTTGGGTGCTGAACTCCGCGTGTCATCTCCATCATATCGCGCATGATCTCCTTGACGGGAGCATCGGGCATTTCCATGTAGACGCTTCCAACAGTGACCATGAGGTAAAGACGGGGGACGATGTTTCCTGCGTATTGAACCAACTCATAGAGATCGGCCAAGTGGTGTCTCCCGCTCTGATGGGCCTCCTTGAGGTAAGTGGTGACGTGGCGAAGGGCGTCGAAGATGGCCATATCTGCAAAAGCAAAGCCAAAAGAAAAGATAAAATGATACGGTCAGTTGCTTGGCACCAAAAACTTAACGGATCATATTTTTTTCTGGGGAAGGTTCTGGGGTTGCAGGTTCCTAGATGCGAATTGACGCAACTGACAGCTTGATTGATCATGATACCCACTTACAGAGCTCATAGTAGTTCTTGGGCGTCAAGTTGGAGGTTCTCAGCTCCGAGAGCATGGTCGAACAGTGCTTCAAGCCATCCATAAGCTTGTTGTTGTCCTAGAACCATTGTGAGAAAAAAAGCGGAGGGTGTCAGCAGGTGCATTACGCTGGGGGTCAGACGGGCGAGTCCCCGTCAAGCGTGAAAAAGGGGGGGTTGTAGGAAATAAAAGGTGAAGTCGGAGGAGGAGGAAGGGGTGAGGGAGAGGTGAGGTAGGTCATGCTTCCTTTGCATGTGCAACGTGGCCGCCGACTAGACCCACTCTGTATTATTTTCTTTCTGCTTTCCGCTGTACGTGGAACGTCGAGACAAGGGTGTGAATGAGAGTGATATGAGGAGAGAGGAGAAGAGAAGGTCCTTACGAGACAGCGCTTCATTTGGAAGGACTGGACCTTGACGACGGTCAGGGCATCCTCCAGGAGCTTTGCTTGGTCCTCTGCGGATGGTGTCGGGGTCGCCATTGATGGTGTGTGTGGTGAGAGGGGAGTAGTTGTCGAAAGGGGTTGGAAAAGAGAGGAAAAAAAAGTCGCCCAGCGAGAAAGCGAGAAAAGAATTCCAGAGTCGAAACTTGGTGACCCGGCCCGTGACGTCTATGACCACGTGACAACTACTCTTGACCATCTTATCCAAGGGTAAATACACACCCACAGGAAACAGCATGCAAAGTCGATCACTTTGAGTCTCTTCGATAATTCTCTTTTCGCGCAAAAGCCTTGCCAATAAGTCAAGGAAACACGTCAATGGTGCAGCTTGCTTTGTCGCGACTCGATAGACAAATCTGTCTGCAAATTAGATATTATTTATTCGACGAGTCCAAACGTCGTTTGTGGTATTTGGCATCCCAGGGAGAATGGTATCCTGAATTCTTAGTTCTTGGGGGGAAGAGCAGGGCTGAACTGCTGGTGCTGGGGCTGACCATAAGGGCTGCTGACAGGGCTGTACATGGGCTGCTGGAGAGGCTGCTGCATAATGGGCTGCTGCTGTTGCTGCATAATGGGCTGCTGTTGCTGTTGCATAATAGGTTGCTGTTGCTGCTGCATAATAGGTTGCTGTTGCTGCTGTTGGAGGGGAACCAAGGTAACGGCAGTTCCGTAAGCCATAACCTCAGTCATTCTATGAAGAAAAATTGATTCGAAAATACAGTTAGCATGCTGTTAATCGCCCTTGAAATGCATCATTGTTCTTTTGGTCTCATCCTGTCGTGCATCCACAGCAATTGTATTTACCCCTATGTTCCAAAAGTGAAAGGCAAAGCGACGGTTAGACTAAGGTGATGATAACGACAACAATTGAAAACTCATCAAAAAATGCAATGCTCAACAGGAACAAGAAAGGATGGCCAACATACCTGAATAATCTCTTGTCCGGTAAACTCGACACCAATGACGGCTGAAGACACAAAGTGAGTTAGAGTAGAGGTATTTTTCAGTGAGTGACACTCTCGTTCTTTTTTGGGTCATTGTGAGCAGTCGAAACCTTGTACTGCATAGCATCATAGTGAGAGAAGAACAGAACAGAACATCATACCATTGCCACCGGCAGCAGCAGCGTGCTCGAGCATTCTCAAGAAAGCTCTCTCACGAGCCTTCTCAGCCATCTCGATGTAGGTCGAGCTCTCTCCTCCGGCAAGCGAGGCCCAGGCGCCGACGAACGCTTTGCCGGCCTATTTGTTTGTTAATACGAAAACAGAGCAAATGAAGTATTTGGTAAGGTTGTTGCAATTGAGAGATAAAAGTAGGATGTCCACTTGGCCCTTCGTTTCCTTGAGCGAGAGAGAAGAGATACACTTACGTTGGGGTTTCTCACTGTGATACTGTAGTAGTCACCAAAAAGAAAGATGTGAAAAGAAGGAATGAAGTCGTGATTAGTTTGTGAACCAACGGCGCAGGTTGCCTCTCCTGCATGAGTGTTGAATGTGTTTTTTTACCCGCGGACGACTCCATGAGCCTGGGCGACGAAGTAGCCGGGGATCTCGAATGCAGTTGTGGTGAAGCGACGGTCGACGGAGCGGACGGGTTGAGCCATTGTGAGTGAGTGATGATGGTGGTCGTTGATGGGTAAAAAAGAAGGAAGAGAAGAAAGAAAAAAATGGCGTAAAGTGCGAGCCGCTCTTTATTTTTAAAGTAGGCACACTTGTCTGTGACAAACGTTTTGCCGGTCAACAACACGTTTATGGCTGGCAGCAGACAGTAACGGAGTGAATGAGGGAGGATGGACAAGCAGCAGACCAAAACAAGCTATTGCGCACTTTATTACTTGTGTTCCTGCTACCTCTGCATCGATTGGCAAGTCCAGACCGCAGTTCGGTCTTGTCCAGCAAGGCGTGAGTGCATGGTATGAACGTGACTGCATCTCAAGTCTCGCATTTTTTTCTTTTCTTTCTTATGAACACACCTCCACACCCTCGGTCTTTTTTCTTTCGTTCTTCATTCCTTTCCATTCATTCCCACACTCCACCTTCCCACTCAACAAACAACAACAACAACAACCATGTCCACCTACGCAAACAAGACTCCCGGCAACGAGTCGAGAAAGACTGTCTCAAAGAAGAAGCAACAGAACCTCGACCGTGTCGCCAACACAAACTCACGCCCAAACTCACGCGCCGGCTCTAGAGTCGGATCCCGCGCAAACTCGGACAACGAAGAAAGCGACAACGAACTCGATAACAACAACGACGACTTTGACGACGATGATGATCACACCAGCCGCAACCAAGCTGAACTCACTTGGGAGGCCCAGTTGAAGGATACTATTGAAGAGCTCTATGAGAAGCGAAGCAGGTAATTAGTCACACGGAGAATATCAACTCGTTCATTATTCTCTTGTAGTCTTCTCGATATTCACACGCTCTTCCTTTTTATGATAGCACGCGCGAGGCTGCGTTGAAGAAGCTGGTCGAACTCACCTCTCAACATTTTACAGCGGATGTGCTGGATTCACAGCGTGACGACTTGATGGACCTCCTCAAGAAAAGCATCAAGAAGGGTGGCCCCAGAGAGTGTGTCCTTGCCGCAGAAGGTATGTACCATGCCGCAGTCTGATAATGGCGATTAGCTACTTCCCTCTTTCTTTTCTAACGCCTGAATTTGGTCTTCCGCGCTGTTAAAACATTGTTAAAACATGGGTCCATGTCTCTCTCTCTGTCTCGGTAACTCTAACAACTATCTTTTTCTTATATTTTTCTGGGATGATGTCATGTCTTGTTTTTTAGCCATATCGCTCGTCTTCATTACCATTGGTGAAGATGACGAAAAGATGTTTACAGATCTGGCTCCTTTACTCAAGTACACCATTACCAACCACGAGTCAACCGAGGTCAAGGCTGCTGTAAGTACACCCCCCTATCAACTATCGACAGTCGTTACTACTGCAGTATGCATGGCACAGGACACCGATTGATTTCTGAGCAACAAGACACGCTCAGATTTCAACCGCAAGCAGGGATATGCGCACAAAAAAAAAAAAAGACTTTTACACGACTATGACATCATATATCTTCGATTTTTAACAAATACTGCGGCCATATTTTTGTTTTTCCCTTCTTTCAGTGCACCTACGCATTAGGAACAGCATGTTTCATCTCTTCTACCCCTCAACCCTCTCACCTGCCCACGTACGAACTCCTCAGCTTCTTCGCCGACATTGCTCTCTCCTCAGGTGCTTCGGCAAACGCTTCGCAGAATGGCGAGACTTTGGCTGCGGCACTGGAATCCTTCAATGTTCTCTACGCCGGTGTCTTCCAACGCCTCGGACCCAAGACCATCACAATTCAGGCACGACGAATCTTTAACCAGATGATCCCTGCCGCCAAGGCTTTGCTGGAACACCCCACGGTAGAGGTCCGTGTCGCTGCGGGCGAGACCATTGCTGTTATGCTCGAGATTCTGGAAGACTACCAGCGCCAGCGTGACGACGGCGATATCTCTGACGAGGAAGAGAGCGAGACCTACAACGATGACGACCCAGAGGACCTGGAGGACGTGACAGGAGATTTCCGGTATGATGATATGGATGGACTTGTGGCAGCCTTGGGATCCTTATCAACAGATTCAAGTCGTCATCGCAGCAAGAAGGAGCGGTCTGCAGGTCGTTCGGCTTTCCGAGATATCCTGAAGAGTGTCGAAGAGCAGGAGCGTCCAACCGAGTCCCTCAAGTTGAGGGAATACGAGGTCGACTTTGACGGATGGGGTAAGATCCTTTGATTCTTTGCTCCTTTTACGATTGTTGGTATGATTATATATAAGGAAACATTACTAATACGAAGATGTTGGTTAACTATATTTCGTATAATAGTCGAGATTTTGCAACTGCATTACCTGCGGGACCGCTTGACATCGGGTCTTCAGACACACTTTGTGCACAACACCATGATTCACACCCTCCTGCCCAGTACAGCCATCTTGTACTCACCAACACAGGCTTCCAGTGGAACCTTTACGTCTGGATCCCGCCTAGCAGCAACAGTGATTTCGCAATCAGGATCCAAGGCTGGATCACGTGCTGGATCAAGGCCCTCGTCGTCGTTGGGCATTTATGCGGACGCTGAAGATGCCAAGGCTGAGCAGCTCGATAAGGTCGATCGCAAGTATCTCAATGCTGAGATGGCCAAGATGCGGCAAGTCCAGCGCAAGAAGGAGCGTAACCAGACCAAGTACGATGACTAAAGAGGTAGCCATTGGTGCTTCTTTCTTTGTCTCATTGTCACGTATTGCTGGTACTGGTTCATGATGTTCATTTCTCACTCTCACTCCACTCTTCATACGTCGATTCTTCACGTTCACGAAATACAATAAAAAAAATAAAAGAACCCTTTTTTGTTCACCACTAGTTTGCTGGAGCAATTGTGCTCAGTTGATTTTCTTGAGCAAACAAAAAATGAGCAACAAAAAAAAACAAGATTCATTTTTGGTGAAATGAGCACAGGTGGACATTATCTTTTTTTTTTTTTTTTTTTTTTTTCCCTCCCTCCACCAATCCCGATTTGGGCTTGCGAAGACGTTTCGATTTTCGAGGTTTATCCGTTTGGGTGTTCTCTCTCTTTTGGACTCGGAGGACAAGTTACTCCTTCTGCAGCAAACTTTCCCTGCACAACTGAACAAATGCAATAATGCACGCGCTATTTTGCTTTTTTTCTTTTTTTTTTTTTCTTTTTATTATTAGGAGACATGCCTTCTGAACGAAAATCGATCAGAGAGAAAAGGGGAAAAAAAGGGAGAGGATGTGAGAGAAAAGGAAGGAGGGGGAATATCTCTCATCTCCCTCAAATTGCCCCAATTGCTTCAAAATGAAACCGGTGGGTACTCCCATTTTACAAGCCAACAGTAAAGGCAATGGCAACAGCAGCAAGGGCACCCAAGACCTCAACGTTCGAAGCGACCAATCCACGAGCAGCACCGCTGGTGCTGTTACCAGCGCTGACTGAAGGCTTGGTGGTCGAGGAACCGCTGCTGCTGCCGCTGCCGCTGCTGCTTCCGCTGGAACCAGTGCCAGTAGTGCCGGTGGGGACAGCGCCAGCACCGGTACCGGTGGCAACGGGGACAGTGGCGCCGCCAGCGACGGAGGTGGGGGCGGCGATGGTGGGGCTGACAACTGTGGGGACTGCGGTGACGTTAGAGCCTGCGGGAGGGGCGCAAACGGAGCCGTCGGCCATCTGGTACAGACCGGGGACGACGTTCCAGCAGCCGTGTGTCGAGATGCCTGTTTAGGGAGGAGGGGGGGGAAGAGATATTGGTGAGTATGGATTCACTTTATTTTTTACATTGCCCACAGTGAGAATAAAAAATAATAACTTACTGGTGTTGCAATCGATGTTGTTATCCTCGGCACAGCAGCGAATACAGTAAGTGTTGGAAGCAGGCTCGATCAACGAAACAAACTTCTTCCATCCCTGACAGCTGTAAGGCCACCCATGGGAATCCATCTGACCACCCTCATCAGTGGGGTTCTGACCCCAAACGGATGAATCGATACATCCCGTCACCTGGACATACGAGTTGTTGGGCGAAACTGCATAGTTGGCAGAGAGGATGTAGCCCTTGGGCATGGGGGGTCCGAGCTTGGAGGCGGCGCCGTAACAGTAGACGGAGGCGCAACCTTCGTTGGGGGCGACGGGGTAGACACCGTATCCGGGGAGCATGGTACAGAAGTCATCGGCGGAGGTGATGGAGGTGATGATGTTCTGGGTGGCGTTCTTTTGGCAAGTGACGGGCTCGTAGGCGCTGACGAGCAGGGGGGCAGCCAGGAGGGCGATCGAGGCGAGGGCTTTCATGAACATGGTGGGATGAATGAAGAGTGGTAGGGGTACGTGAAGTAGGAAGATGGTGGAGTGAAGAGGGAGGGGAGGGTCAAGGCGTTGGAGAGAGTTGTGGAGAGAAGGGAAGGAGGAAGGAAGGGCAGGGTTTTGTGGTGTTTACTTGTAGAGGAAAAAAAGTAAGGAAGGGGGTGCCTGGAGAATAAAAGAGGGTCGGTTGAAGGGAAGGAGGAGTTAAACAAAAAAGGGGGGCGACCCGTTGGATGGTTGCCTCTTTATTTAAACAAAAAACAAAAGCCCTGGACAACACGAGACGGGACCAAGGATTCTCCTGTTGATTATTGTCGTGGTGTTCGCACCGTCTGGATCCCTGTTCATGGGTATGGGTACAGGTGTTTAAAAATAACTAGCCTTGTCCCACAGACTGACTAGAACGCCATTAACAGCAGCAACAGCAACAACAACAATAAGAGCACAACGATATGGACACAGACTCGCCTCGATGATAGGGGACAAACTAGCTGTCTATTGATTACTGAGCTGCCAGGCTAGACTGTTTTGATCCCTCAGTAATGAAAAACAAGGTTGTCAGGGCAATCAGTCTCATTCAAACTCTCGCTTGCGCTCACTCACTCTCATTCCGCAAGGTGTCCAGCACACCCGCTGCTATCCTAATCCATCGCTGTTTGCTTGCTGCTCTCATGTTGATGGCTGAAAATGGAAGACTTGTCTGTCCAGCTGCTCATTTTCTTTTTGTTGTTTACCCCTGACCACTAAAAGCGAGAGAAAAAGGATTAGCTGTTCAGTCCGACGCCCACCCAGGTCAGTTTATTTTTGATTTAGCTGATTTGTTTACACGGATAACAAGAGGAAAAGACTAAACTTATTGGCAATAAGATAAACATATTGGGGTTTATTTCATTTGGAGAAGCACCTGCTCGTTTTCTCCTTCCTAGCGTCGGGTCAGGACCCCTCACTCCCCGGACTATGTGTTCTTGGAGGGAAAAAAGGCAGGGAGGAGGATATGGTGAATGAATGGATATGCATGCCCATGTGTGTTGGTAAGTGAATGTGTTTGTCTGTCTGTCTATTTTCAGGCACAGGAAGAAACAAAAAAGAATGTTTACATGTATCTTTAGTTCGGCGCCAACAAAATCCTTTTTTCCGACAGAGATGAGTGGTGTGAATGTACTGAGAGAGGAATGGGCAGATGACCCTCCCATTTCCTCTCTTGGATGGATTCTTTCATATTTAGTTATTTTTGATTGTTTACTTTGCTCTCACAGCACTCAAGGAAAAACAAAGGGAATAATGGAGTTGGGGAGAAGTGGGCGGGGCATGGCCGCTTCGACCTCTGGCGCATGTAGAGGGAAGAGGTGTTGTCTATGAAAGGACGCAAGGGAAGATAAAAAGAGAGCCCTCTCTCTCTCTTCTACCTTCATTCTGTCTCATTTCTTATTTTTACACTTTGTGTGTCCAGATGGCTAATCCTCATTCCCACTACTTCTCCCTCACGTTTTCTATCATCCACAATCTTCGCCAACGACAACAAGAAGAAAGCACAAAGCGAGAACAAAACATACCCGACAGGGCGGGACCTGTACATTTTTACACAATGAAAAAGGGGAGCTCAGAGAAAGAGAGTTCGAAGCATTCGACAACGCCCGCCTCTCCCTCGTTAGGTGCGTGCACAGAAAGGGACATGAAGGATTTCTGGGAGAGAGCATGTAGGTGAAAGGATGAGTGAAGGGGGGAAAAGGTGGACAGAAAGAAGGTCAGATGCAGAGTGACAGGGGTATGGTATTCCATCGACATGAAAAATCGTTGTAGGTGAAGAGGAAAGTGAAGAAAGTTTAATATTATTGTAGCAAAGGTCTATGTCACACAAATAAAGCGTCAACCAAGTTCAGCCCAGACCTAATATTTTCTTCGTCGCGATATGAGATCGCACTATCACCGCTGTAGTCAGAATCAATCGAGGTGTTCTTCATGGGAAGGATACAAGGTGCTGGCACACGCGAGGAAAGAATATGGTTATCTAATTACCACCTACTCTGTTCCGTCTTTGTGCAACGAGAAAAAAAATCAACTATGTCTCGTCATGGTAATGGAAAAAGAGAGAGAATATAAAAAAATAGCGAAAGAAGGTCTTTAGGAGATGGTGCCAAGTCTGTGTCAATTTGCAATCTTTTATTTCCCAGTTGCTTATCTGCAAAGATGCTACTCCGATTGTGCAAGAGTAAAAGTGAGGGTTGAGGAATGACAGGGAGTGCAGTTCGAAAAGGAGAGAAAACGCTATTGAGAGCGCAAAAAAAAAAAAAGTAAGGACGAGAAAAATAATTCAGAGCGTATCACCTTCAATAGAGTGACCAAGCTGACCAAAGAGAGGATCATGAATATCGCACATCAATTGCGCCAGTACCGTGGGTGTGCCACTGGATGTCGCGTCGCGGAACTCGTCCAACTCAAAAGCGCGTCCCCACTCTTTATCCACATCCTGATTCTCATCGTACATGCCCACCTGATCCACCAACATCAGATAGGACTTCTCAAAGACCCTGCAAACATGTCGCAGGCGCCATCCGTTGCAGAATAGGGTCACGTTGCGCTCTGGCACAAACGGATCCTGAACCACCAATTTACCCCAGCCTCGATCGTCCGTGTCATGATCACCCCTGGTGGCCGTGGGTTGACTGTGGTGCGAGAGCGAGGGCGAGGGCGAGGGAGGGGACGGTCGCTGTCATAATCGTTATCACTGCTGGTGTGGTTGTTGCCATCATCAGACTCCTTGCTCCATCCCTCCTCGGAGCTGTCGTCCGAATCATGGTGAGGGCGACGGTACTGTTTCCTTCCGCGTGTGTGCTTGCTCAGGTTTCGCGTACTCTGGTCCAGAAGGTCGATCCTTCAATGCTTCTGCAGGTCCACCAGCCACACAAAGAAAAAAACATCAGTACACAGTTGTCAGACGATGGCTCTGCACAACATCACATTCTTTTATCATGATCGATATACATACCTCAGTTTGTCTCTCGATGTAGAGTCCCGCAAACGATTTGTACATATCGCCCTCGCCTCCATAACCATCATACCGAGACGGCGATGAGACCGAGATCAAAGATCGCCTACCCGTTCAGCTTATGGGCGGACTTGACCGAGGCCTCACGACAGAACCGTGCGACGTCCAAACTGCATGCACAGAACAAGGGGATGTAATTGTATGGTTGCAGGGGCGGTGGCGGTGTAGTCCTTTTGGTTTTGGTATGACGAGTCAGGAGTAGAGTGGGCGAGTTTTTGCGCAGTGATGGCGACGTTGCTGTCGTTGTTATTATTACTGTTGTGGTCATTGTATCGGGTGGGGCACCTAAAGTGGGGGCTATCGAGGAGAGTGTCGACGAACGCAAAGTTGTCCGATAACGGTTTGTCCTCCATCGTGGTTGTTGTTTGTTTCTGGAGGAGAAGCAAGTGAGTGGAACTGAGGGGAGTTTGATGGGCAGAGGTGGTTATGACATCTGAGCTGACCAAAAGAAAGACTTTGCGACTCGGTCGCGTGACTCTTGATGTACTCTGCGAGGCGCTTGGGCGACCTCGCCTCCTTCCGCCACTCTCTATTTTGAGATCAATGATGATCATTGATAAAAAAAAATGCAACAAAAGAAACCGCGTCCCTCGTTCTTCTGGTGACAGACGCAAGGTCAACAAAAGAAAGATGGTGCACATGCATATCATGCAACAACCACAAAAAACAACTACAACCACAAAAAAATGCGCTAGTACAAGGAACGCACAAACAATGAGTGTCCATGAGCTATCAGGTGGTGGTTTTGGATAATAGAGCAAATGCCACAAAGACGTTGGTGTACGCCCTTTCCTTTACTCTAACTCGCGCTAACAGGAACTACATACATTGCCGGCCACTAGTCAGTACGTGTACAGTTAATCCACTTCAATTTTTATATCTTTGTATTCGTTCTTATGTTTGCTATATCCTTTCAGCGCTCTGCTACTTCTTATTCTTCGATAGAATGTTGGGCTCAACATTAACAACGGGAATATTCATAAAATCGCTCTCTTTACTCCCAAACGCCTGCAACGTCTCAACGCGAAGTCGACCCCAGTCCTTGCCGTACTCCATCAAAATCTTTTGAACCTTACTCGCCGACTTTTTAAACGCGGCCTTGGTCGTCTTCCAGTCCAAGCCCACCAGTTTGTAATCCCGCTTGACCCATTTGCCATCAACAATGACATGCTCGATATTGCCGACGTGCGAATGTAGGACGACGGTGGCGACGGGATCGTAGAACGCTGAGGTGGCAGTGTTGTCGGTGTTGAAGACGACCAGGTCCGCTTTGGCACCCTTCTTGATGACTCCAATGTCCGGGCGACGCAACGCCAGACCTCCATTCCTGGTACCGAGTAAGAAGACCTGATCGACAGTCATGGCAGTGTTGTTGGCGAATCGGAAATTGAAGTGTGCGACATTAGCGCCAACACTACGGGTCGACTGTAGTTGGAGTCTCATCTGGGTCAGGATATCGGACGAAAAGGTGTAGGAGGTATCAATTCCAAGGGCGGATTGTTCGAGAAGGGCGCTAGTGAAGAGTTGGCCGTGGGTGTAATGGTGTTCGGATTCGGGGGTGACAGAGATGAAATGGTTGGTGTTTCGGAGGATGTTGAGGTCGGCGCCGTCGGCGACTGTTCCGTGAGAGAAAACGACGGGGTAGGACTTGTTGAGGTATCCCCAAGCATTTAGTTGGTAGATGGGTTTTGTCGACACGCCGGCGGCTATTATTGTTGTGTTGGGTGGAAGTGGGTTGGTTGTTAATAAAATGTGATTGAAAGACCAAAGATAATGAAAATAATGCATGCAGGCTGAGAAGAGCACTCAGGATTAGTATTTACCTTGCATAGGGTATCCGACATGGTGCAGCGTCACGACCGATACATTGAGCTCCCTACAAGTGAGAAAATAAAAGAAAAATAGTACCTGTCAGCAACTTCAGCTTTCGATTGATGTGCGAACAAACAACAGCAGAAAAAAACGAACGAGGTCAACTTACGAGGCCTTATCAAATCCATATTTGTTTTCATTATCATCCCGTCCCATCTCCCAACCAAGACCAAGCTGAACCCTGCCATCAGCCCAAGGCGCCTCCTTTGCCAACTGCTCCAACTGCCTCCACTTCCACCCACCCGGTTCCTGTCCCGTCCAATCGAAGTGAAACTTGCCTCCCTTGGTCGAGGCGATTGGAACGATACTATACGCATTCCAGACACGGGCGCCGCTGTCTATGTGGGCCTTCAGCATGGCTTCAGAGTGCTTTGGTGTGAATGTACCGTGGGCGTGGTCCAGGACAGACGTGACACCACAATTCAACGAATCAGCAAGCGACATCAATGTTGAGATGTACGAGTCATCGGCATTGATCTGGGTCGTGATTTTGGAGACCCCCGAGAACTTGTAGACATATTCACCGAGAAGAACGTTGGGGCCCATTGTTTGGTAGAGGTGCTGCCACGAGTGCTTGTGGGTATCGACGAATCCAGGAGTGATGATGCTGTCGGTCAGTTCGACGACTTCGGTTCCCTCAGGGATAGGGGTGGTGAGTTTCTTGCCGACGTCGGCGATGCGGTCGTTGATGATCAAAAGGGAACCACCGCGAATGATGTCAAGCTCGTTCTTCTGGTCGTCGTAGGCAATGATGGTAGCACCCTTGAGGAGGATGGAAGATGACTTCTTGGCCGCTGTTGCTGTTGCCGCCTTGTGTGAGCCAGAGTCGAAATGGTTGGTGGCATTGGAGGATTCTACCGGTAGGTCACTGGTCTGCGCAAACACGGAGACTGCAAAGGATAAAGCGAGGAGTGCGCAAGCGACTCTTCGAGCAAGTCGAGACTTGAGAAGTGGTGACATCAAGAAAGGACTAGGGGGAGTACAATTGATAGGATGTGTGTGTTGATCGAGGAGAGATAGGTTGGTAGAGAGGAGAAAAAAGAAAGAGACTGAGATGTTGATGAAGGAATGATTAGGGGTGCATGTATGCCTTTTATATTCACGAGAAAAACAAAGAGGAAGCCACAGAAAAGTAGGCAGCATTGAAGCCGTCATATTCGGAATGCCAATCGCCTACGCGAACTCCAAAAATGAAAGAAGGATTCTATGCATCCATTGATGACCAACCCCAGCTATCCGCACTACCACTTTGTTTTGGAGTGCAAGCTGCGCTGTTATGCTTGAAAAAAAAAACAAGGATACTGGTGTGGAAACTGCGAACCCTAAATAATGTTGTCTAGAAACCATATGCCGCTCAGAAAGTGAGCTAGGTCGTTGTCAAACCCCACCCCACCCCCTTTTTTGTTTGCAGACGCACGACTCTGTCTGGACTGTGTTGTGTGTCTTGAACTATATATGATTCTGAATCACGCTAACACATGCATGGGTGCATGCCAATTTTTTTTTCCCTCTTCCTCTTCCACGCCATGGACCTGAAAAAAGTGAGACACATCCAGTTTTTTGCATGAATGAACTTAATTTGTGGATCGCCAGTTGCTCGGTAACTCCTGGTGACGATGGGAATATGATTGTACCGAGGGTGCCACCCAAGCCCCTCTTTTCTAGTAATCATAAAAAAATGCTGATTTATCAGCGTAATTTTGGTGGCGTTGATGTGGCTGTTACCTTTTGTTCCTGAGCCACAGTAGTAATCAGTTCAGCTTTTGTGTGCTTATACATGCCCTCGGCTGTCGTCGGCTCCATTCCTCAGCAAGTCCCCCTCAACTCATTGAACGCCAACAAATAAAAAACAGAGAGATAGCAAGAAATATATTATTATGTATTACAACGCCCCGAGGTATCATGTATTAGCGCAGGTGTGTCTGGTTTACTTATCGTGGGCTCAGAGTTGTAGAGGTTGCTACAGGCTAAGGCTGCCTGAGGTTGAGGTTGCTTGGGGATTGAGGGTGTGAGGAAGATGGTTGAAAGTTTGGAGTGAGATGAGTGCTGTTGAAGAGTTGGGAGAGGGTGGAGTTTGTGAGACGAGAAGTAAGGAAGCGAAGGAAGCCCAATAACCTGCAAAAAATAAATAAAGAAAGAACGAAAGGAAAGAAAGGCTCGAAGCAGGAGACCAATCTTTTATCGCGATATGAGAGGGCCAAGCAGACACAACCAGCAAAAAAAAAAAAAAACACACGTTGGTCGCTGTCCGCAATCTTTCTTTTATGTTCTAGCAAGAACTCCGGATAAAGGATATGATTTTTGTCCACATGCACGCTTGTTTACATTGAAATCATATAGAGATGGATGGTCCTACCCTCTTTTTTATTTCTCCCTCGCTTTTTCTTCGACTTCGCCATCGACCAGTTTGATTGAATTATTTTCTGATCCCAAAAGGAGGGCGAGGTCGTGCCTGAGTTTGATTTTTTTTGCCAGGACGAAACGTGAATGTGCACAGTGGATGCGCCTTGACCATTGCCTTCTCCCATTCCTTTTTTGTCTTCGTACTCCGGATATCTTTCTTCCTGACTAACCCTTTCAAAGCATGCTACTTTCTCGTCCTGTCAACCATGTTACCCCTTGCAAGCAAGAACTCAGGGTCCATGTTCTAGGGCATGTTGTAGTAGTAAGAAACGAGATAGCGTTGGTGCATGCCCCAGACTAACATACCCAATTTTTTTCCCGGGGGCAAGTTCTCACACTTTCTACCCCATAACAATAACAAAAAGCAAGAGTGCTACTTTTTTCATTTTTTTACGAACAACTTCTCTCAGGGTATGCTCGACTTTACTTCATTGATGACGGGGTATATATTACTCATGTATGTGAATGGTGGGTGGAATGCTTATAGATTCTAGTACAGGCGTGATTCCTGAACTGCTGGCAATGGGTGGTAGTGGCGCTTCGAAGCGTGCCAGTGGCGGCGTTGAACTGTCTTGCTCAGGTCCACGGATCCTTTGATTCGTCCCAGGCGGAACAAACAGAGTAGGTTGCCATTGCGTTTGATGTGTTCCATCAGTTCCTGGATATGGAGTTGTTGAGCTGCGGGTCTTTGGTTCTCTTCCTTGGGCTGTTGTAACAAAGTTGGGATGTAGATGGCTCGAGAACTGGATTCCTTGCATCTGGTCCTGCATGGACCGCTGCTGTCGTGGGTTAATGGAGCCATAAGAAGGATCGCTATGGGCGGGTTTTTGCTTCCTACGTGCTCATGGTAGATAACCACGCCGTTGTGTCTAGGTTGCTGCGTATGAGTGACGATGTTGGTGTTGACGCGCCTTGATTCTTGAATACAGGATGGTTGGGGGTGATAGGGGCCTGAGATTTGTTCTGTTCCTGCTTGTACAAATAAAACGCGAGGCCTCCGATGATGATTAACGCCCCAAAGACAATAATGATAATGACGGTCGTAAACGAATCCATGACCGGAAGGTGAGGTTGGTTGAAATGGAGGACGCTTGGAGTTTGAGGTTCCTCAAGGGTGGTGAAGCAACTGATATTCAGGAGCGGGCTCAGTGCAGATAATGAGGTGACTAGAGAGGAGTGGATGTGAGCTGAGAGGGGAAATGAAAAGGAGTGCTGGAAACAGAAGGGAAAAAAATAAGAAATCTCACTCTCGGTCGCAATTTGAGCTGCACTCATATCACGGTGACGCGTTAAAAGTAGACCAATTAAAGCGCGACAAACAAACCGAAGGATTTGTATAAATTTGACAAGTGAACAAAGCATCAACAATACGACCTTGAATTCCTGCTGGAGCAAGGATTGAAAAAGCCGACATCGAAGGATCGAAAAGCAACGTCGCTCTGAACGCTTGGCTGCCACAAGTCGGTTATCTCTGTTGACAAAGTAGATATTAGAGAAGTGACAGTTATCAAATCAAACAATGGTAAAATGTCAGTAGGCAAAGCATAGGCAAGCAAACAGGCAAAGCAGTATCACAGCAAAGTGAGAGATGGCGAAAACAAAGGGACAATAGCCAAGCACTTTGTCAGTGATAGGTCGACAGGTACCCTTGAATTTTTCCTCAGCTCCCTTGAATTTTTTTGTGCAACCATGATCGATATTGACTGACAAATACCAAAGAGTATTTATTGGGCATAAAGGAGGCATCAGTTCGTTTGAGCCAACAACATGGGGAAGAGACAAAGAAATGGCGAAGCAGAAGAATAGCACACTTTTCAAGTCAAAAGGGTACACTTTGAAATTGTGTCTCTTTCATTCAAACTCTTCTTCCTATTCACGCATTCTTCCTCGCCTTCCATTTCTCACACATCGTCGCTATTTTCTTCATTCATATATCCCCAACCCACAATACATCTAACAAGAGCAATGGAGGGTACTCAATCGTTTCGCTTGATCGAAACCATGGATACCATGGAAATCACTCTCAACCATGTGGACGGACAGAACATCGTTTATTGGGAGGACATTGAGCAAGTCTTTCCTGGAGTTAAGCGGGTTAGCAATGGCTATTCGGTGATCAAGTTTCTTCGGGGTTCCGATCAAGGGTAATAAGGAAACGTAAAAATGATTTGAGACGAATGGTCTTGACGAGCAAACATCTCATCATACTGTTCTCTTCCTTTCTGAATCATGCCATATAGCACCCTGGATGTTGTCTTGTCTACCTCTGTCCAACCTGTTCTTGCCAACCCTGCTAAGTTTGATCCAGTCGGTGGTGAAACTAACACTCCACCCGGAACTCCAGTTAATAACAAAGTCGCTGTTGCTTTCAAGGCTACCCCACCAATACCAGAGATACCCGTCAGCGACATTGGTCTTCTCGAGACACCACCAAGCCCATCGTCTACCACCGACGCTGCTTCCAAGGTGACATTGTTCCAGCAGATTGTGACACGCGCATCTAGGAAGGCACGCGAATCTGAGGTCGAGCAGCGATTTATCTCCCTATTGGCCCCTGAAGTCCAAGAAATAGTTCGAGCCTCGTCGGACATCTACCAGTCGTTTGCCAAGGCTATCAAGTACGACAATGGGGGGCTCAGTCGAGCAGAGCTTAGGCAAGAACTAGGGGGACACTTTCAGAAGCTGGAGGCTATGGTGGTCAAGAACTTAGAGTTACAGGAAGCATTGAAGCAGCTACAGGAGTAAGTCCTCAGCAACCAAGAAGAGATGAAGCAACTCCAGCAGCGAGCTCTTGATCAGTTAGCCGTGCTCCAGTCTCGTGTGCAAGCCGTCCTAACTCAGACCTACGAACTCCACGAGTACCCGATCCCTCGTCTTTTCGTTGTCCTTCCTCAAGACCCTTCAGGTTGGGATGCCGTAAATCCATTCTCGAACAAGTTCCGTCTCTACTTTCTATGCGAGTGCGGAGAACACACCAAGTCGATCGACTGCAAGACCGAGATCTCTCATGATATCCACTTTGCTAAACATGAAGGCTACGAGATCGCTCGGCCTTCAGAGTTCTTTCAGCAATACGGCCCCTATGTCCTCACTATCCTCAAGATGCTCAAGTTCGGTGTTTCGGTTGCCGGAGTGGCTGTACCAGCTATCTCTCATCTGGTCAAATCGGACGCCATCGATCAAGCCACTGCCGGTATACAACAGTTGAGGGACAACATTGAGCCTGGAATGGATCATCTCATAGGCTGGATGGACAAGGTCTCTGTGAATGAAGGCGAGGCTGTTGACGAGTTTTCTAAGCAGATGGAGAAGAAGGAGGCATTGGAAGGCGCCGATCTACGCAAGCTCGACACCTTTCTGAAGGACATGGACGGCAATAAGGTGTTGGGGAACCTGTACAGGACCGTTACGGACGAGGGACATGTCAAATGGGTTTGCATTGACCACTACCGCATGAACTATCTAGAAAACTCGGCCAAGGAGTTCCTGCGCGTGTTAGATTCCGTCGGAGGATCGTTTAGTGAAAACGTCGGTAGGGTTGACGTGAGACTCCAGTCGAGAGCGTTGGCAGGACATTTCTTTTCAGCACTGGGAAAGGCGAGATCTGTCTACGAGCTCGATATTGGCTTGCACTGGGCCTGTACTACAAGTGATCTTGAAGCACTGGAGGATGCGCTCAAGAAATCAAGAGTATCAATTCTTCGACTGGATCTTCAACAATTTCGGACGAGCGTCGTCAGGAAACTACTATCGACATCCACACCATATGACGTCATTTCCCGCATCAGAGATCTTCCTAATATGAAAGTACTTCATATTCTTCTTTCAAAGGAGCTCGTCAACTTCCTTGGATTTCCACCCAAAAAATCAACTCATGTTTGTAAGATGTCCTGCGAACTGGCATCTACATTAATTGGAGGAAGGGAGTTTGGAATACTAGCTGAGGCACTCAAGACCAACTCGACCCTGACCACTTTGGACTTGGGGGGCAACTCGATCGGATTCGACGGAGCCAAGGCGCTGGCTGAGGCACTCAAGACCAACTCGACCCTGGCCACTTTGCACCTGTGGAATAACTCGATCGGATCCGACGGAGCCAAGGCGCTGGCTGAGGCACTCAAGACCAACTCGACCCTGACCACTTTGGACTTGGGGAATAACTCGATCGGATCCGACGGAGCCAAGGCGCTGGCTGAGGCACTCAAGACCAACTCGACCCTGACCACTTTGGGCTTGGGGAATAACTCGATCGGATCCGACGGAGCCAAGGCGCTGGCTGAGGCACTCAAGACCAACTCGACCCTGACCACTTTGGACTTGGGGGGCAACTCGATCGGATTCGACGGAGCCAAGGCGCTGGCTGAGGCACTCAAGACCAACTCGACCCTGGCCACTTTGCACCTGTGGAATAACTCGATCGGATCCGACGGAGCCAAGGCGCTGGCTGAGGCACTCAAGACCAACTCGACCCTGACCACTTTGGACTTGAAGTACAACTCGATCGGATCCGACGGAGCCAAGGCGCTGGCTGAGGCACTCAAGACCAACTCGACCCTGACCACTTTGCACCTGTGGAATAACTCGATCGGATCCGACGGAGCCAAGGCGCTGGCTGAGGCACTCAAGACCAACTCGACCCTGGCCACTTTGGACTTGAAGTACAACTCGATCGGATCCGACGGAGCCAAGGCGCTGGCTGAGGCACTCAAGACCAACTCGACCCTGGCCACTTTGGACTTGAAGGACAACTCGATCGGATCCGACGGAGCCAAGGCGCTGGCTGAGGCACGCAAGACCAACTCGACCCTGACCACTTTGGGCTTGTAGGAAAAACTGCCCATTTTAATGGTATAGACAGCTTTAGGACACAGTGATTTCAATAGCAGCAATGAGATGGAAAAGTCTTATATTACAGCTGAACAATAACAATGCACACTGTTCGACGATACTAAGGACAGGATGACTGGGGTTTTTATTTCTTCAAGTGCTGATGCTGTTAGAATTGACGGGAGTGTTGGACGTTTTAGGAATCCAGAGTGTTCCAGGGGTCTCGTACGAGTGAGTGTATGCAAAGCCATAAAATGGTGTTGCGTCTGGGTCGGTTGAAGTGCAAAGGGAGGTCGGGGATGTCCATTATCGCAGGTGTCAGATTATCCACTCTGATATGTGTGAGAGTTTTGAAACCCCGGGTTCGAGGAGAGAGCAGGGGGAGAGTTGCCATGAGATGGGAAGGCGCTAGCTGGGTCTTCCTCCTCCATTCTGGAGGACCTGGTGTCGGCTCCAGGGGTTTAGGTGTTGATGGCTTGGTTTGACATGCTGTTGCGTTGTTGGTGTTTGCGGGCGTCTCTTTTTTAATGTGTATATTTTCTGTTTGTGTTGTAGTCGCAGTTATGGTTGTTAGAGTGGTGGTGAAATGAAAAAGGGATAGATATTGTGTGTCGCTGTCGATAGTTCTGTCTCTGTAGTGGATGTCGCTGTTGTTGTTGTTGTTGTTGTTGTCGTTGCTATCGCTGGTGATAAAAGAAAACGCTGGTGAACCCTTTATGCCTGCACAAAAGAGGGAAAGAAGGTTGATATTTAATATACATCGCGCTCGTCCTATCGCAACAAGGGTCGCAGGAAACTTTAAAAACGTGCGGCGTGTGCTCTGTTCATTGTTCACATTTTCGTGGTGTGCCCTGAAAAGCTGATCCAAATGAGGGGGGGGGTTCATTCGTTTTGTCCACATGCCATCTTTACATCCGGTCTATTGAGAGAAAGATGAAGTATCCTTTCTTCCTCCTGGTTGAGAGATTTTTCGTCTTTGTGATGATAGTCATAGACCACTGCGGATGGTCCGAAGGCAACGTCGCTGTGAACGCTTGGCTGCCACAAGCTCCCTAGTACCCACGGGTAGGTACGTCCATTGCCCTTTGACAACGTTGTGCTCGGTTCTCTGGCTAAATCTTTATTTATTTTTGTTTCTCGAGGGCAGTTCCTCACATAGATTCTCTAGCACTAGTCAAAGACATACCAAAAAACCATCGCAATCAATTCGCTTTTTTGGTTTGTTCTGGTCGAACCACTTCTGTCACTTCCCGCTTATATTCATTATTTGGATGACCATGGTAACTATTACTTATGTATGCGGATGATGAACAGTGGGTGGGGTTCCAACAGATTCGATTTCATACCCGGGTTTTGAACCGTGTGGGATGGGTGGAGGTGGCGACGATGCATTTGTCGGAGTAGGATCAGAACTGGTCACCTCGGGCGCACGGGTCCTCTGAGCTGCTGCGGGTGGAACAAATGGAGTGGGCTGCCAAGCAGAGGAACTGGCGACAGTGATATTGTTGGTGGGCCGGATGTTTTCGACAGTGGGGCGAGGATGTTGTGAGAACTGGAGTGTCTGCATCTGGTCCTGAACAGACTGATGGTTAGATGTAGAGGGGATGGGAGCCATGGGCAGGATGGTTGTTGGAGTTGAGGTGGATGGCAACGACATTGTCGCGGACGGGAGGTGCGAGCCGACGGGAGGAGTCGACATTTCGGGTTGCTGCTGGGCATTTGATCCCACTGGTGCTGTCGGTTTGTTGTCGATATCGGCAGGGGTGCTCGGAGCAGTACCTACCTCAGTCTGTAAACCTTTCAGATTCGACAGTAACCGTCTTCTCCTGCGATAAAAGAATGCAGCCAAGAATCCAACAATAACAAGGGCAGAAATGGACCCAACAACTTCTGCCGTGAAGGACGGGCTTGCTCCACTCGATGGATATACAAGGTCGGAACCAGATGTGTCATCGACTGTGATGTTGCCGATATTAACGGTAGCGTGATCCGGCCCATCCAACGGTACGGCAAAAAACTTTCCATCGACCGTGCGATAAAGTAGAAAGCGTCCCTGCCCTGGTCCTCCGCCCACTGTGGCAAGCCGTTGTCCAGAGGGAATCGTAACACCCTTATAGAGAATATCTGGTGTTCCTAGAGTGGTGTTATTATCGGGATCATTGATGGTATAGAGCTCGGGGGAGATCTAGATTCGATAATAGGCATGGAATACGAGAATCTATTAGTCACTGCAATAAATACCAACGCTGCTCTGATTGTTGCCTGTCAATCATACATACCGGTTGGTCACAAACGAGGTACAGCGTCTTGAGGTTTGTGAATAGACGAGGCGACACGGAGTTACCGCAGTTACTAGACGCGGGTGACAGGTAAGTCGTATTGGCCGGCAAGGTATCAGAAATGGAGGAGAGCGAGTAGCTGTTCAAAACACCAAACGACATGCTTGTTCGCAGTAGAACGTAGAGATGGTCATTGCCAATAGTGATGATCGATGGGGATACACTGTTAAGGTTCGGCTATTATGGCAAGTCAAGAAGGCGAAGATTGTCAACAACAAAATAAAAAGTCAAGAGAGTAGTAAGGGGAAAAAATAGGAAAATAGACAACAGTGACACATAAACAAGAGCTAGCCTTACAAGGGTCCATGTCCCGACTTTGGACAGGGTGAGATCGTTGCTCGTTTCGTCATGACTGGCGATGTAGAGAGTGGACCCACCGAGCATGCAATGTACTAGATAAGGTCCTGCGGCAGAGCTGACATACCCAAGTGCTTGGTTAATTTGGTTCGAGTTTGTCGGCCAAGCCGCTGCCACCCATTGGTAGTTCGGATCGACTTTGAAGGGCCTCCAAGTTCCTGACCCCTTAGTCCCTATTAAAGTGTCCGAGCCCGGAAGTCCAAATGGGTCGTATCGATATCCAGAGGGCACGATTCTGCTGGCGGCACTTGTGTAGTTCCGAAAGAAGAATGTAAAGACCCCGTTCGCATTGACAGCACACGTATGTTCGCCTTGACCAAAGATGTTCAGGTCGTTGCTGGAGATCCTAGAAACAACAGACCAGGTGAGGTTTGCTGGTGAGGTTGGGTTGGAGTTGGATTTGTAAATGATAACAGAAGAGCCGCTTCTGTATGAGTTGGGAAGGTTGTCGAAGCTATTGGCGACATCAAGGCCGTAGAATGTGGACGAGTCCGGGGTTGAGGTGAGGCATAAAACGTCGAGGCGACCCATCCTGTCAACGGCCGTTGTGTTTGTTGGACTGACGGGAGTATGGGTTTGGGAGGTATGAGAAAAAGAGTGAGGAGGAGGGGGGGGGAGGGCAAAGAGGGAAAGAGGCGAAAGGAAGAGAGAGTGAGAAGAGAGGAAAGAGAGGTGGATGACGAAGCAGAAGAGAAATAAGAGCGCCGAAATGCGGATCCAATAAATGCTTTTTTTGAGTCGACAAGAGCCAACAAAGAAATCTTAGCATGCAAGCAAACAGACAAACAAAGAAAAGCGGCGTTGGACAACTCTAACTCAATTTGGGCCGAGGGATGGTTGGGTCATTGCGGCGCTCGAAAGGCAGCATCAATAAGCCACAATTCCAGGTACTGAAGGAGTACTCTTTGTCTTCAATGGACAATGGCGGAGAATAAGAAGGACCTGAAAGGACACCCGTATTGATTGATCACCGGCTGAGACCAAGAAGGTTGGTTTTACCGATTGTGACGCACTTTTTGTTTCCTTCTTCGTTATTCTTTATTCCTGCATGCCCACCTTCCCTGCCTTCAATTCCATTGCTTCACCTAACTGTATGCATGAGAGTCCTTTCTCTGATGTCAGGCGCTGCTTTACCTCTCTGCCTCTCCGGTTTCGCAAGCGGTCGATCGACTCTCTTTGATTCCTCTTGTTATTCTCATTCCTTCTCTCCTCCTTGACACCCTCCTCCGTCCCTTCCCTCATCGCAATGTCCATTCCCCCGTCATCATTCACTTCACTTACAACATGTGCTCACTTGCTTCTTCCTGATTCACCTGGCGCCACTCATTCCAAGTCACAGTCACCTCCACTCCTTCTCCTTTCTTCCATCTCATCCACTTTTTAGAGAAAGTTAATTCCAACAAACCACATGAATCACCCATTGTGTCGCGTATTATGGAATCTACCTTTACCTTCCCCTTCACCTCCCTTTCCGTGTCCTTCGTTTCTCTCTCATTGCCACATTCTCTCTTCTTCCTCTTTCGCCCTTCTCCCTTCTCCCATCCTTTCCTCATTGTTTGGAGCAGAAAGAAGGAAAACGTCAAAAAAAATACCCAATGTTGTAATATCTCGTCCATCCAGACGTTCCTGAGGAATAGATGTTTTTTAACAAGACGGATGTGGTTTTTATGAAATTGGTCAAAATGGGTCAACAATGGGGTTCTGGATGGAGAGGTTCTACCGTCACCAAAAGGACGACGGCGGCACTGTCATCAACGTTGCCTCCCCTTCCACTAAAAAAGACCTCAAGGCAGACAATGTTAACACTGCCACTAATGGTTCCTCAATTACATCCATGTTGTTCTCAAACACAATGCGAAGGGTTTATGAGATGTCCCTACCTTTCTCTTCTCCTTCCTTCCATCCATTTCGCCCTACCTATGCACGCATGCAGGACACAGGGGGCGAAATTCAAAATCAAGCAAAGACCTTGCACGCCAAACAAAGAGATAAGAAGAGGAAGGGGAAGGATAGAGGGCGAAGAAAAATAAAGGAGTAAACCAATGCGGTGTGACAAATTGCATCTTGCTATTTTTATTTTTCTTATTGTCTGCTTTGCTCAATGTTACCTGAGCGCAACGCCAACGTGATTCACAAAAGAAGAAAAAGGGCTACTGTTCATCAGGACTGAGCCGATAAGCATACGCAAGCAAGATCACCTTGGCAAGTTCCTCAGTGGACTGGCCTGCGACAGCATCGCCATACTCATCGTAGACATTCAGGAACGACATTAACTGGTCCATGTTACGCTCACTCTGCTTACAGTGCTCCTCTGCGGCCGCCTCATCTACGCTCACCTCACCCAGCTCATCAGCACCCTCGCTGCCATTCATAGCATGAGCCGACAGGTTGGAAAATGCAGCCGATATCCGTTGGAAGACGTCGCTGATGCTCTTGAACCTCCATCCGGTAGTGAGTGTCGCCAGGTTGCGGTCCAACACAAAGGGGTCCTGGACAATTAATCCTGAAAAGAACTTGTTCCGATCTTTGGCGCCATTCATCATTGCGAGGGGTTCCGCGGGGGGTGGTAGGAGGTCATCCCAGTCCTTGAATTTCTTGGTCGCATAGTCAAAGAAATCGACGACAAGGCGGAAAGGCGACTTCTTGGTAGGGCTCTTGTCGAACGACTTGATCTTGGCCATCTCTTCATCAAAGTCGTAGCAGACAATTCGGCAGCCCGGGGTGGGTTCTGTCAATCGCTTGAAGACCAAGTCTTCCTCAGACTGAAGGGTACCTGGAGCACGCGTGGTTTGGGTGGTTGGCGATGAAGACGTCGACGGTTTCGACTTTTTGCTTCTACTGCGACCACGGCGCTTCTTTTTCTTGGAACCCCCCACGACCGCCACCACACCTCGATTGTCGATGCCTCGAACCATCTCTTCCTCCAATGGCAACCTCCCTTCGACCGGTCCCGAGTAAAAGTCAAAGTCAACCCGTCGACCCTGATGTTTCAACAGATTGGGCAGGATCCTCTCCTTCTGCAGGTAATTAATCGCTATCATGGCGACAGCAAGGTTGCTGAGTGTCTCTTGGGTGCGACCATATCTATTCAGAGTCTCCTGAACAATGAAAACAAAAGGCTCGACTCGCTCATCGATACTAGCATAGGCTTGAAAGAGCTTGCGTATGGAGGTGCCAGCGGAATGATCGAAAGAGACTTGGCAGGTAAGGTTGGACTTTGGGTCAAGGAAGCAGACAGACGTCGGGTTGGTTGCGCTCTTGCCCTCAAAGTAGCGTCTGGAGATTTCGATGGTCTCGTACCCGGCTTGGGTGAGACTGGGCAAGAGATACTTGACGATTTCATCCAACCTCTCCATCTCTGGAGGAAGGTTCCTGGGTTTGTCTATCTTGATCAGCAACTCCAGGTCGTAATCGGAAAAGCTGATGCCCTTAGATGATGAGCTATTGGTATCGATGGTCGAGCGGTCAACAAAGGAGTTTAGCGAATGCATCCATATGGCGTGTTGTGGATGTGGTAAAATCATTATCTTTTTGTTTGCTCACCTGAGCACTGCAACATCAGAATGGGTCATCGCTTTGATGACATGGATGAGTTCTTGCTCTTGGCACTGCCGGTTAGCACTCGAGGCCACTCTCTACAGTTCCAGAAAAGTTACATGAGGGTAGAAGGGGGAAAAATTAGAGCATGTCAGTTCCAACAGTTCCAAAGAAAGAGCCCAGAACCAAAAAAAAAAAACAAGCAATAGAAAAATGAACGGAGTTGATTACCTCCCTCTGCCACTGTGCATCACAAATAAAATCCTTCAGGGCATCTCTCGCCCTGTCCGTCCCAGCATCTCTCAAAAAAGTCTTGCACATTGCAACAAACTCATCCCCCGACGAACAAAATAGTCCATTCCGTTGCAGTAACCCCACCAGGAACTCCACCTCCCCCCTGTATGGCTCTGGCACTATAGTTGCGAACTTTCTCCTCATGTCGACAATATCCTTCAACTGGAACACTGGGACGCTGATACACTCTGGCAGCTGGTCACCACCTATAGCTTCATCATCGAGCCATATATCATTGGCGATGTGTTCAGGGATGACTTGGTAGCGATGTCGAAAGCTGACGATGTAGTTGATGACGCCAGAGAGAGAGTTGAGTTTTAGGCGGTGGAGGATGGTGTCGCCGGTTTGGCGTGAAGTGTCCTTGAGGGTCAGTTGGAGGTAGTAGTGGGCAATGTAGGCGAACTTGGAGCTGAGGTCCATGGGGATGAAGTTATTTCTGTTCGTTTTTGTTGTCTTTTCTGTTGTGTTTTGATGGAGGAGGGTGATCTCAAAGACAAGGCGTTCGTAGAGGTAGGCAATGAGGATGTCGTCGACAAATGTTAGTTCTGTCGACGAAGAGGATGTCATGGTTGGTGAAAGAGGGTGTGCTTGAAGGAGTGAGTGAGTTCGTGAGAAGGAATAAAGAAGATAAAAGGGCAAGATGTGAACAGAAACGAAGGGAGAGACAAACAAGGTTGTGAAGAGCTCTGGGGAGAGAGGGTCTGCGAAACCACAAGAGCTCATTGTTGTGTCCTTTCATCTCGAAATAGTTGTTCGTTCATCTATCTTTTTTAAATGCGCGGGACGACCACCTCTCTTCTTTTTGTCCATCACACTGCACAAGTGGAAGCAGAAAATAGCCCAATCTGCGATCAGGTGTTTCATTTTACACTATGAGTGAGCGAACCCCCTTCTTTCCTCCCTCGCATTGGCCATGTGTCAATGACATTGAGCACAGCAGATGCCCCCTCTCTCTCTCTAGCGCCACCAAGCTGCGACGATTGCTCACACACAGCATCGTCTTTCAGAAAATTACGGGTCGAAATGAAAAAGAGGAGAGTAGGCCTCCCGCCGAATTAACTTTGACGGGACACCGACGCAGTATGGCTGGCAGCACGCGTTTGATTGACAGAACGCGTTTGACATGAGACAGTGGAAGACTGTCTATGATGTCTTTTTCGCAAACTTCCGAGACAAACGCGTTCTTACCAATGATCAATGTTCATTGACATGACAGCAAAGTATTCTGGCGTACCATGAACAGACGGGTTAATTACCCCTCTCCTCTCCCCATTTTCTTTCCTTTTTCTTCTTTCTTTCCTACCCTCTTTCTTCCTTTCTTTCTTTCTTTCGTTCTTAGATATGCTCGCTTTTTTATTCTCTTGTGCCTATTACGTTGCTGCTGTTGAGAGGGTAAAGAAAGGCTGGGTTGTTGGGAGGGGCGGATGAAGCATGTGGAAAAGGCGGATCTCTGCAGGGTTAAAAGAGGTTTTATGTCCCCCCCCCCCCCTCCCTTCCACGATGCAAATAGCGGTTGTAAGGGACCAAAAGGGATCTGTTTGGGACAAGACTATCATGCAGGATGCTGTACAAAAGATTCGAGATCCAAGCACTCTCAAATAAAAATAAAACTCCCCACGGGGGTTTACTTTATTTCTTGTCACCCTGCTGTTGTTCTTCAGTACTACCTCCAACAGAAAGACTGGGGGGTTTTCCTGATCTGGCACGTATACATCGTACAACTATAAGACTGTCCCAACCTCTCCATCCAATTGTTTTTTTATTTTATTTTGGAGGCTAACTAAACAGATCCCTCTGTTTGTTTCGTTATTCTCCTGTTCACACCCGGTTGATATTTTCCAGCAGGGTTTCCGGTCGTGAGGTGCTTATTCCTTGCAGACAAGTCTGATGACGTTTTTCGATCGGACCATATCATCCTTGTACTCTGAGATGCCCTCATAGAAAAAGTCGTCCATGTTCAAAAGGTTAATATACACCATCACATCCTCGTCGCCAGTCACAGGGTTTGCCTTGACTTGGGTAACAGGCATACCAAACTGGACGTCAGGGAGCTCGAGGTGGATTCGGAGGATGCCCTTAAGCTCGGAAGGAGTGCTTGTATCCACGTAGGCAGATCGAATGCCGGCCAAGTTCTTGTTCTCCGTGACATCGTCCGCTTTCAATAAGCATACGCGAACGTCGCTGGACGTCTCGTTTTCCTTGTGCTTCCTCTGTGGCATAGAGCTGCTGTAGAACTTAATCGCAAGAGAGCCGGCGTACTTTGTGTCAGAGAAAAACCAAGCTCCATCCGGATGTGTGCCAAAGTTGGCAATAAGCATCTTGTTCGTAGGGCGTTTGGAGAGAAAGGGGTGATCGGCGGCTACGTTACTGTCGGTATATCCAAATCCATTGGCCGTATTGATCTCGTCGATTTGAAGCTTGAGATCGTTACACCATTTAGGCTAGGCGATGCCTTTGAGGAAAGGGAGATCCACGAGACGGAAATCATTGGAGCGCTGAAGTGATCGACGGAAAAGTGGTTCCAGTACATCTCCCTTTGACGTTGAACCCACGCCGAAGTTGGTGATAATCTGGTAAAGTTGATCCAGGTACTCCGAGAATGCACAATCCTTGCCCAACGACTTGAGCACCTCCTCCGCCTCAAGCACCATGGGCTCGTTCATGATCTGGTGAACGCCATCAGGGTGTTGTCGCAGACTGCACAACACCATGTTCACAAAGTCGAATTGCTGATTGGTCGAGAACGTTATCTTGCCACCCCGGAGACGATTCGCCAAGAGCATTCGACAAAGAAAACGAGATACCTCGCCGGTTTTGTCGCTCCGGAGAATAGTGCGCACGTTCTCCCGAAGAACATGCTTCAGATGCTCGATCGTGTCATCGACAGCAATGTCCAGAATAGCCTGCTTGGAGATCTGGGTCGCGTTGGGTACGATGAGGCGCCTGATAATACCAAGAGAAAATTGAGCTCGCCCTGACAGCTTGCGGCGCTTGGCAGGCGGGATTTCACAATCCGACAGGTCGACTAGGTCCGATAGCATGTTGTTGACTTCGTTTTCATCCAACTGAGGAAATTCTGTGATCCTTGTGAGGTTGGTGGGCTTGTCAACACCCGAGTACAGATTGACTACATTCTGCAACGAGAGAGCTGTGCCAAGGATTACCAGAGTTGCCTGAATGCTGCTCAGTGTGGGAGACAAAGGCTCGAGGAAGCCGCGGAGGTGCTTGAGATGGACTTGGTTCTTGACGTTGAAGATGGCATATGTGTTGTATTTGTTGTCGATCAAAGCGGATGGCGAGATGAGCCTGTTGGGTAGGATGCCATTCTCCACGATTTTGGCTTCGTCCATAGCAATCACCAGCCCGAGTCGTCGGGGGACAAGAAGTAAGTGAAGCTTGGTCTGAGTCTTGCGGAGCATAGCTCGAATGGTGTGGATGTCGTACTCCTGCAGGATATGGACCAGCTTGCCGATCGTTGCATCTCCGGTGGTCGTCTGCTCACGGAAGAACTGGAACTGGTCCAATGCAGGTTTGCTGGCGAGGAGAAATTTCAGGAAAAGCAAACGTGCCAGAATCTCGAGCTCGACGCGCTCCCCTGCGCGAGCTTTGACCTTGAAAACGATACCGAGCTGATCACCCTGCTCCTCGTCGACAACAGACATATATATGTTCTCGACGTCCCTTGCAAGCGTCAGGAAGTTGGGATCTTCAAAGTCCGGTGAGTCGGTGGTGCGTGGGATGGAACAGACGCAGTAGATGACAAGTGCTTGGTTGCCAGATGGATGACGGTGGCGGTCTTTCCTGAGCCAGACGGGGCAACCATGGCACCACACGAAAGGCACGTGACTTGCCGATGTCACCTTCGACAATGGAGCGCTGAGTCTCCCCGGTGGTCGTCCTGGCCTGCTTGCCCAGCGCAAGTCCCAACATCCTTTGCTGTTTGGTCGTAAGGTAGGGTCGTCTTGAAATAGCACTTTAGCACCTCCTTGTGGGACATCTCGAGCTCCTTTAGATCGAGGGAGTGGTTGGTATATTGATGATGGACGCCGTTGAGAATGATCGCCAGCTCCTGCTCAAAGCGCTCCTCCGGAACAGAAATGAGATGTGCGGGTTTATCTACATAATCAAGAGGGATATAGAAGTTAGCAATAAAAAAAAAGATCACATATCCATTTTTTAGGCAAGGTAAAGATGCCCGTCCGTGACGACATATCAATTTTAACCAATTAAAAGTGGTGATCCTCGTGCACATGGCATCCTAGACCGTACATGAGGATTGTACAGTCCGTCTTCCCCAGGTCAGGAACGACTCACGCCGGACGAACCCTGTAAAAAGAAAGCATATCCATGAGAATGTGCAAAGTCGGACTCACCAGAATGTGATGCGTCTTTGCATAGGCCGAGCGAAGAGTGGGCGCAAGGAAGGTACATGGACCACGTCGTTAAGGGGAAGAGAGAATTTAGGTTAGCTCAATGGACAAACTCAACGCAAGGGGTGAAGGGGAGCAAAACGCGCATGCAATACCTTGAGGAGGACGCTGGACGATGATGTGGATAGTTTTCTTGCGTGGTACCTGTGGAAACCACTCGGAAACATCGTCTTTCGGACCGAGCTTGTCCTTGTCGCTGCTGGAGACGTTTTCGAGCAGGATGGGAGTGTCGGCGTTGTCTTTTGTGATTGGGATCGTGACTTTCCAGAGCGTGAGATCCTCTGCTTCCAAAATCCTTAAACCAAATAGGCTTGCTGAAATGGATGGTGCTTCTGAATTGACTAAAGTCTCCGTCGATGGTGTGATCAGGTCAAAGGATCTCGAGGTGCGGTCGCCGTCAATAAGACACCGCAGACTCAGACTCAGGGAATTGTCGGTCATGGTGTTGCGAGGTATCAGTGAAAATGAGGTGAAGAAGGCTGAAAAGTAAAAGATATGGAGAAGTCGAGGGGTGAAAGAAAGAAAAGCGAAAAGGATGAAAGAGGGTGTGAGCTTAAAAGGGAAAAAAGAGATTAGAATGGCGTGGGAACGATAGGAAAGGCGATGAACAAACGGAAAGTAAAGTCAAGAAAGGAAGCGAGTGATGGCAAAGGTGATGAAGGTATGGAAATGGTGGGAAAAAAAGTGGAAGCGGTGGCAAAGAAATAGGTAAGAAAGGGCGTGGGAGTGATGGAAAAAAAAGGAATGTGAAAAGGAAGAGCTTGTGAACAAACGGGCCGTGAAGAATGGTGGCAAAGAAAGGGAAGGACGTTTTTCCTATATAGGCCATTATCCCCTTAAACAACGTCAGGGTCAATTGACAGCTGGTCAACCGTTGTATGTTTTTCTTTTGCAAAGCGATTCCAATGAATCCATTCTTTTCCCAACATTCCCCATTTTACTTCGCCCAGTTGTTAGTCCATGCCCCTCAATCGTCGTGCTATTGTCGAGGAGGTTCCTGAAGTAGATGAGGACGAGGTTGACACCAACGACGGCGCGGAGGAGAGGGAGATGGACTTCTCCATCACTCCCACGACCTGGATCTGTGGGTTCTGCACGGTGCTCCTGTGCCTTACTAAGACCCGCAACTGTTACAAAGGATACCATGGTTTTAAAACGTGCACCACACAAAACCCACATACCTCATCCCCTCTTCTAACCAGAATGCAAGTTACATATACTTATGAATGACAAAAAAAAGTAGCGACCCTGGTGTACCTCATAAAGTATTTTGTTTTTCTTTTTCTTTTTCAAGGGGTGTACCCTCATAAAGTAACTTTCTTTTTCTCATTGTTAACATATGGAACAGAATCCTTTACGATCGAAGGGAAAGGTCTTTTTGCACGCTCATGATGGAGTTCGTTGTTGTTGGCTTTGTATGTTTTTTGTGTAGTAGTGGGGCGTGGATGTGTTAATGGGTAAGAGGTGAATAAGAGAAGAAAAATATGCAGAATGATCTATAGGTGAAAAAAAAGGCGCGCCCGTTGCGCTAACAGACATGCATATGTATCATCCCAAGGGAAAAGAAAAAACACAGCCGCTTGCGTTTTTGCTGAGAGGTTTAATGCATTTTTCAAGGAACCTTGGTAACAAAACAATCAAATAAACTCCGTCTCCATATCCCTCTCCTTCCCTTCCTGATTGATAACCTCTGACGCTTTTTACTTCTTTATTCTTCTCAGCCTGCTGTTTTTTCAATCCAAATGAAAAAAAAGTCCTCGGCAACGCATCGGCAGAGGAGGCAGAGGAGGCAGAGGAGGCAGAGGAGGCATGATCGCTCAATTACTTCCCTCGCCTTGTACTCCCCCTCCTCCTCCTCCTTCCTTCATTCTCGGCGCGCGCTTGACTGGATCGTACCCGGACTGGGTTTGAAATTAAGCATTATCACTCTCTTTCACACCATTACACAAAAGGGGGAGCCAAAAAGACTGGCCAAAGACCGTATCGAACAACACTCGTTTTTGCATTTATTTTTGACTCTTCCTTGCAGGCTTCGGCACCTCCGCGTACTTGTTTCCAAAATACCGATCTTACTAATTCCCCTAGTATCGCATATGTCATAGGCCCTCTTACAGTCTGATACAAAGAAGGGGGACAGCTTGCAATGCTCCTGACGATCCGGGATAGGATACTGGAGGGTTAGAGATGGCAGGCTCTGCGCTGTAGGCCAGTCGTAACAAAAGTTGGGGCGAGGATGACTCGAGAACTGAAGTCCTTGCATCTGGGTCCTGAAAGGTATGTGGTTTGTGCTGTTGTTTGCTGCTACTGCTGTGTGTGTGTGGGGGGGGGGGGGGGGGGGGGGCGTGAATGACGCCAATGGGTAAAGTATGAGATGGCTGCTGTTGTTGCTGTTTGTTACTGGGAGGGAGGGGGGGTATCCATAACTGTTGTGTCCATCTGGTCCATACGATTCCTTGTGAATCTGTGAAGCTTTGCTGAACAGTTCCTCCGTTGGATGACGTCTTCTTCCTTGATCGAAAAAAGGCATAACCACAGCACCTACAAAGACCCAACAGTGCCCGCTATGATCCCAATAACCCCCTCCCGCTCCTAATTCACCCCTCCTCCCCATCACCATTACTAGGCTTCTTAGGCTGAGGATCCTGCCCCGAACGACTCGGTAATCGTCAAGTTTGCCATGTCGACAATCACACCAGTCTGGGATCCGCCCAGAGGCAGAGGCCGTGCTGAATACTCGTACTGTAAGAAGGCAAATGGGGCTGCTCCGGGGAGGGGGGAGGGGGTTCCCGCCCATGGGGATAAAGAAGTTGGATCTCAGTAGTCTACCATAGGCGATGTTGACCCTTGGGGTGAAGGAAGTCGTGTTGGTGGATGTCTGTCCACTTGTCAATATTTCTGTATCTACCTATTTTTTTCGCGAGTATCACAAAGGGAGGTGAGCATACACTGATTTCGTACCACTTGCCGACAAGAATTCGAAGTCGAGCACGAACATCCATTTCATCAAGTATCATATTCACATCAGGCATACAAAGTAAAGCATGACACGAAAGGCATTGGTTATTATTTATTTTTTTTCAAGATTTTTCAGCGCCACGTCCGCGCGCAAGTTATCAAATTTTTTTGTAATGTTTGAAGATCATTAAATGTGTTTTAAAAAAAATAAAGAGTGGTGATGTTATTGACTAATAAGAAGAAGACTACGCTAGTGTGTGTGTGTGGAAAAGTATACATGTACCCATGTCAGGTCATAACAAAAGAAGAGGGGAGAGGAGGAAACCATCAAAAAGCAGGTTATTGACGACCGGCAGAGATCATGAACTCAACAACGGCCTCAACCTCACCTCCAAAGTCACGGACAACCGTCCGGAGCTCGGGGGTGTCAGCAAATCCCATGTTCGTCAACAGCTTGATCTCGTTCTTGAACTCGTCGTTGCTGGCGTTTAAAGCTAGTGGTGCTGCAGGGGTTGCAGGGGTTGAAGGAGCAGCTGAAGCGGCAGGGGTAGCAGGGGTGGCTGGCCAAATGCCGGCAAGACTTCCTCCTCCGATTGGTGCGGCAGTAGTAGCAAGGGCACGAGTTTCAAGGCGCTGTTGCTCTTGGGCACGTCTCTGCTCCTCCTGAACCTTGCGCTGCTCTTCTTGGATCTTGCGCTGCCCCTCCTGGACTTTGTACTGCTCCTCCTGGACTTGACGTTGTTCGACACGGGCCTGGCGCTGCTCGTGGAAGGTCTGGCGGCGCTTCAACTTTTCATCAGATCCAGTTTCGCCGTGGCCCTCTTCACCAGATTTGGATCCAGAGTGTCGGCGGTGGTGGCGGTGGTGATGGTCATGATGATGGTGAGCATGTGCGTTGCCGTGGTGCTCAGGGCCGTGGTGAATATGGGGTCCATGTCCGTAAGGACCGTGGGGGCCGTGTCCGTGGAGACCGCCATGGTGGGGACCGTGAGGGTGGAATGCAAAGGGGTGACCACCGCGAGAACCGCCGCGACCACGGAAGAAGGCAAATCCACCACGACCGCGACCTCCACGACCTCCACGTCTACCAATATCAGCGGGCCCCTGGGGGTCATCCTGTGTGGGCTCGGCCATCTCTTCGTCAGTCTCGACGTACAGAGGAGCAGGCTCGGGGTTCTCGGTATCGCCATTTTTACCACCGTCCCAGACCCAGCCGTACTTGGGACGAGACGATGATGATGAGGGATCGGCGTTAGGGTCGGCGCCAGTGGTCTCGTCAGGGAGCAAGGTCCAGCTCCAGCCGTTTCCAATCTCGGTCATCTGAGGTTGCTGTTGAGCTGAAGAGGACGACTCGCCTTGCTGTTTCTGAGTGGTGCCTGTCGCCTCATCGGACGATGAAGAGGATGCGTTCTTGCCTTTGTTTTTGGAGCAGGAACGACGCCTCTTCTCTGAAGACTCGGTGTCGCAGGCACTGGGGCGGTCACCTCTGAAACGGAAGCTGTTTCCTCTCCTGCAGCTGCCTGGGGCACCAGAGTGGAATGGGAATCCTCCGAAGAACGGCGAGGGCTTGGTGTTGGGGACAGAAGTGCCTTCCGAGGGGAACATACCAGGAACACCAGGCATAGGGGGCATGGGGGGCATGTGAGGCATAGCAGGCATAGTGGGGAAAAGAGAGCCAAAACTCCACTGATGTCCGGCTCCTCGACCGAAGCCACCACCACGGCCGCCACCGCGACCACCAAATCCACCGAAACCGCCACGGCCACCGCGATGATGGTGACCGTGATGGTGACCATGATGAGAGCGATCAGAGAAATCGCCAGCTTCGTTGTCATGGCATCCAGAGAAGGGGTCCTCGTATCCACGACGACCACCAAACCGACCTCGGTGGTGATGAGCAAAGAAAGGGTTCGACAGGAAAGGGTTATCAGATCCCGAGCTGCCGAAGGGGCACGAGCGAGTTGCGTCAGCAGCGGCCTCATGGGCACTGGCAGCAGCCTCTCCGGCAGAGGCTTGGGCGTTGCGGGCTGCCTCCTGGAGATAAGTGGCAAAGGACTCGACGTTGACCTGGACGTTGGACATGATCTTGTTCATGATGCTGCCAGAAATGGTTACTAGCTGAGGATTGTTCTGGATGACGTGCTGGAACTCCTGGATCAACATTTGGAACTGCTCGATCAAGGCACGGTCACCGTGAGGGACTGCGGGCTCGGTGATTTCAGGCTCTGCAGGGTCGGCATGAGCATCATTATCATCCTCGGATTCGCTGTGGGTCTGAACAGCAGCAGCAACATCATGGGCATGATGCTCAATAGCAGAGGCGACAATCGAGTCCATGACGTCGGCGGCAGAATCCATGCGAAGAGCCTCAAACTCTGCAACAGGGACCATCGCGGGGCTAGACGACTTTGAGGAGCGTCTGGAAGATGGCTTGTTGGTCGCCTCATCCTTGTTGGTTTCCTCGAGATCCATGGTGGTTTCGTGCAAAGTAACAGAGTCGGGAAAGAGAGGAGCTTGAAGCTTCTGGGCCTCGATCATTTCCTGCTGCTGGCGAAGTGTAGCCTCATAGAGATCCCCCTGAGGGTAGGCGATAGGCTGGTCCAAGGCAGACTCGGTCAATGTAGCGGTTTCCTGAGCCTCCTCGAATTCGATCAAGGATCCATCGTCACTGCTGTCGTCCGAAGCGACAGTGTTGGAGCGCTCACGCTGGGACTGGGGCTGGGGCTCGGCAGGTTGAATATTATTGTAGGGTTCAACAACATCAGCAGAGGTAGCAACAGTAGTGGTGCTGGGAGCAGGGAGATCCTGACCGGATCTGAGGAGGACATCGAATCTGACAGGTGCGATTTGGGTGAAGAGGGCGTGCATGGCGAGGACATCCTCGAGCTCGCTGTCGGTGTTGAGGGAGATGACATCGCCCTCCTCGTCCTTGTACTGGACGTCGATGGCAGCAGAGGCAGGCAAGCTGTAGACGTCGCGGAGCTAATGATTGAAAGAGTGTAGAAGAAGATGGAGATGAGGAAGCAATGGTTAGCAAGCTGTCATTCGTATGGAAGGAAGCATTGTACAACAAGCAAAAAAAACAAAGGCTAGCAAACGACAATTAAAAATTGGTGGCGCTATGGGTTTTGTGCCAAGCCAAGAATCGCAGTCACATAATCGCCTCTTGGCAATTACTCGAGCCGATAGCAACGCACGCAACGTGGCGAGGAAGAGTGGGGACGATATATACCTTGTGCTCAAAGTCGGACCAGACGGCAGGGCGGGAAATCAGGAATCGGCGGAGGGCCCCGTTGAAGTTTACTTTGCAGGGGCTGAGGTTCTGGGAGTCGGCCATAGTGGAGGAAGATAAAGGTCGTGAAAAGAGGGGCGCCGTGAGGGAGGGAAGCGAGCGTAGGAAGCGAGTTGAGAGTGAGTGAGGGGTGGAAGGAGGGAGAAAGAGAGAGCAGAAGAAGAGTTTATAGTAGTTTCGCGGTTTGAAGCGTAGATAGAGCGGGCGAGAGAGAGAGAGAGAGAGAGAGAGAGAGAGAGAGAGAGGTGAAGGTTGAAAGGGAAGAAGGAGTTGGTGAGAAAAAAAAAAAAAGGCGGCCCTTGGCCCTCCTTTATATGATTTTCGTTCTTGGCATCACTAAACAGTCACGCCAAGGATTTCGTCTTCACTGGGTACGAAACCCCAAAATGTCGCCTTGGCCAAGAGAGAAAGAGCACCTGTCTTGTCTCCATTTGGTAAAAGAGCTACATGGTGCTTCTTCCAGTGTCGAAGTATCATTTCATTTCCTAACTGCAACGCCATCCTTAAGAGCTTGGCCTTCCAAAGGCTTCTTTATTGATCTTCACGGCTACGTATCAAAAACAACTGATGAACAACAACGACTATCTGCGTCCCCAGAAAAGATGTCTCTCTCTCTCTCTCTCAGACTCGGCTCGCCGTCGCTCAAGAATAAAAACACATTCTACAAAACAACAAAAACAGACTGCACAAAAGCTGCAAGCAAAGTGTGCTTGGCGAAGGATCAAAACGCACACCACCACAGCCTCTCTCCTCTCCTCCAGGTCGGATAAACTGTAGGCCCTCTTCCTCTGCTCAATGAGGGGCAGTTTGACAGACTGGGTAGATGGTGATGGTGATGATAAGAAAGAAAAAAAAGGTTCTCGAATGCTGTGAAACACAAATGATCTTGGCATCCTCCAACTCACAAAACAAGTAAAAAACGAAAACCAACTGGGTTTGATTCATCAAAACTACCACGCCTCCCTCCTTCCATCAGTGGAGTTATTGTTTCCCCTTCTTTGCCTTGGCCAGGGGAGGGAACGAAAGGGTACTCGTTGGTTGAACCTATCACAGATTGTGTTGTTGTGTCGGGGTGTAAGGTGTTGTAGCTGGTAAGGTGCTCATGTTGTCCATCTGTCATCGTCGGTACGCCAAGGAATTGAATAGCTTGGTTGCTTGGTCCGCCTACAAAGAAAGAAAGAAGGTTCAACACCAGCGTCAACATCGATGACAAAAAAGGGAGTTTTCATAGGAGTACCGTTGAGGTTGGCAGGTCTGTCAAGCTGTCAAAAAATGAGGCAATTTATCCTAGCCAATCACAAAAATCCCTCAAGTTGACAAGCTCACTCCTCACCCCCTTTTTCCCTCTCTTGCATACATGCATGGATGTTGTTGTTGTTGCCAATGTGTTTGATTGCTTACTTTGAGTTGATGATAGCGTTCAGAGTGAGCCCTTGTAGCAGCCAGTTCGGGCTTTTGACCATATCTAGATCGATTGATTGAATATTGTTATTATTGACAACAAAACAAAGCGAAACATAGACTGAATACATGCCCGCCTTTCAACAAAGACAATTACACGAGCACCCCTTTGTGATTGCGTGTTCCATGTAGAAAAGAAAGCAATCAATAGAACACTTACAGTTCCTCCATGACCTCGTCGGTCTGGACAAAGTCTTGAATCTTCTTTTGGACGAGATGGGCGCACCGCAGCGAATACTTTTTTCCGCCTCGTCGGGGACCTCTCTCCCGAACTGCCTCTCCCCCCACTACACCGTTGCCATGGCTATTCCCGTTTGCGCCTCCGCCAGCAATGTTCACGTTCTGGAGCTTGATGCTGATTGATTCGTCTGTACTAGTATCATCCTGCTTTTGAGAAGGCGCGGCACCATTCTTCTTGTGTGTCGATTTGTCTATCCCGGGTGAATTGATCGAGGTAATGCCCAACGCCTCACACACTCCCAAGTATCCTGCTAACCACTGCTGCGACGAAGGGACCTAAACAAATCATCATTTTGGAAGAACAACCGTTAGTGTTTTGAATGTTTTATTCCATTGGTCCAGTCTCCCTTACCTTCAATAAAGAAATGCCAAGACATTTATTTTTGCGTTTGTGTTTCCGCGCATTTTCAGGCATAGAACCTACCTCGACAGCTCCAATATGTCGCCTTCCTATGATATTTCCATATCCTCCTGGGTTCGTCACGCTTTTCAACCATCCATCTACAAACTGCCTGAGAAACGGTCCAGAATAATCCAGATAAAGACTGCCAAGCGACAACTGTGAAGTGCCCTCGGCCGCTGATCTACCCCCAGCTCCTGTGGTTCCTGACAGAGGCTGGTCTCTAGCCTGGACGACTGCATCATAGATCTCCCGCAAGGTGGGATTTCCGAGAGCGCGGTTGCTCTCGTCTGCCGTGGGGCGAGCGGCTGCCTTCTCTCGTTGTGACTTGTTGGGCTGAAACTTGGCATTCGACCCCTGCTTCTTGGACGACTGAGATCCGCCAGTAGTAGTCATCAACCTCTGTCGCAAGACAGCAGCTGCAGGGTCCAATGTTTCGTTCCCATTGTCGTCTGAATAGTCCAGCAATGCTTCGGGTAGCTCCAATTTTCCAATGAAATGGGGGATGACGTGTACAAAAGGGGTTGATGATGGGCTTGGCAAAACAAAAAGCTGACGCCTAGAGTCGAAAAACACATATGTAAGATGCGGCGTTAGTCGTCCGGGTTATTAACGGTCTTTCTTGAGGTTTCTCGCCGCGAATCCTAGACGTACCCGTCAAATGCTCCTGCAGAAGAATCCATGCTTTGGACGAGTCGACATGCCCTGAACAGATATCTCAGCCTAGTCTGCATGGCATCCACTGATTTCTTGAGTAGGTGAATTTTCAATTGCTACTTTGTGGAATGTTCAAAGGAACGCCTCAAGGTTAATTGGTTGTTGGTGTAGAGGTTGGGAACATATGGATGCAGCTCAGTGTCGGAGAAACCCACCTCGACAATCTGGTTTTCGCTTGCTCCAGCCTCGTGCCAGGGTGCGACGATAGGCACCCTCTCGATCACAAAGATCAACACAGGGACACATCGTCCTGGCGTCAAAATATTAGCCAAGGGGTTTGATCCACGACCACCACCACCACCATTGTCAGATTGACTGCGTTCGTGGTCTGGAGGTGGCACGCCAATTCGATCCCAACAAATCGCCATAAACCGGTCTAGTTCCTGCAACATCTGTCGCTTGATCGTTGAAAGTGCCGACAGTATTGATATCATTCGTGGATCCAAGTTCATATCTGGTGAAGTAAGCTGGACAATTCATAAGCTGTAGTCAGTAATAAGCTAAAACAACTCTTGGTCATTACAATGCGAAAAAGTTGCTGGTGTGGGACATACCACGGCGACGTGAGAAACGAGAAACAAGAACAATAATGCTCGGTGACTCTCGTATTCCTGGTCGTGCATCCACTTCATCAGAGATGTTCTCTAGTAAGTGAAGGTAGCCGAAAAAAATAGCGAATGTTGTTAGGTAGCGTGTCAATTGAAAAGCACTTGGCTGTTTCAAGTCTGACATCCACTTGACATACATCCTTGGTAACGGCGTCGGCAGATTCCTGACAAGCGGATAGCATCTCCTGGGTGTCAAAGAGATATGCGTGTTGGAGCATAAGTGTGTTCTTTGCTCTGTCCACGAACAAGTGAATATCGCCTGTCTATCGTGTGGTTTTGGATCGAAAGTAACCTTAGCATTAGCTACCTTGACAAATGTGTAACGCCTCTCTCAGTATACTGCGCAAATGAAACAAGTCTGCGTAGCATTATGAGTTACCGTTTTCTGGTCACCAAGCCCTAGAGTCCAACCTCCATTATGAACTCCTGGTCCTTGTTCTTGTTTTGGTTGGTTCTCTGGCGTGTCACGGCATCCGTCATAATAAACTGGCATCCGCTCGTCATCTTCGAAGGATCCAATGCAGGACGATGTCTCGTAGGTACCGTCCTTCCTCCTGACAGCAGGCGTGACGCGTTCAAACATGGAGAGATCTCTGCAGTGTCCAAAGAATCCGACAACATGGACCGGCAGTCCAGGTGTGAGTCCAAGAGCCGTAATCCAATCTAGGGCGTGAGGCATAGGTCCAGGTCGGTGAGGGGAAAACAAAAAAGTATCAGCCTCATTGCTCAGAAAGTAAGGAATATGAGCAGCAAATCGACGAGACTCTGTAGGCTTACTGTCAAGATCTTCCTTCATGGACTGGTTGATAATCCCGTCGCCCATGCCCATGGGTGCAGCAGCCGCGTTAGCGCCACCGATTGTTGCTCTGTCAGTGCTGGACTTGGTAGTGCTGTTACCATTAGAACTTGCGGTGGTGCGTAAGTTGTTGTTGTGTCCATGGGATGCTGGGCGGGTATGGAGGGGGTGTTGATTTGTCGATTGCTGCTCTGATGGGGCTGCTAGAGAGGCTGCACGGAAGTTGGTTCCGGTGGATGAGAGCTCTGTGTCTCCATATGAATCAGCCAGTCGATTGCGCGCAGGCGAGGCTAAGGTGGATGCAGTTCTTGATGTTGTTGAAGTATTAGAGTGATCTCGTTGGTGTTGTTGTCGGGTGGTCGACTCCTGGTGCGGCGGTGGCTGCATGTGCACGTTTTTGTCAAGAGAATAATCCAAAGGAAAAGAGGGAAGAGCGGCGTCGGCAAGTGTCGGCAAGGGAGCGTTCCGTGGGACGGATCAACAAAAGGGATTCCCCCCTTGGCTTGTCCAGACAGACTGTGACCAGCAGACTTGTCGTGTTGAAAATATGAGCTTTTTCAAGAGGGGACTAGGCGTGGGTGTGAATTAGCATCGCCCTTAATAGACCTTTAGGGAACCTTAAGAAACATTAGCCAATCGGCACTCGTCCAGTCAGCCTCGATCTTCCCTTGCCTGCCATTGGTGTGTGGCATACGATGGTGTGCGTGTGCTTCTCTCTTGGGCAATCATGTCCTTCTGTTTGTTCTTTTTCTTTACTTCTTCTTTGTCCCTCCTGTCCCTTGTCTGTTGGATGTTGCAACTGTAATACTTTAGGGTTGAGAGCACTTTCTCAACAAATCTTGCACGCCTTTGTGCCTGGCTGGCTGGCTGATCATCCTCTTCTTCTCAGCTGGTTGTGGCTGCACACACACACACACACACACACACACACACACAGAGGAGAGGATGTGGGCTCGTCCAATTGAACGAGGACATGAAAGGACCACCCATTGAGAGCAACAGCAACAAGAAACAGAGAGAGTGTGTTTGTGTGAAAGGAAACCCAAGGAAAGAAAGAAAAGAAAAAAGTCGTGTGTGTGTGTGTGTGTGTGTGTGTGTGTGAATTTCATCCGTGAGAAGTCTACTTCTTCCTCTTCCTTCTTTCCCTTCCCTTCCCTTCCTTCTTTCTTCTTTGTACCTCGTCGACCTTCCTCACCTTCCCTCCTTCCCCTTCCTCGCCTTCACTTCACACACACATCCCGTAATGTTTGTCCGTGGAATCCTCTCCGCTGCTCTGGCCATCGCCGCATGCTCATCCACCTTCCACACTGCCGAGGCATCCGCTGCCTCCAAGAGTCTCACAGCCGCAGACTTTGACGCCGCCATCGCAACCGGCGCAACGTAAGTCGTTAATCCCGCCACCGCTCACCGTTTTTATTTCTCATCTCCGAAAAGGCGTCGATTCTTCTTTGGCCATCCACCTTGCAGATTCTAACCACAAGCCCGACTTTATTCTTCTGCTTATTTTGCAGCTTCGTCAAGTACTACTCCCCTGAGTGCGTTCACAGCCAGAAGCTCGGTAATTTTAATCACTTCAGTTCCTGAACAAGCATACACCGCGGAAAAGCCAGCAAGCAACGGTTAACTGACATTATCACCCCTGTCCGGCTTTTCATGGAAATAGAATCAACATGGGAAAGACTTGCAGTGGAGCACAAGGACTGGCAGCGCACGGTTGGATTCAAGTTTGCCGAAGTCGACTGCGTGGCTCAGGCTGACTTGTGCGAGGACAACGAAGTCGTCTCCTACCCTACCATGAAGCTGTACGTTCCATCTACATGTTTCACCACCGACTTTGATGCGAATATTTCATTTATTTACTTGGTCAAAAACTTGTAAACTAACTCCTGGCGTCAATGCCATGGATCATCTTTCAAACAGTTACCACAGGGGCGAGCAGGTCGCAAAGTACTCAAAGTCGAGATCATACAATGCCCTGGATGACTTTGCCAGTGCCATGGCTTCAGAGTACATTGAGGTGGCCAAGGATGTCAAGCTCGAGGAACTCCCCGAGATCAGAGTGAACGCACTTGGCAAGGTCATCAACTTGAACGCCGAGACCTACGCCAGCAGAACCCCCTTTGGCCCATGGTTGATTGAATACTATGCTCCATGGTGCGGACACTGCAAGGCTTTGGCCCCCGTCTGGGACGAGCTCGCTGAGCACTTGAAGGACAAGGTCAACGTCGCCAAGGTCGACTGTACAGTCAACCAGGAGATCTGCCACCGCCAGAGGATCCGTGGCTACCCCACCATCAAGCTCCACCAGTTTGGAGAGACTATCGAGTACAGTGGCTTCCGGTCAGGCCCCGCCTTTGCCGAGTTTGCCCTCGAGGCCATCGTGTAAGTTGCTGAATCTCTTTTCATTTGCTACATTATGCACACGCTTCCAAGGGAACGCAGACTAACAAGGTATGTTGTCCAATTGAACACATAGTCCTTCGATCAAGCCAGTTACCTTGGAGGTCCTTAACGACATCAAGGGCTCAAAGGATGTCACTTACATCTATACCCACGACGACAACACCAGCGCCGAGGTCAACGCTCTGATCGACCGTCAGTCTCAGATCTTTTACAGACAGATCGGCTTGTACGGATCAAACGACCCCACAGTCGCCAAGAGCCTCGGTGTTTCGACCCCCTCTTTGACCGTCTTGAAGGATAACCGCCAATTCACATACGAAGGATCTCTGACCGACAGTAACGCCGTGAAGACCTGGATCAAGGAGGTCCAGCAACCCCTCGTCCTCACCCTCAACGGCGCCAACGTCGGCTCATTCCTCCAGACCAAGGGCTGGATTGCCCTCGGCCTCTTTGACCCCAGCAAAGCCGACACTGCTGCTGCCCGCAAGGAGTTGATCGAGACTGCCCACGCATACCACAAGGCCAATGCCGAGTCCAACGCCCAGCACGATATCTTGGGCAACGCCCTCAACTTTGCCATCTTGGACGCCAAGGAGTGGCAGTCCTATGTTCGCGGCGCCTATGGCTTGGAAACCGATGCCCTCCCTGCTGTGTTTATTGTCAACGGAGTTCAGGAGTTGTATTACGCCCATGGATTCGATGGTCGCCGTGTCTCCGTCGACAAGGACGCCCTCCTTGCCCACATTGCCGATATCGAGTCTGGTCTCTTATCGCCCAAGTCCCAAGTCGGAACCGTGCAGAAGGTCTTCCGTGAATTCCAGAGCCGGACAAAGCCCTTTGTCCGCTTCTACCACCAGCACCCCACCATTGCCATTGCCATTGCTGGAGCCATGGTTCTTGGAATGATGAGACGTTTGGCCCCCAAAGAGGATCCCAATGCCAAGAAGGAGGATGAGAAGGAGGGCAAGGAGGTCAAGCAGGATTAGAGCAAAGCAGCCACACTTTATGTATATTTTTCACCTATCATCATACTATTAAACCCATCCTAATTATCTTTTGAACATTTGGCATTCGCTCTGAATTTTTCTGTTTGAGATTTTTTTTCTTCCTCTTTTTGCATTTGAGAGTCCACTTTGGTCCTTGTTTACATATGATGACAACGACCACAACGACGGTGCATTCATGATATTCCACTCACTCGTCATATTACATCTTGACCACCGACCCTAGCCAAGACATGATTGTTCCAATTCTGTCATTAGCAAAGTAGCAGTTTCCATGCTTATTTCATTCCCCGTTACGTCTTGTCGATGTTTCTTGTGCAGCTCAGGAATAGAAACTCGGGTGGATCAGGAACCAAAAATCGACTACAATGGTTGGAAATCTCGGTAAAAGGAGCACAGCACACAGAGGTAAGAGGTTATGAAACTCACGACAAAACAAACCTGGACGTGGCAAACAGCCCCCATATCTTCGTTGGTTGTCAGGGGGGAATGGTGCGTACCTTGGTGGACTTGGCTCTCATATCCTGGTATGTGTTAACAGCGTAACTCGTATGTGGTATATTTTTGAGTAGAAGACAACAATAGAACGTCCAGGGACCAACAGTAGGACGCTCAAGGGCCAACATAGCACTGTTCATTCCATTCCTTACTCCTTCAATTGCAGAAACTTAACAACAGCAGCCACAAATCTATGATCCATTCTTACTTTGCTATCCAAATGATCCAACCCCCATCATCAAGCAGCTCAAAAAAAAATTCCTCCCTCCTCTCCCAATGACAGGCGGTGACCCCTACAAACAAATACATTACCCACTTTCACGATTCCAATACCTTGGCGGCCACCTCCCTGGTCAGGCATCCCCTTTGTCGTAATATCTATGACTGATGGTCTCTACTCGATTACCCTCTCCGGCGCCGTTGATCATGGCCAATGAGAGGGTGATCACTTGGCCAAGGGTTACCATGAACCGAGTTCACCGAATCTCAGGGATAGTAGGTCGGTGGCGGGTGTGGTTTCGGAGTGGTTGTAGTGGGGGCCTTTTTGTTGTAAGGAGGGAGGATAGCAATGATATTGAGATGACCGCTCTGAACATAAAGAACTCGCGTTTTTTCCTTCGCTTCGTTTTTTTTTTGTACCTTTCCGGTTCGATGCATATTGATATGAGCTTTACAGTAAATTGGGTTGTCAACAACGGAAGGCTATTGTTTAGTTTTCAACACCCCGCATGAAAAAGCATAAATCAGCCTCATTGTATCCAAAGCATAAGGATAGAAGTTAAATGGTTGCTCACATGCAGGAGCGGGGCGCGGGGGTTTTTTTCACGAAGGAGGGGGGGGCGCGGGGTTGGTCGTCCGTCGTCGCTTTTACTTTTACTGGGAACGGATCATATCAATATCATGCGATAGAAAAGCTCACGATGAAAACGATGAATAGAAAGTCGACAAATAAAAGCCAAATCGTTCAGGCACAAAAACCCCCTTTCCATCTTTTTCTTGCCGTTCTTTTCTTCTCTCTCCTCTTTTTTTTCTCTTTCAGTTCACAAAACGCACTCGCCTCACACCACCAAACACACATTCCAGTAAACCATCCACATCGTTAATATATATGGAGGCCAACCTCGAGCTAGACTGTGTCGCCACTCAACAGGATACAGGAACCATCTACGGAATTGCAACCGCATCCGGAAATGACAACAATGGCATCTACGGTACATACGTCGTCCTCGTCAAATCAAACGCCAGCCCCACCGATCTCATATCCCTCAAATGGTCCGTCGTCTCCACAACCCCAGCTCACGACTTGTCATACGTCTACCCAAAATTTGCCACCGTCGACTGTGCAGTCTCCAGCAAAGGAGAATTTATTGCCTTGTTCCCCAACTTTAAGTTGCTCACGACAAAGACACAGACCATACCTATGGGTGTTCGATATGACCCTGTCTCTAACAGCTGGTCAGATAATCGAGGATTACCATTGTATGGGTGGAACTCAGAACCCTGGCATCAATTGTTCTATACCACGGGAAATGGTGTCGAGTCGCTGGTGCATCTGGTGACGGATCATGTTGGAACGGTTGTCAGGTTTGGAACTGTCGATACTGCCACCAACATGCTTCAACTTGCCGACATCTGGAAATATGTAGGTTATTATTTCCAAATATCTCCGGTACGCCACGCATCAAGGCGTCCTTGCCCACAATGACCTGTGCACGCTGTTTACTCACACTACAAGATTATCCTGCTCGATACTTTTAGAATTACAACGAAAAGGAATATTCATCGGGGAGTTTCAGCGACGCATTTGAATCGTCCTCAGAAAATCAGCGTTTGACTAAAAATGGATTTTTTTGGCAATGGGGATACTCCGCCCAGCGTCTGTTCACCCCAGGACCCAATCAGCTCTATATCAACCCCAGCTGGGAAGACACAATCAAATCCTTCCCCTTGGCCTCGGCAGTAACAGCATCCCATACCGGCACTTCAACGTACTCGGAGCAAGCCTCATTTGAAACCAGCAGGTTTTTCTCAGGGACCCGAGGAAACCTGACGACTTTTGTGGCCGCCATGGGTTATTTCAATGGGGTAAGTAGATATATGCCTGTCACTTGAGGCTGCTTGTTTTATTTGTTGTTCTTTTTCGTCCTTATTTTGCTTCTTGCGCAAACTAAATATTTATGTTCACTCTCCTATTCTTTTTTTGTGATATTTTTTGGAATATTTATAGACATCAATCTACACGATCGAAAAGGATGCCAATGGGTCATAGTCCCAACCCTCCATCCACAATTTGACAGGCGCCAACTCATGGGGAAACGATGAAGTCCACCAAAACATGATCACAGCAGGTGGGCGGCTGCCAGGACAGGAACCGTTTGCTGTCGCCGTATCGACATATGGTCTCTACGAGCTCCAGCTCTTTGGTCCATCTGCAGGAAACCTCTCAGGACCGATAAGTGTCACCGTCCCTTCCTCTTCTTTGCACTCTTTCCGCCCTCCACTAGCTACACCCAAGTATCTTGTGAGGTTAACGGGCATTGAGAAGGTTCTAATGGTGCTAGGTGTGTTTGTTGTGGTGGTGCTCGTTTGGCGGCGGAAGAAGATAAGGGATCAGCGAAAGGAGGAGGAGGAGGAGAAAGCGAAGGCGGCAGCCATGGAGAGTGGTGGTAGTGGTGGAGAGGCGTATATGATGGGAGTAGTTCCTGAAACCCAGACGACGCCCGAGGTTGCAATCAATGTCACCACAAGTGACAATTTTCAAAGGGGTGGTTCTCCGTCTACTTTGGCACCCCTTCCTGCTGCAGGATCACCACAACCGAGCCTCGCTTATACATACCAGGATGATATCCAGGAGTTGGAGTTCTCGCGTCACCCTCGACCCAATATTGTTACATCTGTCGCCGACCCATGAAGGAAGAGGATTGAAACACCTGTTCCAGAAAAAACAAAATACTACTCTCTACTATAATTTTTACCCTTTTCCTGATCTTTTTTACATCGACCCATTGATAATGACGAGCGAGCCTTGACTGGTAACGTGAACAACATAATGAAGAGAGAGCGGAAGAGTGGAGGAAGGAAAAGAGAAAAGAGAAAAGAAAAAAAGACCCCCATTTTTTCTGCGGCTCCGCCGATAACTTTCACGCCACAATTACATGTATAAAAAATAATCACATATATTTCCTCACTGACAACCTTTTCTTACCCTGCAAACCAAAACGCAATAAGCATCCACATGCAACGAAAACTTATACTAGACACTGTATAGCATCCTCACAAACTCAACAACCTACCTTTACATCGCAGAACGCGAGAGTGGGTATGTTAATTGGAGTAGCAGCAGACTGGCGATCTATCCTTTTGCGACGAAAGATATGTTTTTACCTTTGTTGGTTGTCAGGGGAATGGCACATGCCATGGTAGACATGATTCTCATACCGTGGATATATGTCAACAGCGTAACTCGCGTGTAGTAGAAATCTCTTGATGCTTCTTATGCCACCGCGAACATAAAGAACTCGCATTCCTCACTTCGTTTAGGCTTTTTTCTTTGTACCCTTCGATTTTTTTTCCCCATGGCTTGTCGATGTGATATCCCTATGCGCCATGGTTCAATGCTTATTAATACGAAATTTCTTGTGTAAGTTGGGCTGTTGGAAAGATAAATAAAAGAGGGCTGTTGTTTGGTTTTCAACACCCCCGCATGAACAAGCATAAATGGGTCTCAATGTATCCAAGGTATGAGGATAGAAGTTGATGGTTTGCTGCTTCTTACTCACACTAGCAACACATGCAGAAGCGGGGCCCGGGGGGGGGGGGGGGTTGTTACGTTGCCGTTCTTGCAAGGATGAGAGAAGGATGGGGATGGATTTGCTCTTATCTTTACCGGGGAATGGATCAAATCATTCGAGAGAAGAGCCCACGACGGAAACGATGAATGGAAGTCGACAAATAAAAGCCAAATCGTTCAGGCACAAAAACCCCCTTTCCACCTTTTTCTTGCCGTTCTTTTCTTCTCTCTCCCCTTTTTTTTCTCTTTCAGTTCACAAAACGCACTCGCCTCACACCACCAAACACACATTCCAGTAAACCATCCACATCGTTAATATATATGGAGGCCAACCTCGAGCTAGACTGTGTCGCCACTCAACAGGATACAGGAACCATCTACGGAATTGCAACCGCATCCGGAAATGACAACAATGGCATCTACGGTACATACGTCGTCCTCGTCAAATCAAACGCCAGCCCCACCGATCTCATATCCCTCAAATGGTCCATCGTCTCCACAACCCCAGCTCTCGACTTGTCATACGTCTACCCAAAATTTGCCACCGTCGACTGTGCAGTCTCCAGTAAAGGAGAATTTATCGCCTTGTTCCCCAACTTTGAGTTGCCCACGACAAAGACACCGACCATACCTATGGGTGTTCGATATGACCCTGTCTCTAACAGCTGGTCAGGTATTCGAGGTTCGCCATTGTATGGGTGGAGCTCGCGACCCTGGCATCAATTGTTCTATACCACGGGAAATGGTGTCGAGTCGCTGGTGCATCTGATGGCGGATGAGGTTGGAACGGTTGTCAGGTTTGGAACTGTCGATACTACCACCAACATGCTTCAACTTGCCGACATCTGGAAACTTGTATGTCTTTTCAAATGTCTCCGGTATGCCACACATCAAAATCTCCTTGTCACTTGACCTGTGCATGCTGTTTACTCATACTACAAGATCACCATGATCGATACTTCTAGAATTACGGCGAAAAGGAATATTCATCGGGGAGTTTCAGCGACGCATTTGAAACGGCCTCACACAATGAGGGTTTGCCTAGAAATGGGTTCTTTCGGCACTGGGGATACACTGACCAGCGTATGTTCGCCCCAGGACCCAATCAACTCCATGTCAGTCTCGATTTGGAAGATACAATCAAATCCTTTCCCTTGACCTCGGCAGTAACAGCATCCTATACCAGCTCTTCAATCTTCTTGGACCACGCCACGTTTCAAATCAACAGGTTTTTCTCAGGGGCCCGAGGAAACCTGACGACTTTTGTGGCCGCCATGGGTTATTTCAATGGGGTAAGTGGATATCTGCCTGTCACCTGAGGCTGCTTGTTTTATTTGCAGTTTTTTTTTTTTTTTTTTTTTCCTTATTTGCGTGTTGCTCATAGTGTTCGCTCTCCTATTTTTATAGACATCAATGTACACGATCGAAAGGGATTCCAATGGGACATGGTCCCAAACCTCCATCCACAATATGACAGGGGTCGACACCAAGGGAGACTTTGAAGTCCATCAGAACATGATCACAGCAGGTGGACGACTGCCAGGACAGGAACTCTTTGCTGTCGCCGTATCGACAAATGGTCTCTACGAGCTTCAGCTCTTTGGTCCATCTGCAGGAAACCTCTCAGGACCGATAGGTGTCACCGTCCCTTCCTCTTCTTTGTACTCTTTCCGCCCTCCACCAGCTACACCCAAGTCTCCTGTGAGGCTAACGGGCACTGAGGAGTTTGGAGTGATAATGGGTGTGTTTGTTTTTGCGGTATTGTTCATTTGGCGGTGGAAGAAGACGAGGAATCAGCGAAAGAAGGAGAAGGAGAAGGCGAAGGTGGCAACCATGGAAGGTGGTGGTGGTGGTGGTAGTGGAGAGGCGTATATGATGGGAATATTTCCTGAAACCCAGACGACGCCAGAGGCTGCGATCAATATCACCACAAGTGACAATTCTCAAAGGGGTGGTTCTCCGTCTGCTTCCGCACCTCCTCCTCCTGCTACAGGATCACCACAACCGACGAGCGCCGCTTATACATACCAAGATGAGATCCGGGAGTTGGAGTTCTCACGTCACCCTCGACCCAATATTGTTACATCTGTAGGCAACACATGAAGGGAAAAGCATTGAAGCACCCGTTCCAGGAAACAAGATACCACTCTCTACTAAAAGTTTATCCTTTTCCAGATCTTTTGTACATCGACCCATTGATAATGACGAGCGAGCCTTGACCGGTAACGTGAACAATAGAATGAAGAGAGAGCGGAAGAGCGGAGGAAGGAGCAGAGAAAAGAGAAAAAGAAAAAAAAAAGAAGCTCATTTCTTCTGTGACGCCGCCGATAATCACATACATTTCTTCACTGGCAGCCTTTTGTTATCCTGCAATCAAAATACAATGAGCACCCAAATGCAAACTGATACCTTTATATCACAGAACGCAAAAGCGGGTACGCTAATTGGAGTAACAGCACACTGACAATCTATCCTTTTGCGAAGAGGGATATGTGGTTGCATTCGTTGGTTGTCAGGGGAATGGCACGTGCCTTGGTAGACATGACTCATGCCGTGGGTATATGTCAACAGCGTAATTCGTGTGTGGCATATTTTTGAGTAGAAGGACGAGCACAGCGCTTTTAATTCAATGCACTCCTTCAATTGCAAAATCATACAGCCCAGAAACACATCTATGATTCTTATTTTCCTATCCAAATTATCCAAATTCTATCTTCAAGCAGCTCAAAAAATCCCTCCCCCATCTCCGAATGACAGGTACTCACCCCTGCAAACGAATACTTCATCCATTTTCACGGTTCCAATCCCTAGGCTGCCACCTCTCCCTGGTCAGGCACCCCTTTGCCGCTATCTCTATGACTGATGGTCTCTACTCCGTTACCTTCTCCGGTGCCGGCGCCAGTGGCGCTACTGCGATTAGTGTTGACTTGACAGAGCCCGTTGAGGCGTTGCTCATGGCCAACGAGGAGAGTGAGCATTTTGCCAAAGGTGTACCATGAACCGAGTTCGCCGAATCTCAGGGATGGTAGTTCGGTGGCAGGTGTGATTGTTGGTGTGGCTGCAGTGGTTGTGATAGGGATGGGGGGTATTTCTGCCCCTTCTGAGGTGAGGAGGGATGATGGTGATGATGTTGAGAGGGTCGCCCAGTAGAAAGCTGTTGATTTTTCTTAAGCCATCGCGCACATAACGAAGTCGCGTTCCTCACTTCGTTCAGTTTTTTTTTGTATCCTTCGATTTTTTGACCATGGCTCATCGCCATGGTTCGACTCTTATAAGTGTGAACTTAATGTGTAAGTTGGGCTGTTGGAAAAGAAGAAAATAAAGGGAGGCTGTCTTTTGGTTTTCAACACCCGCACGAAAAAGCATAATAAATGGATCTCAATGTATCCAAGGTATGAGGATAAAAGTTGATGGGTTGCTGTTTCTTGCTCACATGCAGAAGCTGGGCGCTAGGATTCTTTTCACGAAGGGGGGAGGCCGTCGCTCTTACTTTTACCAGGGAGAAGAAATGTATATTAACCAGTTTGTTCAGGCACAGAAGTCTAAAATCTTTTCCTTCCTTTCTTTTTTTCTCTCCTCCTTTTTTTCTCTTTCAGTTCACAAAACGCACTTGCCTCACACCACCAAACACACATTCCAGGAAATCGCCCACATCGTTAATACATATGGAGGCCGACCTCGAGCTAGACTGTGTCGCCACTCAACAGGATACAGGAACCATCTACGGAATTGCAACCGCCTCCGGAAATGACAGCAATGGCATCTACGATACATACGTCGTTCTCATCAAATCAAACGCCAGTCCTGCCAACCTCAAATCCCTCAAATGGTCCATCGTCTCCACAACCCCAGCTCTCGACTTGTCATACTTCTACCCAAAATTTCCTACCGTCGACTGTGCAGTCTCCAGTAAAGGAGAATTTATTGCCTTGTTCCCCAACTTTGAGTTGCCCACGACAAAGACACCGACCATACCTATGGGTGTTCGATATGACCCTGTCTCTAACAGCTGGTCAGATATTCGAGGATTACCATTGTATGGGTGGAACTCGGAAACCCAGCATCAGTTGTTCTATACCACGGGAAATGGTGTCGAGTCGCTGGTGCATCTGGTGACGGATGAGTTTGGAGCGGTTGTCAGGCTTGGAACTGTCGATACTGCCACCAACATGCTTCAACTTGCCAACATCTGGAAATATGTAGGTTATTTGTTTTTCAAATGTCTTCGGTATGCCACGCATCAAAACCTCGTTGCCACAATGACCTGTGCACGCTGTTTACTCACACTACAAGATCATCCTGCTCGATACTTTTAGAATTTCAATGAAAAGGAATATTCATCCGGGAGTTTCAGCGACACATTTGAAATATACTCACACTATGATGGCTTGCCTAGAAATGGGTTCTTTCTGCACCTGGGATACTCTAGCCAGCGTCTGTTCACCTCAGGACCCAATCAGCTCTATACCCATATCGACCAGGAAGACACAATCAAATCCTTCCCCTTGGCCTCGGCAGTAACAGCATCCTATACCAGCACTTTAGCCTTCCCGGAGCACGCCACGTTTCAAACCAACAGGTTTTTCTCAGGGACCCGAGGAAACCTGACGACTTTTGTGGCCGCCATGGGTATTCTCGATGAGGTAAGTGGAGATATGCCTGTCACTTGAGGCTTGTTATATTATTATTATTATTATTATTATTATTTTTGTCTTTATTTTGCTTGTTGCGCATACTAAATATATATGTTCGCTCTCCTATTTTTTTTGAAATACTTATAGGAATCAATCTACACCATCGAAAGGGATTCCAATGGGTCATGGTCCCAAACCACCACCCACAATATAACAGGCGTCGACACCGATGGAGAATTTCAAGTCCACCAAAACATGATCACAGCAGGTGGACGACTGCCAGGACAGGAACCGTTTGCTGTCGCCGTATCGACAAATGGTCTCTACGAGCTTCAGCTCTTTGGTCCATCTGCAGGAAACCTCTCAGGACCGATAGGTGTCACCGTCCCTTCCTCTTCTCTGTACTCTGCCCGCCTTCCACCAGCTATACCCAAATCTCCTGGGCTGACGCGCGCTGAGGAGTTTGGAGTGATAGTGGGTGCGTTTGTTGTTGCGGTATTTTTCGTTTGGGGGTGGAAAAAGATGAGGAATCAGCGGAAGAAGGAGAAGGAGAAGGCGAAGGCGGCAACCATGGAAGGTGGTGGTGGTGGTGGTGGAGAGGCGTATATGATGGGAGTAGTTCCTGAAACCCACACGGCGCCCGAGGTTGCGATCAATATTACCACAAGTGACAATTCTCAAAGGGGTGGTTCTCCGTCTGCTTCCGCACCTCCTCCTTCTGCTACAGGATCACCACAACCGAGCCCCGCTTATACATACCAGGATGAGGTCCAGGAATTAGAGTTCTCCCGTCACCCTCGACCCAATATTGTTACATCTGTAGGCAACACATGAAGGGAAGAGCATTGAAGCACCTGTTCCAGAAAACAAGATACCACTCTCTACTAAAAGTTTATCCTTTCCCAGATCTTTTGTACATCGACCCATTGATAATGACGAGCGGGCCTTGACCGGTAACGTGAACAATAGAATGAAGAGAGAGCGGAAGAGCGGAGGAAGGAAAAGAGAAAAGAGGCAGAGAAAAAAAAAAAAAAAAAAAGAAGGAACGATGGCGGAGAAGGCGGTTGTAATGAGTTCTACCAAAAGTCAACAGGGGGAATAAAAAACGCGTTAAAGTAAGGTTTTGCTCAAAAGCAAATCATACACAGACGAACTGTGATTGTGCAGGGGATAGACTGTTCCCTGACAAACGGCGTCTACTCTCAACTGGTTGACGACACAGATACCCAAAGAGTCCCAAGCACCAACTAAGCACAGGCAGTTGGGTTGAAGCTATTTCTTCACACGCATCAAGACGGACAGAAGGAGCACACGTCGAAAAGTATCATTACATTACGAGTTCAAATTTAATATACAACCTGGCCAGATGCCTACGTCCACACGTAACCTCAAAAACCAGAACTTGCGCCAGCGGTTCAAACCTCTACGCCTATTGCTGCCCCATATCGCGCTATCTCGATCATGCAAGAGAAACCATGTTGGACTTTTGACTCCTGTCGATTTGAATCAAGTGCGATGCCACAAGACTGTACACAGCCTGGACGCCCAAACCTTCTGCGCTGCCTCTCTCAGCAGCCTCCTTACTGATATGATCTTTCAAATCCTGTAATGGAATAGAACCTCCCGATTCCCTAATCACTTGCAGCGTCCTTGCTGCAAGGATGACCGAGATTGTGCTTGGCAGGTCATCCTCTGATGTCGATGGATCTGCACAGCCGTCAATAATATTCGAGCTGATTTGTCTAAAAACGAGTAAAAAGTACGAAGATGAAGTGTTAATAATATGAGGTGTGAGTTGACGATGTGATTAGGTTTTAGATTGAGTATACTTGTTGTCCTTACTGAAGAATGTCCATGTTGACGATGTGACGCTGGCATCGAGCCACTCCATCGAGGAGCCTGACCAGCCTATGGTAGGCCTCCTTGATTCCCTCCACATCCAGTTTTGCATCGCCGTCCTAATTGAGATACAACAGAGAAGAGATATTAGTCAGGCATCCAGTCTCCCAACCTGTCTTTCAAAATAATATCGCTTCTTGCAATAACACGAATGATCTGTTCCGTACCTGTTGACTGGCCTTCTCCCAGAGGTGCATAATCTCTTCAAAAATTGGACTCGTTTGCTCTTCCTCTGACTCTCCTGCGTCGCCCTGCTGTGATGAGGACAGTTCGTCGCTCTCCCGCATCAGCCTCTCGTACAGCGCAACTAAAGGTATGAAAATGTACAATCAATACAATGTTGACGTTAGAAAACCATATCCTTAGAGGCGAACCATGACGTCGAAAACAGCAAGTGGGCGAACAACTTACTCTGCTCTTGTTCGCGCTGCTTCTGTTCCTGAATTTCGTTCTCCAGGTACTCGATCTAATGGACATTGAACAATAAATCAACTGGTCAGCATCGCTCTTGTGGGTCCATAGTTCGGCGCCAACAGCCCTACATATCACATCTGCCAGCGGACGAAATTCAATGTGACTATCGTACCTCCAGCTTCTTGGATGCAGCCTCAGCTTCCACTTCCAAAGTCTCATCATTTGCTTCACCGTGCTCATCCTGGTCATCCTGATCCATAAACTCCGCATTAGGAATGTCCGTCAGTCCGTCCAGCTCTCGCTGCATGCTGTTTAGCTGTGATATGCAAGAAAGGAAAGATAGCCTGTTAGTTAGCTACACCTCACGCCATCGTGCTACCTAGCAAATTATCCTGTTTTAACGCGATAAGACATATAGCTCCCGTTACCAACACATACCAATTGACGTTTCTCACTCAACAACTGCTCCAATGCAAAGATCTCTCCTTCCTCCCGCATAATATCGGTCATGATCTCGTCTCCTTCCTGTCGCGGTGCTTCCTGAATCTCCTCTGATGAGTTTGCTTCCTGAAGCTATAACGATCAACAAAAGTAAATGGCCAAGTTAGATTATTTTTCAAACGACAGGTGTGTCTCGCTCAACACCCGTTTTCGCAAAGCCCCTAGCCACTGGTCGCGTCCATAGTTCGTCTTTTACCTCTGCAAGTGTCGCGCTCAGTTGGTTGATCGATGCCAGGACATCCTCATGTGCATCCGCAACTTCATCCAGACGCGCCTGAACCGCCTTGTTTTGACTATATGGTCAGATTAACGAAAAATAGTGGCGTAAATACCTTTCCGTTCAAAGAGCGTGTCATACAAGCAACGCTGAACGATGCCAAAAAAAGGGCATATGTCATAAGCATTTTACCAAATCTCGTTGAGCGCCGTCGCGAGTTCAAGTGTCGTCTCAAACTCATCCGCGCCCTCCTTCGTCATCATACTAGTTTGGAAATGGAAAACACGAAATCGCTCTTGTTAGTTCACGCCTCTCCTGCTGTCCGTTTGATTCCATTAAACCCCCCGTCAAAGTGTAAAATGCCACGCGATCAGATCACCGCAGCACAAACAAGGCACATACATCCGCAGGGCCTCGATACGATTGGGGGAGAACAAGTTCTGTTCAAAGGACTTTGCGTTTCTGATGGGCACCGCTTGGTTCTCGAGGAGTAATGAAGAGTAGAGCCGGGGTGCTGTAAAGTCGACAGACGCCAGCCGCCGTGAGGAGGCTTCTAATGCTGCGAGACTGTCGTTCATCCTGTTCCTTGTCCGTTGCCTTTATTTTTTTGTTTCTTTGCGTCTTATTATTGTTTGGTGTGCGTCGAGAGGTTGATGGATGGAAGGACTGAAGCTGTGGTGGAGAGGAGGGAAAGGAAGTGTCAACAAAGAAACGAGGGCGACAAACAAAACAGGCATTCAGGAACAGGTCACATGACAAAACGCGCCTGAACATCGTCAACGATCCATATTTTTTTTTTAAAAAAATCTAGTAATTAATAGGAAAGGACAATGGGGGTACGAGGAGTGAAAGAAGGGACAAAGGGGGATATATCTATTGGAACTGGCAGAGGGTAGAGATGACCTCTCCGCTCTGGAACTCGGCTTCGGCCTTCAACTCGGTCAATCCAAAGTACATCTTCAGAGTAAACACAACAGGCGTACCGGGCGCTGCACCAGGAATGTGAGGGAGAGGGATAGTAAAGTCGCACAACTTCTGGACACCAGGCGAGTCCACAAAGTCGGGCTGGTCCTCTCCGTTGTACACATACAGGGGAGACGACAAGGGCTCGGGGTACTTGTGTGTCACATACTTTTTGCTGATACACTCGTTCGCAGAGATCGACTGGCCAGGGCGAACGAAGACAGAGAATCCATCACGGACACGGTACTTGCCATCCTGCATATACTTCTTCTCAACTGGATCACCGGCCTTGTACAGACGCGTGGTGTCGACACCATACCAGCGACGAGCAACACGAGCCTGGATGGGCTGGTGGGTCAGGCCGTGGTAGACAGCACCACGGACAACGGCCAGATCAGGACGAGGAGGGTAACGGATCAAGGGGACACGACTCTCAAACTCCTGCTGGACACGCTTGTGGAGGTAAGGAGAAGAACCGAAACCACCGACCAAGAAGATGGCCGCACACTGCTGGGCCTGGAAGAGCTGTCCGTCAATCAATCCGAGAACCTGGTTGACCACAGGGTCAAAGACGAGCTCACGCATCTCCTGTGCAGAGACTGCCAACAGACCATCCTCAAGTCTAATGTCCAGATCGACAATGTTGGCCACCGCAGCGGGCATCGAGATGAAAGAGTCCTCGTCTCCGTCGAACTGGGGCTTGTGCATGTACACGAACTCTTCCATGATCTGAGCCCAGGCCTTGGGCTGAAGGTCGTAACGCTGCAGCTTGTGGTGAACGAGCATAGAAAAGTTCTCGTCCAAGAATCCAGACCCACAACTGGCGCCGGATCCACGAGTCACCTCTGTCAACGCACGAGTTCCACTGCTGTAATCAACCTGGAAAACAATCAAATCGACCGTTCCACCTACAATTCGTGAATAATGTTCACACAAAATTGAAACCCGTTAGCAATCAACGACAACATTTCTTAAACACAAATCAAATAGAAGAGAAGGAAACGTACCACCGGCATCGCAAATCATGAAACGATCTCCCTGGCGCAAGTTAAACTGCTCGCACTTGCGCTCGCAGTACATGGCAGCAGCCTCGGGCTCAGAGACGAGAAGGAGACGGTGAGGAGGATCCTGGGGCTGGATGAGACCAGCCTCGATGGCAGTGCGACGCATGACACCCTTGGCAGCATCGGTCCACATGGCAGGGACAGTCAAACAGTACTGGATGTGGTGCTGGGGGTCGATCATGCCCCCTCCGCCATTCTTTTGGATCTCTGCAATAGCGTGGGTGTGGATGGCACGGAGATAGTCGCTGATGGCGTTCTGGGGGTTGATGGTGCGGGGAAGAGGGGGCAGGTACGGGGCGAGGTCGTTGTCCAGGAACAGCTTGAACTTTTGCAACAGATCGAGGTTGCGGGCGTTAGGGGTCAACATAGCAGCCTTGGCAGCGTATCCCCAAGAGTGCATCTTGTCGTTTTCCTTGCTGTATGCGCTGACGGTAGGGACCTTTCCGTACAAGTTAGCCTGGTGGGGCCTATTTCACGCAATACAATGTCAACTCCTTTTCGTTAACGAACGAATACTTCAATGAGCAAAATGCCAACGTTGAGTGTGAATCTTCCAAGGTCATTCAACAGTTCCTACCAGGTGGTCATCTCCAGAACTTCGCCGTTTTGCTTGAAGGCATAAGCGACTCCCGAGAACGTGGTTCCTATTATTCGAGGCAAGAGAGTCAGCCGTGTTTGTTACATGCGCGTCGTTTTAGTTTACACCTTGTCATGTTGGCTCTTTTCTGGACAAGTCCCAAATGCACTTCTTCTTTCACGCTTCGTGTGTTGTGTAATCCTGATGACAGAGATGATCCTGCGTCATTAACAAGACTTCTCGATAGTTCATCCTGCCCTAACACAAACCAGCCAACCAGCCATCTCTGCGCTTGCTGTCTCCTTGTTCGTTTGTCATCCAGATGATTCTCTGCTCAGGTCCTGAGGTCTCCATCTACTACAGAAATAAAAAAAAAGTTCTCGGCAATGCCAATCGTGACAAAGCAAGTAGGTGGTGGCTCTTACCGAAATCGATGGCGACCAAGAGGGGATACTCGGCGCCTACAACATTAGGCTGGGGCTGCTGAGCAGCAACCTGCTGTTGCTGAGAAGGAGAAGGAACAACCTGACCAGGCTGGGGAGACTGTTGGTAACCCGGCTGCTGCTGCTGATACTGCTGTTGCTGGTCATATGGCTGTTGCTGGTCATATGGCTGTTGCTGTTGCTGACCATAGCCACCCGGCTGCTGTTGTTGGTACTGCTGCTGTTGCTGGTACTGCTGTTGTTGAGGATCAGGCTGTCCGTAGGGGTTATAGGCACCGTTGGGGGGAGGGACAGGTCCAGCGTAAGGATCGCTGGATGCGCTCTGCCCGTAGTAAGGCTGCTGCTGCTGCTGCTGGCCCTGACCCTGGTAGTACTGTTGCTGTTGATCCTGCTGCTGGTATCCGTAGCCACCGCCCTGGTTTGGAGAACCATAACCAGGCTGCTGTTGTTGCTGCTGTCCTGCGTTCTGCTTTTGCAAGGCGGCATGGTAGAGCTGACGCTGCTGGGCAATGTGGGCAGGGACGTCAGACATTGCTTTTGTGAAGGTTGTTGAGTGTGAGTGTGGGTGAGAAGGTGATCTGTGAAAGAGTGAGAGACAAAGGGGATGATGAGAAGAAAAGAGAAGAGAAGAGAAGAGAAGAGAAAAGAAGAAAGAAAAAGAGCCAAGGGGCAAAAAAGGTACTCAAAATCAAAGGTCGGTCCCTGAGAGGTTGGGTGGGTGCAGTGGGCTATCCACATTCAATTCAAATCACACAAGTCAACCTTATCCTCAACCCGGTCAAAACATGGATATGAATGGATGCTCATCTCCAATCCATTCATTCCTCTCGCTGCTCAGTCATACTAACGCAAATATCCGCTCTCAGTCCCCAGCTTTCTCCCATGAGCCATCTTTCTCCTCGGCAGTGCCCCCTGTCCATGGACTAAGCAAGAGAGAAAAGAAGAATGACGTTTTCGCTCGCAGCAAAAAAACGATGTCAAGGTTGCATGCTTCCTTCTGAGGAGACCATTAGAAAGCATGACAATCGCCCCAGCTGCACCACCTTGTCCATTAGACGTACCATGTAATCTAGTCACTAGCCTAGCACATGTAATCCTGAGACCATCCCAAGAAACACCAACGCGAACACGGACTCGAACGCGAAACAAAATATCAGTTGAAAATTGCAAATGGAACTGTGCTCGTTCGAAGCAAATTCACCGTCTTTAATAATAATAAAATGGCGATTCACTGACGTAACTTCTTTTCTCTTCTCCTCTCTTCTTTTCCTTTTCTTGTAAACCATCCTACATTCTTCCCACACTCTTCACCTATCCATCCACTCTCACACCACAACTCTCTTTCACACTTTCACGCTCAAAGCACCAGCCAACAAAAAATGTCCTTCCGCCTCCCAAAATTCCCACTGTTAACCCTTTTCCACAACCCTTCCTCAAAGGTCTCCACCCAAGCCCTCTCCCTCCTCCGCCAAGCATCCGTCACCCACAAGTTCGACATCGACCTCATCGACTCCACAACCACCGCCCCCACCCACCAACAAGTCTCTTCCATCGTCGAGTACCTCGGTGGTGGCGCAACCGGCTGTGGACAGATTTTGGACACAGCACAAGGGGCGCCCAAGGCGTCGACGGTCGGGGAAGTGCAAAAGATCCTGGAAGCCAACCCGGGCTATTTGAGACGGCCACTGGTGGTTGATTGGAATAAAGGCAAAGCTATCATCGCCGACGTAAGTTTGTGTTGTTTGTCTTTGGCTTTTGGTTGTGTGGTGGATACATGGGTGATCTTGCGTGCATGGCTTCTGTGGGAGATAGAAATGCAAATTCAAATACGTCATAGACTAATGCGCATATTATTGCTCGTTGTTTTTTGTTTTTTTTTCCTTTTTCGATGATGAATAGCCCGCGTCAAGAGTGAACGAGATGGTCAAGAATGTTGGCGAGGAGGAGTAACTCGAGCAACCACCAACAACGGACCAAGGACAAGAAGCGACAAACCCCAAACAGCAAATAGCAAAGAAGCAATCATGGCAATAGAATAAAGAATGTGCATTCGATAAATAAAAAAAAAAGGAAGCGGCTCTTATTATGTTTTAATAATGTGGATGTTAAACTATGAAAGAAAAGGTATACAAAAAGGAACTCGACAACAGAGGAGACTCATGGACATTAAAAGGGGGTCCAAGAGGCTTACTCGGCGTCAAAGACGGCGGCAAAGCTGAAGCCGTATTCAGAGGTCATATTGACAATCTTCCACTGGCCGGGTGTCAGCACTTTGGTGATCTCGAACAGACCAGGCTTGACCTGAGGCAGCCTCTCGGGCATGCCGCCATCTGGTGCCTGCACAGCCAGTGCTGGGGTAACTCCTTTCTGAACATCAAAGACACGGACACGGATCACCTGGGACTGGTTCTTCTTGACCTTGGCGTAGAGGGGCTCCAGGACAGAGAAGGCAAAGCCCTGGACGACATACTGCTGCAACAAGGGCTTTGATGCCTTGCCGGGTCCTTCGTTGAAGACACGGAATCCCAAAATCTGGGGGCCGTTCTTAGTCTGGTCACCGCCTGGAGGCCATCCAAAGACGTTCAGCTCGCCAGATCCACTCGAGGGGCACCAGCACTTGATGACCATCCAGACATACTTTTCGTCCTCGCGGAGCCATTGGCTGACCACAGGCAGAGACTGACCCTTCCAGTTCAAGCGGGCCACAACCTTGCCCGTTGCTCCATCTGAGGGACGCTTCTTCAACTGAATCTCAGCCTCGACATAGTCGTCCTTGGTGCGGATCACCTGACCACGGTTGCGACCAGCCAGTTTTATACCAAGATCCCAGGACTCGGGTTTGATGGCAGGGAGGGTGCGGAACACGTTCTCGTGGATTGGGGGGTTCAAGAACTGCTGCTCGGGCTTGTTGGGCCAGTGGGTATAGATCAGACGGTTGGGACGGAGCAAGAAGAAGAAAGGTCTGAACAGCTTCTTGAACGAGCGGGTTCCAAGGTCGCAGACTCCTGCACCCCAGGTCGAATCGATCAAGAGATACTCGCCATGGATTCTGACCGCATTCCAGGCGTGGGGGCTTCCAAGACGTTCATCTCCAATCTGGACATCGACACCACGGGCAACACCAATGACCTTTTGAACCTGAAGACCAGCAGGCTCAGCAAGGGCGATAAACAGGTTGGCGTATCCCTCGCAGACAGCCTTGCGGGAACGAAGGACATACTCGGGGCCTTGCTCACCATAGCGTCCACTCATAAAGGCGGGGACATCATAGGCAATGTTGTTGCCGATCCAAGTAAAGATGGTACGGAGTTGCGAGATCTTGTTACCCTTGCAAGGGGAGGTCAGGTAGTGAGACAGGCTGGAAATGGTCGCTGCCTCGCCAGCGGGGCAAGCGCGCGCATGGTTGTCCTCGCGAGAAAAGTCAATATTTTCGGGTTCCATCCTCATACCTCCAAAGGTCTCTGCAAGCAAAGGCCGACTCTTCCTACAAATAGCGATATCATGCAAAATAGAGAAAGAGCGTAGGGGGAAAAGAAAGCGTAAAAGGAGATTAGAATAAGAAATCGGGGAGCACTGACATTGACACGAACGAAGGGCGAGAACACACAGAGAGTGGGGGGAAAGGGGAGAGAGAATGTACACGGAAAGGCGTAAAATGTGTGGGTGCACGAAGGGCAAAAGGGAAACAGCAGGTCGATCGAGGACAAACAGATGTATTTGTTTGATGTTGTTGACACCGATGTGCTGCTTTGTTTAGTGTCACACTTACTTGAGCTGGGCGATGGCATCGTCAGACATATCGCCTGAATGCGTGGTGGTCTGGTTGACAACCTTGCCGTTCTGGGATGTTGTAGTAGTGGTGGTACTGGAATGGTGCTCCACAGGAGGTCTGTTCAGGGTGGCCTGCTGCATCTTTTCGGCAAGACGGTCCAAAGGACCATCATCGCTCTCGAGGCGGATGGTTTGAACAGGGACTGGTAGTTGAGGCGCCTGTTGTTGAGGTCGCTGTTGCTGGGGTCGCTGTTGCTGTTGCTGCTGAGGAATGGGAGCGGGGATGACGGCGGGCCGCTGCTGCTGTGGTTGTTGCTGCTGGACAACGGGGGGGTTTTGTTGGATGATAGATGTCCTCTTGGGGGCATCATCGTTACGGAGGACATGTTTCTTCAATGTTGAGAAGAATCCGCTCTTGCGCTTCTCTGGTGGGTCCTGAGCAACCTGAACAGGCTGAGGACGGGGTTGTTGTTGAGGCTGGCTAGGTTGGAATGGTTGGCGGTTGTCACTAGCAGGCTGCATCGCCGGCTTGGTGGTAGTGGTGGTGGTGGTGACCCTGGTGGGCTGGCCAGGGGCGGTGACGGTCGTGACGACGGTGGTGACACCGTTGACGGTCGACGTCTTGGTGGAGGTCTTTGTTCCGGGGATTGGGTTCATGGTCGGTGTAGTGGTATGTGCGATGAGTCGTCAGGGACGAGATGGAATGCTGATAACGAAATGGGTATATGTAGAAAAGGAGGTTATTGTTTTGTCAGTTGGGGAACAGACACATCTTTTATATACAAAAAGCGGGTCCTTGTCAACAACATGGAAGGAAAAAGAACGCCCAATTGACTAATGCAATGCCTCTCGTCATGGTCATGGGCAAATATCCTGCTCTGCAGCGACCATCTTCCGTTTTGCCCACTCAGCAAACCGGAACAACCACCAGCGAGCAGTAGCAATGGCGGTGACAGTGAGAGGGTGGATGGGATCGTTCATCCTGCGTCATATTTGCCCTTTGCTGCATTCTTCCCACTCTCTCTCTTTTGTTGACCATATCCCAAAAAGCTGGGTCCTCTTTTCATTAGTATCGCCCTGTTGTCATAATCAACATCATCCTCATCATCATCGAAGCTGGGAGGCAAGGGTTATTTGTTTTAGGCCATCGGTCCGTCATAGACAGAGTAGCTTCTCGCACGTTCTCCTCTTTCTCACTTTTTCCCTCTCTTTTTTGTGTTGTTGATTATTGGCGCGCTTCCAGTATAAAGAGAGTATCGAAGGGGTGGAAGAAGGGCGCAAGAGGGCTGTGGGTAGTCCATCACTGACGGAAAGTCTCCTGAAAAGTGGTTGGTCGGGTTGTAATGAGACAATGGGAAGGCTACTTACTGGGAAAAACTTGAGCGAGAGGGTGAGGTTGAGTGGTGTGAGAGAATGACGAGAAGCTCCGGCTGTTACTGGGAGAATGAAAAGGAAACAGCAAACAGAAATGAGGCAGCTGTTGTGAATGGTATACAACGAAGGAAGGGGGGATGAGGTATGGAGTGGACTATGTAGTAACGAGAGTAAAGGGAGGAAAGGGGAGGGGAAGGGTATATAGTGAGTGGTAAAAGAGCAGAGAGAGAAAAGAGAAAAAGAGAGAGAAGGTGAAAGTTGTGCGAGAAAAGGAAAAGGCGTGGGCGAGAACGAGAATAAGAGACGAGAACGAGAGAATGAGAAGATGAGAGAAATAAAGGTGAAAGTGAGAGCACCAGAAAAAAATGAGGAAGGGTAAGCAGAAGTCAGAAGGAGATATAAGATTGAGAGAAGGATGAAGGAGAAGGGCGAAAGCCAGAAGGGGTACACTAGGTTAGGGTGTTGTTGTTTGTTTGTTGTTTGTTGTTGTTGATGAAAGAATGGGCAGGGGGGATGGATGTCCTTTTATACAAGGAACCAAAGAACAATTGAATGCGATGGGACTGAATAGGGTCAATGGGGGATGGGCAATGCTGTTCGCTCAATGTCCCAATGGTCGAATGCAAAAAAAAAAAAAAAAAAAAAAAAAAAGGATATTTGCTTGAAAGACCCATGGGTCAGCATCATGAACCCATGGTCTCAATGGTCTCCTTGGTACCAATGCTCTCTCCCACAATCGATTGCATGCACGAACAAGGCAGGGCAAAAGAGAGCACAAACAAGGCAGGGGGGAGAAGCCATTCATTCAATCGTCTCTCTTTGTCTTTCACTTTCTCCCTTTCGTTTTCTACTCTCTCCTTTTGGACCACCAACAAAAACAGCGAACATACTGTAACTGAATGAGCCATCACATTGCCGCTCTTTTTTCTGTGGAACGTGGCCCACAACAACTCTCCTCAACACACCCGGAGAACGAAAAAAGGGCAAGGTCCTCTCTCTATCTCTCTCTCTCTATCTATCTCTCTCTCCTCTATCCCTCTCAGTCACTTGCTGACTCTTGCGAAGAGGAGGAAGAAGGGCGCAAACAAAGCAGCAAGGCCAATAATGCGAACAATACCCCTTCTCCTTCTCATTCAGTCATCGTCATTAGTTTACACTGTTGTAAATGAAGAGCAACAGAATAGCCCAACCCTTTTCTTATTTTATTTTTTTGCTTGGTATCTCTCCATCCATGCATGCCACCCACACACAGACGACTGGTCTCAAAACCACCACTCACATCGCATACCATGCTGCCTCCCCTCTTCCTCCCATCCTATCCTCCTCCTTCCCCAAATTTTTCATTAGTTGATTCAATCGTTCATTCATGCCACATTTTGTTCGCGTTCAAAGGTTCGGGGTTCAAGGTCCCTTGACATTTTGTTTTCTTCGTACAAAAAAAACGATGTCACCTCTGATGAAGAAGCTTTGTTGCTGTGAGCATTGGACAACCGAAGTCGGAGTTGATGAGTTGTTTTTTCTCTCTTTCGCGACATTCGCGGTCAAGAAAAAACTGTCTTGACATACATGCCTGTGCCGAACATTTCATTTGGACATGCAATCTAACCCACTCACTCTTCTTCTTTTTCTTTGCTATCGTAGTACAGTGCATGCTTTGCTTCCGTGAGAAAAAGCCGGAGTCGTTATATTTTCTCCGAAGTTGCCTTTGTTTGTATTGTGCCTAGCTAGTAGCCGAGATGGATGTGTACGACAATTCTCAAGGGACAACGGGCTCCCTTTATTATTTGTATCTCCTCGTACTATGACCTCGTTTTCTCACTATGGTTCTGTCTCGCAATCACAGCGAGCGAGGAGGTATGTCTACCATGGGTTGATAGAAGAAAAAAGATTGGTGGAAGATGAGGAGGAGGGACAATGCTATCCTAACCTACTGAAAAAACCTACCTTGCAAAACACAAGACAACCTACAAATAGAGTCAATCCTAAAACTTAAAATACAACAAACAGCTTACACATGGTGGTTCGAGTCCTCCTCGCAAAATGCAAAAAGAAATCTATGAACGTGTTTTTCCTTTGCTTCTTGGTTCGTTCGTATTCATGGCGGTGGTTCTTTCAGGGTGTTCAGGCACCCTTTCTCTCCCCCCCCCTCCTCCTTCTCCTTTTCCTTTGTACCTCTTTCTACTTTTGATGAACGATTCTGTTAACTGCTTAATTAACTCATCCTTCATCGATCCTTCATCGTCCTCAACTTTTTCACATTAAAAGGCGTCGATATCTAATTGTGCATAGTGACATGCAGTAGACTAGGTAGCACAGGCATGGTGGTGGCATAGAAAGTCGACAGGAAATTAGGTAGTCTACTGTACAAGGACAGGATGACACGGACAGGAAAAGGGATCGGACTAATGGGATTGCGAGGTTTCTTTTTTCTATGTGTATGCGCATTATTATTGACGACCCTTTTTTCATTTCAGGAACAAGCCAGGGTGTGAAAAAAGGCAGGCCCGCAGGGAATGGAACACGAAATGGTATTAGGGACAAGGAAATAATTTGGGAGGAAGGGAGTAAGGCAGCAGCAGGGCCTGGCAGGAAAGGAGGAAATGAAAAAAAAGGAAACGGAGGGGAGAGGAAAGCAGAGCACGGATCAGGGATAAGGTGCAAGGTAGTACAAGAAAGGGGGACATCATCATCGTTGTCCTGAATACCGTCACCTTTTGGGCTGGGGTACCAATCAAGCCCTTTAATGCGTTCATTTTGCATTTATTTTTGTGAGAGAGAAAAATATCACAAGGCAGAAGAAAGTGAGAGAAAGGAAGGAAGGCACAGCTCGTCCTTCTTCTTCTCCGCGCAATTCCCCATTCCAGTGTCTACTCTTGATCACTGATCTTTGATAAATGATCATTCTGACTCGCGATTCGTGGTTCCGCGTCTGAATGTGTCATTGGTCATGTTTTTGACTCTAGCTCTCTCTCTCTCTCTCTCTCTCTCTCTCTTCATCTTTGTACCTGGATTTTTTGTTGTTCGGCATCGAAAACCCCGGACTAACTGATGCTGACCTAACCGTAGCAAATACCTGTTGCTCTGTTGCTGCTCTTTGATAGTTTGTTTGGGACAGAAAAAAAAGAACTTGACCGCTTAACAGAGAGCATGCCTTGTAAACAAACGCAATCGAACCCGCATGAAATGCCAGAAGGGCATGGCACTGTTCTCTCAGTTTGTACTCCCAAGTTGCCCTCAAAGCACACAACAAAATCTATCTCGCTCGACACGAGTTCGTGTTCTGTTTTCTCTCTCTCTCTCTTTTCTGTGTCATGTAACCCCGTGGTCGGTTGGTCGGTCGGAGACTGCAATAACAGCAAACAACTGTCCCCTTCTGCCTATATACATTTGCTTATTGCATTGTGAAGCACGAAGAGTCTGGCCCTTATGCTGCCTGTTTCGATTAAAGAAACGCCAAAAGACATCTAACGCTTTTTTTTTCTGTACCCTGTTTGTCACTCACTCCATTGTACGTTACTCATCTGATCGACACAATAAACAATAGACGCCTTTGCAATCTCGAAGGTGTACAACACCGTGCTTTTTGATACTACGCTGCTCCTACTGCCCTCCAAGGCAGCCGTTGAACCTTTTTTCCTATCGCCCTTTCTCCCTCCCTCTTTGTCGTGACAACAAAACAACACGCAAGAGATGCGGAGATACTACTGAACTCCAAGACAATCTCCTTCCCTCCAATGTCCAAACCCCTCGTTTTTTTTTTGTCAGCGGTTTACACTTTGACCAATCGCCATTTGGTCTTGGAGCGCGAAAACAAAAGAAAGCGCGCGCATCTCACTTTCGCCACTTTGTTGATATAAAATGGATTGTTAGCTAACTGCCCAGGACCAATTGAAGTCGACAAAGAATGAAGACGAGAGAAACTAAAAAAGAGTGAGAGGAAGAGAGGAAACACAAGAGCTTCGTTTCGTCCCCATTCCGTGATAATCGCCCTACTGCCCAGACCAAAAACACAAAATCACAAAAAGCACAAAAGGGACAAAGGAGAAGGAGGTGCTGTCCACAAGGTTAAAAGTCCTCCTTCTCAGTCCCCTTTTTGTTTTCTGGCCCTTTTGGCATGGACTGACCATTCCCTTCCCAGCAAACCATGGGTTTCACCATGAGTAAGAGCTGCTTTGTAGAAAGAGAGTTGCGCGGGATGAAAGGATTTCTCTTGTGTCTTTTTGGGCCTCGCTGCTTTGTTTCTATTACGCTCTTGTTTCTGTTACGCTCTTTGTTATCCCCTGAGTTGATCACCAGATCTCCCGCAAGAAATGTATCCGAGGGAAGGAGAGAGGGAGAGAAGTAGTTACACAGAGTACTGTACACATCCCGTCCATGTTCTATCCCATCACTGTTCTCTCACTTTTTCCCTCACCCTCGGTCTCTGTATTCCTTTCCTACCCTAGACTCTCTCTCTCTCTCTCTCTCTTATTATTTTTGTCTGACTGGTATCGTACTCGTTCGCATGGTACTCGATGGCATGATACTCGCTAGTTTTTCTGTCCTATTTTCTCTCTTTCACTCACCCCCTTCTTCCCGTCGTGTCGTTCGCTTTTGCTATTCTTTTTGGATAGCCGAAACTAGACCAGCCCATCTTTTCCCCATCCTTCTATCCATCCCTCTGCAACCCTCTTTGTACCTTCTGTCGTACAAAATGAAAATACGCCGAAAAAGCCGGATGCAAGCAAAGGGACAAGGAGACCCAAGAACAACCAAGGATCAAGGAAAAATGAAATATAATTTGCTCACTAGTTGCAAGCTGCCCTGCAAGGACAGAGGAAAGAGGGACAAGGAAGAGGACTTGTGATACCGAAGCCCCTCGGCATGTTTGTAGATGGCATATAGGTGCATGTACACTATCGAAGGACTCGGACACAAGTTCACACAAAAGGGAAAGTAGAAAGGGTGAAGAGCAGGAGGGGTAGGGTCTGGATTGAATATTATTAGGGGCGAGGTGCAGCAGCAGCGGGGGATGAGAAGAGCATCAGGAGTGCCCTAGCCGAAGGATTCATGCCTTCTCTTTTTTGCCTTTACCATGTTCTCGATTCATTCCTGTCCAATGCCTTGTTATTGTTCAATATAACTGCTTGCTCCTTCCGCATGTATTAGGATGACAAAAGACTATGCTCGACCAGAGCCAGGGGTTGAAGTGAAGAAGACTCCGATCGCAATACGAACCAACAAAAGGACCATTTTGGCTACATGAACGCAGTGAAACTAGCGGTTTTTTTTTTAATCCCGTTCGTTTTCTTTTCTTGCATGCTCGCGTTGTTATTCAGGAGAGGATCACGTAGATGGAGTGAAGGGATAGGGAGGAAGAGTGGAAGAGAGAAAGTCCTAGAAGAGCGCCACGAGGACTCTACAAAAACGTGCACTCTAGGAAGAAAAGCGCGTTGAATAGCTCGGTGTTGAACGACACGGCGTTGAACGTGTTGAACGAATGCGCTGCTCTTCGAAACCGATCATCAATCCGAACAACAACACACAAACCAACCCAAAGACCATTGAGAAGGCTAAAAAAAGATGTCTGCCACTCTGTGGCAGTGTCTGTGCACCTTGTCCCGTCCGCCCCTTTGTCATCTTACAGTCGGTATCTTTCTCGCACTACATTGCAAATCCACATAACCTTTTTTTTCGCCGCCCCTCACTAGTCCCTGGCCCATCCCTCTCCTCTCCTTCTGGCATTTAACTGTGAGAAGCACCATTGGCCGAACATCCGGCACGTCATTAGCCTTTCTAGCCTAATGGAGATGACCCGCTTTTTGTTTTTGGTGCATGGTCGATGAATGCTATGCAAGGCTAGACACATACATGCACACTCACCCTTTTTCAGTCCTCTGTGTGTCTTTTCCATTCCTTCCTGCCCATCCACTGTCTCCCCTTTCTCCTCCCATTTCTTCCCTATGTCATGAGTGAAAGATATGAAGGAGTTTGTACCTCATTCCCTGTCCTTCGTCTCTCTATGTCTCTTCCCTCTCGATTTACCCTTACATCTTCTCTCTTTTTGCCCTGCTCCTGCTTCTACTTCTGGTCTCGCTTGCGTGCCATCTTCTCGTCTACCTTAGCCATTCTCGCAGCCCTTTTCTTAAGCCCTTTGATCATGTCACCCTTCGTGTGCTAACGCAACTGATTCGGCAAGCTCATTTTGATTCAACCACTCAGAACCACCACCACAACCTGCATCATCGTCAGCATCATAGATCATATGGGCGGCCTGGGTACCTACTTTGTTTGCTTGTGTGTTTTGATTTCGATCCAAGTATATTTGCCCACATGAATGCACCCATTGCATGGAGACATTCATATCGCAGCATTTACATGAACAGGGTCTTCCTGTGACCTTTTTCCTCATTTTCAAAAGTCGAGAGCATACTTTATCACGTTCATAATTGATATGCTGTTCTTTCCTTGTTCGTGCCTTTAAATGGAACCTTCTCCTCTGACAAAGCGAATACGTAGTCTGTCGACCATGTTGTTATTGTTGTGTGTGATTTTGGGTCATCGGGACTTGCGACCAGGTGTGTGCAAGGTATTTCGCCACCCTTTTTCACCTTGTTCCGGGTTCTGCTGTAGTTTAAGTACAAGGACTGATAAAAAAAGGTGCAGTAGCAGTCATTGCAACAGATAAGGTGCCAGCATGCATGATAAATCATTCCATTGGTTCCAATCATCAAATGTGGCGGTGCACCTGACTTTCTCTCTGTTCACTTGTCTGTTCAAATATACTTCCTGAGAGAAAAAACTTCGCTCGGTCTCTTCCTCATACTTCTCTCATCAGCAAGCTTTTCTACTTTGTCAAGTGCGAGAAAGGAGCCACTATAGATACAACTTCTCTATCCTACTCTCTTCTCGTCCTCCTTCCTCCTAATTCTCTGTTCATCACACTGCACACAATAAACTACAATCTCATGAGACCCGCATTGATATCCGCTATTTGTTGTGCGCTCACTGTTGATGGCATGTTTCTTGCCAATTTCCTCTGGGCATTCGTGGTCTCTTGTAATCGGAAGCGATGTCTGACATGCCCTCCAACATTTTTATTGGGGGTTCGCCCTTTTGTCCTTCGTGGAACTTCTAAACAGAAGAACGCCATGGCTGAGCCCCTGTCCTAATATCCATTCGCTCTCAAAAGCAAGAGCACGTACCTCCATGACCATGAGAAGAAAGGAAAAAAGAAAAGTGTCTTGTCAGCAGTGTGGCGTTTGTGACAGGAGGAAAGGAAAGGAAGAAGGGTGGAAAGAAAACTTTAGTTCGGTCGACTTTCTCGCCTGGAAGAAGTGACCGTGAACAAGAACAAAAGGAATGCATAAGTATGCCCGTTTCCTCGCCACTCTGTAGTAACAAACTCATTACTCACCTTTTCCTTTTCTCTGCACCAGTACAACAATAACAACCACACCACCATCTCATTCACATTCATACACAGCATATAGCCTCACTTACTCACCTGCACAACACCCTACCACCACCTCCTCCTCCACTACTACCTACACCTAATACACAATGCCAATGCCAAAGTCACTCAAGAGATTCTTCGCCGTCCTCGAGCCCGGCTCCAACGCCTCCAAGTACCAACCCGAATCCTCCTCCTCCCAACAACAACAACATCAACAGCAACAGAACGTCTTCTCGCAGGACAAGAAATCCTCCACGGGTGAAATCATCCCTCCATCGACGACAACAACAACAACGAGCCAACCTCCTGCCAAGCAACCAGACGCCTCGTACCTCGCCTACCAACCGGCCAAGCTGTCGAACACCCAGGTGTTTTGGCAAACCATGAATAACTCTAATGGAATGTCATAAAACAGCGATATGTGTGTGTGTGTGAGAGAGAGAGAGATAGAGTGATAGGGGGTGGTTTGGAGGGAGTATGGGGGTTGGCGTTGTTGTGGCGCGAAGCGGGGAGGTAGGAGCAACTAGGAGGGGTCCCCTAGGTGGGTATTGTCATGTCTAGGCAAGCATGCCAGACAGGCTTAGAGAAGCACAAGACCCCCAGCTAGAACAAGTTAGTTAGACTTTGATACCGTCCACCTCTTTATCATATGTTCCGATTCCCATCCTATTTTCCTTCTTTTAGTTCATTTGATAAAGTCCACCCTAGCGACAGCAAAGTGACGAATTAGAAGAGTGTGTGACCCAGCACTGTAATAAAACTCTAATTGCAATTTATCGTTTCCCCCTGGGTTGTGCCAACCTGATACACATATCAAAAGTACCTGTTTGACTCATCCAGGCCAGGCATTTAGTTTACAGGAATGAATGACCTGGTATGCCTGCTGGGTGAGTATGCGATCCCCAGGTGTTGAACACTTTTCAGAATGTGTGGCCTTTACCTGGAATGCAAGAGAGGCGAGAGAAAAGATGGGTGAAGACGAGGGGGTGATGGTACCTGGGATTTTTTTGATATAGCCCTGTCTTTTCTTGACACTGTTGATCACCCCTGGTTGGAATAGGGGCGAGTCAGAAGTATATATGCTAGGAACAGATCAATTGGTAGGGAGAGAGAGAGAGAGAGGGAGAGAGAGGGCGGTATGAAATAGCTACAGGTGTGCCGGGTAAAAAGGGGGCAGTATGACTATGACGGTAAGGTTGGTGGAAATACCTCACGCACATCATCGTCGGAACGAGAAGGAAGAATGCAGCAAAATAACAACACCCTATCCCTATCCCATCCTCCTCTTTCGGCACGCTCATTGTTAAGAACCGCAACATACCTCGGGAAGAAACAAAGAAAAGAGCTATTCAGATCCAGGAACAGGGCATGCAGCAATTGACATATTTTTCCTCTACCCCACCTCTCTCTCTCTTTCCCTTCGTCTTTGTGCCTGTTGAAAGTGAGGATGGGAGAAAGGGAGACAATAACAAAGAAGCAAAGAAAATTTACCACAATTTTAATCCATGCAGTCGCCCCCCATTGTCCATGTTTGCACCATGTCATCAATAAACAACAACGGGAAAAAAGATGAAAGAAAACAAGCAAATATCATCATCAATGGTTAGGGCATTAAGACCATGTTGTTTGAGGCAACCACCCAGATCAATCGTATGGAAATTGTGTTATGGCAAGAAGAGATGAGCCATATTTTCACATTCTCTTCCTTCTGGACAGCAACAGCATCCTAGCATATACACACACCTGTACTATTTGTCTCTCTCTCTCGCTCACTTCTGCCACGCACTGCACCTCACACTAACTGGCTTGGCTTTCAAATGCTCTCGAACCTGTCTTTCTCAGATCGAATCGGTGGTGGTGCGTGTGGAGAGGTGATCAGTGTGGTTGCACTATCGCGTTCATCGGGGGTTCAAGCAAGGTTACCACACTTCATTTTTTAGGGTGATGTAAACCAGATTGCTCTCAAGACGGTGCGTTTGCGTCTGTGTGTGTATGCATTACTTTTTGCTTTGTATTTTTTCCTGCGTAACGCTGGTACCTGCTCAGATGAGCAGCCAAACCGGCCAACGCACCACCAGAGCCCGACTCGTTATTTGTTTTCTGTCTCTGTCACTGTGTGTGTATGTGGGTGCAGAAAAGAGCTGTGTCCAAGGGGTGAAGTGGGTGCAATGTGTAACAGAACACTTAATAATCCGTCACCCCTGTTTTTCCTTCCCTTTTTCTAGGCCCTCGACTCCCCCCTCCCTCCCTTGTCCCTTCCCCTCTCCATACGTTTTCCCGCATGTCCATTTTCTCTCCCTTCGACAGAAACAATCTACTTTTCTGTTCCACTTTAATTAAAGCCGCCACTCACTCGCCTGTGCCTGAATTTTATTTCAATTGTGTGGTCATCAGGGGACCCTCAGGGAAGGATGCAAAGGCAGGAGTATTAACGAAGGTAGGAGATCATGACGAATGGTAATTAGTGAACCAAATCACCCCTCGGTATCCAATCTCCTCCTTTCGTCGTCGTCGTCGTTGTTGTTGTTGGTCATCTCTAACGAAATGGCTGGGTCCCAATTCACAATTCACAGGCAGCGGGAGATCTGCCCAGTGAAAACAAGAAGACAAGATCAAACAAAGCGGGGGAGGTGAGAGAGAGAACTATCGAGATTCAAATTTTTGTTGTTATTGTTACTATTCTCCATACTCCTGTTCCTCATTCGCCTTCTTATTATTCCTTGTATCCTGGGTAATTCGATTCAATTAAATGACGAAGAAGAAGGACAAGACATTCCATTGTTTTTACCCGGTCCTCCTTTATTGTTTCGTTTTTTTTCTGGGCACCACTTCGTTGAGTGTCGCGCCGCCTAGGGTCATGCAGAGCTCGGATAGGGTGTTCTAGGGGACGCCTTTCCTTCCTCTATCCATTACAATTGGTTTTGGTGTGGCGCAGGCGTAGACTAGATGGAATCTGCTTGCTCGTTTGGCTTGGCTTGGCCTAGGAGACATTTGGCGTTACATGTTCGATCGTGTTGTTTTTCTTCACCATTTTCCTATTTTCCTGATTCCTTTTTTCCTTGTGAGCAAAAGGCATTTGTTTTGAGCCATATGTTCCATATGGACCCACCACTGGGGGAAAGAGAAAGAGAAAATATTTGTTTTTCTTCTTGGCTGACACGGACGCCGCAGGACCTCTAACCCCACGTCTATCCCCACAGGCGATGTCGTACGGGATAGAAGCGCAAAGCACGAAGGAAAAGATACATGAGGAGAAGAAAGAAAGAAATGAGAGGAAGAGTTATAGATCGAGTGTTGCACAGAACTTGATAATGTGTAAATTAGAAGTGATCGGGGCATGCTCCTCCTCACTTTCTTTCGTGTTTTCCTTCACTTGCGTTCGCTCTTTGTGCATCTTCATTCTCGCTTGCGATTGTTCTTCTCCACTCCACTACGACCATCACGTGTAGATACATTGATAGAGAGTTGGTGGTGGGCGCACATCTCGTACCAAGATGAACATTGAACATTCGTACAATGTGTGAGCGGGATAAAAGAAAAAGTGGGTGCAAACACATTTCTTCTCAAAAAGTTATATTGCGTTTCAGACAAAAACGATCGCCGACGCTGATAATTGAGGATGTGAATGCGGACGCCTTTTTTTGGTGCACAAGCTAAGGAATGGGGGGTAATAGGTGCAGGTACTTTATTGTACCGTACCACTTGCTCTTATTAGCATTTTTTCCTCACCGCTTAATTGTACTGTCCCTTTAATCCCTCAGTCGTTTCCTCCACGCCCACTTACATAGCCCTGAATGTTTGTGGCAAAAGAGATAGAACAAAAAAAGGCTAAAAAAACAGGATAATGGTAGAGTAGTGGCGGATTGTAAAGCGATCGAGCGCAATAATTGGACCTTGCGTTGACCTTGGAAATTAATAATTTCAGTGCTTTTGTGCCAATTGTCGTTAGTGTCCTTTCTGTTTATTGTCTGTTGGATCTCAGCCTTCGTCTTTGTTCGTTCTTTATCCTTCTGTGCTTTTTGAGGTCTAATTAACCGGTCAGTTCGTGCGTTTGCATTTGCGCTTTGCGGGAAGGCAAAAAAAAAGGCAGAGAATGTGTTTTGTCTCAAGCATTATCAAAATGACAGGGAGTGGAGATGGAAAAGTGATACTGGTGCAAGGCGCCCTTTCACTCCCATTCACATTTAGTTTATCCTTTTGACTGACCTCTGGCTCAATGTTTTCCAGCTCCTTGCCACACTAGCCTGCTTCGTATTGTATGTAACAAGACCTCACTCCTTTAAGATAGAAAAACGACTGATTGTCTGTTTACTTGCAAGCCGTTTTGTTTGTGTGCTCTAATTGAATTCTTTTTTTCTGGGCCAGGCAGATAGGTAAGCAGGGCTGGTGACCTCAATTCCTTTTCCCCCTGGCTTTGCTTGTCTTCGATATGTGTTCGTTGTTGTTCTCAGCCAGCCCCAAGAGTGTCCTTTGTTTTGTTTGAATTGAGTCGACGGACAAATTGCCGTCAAAGTTTAAATGAGAACTGAGGGTCAGATGGCGCGCGCCCACTCTGAGAGGAGAAGTGCTAGTGGTCTAACGGCTTTCTCCCGTTGTGCTGTTTTGTTGATGTTGCTGACAGGAAACAACCACAGTGTATATGCAGTGCTGTACCAGTTACAATACAAATTTGCGATTCAGTTATACTTTTTCTCGGAAAAGAATGCTATCAGAGCAAATAGAGGGTCAGGGCATCCCTCTTTGATCCTCTTGATTCGTCCGAGGGTGCCTACCTCTTTCACTAATTCACTCCCGCTCCACGTCTTCGAATGCCATAATTTCCGGGTCCTTCTCTCACTTTCCTCTACCCCTTTGTTTTAAGTGATTCATTCATTAGATTACCCTCGGTTTCTACAGCTTCATTTACTATAAAAGCACCAACCGTTCTCCCCAATTCTCATTTTTTTTTCCTTATCGAACTCTCCCTCCTAGCTATTGCCATAGCAAGCAAACAACAACTCCCCTCACCCCCCCACCCCTACACTACAACACCACCTACCCTCATCTTCTCTCTCGCCTTACCATCGAGTTAAACCCCCAACTCTTCTACAAACAACTCCACTTCTACACTCAACCCTATCCACACATTAGCCAACATGGTTTTCAAGTCCACCTTCTCCATCCTTCTCGTCGCCACCTTGGCCGTCATCTCCAACCTCACCCCCCAGGCCGAGGCTCACTCTTGGGCCGACTGCATTGACTGGAAGCCCGACGGCAGCTCGAACCAGTGGACTAAGGGCAAGTGCTTGGGTTACGCCCGCCGCTACCCCACCAAGCCCAAGTTCGCCTCCCTCGATGATGCCGATCCCAACCGCCACTACCAGCAGGCCCACAAGAACGTCAACAGCCAGCCCGCCTGCTCGGACGGCAAGGTCGGTGAGGAGCCCGGTGCTGACGAGACCCGCCCTGCCAAGATCCCCGATGCCTACTACAAGACCTCAGGCAAGAACTCTGCTTGGGGAAAGATGACCGTCACTACCGCCGGTGATACCCTTTGCGTCCGCTGGCCCGCCAAGAACCATGCTGGCGATCGTGATGGTGGCCGCGTTCTCATCAACTGGATGAAGGATGACTTGAAGAAGAACCACCCCCAGTCTGAGTTGAACAAGTTCCAGATTACCACCCTTGATTACTCTGCTTGTGACAAGGCCCAAAACTCTGACGTTCGTCCCTGCGGTGGATGCTTCAAGGTCCCTGCTAAGTCTACTCCCGGCATGTACCTCCTCCAGTGGCGCTGGCGCCTCAACTCCAACGAGTGGTACACCTCGTGCGCTGACGTTCAGGTCACCGGTTCAGGATCTTCGGCATCTACTACTTCTGCTGCTGCTCCTCTCCCTACTTGCAAGTAAATCCTCTCATTTCCACCATCATACCCCCTTCCCCTCTCCTTTCCTTTTTGCTCATTCTCTTCTATCCGCTTTTGTCAACAAAAACCCCTCCTCTCCGCCGTGTAGTGTATATCAGCTCAGAATGTAGTTAGTTTTCGAAAACAAAAAAAAAGTGTCGAGCAAAGCTTTCGGAAATTGTACAAGTTCTTCACCCCCCCTCTCCTTTCAGTTTTTCTTCAAAAATAAAAAGTATACCTCCATTTTCACTTATACATCTCTCCTTCTGTATTGGCACTTGTGTGAAGCAATGGCTCTTGTATGTATGTCTCCAATTGAAAACAGAAAAAGCAGGTACAATTGTGTCTCGACTTGTCTACGATGCAAGCCAAAAAAAAAAAAAAGCGGTTTCATTTTGTACCTCTACTCTCTACATTTGCATATATGCAGTTTGATTACGATTTGTGTTTTGCTGCTTACTCAACTCTTTCACTTTCATATCCCCTCTCCGCTGGCCTGGTTGACTGTCCAACTGTCTGTCGTGTGTCAAAGTAATTTACTGTTCCCCTGCGCAGTTTTTTTTTTTTTTAATTCTCTTGCGCCCTCCTCCCTCTTTCTCCGACATCAAATGACGCCAAAGCGCTTGTGCTGATAGGTGCCGTGTCATAAATTAATCGATGAAACAGGGGTGACACAGGGCAGTGACAGAGGTGTCAATTTCAGGAATGCAAGGGGAACTATGTGTTTCCTTGTTCCTGTTCCTGTTCCTGGGGATTCAAATCTTTTCCCTGGGTAGAGATGGAGAAAAGGCAGAAAGGCAGGATAGGTAAGGGGGGGGAGTGAGATTTCTTATCCCCGGGTAGAGATAGAGAAAAGGCACAAAGGCAGGATAGAGATATATGTAGCGAGATTTCTGTCAGTGCCAGTTACAAACCACCCCTCCTTTTTTGCCTTCTTTTTGGTCTCTCTCTCTCTGCCAGACTACCCCTGCTTTCAATGAAATCCACAACTGTTGTCTGTGCCATCATTACTGACATCGAGTCCCTTTAATGTCTAGGTGTCGTGTGGTGATCAGATGAGGAATCGCCTAGGTGGTGTTGACGAGATGAGTGTTGAATGGCGAGAGGGGGGAGAGATGAGTAAGCGTAGTAAGCCTTGTAAGTATGGTAAGCGTAGTTAATGGTTTGTTATAATGAGTAGGCTTGTAGTGGTGAGTTGGTGTTAGGTATATTTAGATAGCCTGGGACCCGCACATAATCGGTCGTGTACGTACACACCACAACCACAAACCACAACTACATGTCCAAAAATCAAAGGGGTACCTGAAGCTCCAACGCCCTCAATCAACCACAACAACAGAAAGTATCCGCTGACACAGCCCCCGGAGGATCAATGTGACCAAGGCGGATAAAATCAACACAAACACACACACACACACTTTTGCTGATGTAGGCAATGTAATGAGGATGACGCTATGTAAATGAGAGCAATGGGCAGAGCCCGTCTGGTGAGTTGTGGTGTAGCGGGGAAAGGGTCACTTGGCCACCCTTTCTCATTTCCCTCTCCCCTTCCATGTCCAACAGCCAAATCTAATCTTAGGTTGGTGGAGCATTGATTATCCAAGCCACCCGCACTGGCGCTTGTCACCTACCCTCGGACTAGTCTAAATGCATAATGGATCCGGATAAATCCTATGCAACATTCAATAATATGACAGTGTTGTACTATGAAGATTCGCGCGTAGATTCTGGTCAGTCAGCATCACTTTTTTTCCTTCCGTGCGTTGCTTTCATTCTATCTCCTTCTTTTCACGGTCCCCCAAGCAGCAAGAGATCGTAGGTCGACAAAACAACGTGGCCGCAACGCACGCATGCATCGGGAACACGAATTGGTTTGTGCCTTGGCCGCCTGTTTCTTTTGCCCACTTTGTCGCTCATGCATAGGAATGGGTCGAGCGGGAATACGGGAAGAAAATGAAAGTGATTGGGAAGAGAGAGATGGAAGAGTGGGAGTGGGATGAGGAAGAGTCTGTCCGCCGTTATGTTTATTGCTCACCAGAATGAGTTGTTCAATCTAAGAAGAAGGGCACGGAAGGAGAGGACTGACATGGCCACGTTATGTCAATTTACTCTATGACTGGAATGGACTCGTCCTTGGACGAGAGAGGAAAAGAGGAGGGAGAGGGACCCGTTCCACCGTTCCACAGAAAACAAAACAAGACACATAGATAAATTGACTTGCATGCTTTGACCAATTTCCCGTTTTGTTTGTTTGTTTGTTTGTTTGTTGTTATTGCTAGTCTAAAATTGTTGTTGTTGGTAGTTGTAACAAATAAAGTTTTCCGAGACCATTTTTTTCCGAGACTCTTACTACATACATGGTGCCTGTGGGCATTGAAGGCACCATGTTGATCGATTTCATGGCCAGGGGTACTCCTCCATCCATCCATGTTTGTGTGTTTTGTGTGTTTATTTGTTTTTGTTTTGTTCGTAAATGTGTGTAGTTTATTAAAGTGCTACATCACGAGGCAACGATCTGTGTTCGTCCCATTAAAAATGGCGAAAACATACCTCTTGAGATCCGCGGAATTTGCCACACATAGTAGTCCTTGGCAACAAGGCATCAAACAACAAGGGCACTCAACGGGATAGGAGGATCTCTTGGAATGCCCTTTCAAGATTGCTACTGGCAAGTAAAAGTGTCCTGTTCTCTATGTCCTTTACAGAGTTGAGATATGGCATCAGTCTAGTATATACGTCCGTCTATGAATAAGGACTGGATGATACCAGGCCTATTATTGATCGTCACTCGCTCTACCTTTTCTTCTCCAGTACGCAGTTCCTCAAAGTTGATCATATCCTGTCACCTGTATATCGAGACCGCTTTGGGTGCGGAGAAGTTGGCGAGAGGAAAGGACAGGAGGGTAGGAAGCACCTTACCTTCCAAAGCTCACGTGATGAGGACAAGGAGACATGGGTTTGAGCTGGAAAGAAAAAAAGGGCACACCTACGCTCTTGTCTCAACCTCGGTCTATGCCCTCTGCTTTTTCGCACAGCTTGTGCCACTGAACGAATGGCGACGAGTTCGGTCCACTTGTTTGGTTGACCAGTCTTCCATAGGAAGTCGAGTACTATATCACCTTTTCCATCTTGCATCACTTGTCTCTGCTTGAAAAGGAACGATTACACGATGGCCCGCCTTTTACGTGAGTGTGAGTGCTGCCTCATTACCATGATAATATTAATTGCCAAGGCTATGATAGAAACGATTAGGATGAAGGTGTGAGAAGAAAATAAGTGAAAGGGTGTCGATTGCAGGTGACAGATCAACATCTCACTTTTAATTATTCTAAGAGGCGCGTCTGTTATTACTTGTTAGTGATGGTGCCTGGATTTGATAGCTGTGGAGAACGATCTACGATCTGATCCTGATCGTTTGATCTTTGCTCAGCACCCTGCGGTTTCAAATGGAAACCCCACCTTCACCTCACTCCGAAGGTTTGAAACCAGACAAACCAGCTTGGCACTCTTTTGCGGCTGTGCACGGCAGCAGTTCATGAAGGGGTTGCACGAACAAGCAGTTTACGTAGCTACCTAGATAAAAATATACGCTCTTCCCTTCCCGTCATAGAAGCGACTCATGGGAACTGTGTGGTGTCTCAGTGGCGATCACAGCCCTGAAGGAAAACGCTGTTTTGTCAAGAGTAGGAGTCTGGTTTTTTTTGGCGACGTTTATTGGATTACTTTGTCATGTTTATCTGTCTACATGCAGGCAGCGGGCTAGTGATCATAAACGAACGATCGTACTATGCATGTAGGCCTTCCACCGAAAGAAAAAATTGGAGATCGCACCCTCTCCCAGCACCATTTTATCTAATGTTTCTCCGCTGTAAGGCGGACTGTCCGAATATTTTCTTTATTCGTATGAAAAACCAAAAGTAGCTAGGACAGAAAGTGCCTGAGAATTGAGAAGTGAGCGAAGAGAGTTAGAAATGAGCGAGCGAAGGATTGGTAAATCGTAGAAAGAAGACATAGCTTTTTTTCTTCCGGCAGTGCTCCGGTCCTTTCTCCGACATTTCATTTCTTTATGATGAATGTTTTATTGAGCGTCGTACAAAACCGGTTTTCTGTCAAGGGCGTGGCTCTTGGCTGATGTGTTGAGTTTTTGATATGGTTCTCTTCCTTGTGGCGTCTGTCGTCTTTTTTTGATCCTCGGCAGATTGGAGTGGAGTAAGGATCTTTTATGACAGCTAGTTACATATGAAGGGACTCAGTGCTCTTGAATAATCGGGCCGATGAACAGAAAGAAGAATGAAGAAAGAGGCACGCTCCATTTCTTCCTATGTTGCAATGGTTCGTGGACACGTGGACCAAAGAGGACAGAAGCGCGTGTGTGGGTGCATGTCTTCGTTCCTCGACTGCATGGCGCTCCCGGATCGGACTTTCATAACCCATTGCATCAAGAGAACAGAGGGTGGACGTAAAAAGAAGAGACACGACATGGTTACATGCGATCGAGTGGGGTTCATTGGGGAGAAGACAGGCAGACGAACAGAGAGGGCTCAGTGTTTACTTTAGCGCGCGTTGAACAACTTGGCACCCCGCAAAAATATTGACATCGCCGCTGACTGCATTGACCTGATCCTCTCGTTTTTCTTTGTGGGACCAGGAATGAGTTGAACACAAGATGGGACGGAGGTGTCCCACGCCTAAGATTTTTGTGTGTCCAAATGGTTACTGTAAATGGTAGGCAACGAGCGAAAGTTAGCTTTGTCTAGGTCCCAGAGGTTGTTTTGCGTTCATACAGGAAATGATGGATAATCGCCGTTTTGGAGTGAGACAAAGTGGCCCTCTCAGTCAATGCACCAATACTTTGTCCGAGAGGGAGCAGAGGCGTCGAACCGTCCCTTGCATATCCCCACATAAAATGGTCGTTTTCTTTTTCAAATTGGAAGTAGGCTGTCGAGATGTTATTAGAGATCGATCTTTGGGTGAATGGAAGGAAGGAATGATAAGAGGCGCCAATTCCTGCATCAGCCGTAACTTCAACAAGAAAGCAAGCAGATAGACGGATGATACTTGGAGATACCTTTGCAGTCGTAGGCAAGGTTTTCATGTCACGCTTTTTCCCTCACCCCTTCACCCACTTTTGATTTTCCCCACACTTTTGATTTTTCTTTTTTTCAGTTTTCGTTTTCGTGGTTGAGTCGTGGACCGGAACATTCCGAGAAATGGATCGCGTGGCCTCCGAGGCAATTTTCCTCCGCATTGTCGTCGTGATCCGGCTTTTTTTCATTTCTCTTTTTTTTTTTTTTTTTTTTTTTTTTTCGTTTTTTCGAGTGGGGTGAACGAGGGGGGAAGGAAAGGTGTGCGTGTGGTCCGTATTGCCAATTGAGAAAGGAAAATAATGCGGAGAAATCGAGAACCCTCGTTTTTCTCACAGCCCGAGGCTATAGGAACGACGGAAAATGATGAAAGATGGGGTAAAGGAGTCATTAGGCTCGCGTAGCTCTGTTCCTCCTCTTTCCGGAGAAGCTTGCTATTATTCCTCCTTCACTTTTGCTTTACCTTTTCAAAGATGGTGAGGTTAATGAACTAGAGCAAAACAAGCACAAAGCAAGGCAATCGGTTTTCGTACGACCATTGATACACCTCCTCACTTTTCTCTTACGGCTGTACCCTCTTCCTTCTTTGAGGAGAAGAGCAGCACCTTAGCGAGATTTCTCTTGATTCCAAATAAACCGATCATTGAGCGGCGCGCACACTCGCTGTGAAAGCTCAGTTCGCTTGTCAGAGGCAGTAACAAAAAGTAGATCGTGGTAACTCGGAGAGCCAGTAACGTAGGGGTTTAGATGAACACGAAAATAAAAACGAGTTTTAGGAAAGAGAATTGACCATAGTCCACAACGGCCCAGAGCACACCGCTTCTCATTTTTACTCTTTTGGTATGTGTTGAGTAAGTGAGTGAGCTGAGTAAAAGTAGGATGATGATGGACAGACGATTGAATGGGTGTATGAGTTGTAAGTTGAAACTTGGACGACTTGTCGCAGTACCAGAGTGGCATCCCTTCAAGAGACATTTGAGTTCAACTCACTGTCAACCCAGTCGACGCTCAAACTCTCTTTTGCAGTTCTCTCAACTCCTTAATCATCGTTCTCACCTACAGGGGATGAGAGGGAGAGCCGCTCTCTTTTTGCTCTGACCATCCGAACCTCGATTGAATGGCTGAATGCTCCATATGCGATGTGTGTTTGTGCTTGTGCAGGTTGACAGGGCGACGAGGCAATAGATCTGCTAGACTCTACCTCTTAATCTTCGGGTCCCTTTTCTCCTTCTATAACTTCTATAACGTCTTCCTTCTCTTTCTTCTCCTTTTTTGTTCCTGTTCTTTTTTTTTTTTTACTTTTTCTGTTCTCCACCCTCACAGCTCCCTTTTGTTCATTCGTTTTTTTTTTTGTTGTTTGCTCATTTCATTTGACACCTCATTGTTTTTGCTTTTTCCTTCATTAATATTACAAGTAACCCCTCCTCATCGACGCCATTACTCTCTCACCAACACACTCGGCAGCGCTCTTCCCTCAGTAGAGTATCCTGCTACCCTTTTACCCTTCTCCACGTTTTATATTTTCCATTCTTTTTTTATTTTCTCCGCACACCCTTCCAACCTCTCTCAGTACCTACCAGTCTGTACCCTTTCGCCCATTGCTCGCTCAGCATCCTCCTCCAGTCGGATCATATTTCAGGCGTAAACTCACTTCAATTCAACCTTACGCCCTCTCTCTCTCGAAAGCCAAATCTTTTGTTGTCCCCTATTCATTAATCCTCAACTCAAAAAACGTAGACCCAACCTTTCTTAACCAACAACAAGCGCCCATCACCTGGAGACCCTTCTCCAGCCCAACTCTCTTCCATCACCCCGGGACTATCACTATTTACCTAGATAATCGTAGACCAGATCCTCCTTCTTTTGGTCTCTTTTCTTCTGGTTCAAAGTCGTCCAACCCTCACATACTTGACTCTCTTTCAGTTTTCTTCATCTGCACAGTTCTTTTTTTTTCTTACCTGATCATATATCAACATGACATTCTCGGGTCTGCCCAGTCTTCGCGATCCCAAGCACAGTCTCAAAAACTCAAACTCGGGGTCGTCGGTATCTTCCTCCCCGAACAGCTCACCCAGTTCATCACCCACCACCGAACCGATTTCTGGTCTACAACAGCAACACCAGCAAGGTGGGCCTGCTGTCCTGGGTACTGCCGATCATCCTACAGTCAATGTTGCCTCGCCTTCGACAACAACTACGTCAGCGGTGGAGGTCGTGCGACCCGCCGTCACTGGGAGCAGTAGCGGGGCTGCTATGATATCGGTCGCGGTGGCCAATGTCCCGACGGAGACCACATCCATTCCCACAAGCTTGATCGAGAGGTCGTTCCAGGGGCTGATTCAGTCGTCCTTTGGACATGTCCTCAACTCTCTCCCTCCTCAGGGGATGGCTGCCTCTCTGAACAGCATGAGCAACCCGAGTACAATGGATCTGCACCAGCAGCAGGTCCAATCACCCTCTCCTGTATCGATGCTTCTACCTCCAATGACTGCATCGCCAACGCCCATTGTGACCATGAAGAAGGCTACCCCACAGAGTCTAAGTCCTGCCCACAGTGCAGCTTACCGCAAGCGGCTGAATGTTAATCAAGGTACAGTACTCTGCAAAAGCAACATGTCCGTTTTGTCTCGTCCCTTTTGGCAGATACTTGGGAACCCTATTCGTTGCCCTCTGTTATTCCTATGACCCCCCACCCCCGCGTCCTATTCCTACCCGACTGGACGCAGAATAACCTTTATTTATCATTCCTTGTGTGGATCATCAACGAACAATGAAATGAAAGGAAGGAGACCGACCTATTAGATCTGCAAGAGTACCCTTCACCTATTCATTCGCTCCTTACTCTCGTCGTCTTCTGCTCGTTCTCTCCTCCTCTTCGTCTTCCGTCATCCACGAATCTCCGACCCATCGTATTAACCGTAGAACATCTTCTGTCTTATTTGTCGTCTTTTGTCATTGTTGAACGCACTCTCTCTTCTGTACCTTTCCATTGTTCCACTCTGTCTTCCAATTCAACTGCAATCGGCCTGCCCCCATACCAGTCTGCGACTGGTGCAGATACAGGAAAATCAGATGCGATCGCGAGTCGCCCTGCAATTCCTGCCAGCACTCAAAGCGAGAATGCATCCGTACCCCGCCATCTGCCCTCCTCGCCAATCAACTACAAACCCCTACCGAAGACCAAGAACCCATCGTCTCCTCCCCTGCCAGCTCATCAGGAAAGACGAAACGCGTCCGTGCCGCCAACAAGGACGGCAGATCCCGTCGTGCCTCCAAGTCCTACCGTGGAAGCAGCATCAGCTCCCACCATAGCTCTTCCTACACCTCCCTCTCGTCCGATAACGACGGCTCTGATGAGGAAGATGAAGATGAGGGCGAAGATGAGCAAAAGTCGACGAGTGGTTCAAGAGTTGGCGAATCGTCTGTCTCGCCTGTGGTTGGGTCCTTGACCTTGGCTGGCTTGGGCTTCTCCAGTTTGGGTTTGGGCCTTGGTAGCTTTGGTTCTAACCTTGGTCTGGATGCAAGACGTGGGAGTGATTTCCATATGGCGAGCCCAACCACGTTCGATTCCAGCATGGCCGCCGTCCAAGAGAGTGCCATGCCTCAGCAGATGAGCCTGCAGGATCAAGAACACCTCGAGCGTATGCAGCGGATCGAGATGTTGCTCTCCAATGTGATTCCCGGTGCTGCAGAGTTCATCACCGGCGGCTCGCAAGGCTCTTTGCACGTGCAGCAGCAGCATCACCAACATCTCATGCAACAGCAACAGCAGCAACAGCAGCGTCGGACCTCTGTTGTGAAGAAAAAGGATTTGTCTCTTTTGACCCAAAACCTCGACCTTCATGAGCAACAGTCCCAGCACGATCGCATTTTGTCCCCTCAAGACCGCTTGGCCAAGATGGCTCTTTCGTCGCCTGCCATCAATACGGCCATGTCTATGCCTTGGTCCAGCTCTCCCTCTGGCCTGTCTTCCCTCTGCGAGAAGACCGAGTCCACCGAGCCATCTCAGTCGTCCTCTTCATCGTCGTCTTTGCCATTGATGTCTGGCTCTGACTACATTGAGCGCATGAAGAAAATCGAGATGTTGCTGGGAACCATCCAGGATGTTCCTCTTGCCAAGGCTTTGATCTCTCAATCCGAGGGTCAGACTCTCTCCAGTGGATCCTCAAGAAGTAACAGCGTTGATGTCGCTGACAATACAATGTTGTCCAAAAAAGTTTCCAAGGTAAGCAGCACCCTCTGTTTGTTAATTTGGTGGCGCGTGTTTCTTATCATGACAGAGATACATTTTGCTAAGGTCCTCCGGCCCTCCCCTTTGCATACCAATCCTTCTCTCGATCTAATAGAGGAACCTGAAGAAGAAAGGCAGGGGCTATGGTAAAAAGTCAAACTACAACAGCGACGGTACCATCATCAAGCGGCCTCATGTTGCCGCAGGGTTCGCCGGACAGAAGCCTCCACCCAAACTCCCTCAGGCCATCGCTGAGGCCGCTCAGAAGAAGCAAGCCACCCGCAAGAAGCGTGTCTCTGCTGCTGCCGCCGCCAAAGCCGCAGCTGCAGCAGCAGTTGCTGCTTCTGCTTCTGCTGACACCACCGCTACTAGATCTGAGACTAACGATGTCTCGTCTCCTCTGTCGTCGGTCTCGATGCCCATGGGTGGGTCGTCATTGAGCACCGTACAGGGCGCCAATGGGATCAAGATGGACTCGAGGATGATGACCATTTCGACAATGGCCTCCCTTGATATCCCATCCACCTTTGATAACGAGTCCTCGTCCTCTTCTTCCTTTGCGCACCAACGGCAACAGCAACAACAACAACAACAACAACAACAACAACTGAGGATGTTAAACATTCAACAGCATCAACAACACCAGCACCGGTTGCAGATGGCCCAACACCGCAACTCGATCTCGTTCCAATCACAAAGTCAATTGTTTAACTCCTACCAACAGCAGCAACAACATCAGCAGCTTCCTATGTCTGGCACCAGCTCAATGAACATCCCTATTGCGGACTCGACGTCCTCCTATGGATCCTTGGTCGTCCCCGCCTCATCTTCGACAAGCTCCTCACCGTCCTCGTCGCCCAGCATCTCAAGAGCCACCGTCATCGGTCAGGACAACAGCACGAGAATGGCGGGACAACAGCACCTTCAACCACCGCAGCAACAGCACATTTCGTTCCATCAAACTCAACTCTCGGGTGATTTCGAGATGGGCTTTGATATGCGTCAGGGCATGTCCTCTGATTCCGTTCTCCAGGCAACCAATGATACCCATATCCACCCGTTTACGCACTCTGATCAACAGCAACAGCAACAACAGCAACAGCAACACCAGCGCCAGTCTATACAGATTGACCAGGACGGGTTTGCGGATTTCGGATTGAACATGGACGAATCGCTGGAGGGTCTGATGAAGAAGAGTATGGGATCGTTTGACCGCCTCATGGAGAGTTTCTCGAACGATTCTCCTTCGCTCTTGGAGCATCATCACCAACTTCATCAACAGCAACAGCAACAGCAGGTACTTGCACCTTCGACACCCGCTGCCTCTGTGGACCAGTTCTCGTATTTCCAGAACTTGCAGCAGACTCCAACCCCACAACAGCAACAACAACAGTTCCTCCACAATCAACAACACCAACAGCAGGGTCAGCAGCAGCAGCAGCAGCAGCAGGGACATATGAGCTTCCAGGAGGTGTCGAGGACGATGTGGATATCAAACCACTCTGGAGGAGCCGCATCCTTCTCCGTCCCCACCAACTCCGAGTTCTCATGGTCGTCTCCTCCACCACACCAACAAACACCATTGCAGGCACTTTCCCAGCAGCAGGGCACTATGCAGAGTATCAACATCTCTGCTAACGATTCGCCACAAGAAGAGTTGGAACTGGAGTTGGGCCTTGAGAGCCATCATGTTGTGCAACAACAGCAACAACAGCAACAACAGTTGAGTGCACATGTGCTGTTCCAGCAACACCATCAAGAGCAGCAGCGTCGTCATATAGAGCAGCAGAAACAACAACATAGGGCATCGATCCAACACCAGCACCAGCAGACGTTTTATATCCCACAGATGCAGGATGATGAGGATGAGGATGATGAGGACGAGAGTAACGGTGGCCTCCCTGATCATGTATGACAGGTCCCAATAGCGTCTTCTTCTCCTCATCAGTTACCCTGCCCAAGGCCAATGTAGTGCATTCTTTTGTTTTCCCTTCTTGTTACTTTTCATCCCCCATCCTATCCTCGCTTGTATCATAGTCATCCCCTCCTTTCCTCCTCCCACTTTTTGTACTCAACATTAAATAATTATACATTATTCATCGCATGTGTCTTTACTGCCGATCTCGTATCATTGTTTTACTGTAAACCTTCAAGAGGCTGTCATTAAAGACGTAAAGTACTCATCCACATCCGCCCAAGCGGGACTACCAACACCCGAGACTCGGAACGCGATATGAGTATCTGGTCGCAGAACCACGATCCCTCCTCCTTGGACTAGAGACGCGCTCTTCTTGGTCGGCGGCGTCGATGACAGACCTGTGAATCCGAACCATTCGTGCAAGCGTCCTCCTTCAGGATCGATGTAGATCTTTCCGTAACCTTCTGTCCTGTCTGCCATTGCTGTTGCTGTCCCATGGTTGTCTGACTCTGAGAATGTGGCGCTAGAGATGACATGGACCATGAACTGAGGCGTCGATTTGTTCTTCTTGCTCATCATTGCCTCCGAGCTCGAGCTTGAGCTTGAGCTCGAGTTCGAATCCAACACGCCTCGGAGGCCTGGCCACCTAGACGACCAAACCCGTTGATAGTGCTCGATATCCTTGCCCAGTCTCGCATCCAGGTCCTTCTCCGCTACCAGACGATCTGCCGCAAAGACAAGGATTTGGAAGACTCCCGGGAAGGCGAGGATGTCGTACAATCGTACATCTTTCGATTGTTGGTTGGTCCCTTCGTCCTCCAGTTCCGCTAACGACTCTGATCTTGGTAGTGATGTATCTGCAGGTGCAGGGGCGAAGGGGACAATGATGTCGTCAGGAGCGCGCTGGCCGATGGAGGCGGGTCCTGTAGGTGGGTAAGGGTGAGATTTGTGCGACTTGTTGATTGAGTTCTCGTGGTACCTCAGTCCCAACTATGAAATACAACGGTTCACAGTTAGTTAGGTTCTCCATTACACGCTCATCAAACTCTCAAAAAAGAGAAAAAGTCATGCAAGATGCAGTTTAGTACCATAGAGTAAGGAGTCGGGCGACCGCCGCCCATTGGCAAATACCGCATGATATACGGCAAAAGAATAAGCATCAACTTTCTCAGATTAGAAGATATCCAGCCCTGATAGACACCATTGTCGAGTGTCGTTGCAGAGTATTTGATGATCTCGTCAGCGATCGGGATACGTTCGTCGTTGTAGGTGTCCAGGAGTGAGGGGGCTGCTGTGCCGTTGAGGACTAGGGCGATCTTCCATGTTAGGTTGTATGCATCCTGTAGACCTGTGTTCAGTCCTGATTGTTGTGACAAAGTGAAGATAGGTTAAGTTTGACATGTGTGGTACAATGAACAACAACAAATCGGCAACAGCCAATGGGGTATAACATACCTTGACCACCAGCAGGGGAGTGACAATGAGCAGCATCGCCCGCCAAAAAGATACGTCTCTTGTACCCAAATTCCTTCGCTCTCCGCTCATTCACCCGATAATACGTGATCCAGTTGTAGCTCACGACCTTCATCTTCAAAGTGCCCAGGGTCTCCTGGAGAAGGGTTTCAAAGTACTCTTTGTCGACGGTTTTGGGTTCTCGTGCTTCGAATTGGTCTTGGGTGAGGAGGCCGTCGTCGAGCATGAGGCGGACACGGTTTTCGCGGATGGGGTACATTGCGATCGAGTGACGGTTGTCGCCCTTGATGAACCTATTTTTGGACAGTCAGGACAGAAGGTGTAAGAGAGATGGAGATAAGGGGTTGAACGAAAGAGTGATGAGAAAAAAGGTCATCCATAAATTAGTCAGGGTCCAATTTAAAAAGTACAAGATGTCCCAAAATGACGTCATAGACTTACGAGACGTTTGTGGTGGACAGGTCAGTCTCGACATGCCCATCAAACAGGATCAAGTTGTAGTCGCGGGTTCGACCAGGGAAGGGGATGTTGAGTCGGTGTCGAACGGTTGACCGGCCGCCGTCAGAGGCTATCAGGTACTCGGATCGGACTACCTTGATCTCATACTGCTTGTCTTCGTCCTCGTCCGCCATGTCAACAGTGCCCAGGACAATACTCTCTCCTTTGCGCTTGTTAGTCCCTACGATTGCTCGACGTATCGTCGTCTCCACCCATGTCGTCTTTGCCTCTTCCTTTATCGTCACATCTGCCGCATGTTCCTGCTCCTGCTCCTGCTCCTGCTCAACAACTCTAGTATCCACTAACTCCCATCCCCTCTCCACCCGTCCCAACCCCAACTTCTCATACTCCTCCGTCAAGATCTTGACCGTCGAATTCTGCTCCAACATCCAAGGAATCCCAAACTCAGAATCCTTCGCCTTCCTCGGCCTGATCTCCGCTGTCAACTTGCTCCCATAATAAAACTGCATCGAAGGACTTATCCAGGATTCGGTCTTAAATCGCTCATAGAGTTGCGGGTCGGTGAGTTTGAAGATCTCGAGGGTGCGAGCGTGGAGACTGACAGCTCGGGAGTCTGGGGATGGGGTGAGGTCTCGTTCGATGATTCGGCTGGAGATACCGAGTTTTGAGAGGAGGAGGCCGGCCATGAGTCCGGAGGGGCCTGCACCGGCGATGAGAACCGGAATATCAATGTTGGATGGGGTATTTGAGGAGGTGGTGGTGTTTGTGGTGTTAGGAGTGGAGGATGAGGAGGATGAGGATGAAGGAGAGGCGGGTGAGCCTGAAGACGATGGTTCTGACGCCATGGTAGCACTTGTTGTTGGCCTTGGTTGTTGCTTGTGGAGTGTTGTGTGGGAATGATGTTTTGTTGAGGGTGGGGATTGGGGGTAAAGAAAGAACAAAAAAACGGATGCCCCTGTTCCTTTTTTATGCGCGTTCTTGACACCACTGAGGACTGGGAAGGAAGAAAGGGGTCTTCTACAATCCACAGAACATCTCCTCACTAGCCCATGCTCGCTTCTTTTTTCCTTTTTTTAGCACGTTGACTCGAGCAGCTGGCAGACGAAATGGGGAAAAAAATTACTTTTCAAGTCTGAGAGCGGACATGAGACATAGCCTTGCATGGAAGGTGGATGGACATGGACATGGACATGCTTCTTTCTGAGTGGACGTGTCCACTTTTCGAGACTTGGACTTCGGACAATAAAATAACTCCGGCTCATTTTCTTGACTGCAGGCACACTTTTACCTAGCATTGGTTCTTGGATGGCGTGTGCTGACTGCTGTTCATTGCTGGCTAATCCACAGTGAGCAAACTACCAATTCCATCCCTCGGAAAAAAAAAAGAAAAGTACTTTCCAGATCTGAGCGTGGACGCGAGAAGAAGAGTTAATTGAATTTTTGGGACATGGATGTTAACGTTTAAACACCGCATCCATTTTTTTTCCCTTGATGGCTGTTTAAACCATTGATCGCTCTCTATGCCTTTGCACACCACAGCCATTCCCTTACAACACACAAAACCATCCCAATGGACGGATCCTTACGTTTTTTTTGTAATTTTATTTTAGGACAAGAATGTGCTGCTCAGCTGTGACGAAGGTTGGCGTTGCCATGATGTTGTCTCAACGCATGGGGGCCAAGGGTCTCCCTCAGTAACTCGGGCGACAGACCTTGATGATGCACCGCCCGGAAAGCGCCTTCCTCATCCTCGCCTTCCTCATTGTTGTCGCCCCCGTCGTTCTCTGTGCTGTCGTTGCCATCGTCGTCGTAATGTTCGTCATAACCATTGTTGCTGTAGAGGGTAGTCGACAGAATCGCAAAGGCACCCTGACGCTTCTGTAACCGGGACAGGATATTGTTGATGGCAATGTCACCCTGTCTCTTGACGTTCCCGGGGACCACGAAGGAGGCTGACATAGAAGACGAGGAAGAATGATGTGACCGGCGGTGCTTGTGATGCTTGGAGGTTTTCCTTGTTGAAGACGAGGAGGAGGATCTGGAGGAAGTAGTAGAGTCCGAATCCGAGTCAGGAGTATGAGCTAAAGGGAGAGGTGTCTCGCAGGTATCTTGATCGGCGGAGGAGGGAAACTCTGACTCGTAGAGGACTGTGGTATTGCTTGACACGGCGACGTCGGCACTGTTGGTGTGAGGGAGGTGCTGCACCTCACAGGGGTGATAGTGTGTTGTTACTGTTGACATTGTTGTTGTGTTTGCTATATGTGCAGGGATATGAGATGTTGTTTTTTGATGTGTGGTTATGAGGTTAGGAGCTGTTTGACTGGGGGTGGATGATGTGTAAGGTGAAGGTGGAGGAGTGGGGCTGTCCTTGTCTCTTTATACCAGACGGTTCTCACTGCCACATGCATGGGAGGGAAGGGAATGCTACGAATTTGGGCGTTTCTTCTTTAATCAAACGAGGATCGCCATTGACGTGAGCTTGCAGAAGCTAGTGGTGGCAACAGAACGGCGAAAGCAATAGCCTTTGTAAAAAGAAGGCGACGTTCGTCTGCGCCCTGTGTTGACAAAAGGGTTGTTTTTTTAAAGTTCAGCTGCGACTAAAAGCAGGACAGGAAAGGAAGAAAAAGAAGGAAAACGAAGAGCACTCACTCTTTGTCAAGAAGAGCAAAGTCCGAGGAAAAGACAGTGTCAAAATTCAGTGATAGGCGATGCAGTTGAAAAGAAAAGGTCCTGTTTGTCCGCTATGCGCTCGTTTCCCCACCTGTGCCACTGTAGCGTAAAAAAAATATAGGTGAATGAATCAGCCTGACCTTCCACGAAGCTATGAAAATGATCCAAAAGCAATGCGCCTGCGGCAGGTCTAACGTTTTGTTTATTTACTTCTCAAAATTGATTGTCTTAAACGAGCAAAGCCCAGCCGGTGGCATCCCACCATGCGCCAAACCCAAAGCAAGTGCCTCCACCACCGACTCCAATGATCTGACCTCGATTTGTGTCCAACGCAGTGGCGTGTCCAACCATCACCAACTCTTTGAACGCTGACGCTCGAAGGTACTGGAAGGTACTCTCTCTTGGCCGAATCTCGACCATCGTCTCCTGCCATTTGAGCAGTCCTGGCGCAGAGACTCCGCCCATAATCCATACCCGATCGTCATCCAGCGCAATACTGGTGTGTCCGAACCGTGGCGGCAATGGGTCGCCTGAGTCGGTCCTGATATCCAGCTCCTTGGCCTCTACCCAACAGTTGGGTTCTTCTTCACTCACACCTAGGCTGACTCTCCAGACTGTGTTTAGGACCTTCTCGTCGTTTCCTCGGATACCGCCCACTACCAATAGACTGTCTTGATTGTTGGCATCAGGGATGACGACAGCGCTGTGAGAAAAGATGCCAGGGAAGGGTTGTTGCTGTCCGTTCTCGAGTGACCTCCACTTGAAATGGCCCCATTGACATTCCTGCGGATCGAACGCCCAAACCTGACTGTTGGCTTCGCCAGTGTCGAGTCTTCCTCCAAGTACAACCATCATCTCCCTGCCACCCACCGTCATCATGCTGGCGGTATGTTTGAAGAGCCCCTTGGGTACCGGGCTCTCACCCTCGTTGCTGACTCTTGCTCGCCACAAGGGATCCCAACCGCCATTTGGAGAGTAGCGCCAAACATCGTTGTGAACCTTGCTGGGTCCATCCCGCCCTCCATAGACATATATGGCCGAACCATCCAGAGAGGTCGCAGCCGAGTGATGCATCCGAGGGGCTGGTCCGTCGCTTCCTGCAGCAAGTGTTTCTGCAGACCCGTCGATCAAGTTGAGTCGCATCATAGTGTTCAGGCGTGTCTGCTGTCCTCGAGTCTGAAAGACCTTTGCGCCCTCTTGGTGACCCTCTGCATCCAGACCGAACCCCCCGAAGACAAACGCTTCGTCTCCAAGGATCGACAGGGTGTGACCCTTTCGGTTGATATCCAGGTCCTGGAACGGGCTTTGCTTCGCCCAGTCAATGTCGGTGATCAAGTCCGAAGAAATGGTGTCGTCAGTGAATTCATCATCCAGGTTCGTGTACGTCTCCTGGTCCACATGGTGAGCAGACAGCGCTGTGACATCCTGCAGTTTGGATCTCAGCCCGATATGCTCAAGCACGTCAGGACTCTTCTTGCCTTGAACCGACGAGGTTCCCGGACCGGTTGACGCAACAGCGATAAAGTAGTATGCTCCAATCCAGTACAGCTCATCGTGCTCGTCGAAGGGCTCCAACAAGGACACGCGCTGGTGCTCCTCTGCTGTCGGCATGGTAACATAGTCTGCAAACAAGTTCATGTTCAACAGATCGCACTTTGACCAACCCAATACCTTGAACCGTTCCCGATGATCCTGTAGGCTCCTGTACTCCTGTAGCGTCTTGAGTGGCGTCATTGTCTTTTGGAAGTGCCTGAACATTGTCGAAGAGAATGGATGAAGGTTCTCCTGCTCATCGTCAACATCAAATGTCGGGATGCACTGCTCGTGCAAAATGAACGTAGCTATTGGTATGTTGAAGCAAAGAAAGGTAATTAGCATATCTCGCCGTTTTCTTGGATCGCCACCACCTTTCAGGGCAATGGCAGATAGGGCTGACATTGATTACCATCGGGATATGCTGCAAAAAACTTTATCACGGCATCAGACTCAGCGGCCTCGAGGTAGGAGAGAACAACCTCAGAGACAATCAAAACAGGCAGACCAGGGACAACTCCAGCAGCCTCAAGGCCTTTCTTGAGCATTTCCAAGTTCCTTAGGTCGATTCCCAAGCACGAGTAGGTGTCTGACACAATCTCGCCCACATCATCGACTGTAGGGTTCTGTGGGAGCAAACTGCGAAGGGTGTCTTGGGTCCTGACCATGTAGAGTCGCTCCGTGATGAGTGTAGGGTAATCGATGTCGATGTACTTTAGCTTTGTCTTACTCTCCTTTGCCTTTCTCAGAGTCGCCAATCGAAAGTACGTGGGGTCACTAGGATAAACCAAGTTGGCCGTTAGAGAATGTTGTTTGAGTCGCTTGGATTTGGGTTCCATTAATCAATTGACAACATATGCAGTGTAATTCCTTATTGCTTACAATCCGCATCCAAGGGACATGACGGCGCATTGTTCAATGCCCTTGGACTCACACTCCTCGATCCACCCCTCGACCAAGACGCGGATGCTCTCTGTCCGTTGATAGTATGCACGGTTGATGACGGGCGAGCGACGACTGGGCTTGGGGACAACATACTTGAACATCATTGGCGAATCCTGCTCGGTGACGCCTGGGATGTGGCATGGATCGAGGTATCCTAGACGCTCAAGACTCCGTTTTGAGGTGATACTTGACGTGTTGGTGCCTAAGTAGAAAAGAGTCCTTGTGAGCGTAGGAACTGGATGTTGCGGTGGCACATTGCCAGTCCTCAGGGTTAACAACAGGTGGATGAATCACACACCTTGAATGGCGAGATCCGTAGCCTGGTCCTGTCCTGCGCTCATGCTGTCGTGGTGTCCTTGCTTTTGTTGTTGAATGTGTTTGTTGATTGTGCGTGAGGTCAGAAAGGGCGATTATTTGCTTTTCCTCCTCTTTGCGCACTTTCTTGAAGCGCGACTGGACAGAGTCGTCACAGATCTAATGTCTTGATAACCAAAAGACTTGTGCACGTATTTGCTCCAATCCATCCGTCCATTCGTCCTTCCGTCCTTCCTGCTTTTGTTCCCCTGTCAATTACCTCTCTCTACTTTAATCCTTTCTATTCCTTATTAATCTCTTCTTTCCTTTGCCTATTTCAATTGCCCTTCGTCAGGGTCGTCCATTAGAGTTGCAAGTGGAGTGAAGGTGAGAGTGGTTGTTGCCCATTTTATTTTTTTCTACGACGACCGTTTTCAGTGAGTGAGACAGATAAAGTCATCTCTTGATCTCTTGACTGACAATTTTCTTAAGGGTGGGAGAGAGGGGAGCCAATCTTTGATATGAATAATTGAATATCACCATGCATCTTCATCTTCCTTGGATACGGTGTAGGTGAGGAGTATTGGTTTTCTTACGAACAAAAAAAAAAAAAAAAAAAAAAAACATCTTTGGTTGACTGCGATGGTACATGCCATCGCTGTTCATCTCCACTTGCCACTGTTACAGCGTTGCATGGTGAGAGACACTCAGTCCGTGGCTGCTCCTTGCTTGAGTGATGTTAATGCAAAGCGAGACAAAAAGTAGATAAACATCAATCATCATCAACAGAATCTTCTTCTTCTTTTGAACGCGCCGCGATCATCAAAGGAAAGTCGCGTTTGAGGAGGTTCGTTTCCCCCCCTCTTCCTGCCAATTGAACTTGGCAAAGTGGCGATTGGTCGCTTAAGGGTTTTACTCTGTCGGTTTATTTCCCTTGTTCCTCCCCTGTGCCTGAAATGGCCCATGCGAGGTGTTGAAGAAAAGATAGGGGGCAAATCTTGATGTCAGCAGTTCTTCTCAATGTAAGCTACTCTTCTTCTTGCCCTTCCCACCCCTTTGAAGTCGCCTTTTAAAAGAGCATGACCATCAAGATGACCTTCCTTGTTCCTGACAATACTCCGAGGCACGCATCATCAGGACGGCGCACCCCGCTCATTTTATCAGAAGTGAGGGGGCGCACACACGCGCACAGTCAAACAACGCTGCATTGTTCTCCTACAATAATAAACACAAATACATGGCGAAGTGTGCAGACAAGAGAGAGAGAGTGTGTGTGAATGGAATGGGCGAAAGACAGTAAGTTATGCCGGTATGACACGACATTCAAGGAGTAACAGCAGCACAATTGCAGCAGCAGCATAAAAAGGGTAACAGGACAGTAGTCAGGGAACCTCGCGAAGAGTTTATCCTCTTTTCTCCTCTTCTTCCTCTTCGTCCTCTTCCTCTTCTTCCTCTTTTTCTCCTCGCCACTTCTTTCCTCCTCTCTTTTTTCTCCTCTCTCTTCCTCTTTTATTGTCGTCTCTCCTTCTTCTCTTCCTTCGCCCCCTTCATCCCCACTTCATCTTTTCCTCCCTCTTCTCCTCTCTCTTCTCCTATCTCATCCCACCGCTCCCATTCCTCAGCACCCGGAAGGGGTTTCAACTCCAAGACTCCGATCGCTATTAACGACACCGTCAGCCAACCCTCGTCCCCTCTTCAGGAACGAGAATGCTGACCCAAGGATAAAAACCACCCCCCGCCACAAAAAGGTATCCATCATTCCTTTTACCTTTCCTCCATAGCATTTGTACGCTAAATACCAACAGCCTCTCTGCTCCGATCGATCGATACTAGGACTCGACGACCCCTCCACCCACTTTTCTGACGCCAAAATGCCATTTTTAGTCATGGAGCATGCAACGAACAAACACGAAACAACAATGACAACAGTGAGCAGCAGGAATAACGACAAGCGATCAAACTCGACCACACCATCCTCTACGCGATCACCCCGGTCAAAGCCAGCTTCTCGACTCGTTTTAGTCTCGCTCCTCTTGTTACTGCTAGCTTTGGTATCATTGACAACAGCACTCCCGACCAACAGTACCTTGATCCCTATAGGAGGAAACGTACCCTTGGATGTCGGGCAGAGGGTCAGGCTGTCGAAGTTGAACTGGGGTTTGGGGATTACGCTCATCCTGTTTGGGCTCATCGAGGTCTTCTATGGCTTCAAATTAATTCGTCTATCGCTTGTTGTCACCGGCTTCTTATCTTGGGGTATGTAAACAAAGGACTTAGTCGTTTATCCTGTTTACATTTCAGACCGGCTACTCGAAAATAAGGTTTACAGGCCCATGGACTAAAATGCATTTGTTTGTGTACACTCTCACTCATGCCCTTCAACTTGTTTTAGCAATTGCTGCGATGATCATTATGGTGGCCATCCGGTGGGACCTCGTGTTCACGACATTCTCTGTCAAGTTTTACTACTTTTGGGTGTGGCTGGTGGCAGGAGTAACAGGGGCGACCCTCTCGTTTCGATATTGGGATCTGGGCGTCACCTTCTCGGGTGCCTTTGGAGGATTTGCGGTCGCCATGGGGATCATCGCCATCGCCAACATTGCCATCGGCAACGCAGGACGCTATGTACTTCTTGTGGTCCTCATCCTTGGCGGGTCGGCATTTGCGACGTTCTTTGAGCGAATCTTTATCATCATGTCGACCAGCTTTGGAGGCGCTTATGTGTTTATGTTTGGCGTGGACCAGTTCACACAGGTGGGCTACCGCGAGATGATTGTCATCTTTGACTTTACGGGCAAGACTCTGACTTACCACCCCAGCAGGGATGTCTACCTGATGATTGGCTTTTCGGTGGTCCTGGCGGCACTCGGGATTTTTTGGGAGTTTTGGCACCATTCGACGCCTGTCCTCATGGACCGCAAAGCCGTCTTTCGGATCTATGGGCGCCCATTCGGAAAGAGACCCCGGAAGCTGGTCGGTCAAAAAATCCATCATCATCTCAAAACCACATCAGATGTCTATGCCCACATCATGGGCTGCTTCTGCTTCCAGCGTTGGACCGTTGATGATCTCCTTTACGATGAACATATACCCGACAACGAGGTGGACCATATTGTCCCCGTTACACCCTCGATCCCAACTGGAATTCCCTGTCCAACATGTACCGTGCACCCCGAACCTGTCCCTGTCAAACCCTCTCCACCTTCCCCTACGCCTAAACCCTCCCCGCCTTCTTCACCAGAACCCAAGCCAAGCACTCCCAAGGAGGAGAACAGCAATGTCCCTGAAAAGTCGGCGCCGATGGAGAGTCGACCGGGATCGCCATTGGGCACGGTTGTCGTGACAGAGACATATGCAGAGATCACCGATTCCAACACCGAATCGACCATCCTCGAGAGGCAAAATCGATCTCGCCCACAGCCAAGCCCAAGCTCCGGTGCAGGCACCAAGACTTCTAGTACGGCAACGATGACGACCACTACTACAACGACAACGAACAGTTCCAACTATACCCATATCCAGCATTCTGAAACGTCCTCAAATCAACATTCTCCGTCGTCACCGAGTCCACTCACGAGTGCCATTCCAAGACCACCAATCCGCCCCGAGCCACAGCATCCGTTGTTCACCCAAAATCTGGGGGAGCGCACAATGGAGATGCTGCGATTGGTCACGGACGACACCAGTTCAGACGACACTTTGCCCCCAATCGTCCCCTTGACCCCTCACCGCCCAGCTGCCCAGACAGTGTGGAGAACAGCCGTCTTACCTCCGCCAGCATCAAGCACCGCCTCAATGTCGATGGACCGCCATGTGTTTGATCTGCTCGAGGTCATCGAAACCTCCCACGGTCACGGATCTGATCCTTCGGAGGAGTCAGTACCAGAAGATGACGGTGTAGAGGATGAAGAATATGTGGAATCAGAGAAACCTCATGCAAAGTAGCTATTTCACAATTCCACAATTCCTAAAAATATTTCACATAATATTTGAATGTCCTGCCCAATTTTTTTACCTTCCCTTTGTTTATATTCCGGCCGTTCTAAGGCGAAAACAAGGAGAGGAAGAAATGCCGATGGGATGAATGAACAGGGCGGGGGGGAATAAGAGATTAAAAAAATGAGTACCCTTTCAGTCTGTTGACAGTTGACTTAGGGTTTCGACTGGTTCCTGTCAAAAGTGGTCATTGTGGAGAGCGAGAGTGAGAGAATGAGCGGCAGATTCTTTGGGTCTACCCGGTCGAAACTATCCGTTTCTTTTTGTCCGTGGGCCACTCGATGGACGACCGTCATCTTTTTTTTGGGTTCATATCCAATGACCTAATGCCATCATCTACCTCTCTTCTTCACTTCCTTCCCACTCTCTTCCTCACTTCTTTCCCACTCCCTTCCTCACTTCCTTCACACTCTCTTCCTTCTTTACTCTCACTCTTGGCACACCTTCACTCTCGTCTCCTCTTTTCTTCACAAACCAAGACCAACTGAACTAAAACCTCCCACCTCCTACCTCACAAGCCAAAGGACCACGATGTCCATCCCGCCTTACCCCACACTTCTCACGTCTGATCATACAAAAGCTAGAACGTCCCTGTCTCCACCTCGGCCTACAACCACTGCCATCCCATCTCATACTGCCTCGACCGTTTCAAACACCATCACCACTTCCACCACCAATCCTACAAGCCCTGCGTCCTCTTCTTCAAAAAACTTCAACCATACAATTCACGCACCCAAAGCAGGACGCCGCACCTCCTCAAGACAAACAACTCTCGAGTCACTCCTCGGCCCAACCCTGCGCCTCCCTATTCCATCCAAAGCCAACAAGCCTTTCCTCCCAGAGATCAAGGATGGAGCTCTGAGAGATGGTTATAGTTATAACAGGGACGGCAGCAGCGGCAGCGAAGATGAACAGGACGCGGATGTTGATGATACCTACGACGAGGACAACGACGACTATGAATACAACAATGGCGGTCAAGAAAAAGACGACGGCGAGGATGAGAATGATGTGCGCTCCAAGGAAGATCCACTGGCATCTCAGGTGTGGAAGATGTATTCCAAGGCCAAGGACTCGTTAGACGGACAGCGAATGGAGAACATGACATGGCGGATGATGTCTTTATCGCTGAACAAGAAAGATACTGCCGCCCAGAACACAATCAACCAACCCAGGTTAGTTCACTTTTACTCTTCTCTTTCTCTTCTGTTCCTTGCACTTTTGTCCCCTTACCCCAACAGACATGTTTTTGATGCATACACATACACATGCAAATTTTACTTCCCACAGTCATCTACTACACACACATTTGGGAGGACAAGGGACATGATGGCTTTTTTGTTGTTGTGGTTCGTTTTTTGTTTCTTTTTGGGGGAGAGATATCGACCCCACTGTACATCTGTTAAGTACCTAACCTTCTTGTCGATGAAATGGCTGAATCTCTCGTCTGAGATGAAGAACAAGCAAAGAAAACAATGTTTTTCTGCGTCAACTGTAAATCCACCAATCCCTCCACGCACGCACACCTTCGAAAAAAAACAAAAAAAAAACGGCATAATTATGAGGATTTGTTTTCCTGCAGGGGGCGACATGAGGACAAACAATTTGGACAAACAATTGGGACAGGTGAGAAGGTAAGAGTGGTTGGTGGGCTCAAAAAGGTGCATAATATCGAGCTTTCTCTTTCTTTCTCTTTGTTTTGTGGAGAGCTCTAAGAAGCTAAGAAGGATGGATGATGTTTCCTCCTTAAACGTGCTTCTATTTCTCTCATATTCTCGACAATGTCTCGTTCTCATGATCTTTCTTGGACTGCATACAAAATGGCTGTCCACGGAGTTGATCGGGCTGCTCTCCATCCAGTCGGTGTTTTCCTGTGTTCCCACTCTACCTACCGATTCAACGACCGAGACTTCAAGAATAATAATAATTAAGAGCCACCAGCTTCTTACTCGTACATCCAGCCAGCTACATATTATTCTCCCTTTTCTGATGCATGTGTGGCAAAAAAAAGAGAGGGAAAAGAGGAGAGGGCTACACAAACTCAGTCCGCAGACAGACACAGGCACACGAAGATGCCATTGGGCAGGGGAAAAAGAAACAGAGATGGGAGCGGAGTGGCAAAATGGCAAGAGGGAAATAATGAATGATAAGGGAGGGAGCCCGAGGCCTTTGGAACGAACGAACTAATTGTCCGAATTAGGGTTTAGCGCCTTCACTTTTCTTCTTGTGTCTTTTCTGTTGGTTGATTTTTTGCCTTGACGCCCAGTGGATGGACAGACGGATGAAATGGACAAGTGTGGGTGAATCGAGAAGAACGATTTCAGTTTACTTTTGAACAGTTGTGCGGACAGGGACAGATAATCTTCCACCTAGTAGAGTTCAAGCAACCAGAAGAAAGGCCAAGCTATTCAATCCATCTCATTTTTGCCCCAACTATTCTTTTTTCTCGCTCACTCACTCGTTCCCTTGCCCTTGATTTCATTTCTCTATCGGGGATTTACATTCAATTTTTTCTAGGCCCGCAGACACAGTCAGCAGCGCTCAAGGAGCCCCTTCCTCAGTAGCCGCACTGGCCGACACTCATGAACTCGCAAAATCGTTCCAGGTCGCCATCTCCATCACAAGGACCATCCCTCTCTCGGAACAGAGGACGACCATCTTTTTCCGGGATCGTAAACTTGACAAGCACAGCGGCGCGGGAACTGGGCGATCCAATGCCAACAAGGACTTTACTGCTGCGGGACAGCCACAACGGAGACACTCGCCTAATCATCATCATCAACAGGAACGACCCAAAACGACGTCTCCTAAGAGTACCTCCATGACTGGTTCTTTTATTGACCTGACAAAGTCAGGTTAGACAACTTCTTCATTGACTAAATCTTGGCGCCGAGTTTGCAGAATAACCTATTGATAAGGGAATCTCGATCTGACACAAAGTTTCTTTAATTTTCATAACCTTACAGGGTCACCAGAACTAACGTACTACAGCAACAATAATTACAACAGCGTGTCAAAGGACTTTTCAGTTGCTGGATCTATCGATCACCACCAGCGCCATGTCGAGTTCCCAGGATCCGCGGCCGGCGCCTCCAGGACGACAGAGTTATTTTCCCCCACTGTCCAAGACAGCAACAACAACATGGATCATGACACATTCCAGCAGCAGGATGACCTGTCGTTCGATCCCAACATGGATATCCTGAACGACAACAACACCCTCCCTGTCGATTTCGGAAACATCTCCTGGCACCAGAACCAACTTATCCCCTCAGCAACAGCAACAACAGCGCCGTCCTTTAATGGGAGCGGTTCAGGCGTCAGCCAGTCGTTACCGGCCTTCAGTCAGGAGGATCAGCAATCTGTCGAGTTCAAGCAGCTCCAGGAACATTATGCCCATCTTATGTTGCAAGGCTTCACCGACATCCCTAACAATACCAACGACACCAACAACTCTAATAATGTCAATGCTGGACGTCCGGGACCGGATAGCGGTTACCTGGAGATACTTGGCAGTGGTGGCGTGGTTCACCACCACCACCAGCAGCAGCAGCAACAGCAGCAGATGAGCCCTCAACAATATACCCACCAAGGCATGCCGCCTCAGCCTTCTTCGACAGACGCCACTCATCAGCAGCGAAGTCTTCAGTTGTCCAATTCAACATTCACAAACTGGAGTGATCCATATCCATCCGAGAACCCAGGATTCGTCTCTCCGCGGGTGACGACTCCGCCCGAGAGTCCACACCAACTGCGCAACTTCTCCAACCATTCAGTACCCCCGGCCTTCGACCTTCACAAAAACAACACCCCTCAACATCCCATCCAACAGCCTCAGCCAGTTGTTCAGAACCACTACCCAGTCTCTAACCAATCGGCTTCCACGGATTCTGCAACAGAGGAAGATGACGGCGACGGCTCCGAAACCGAGGACGACGAACCATCCATTGCCGCTGCCGCCGCCGCTGCAGCTGCAGTAGAAGCTGCGTCGACTCAGTGCACAAACTGCAACACCCGGACAACACCCCTCTGGCGCCGTGATGCAGATGGAAACCCGCTTTGCAACGCCTGTGGGCTCTTCTTGAAACTTCATGGACGGACTCGACCCCTCAGTCTCAAATCAGACGTTATCCGGAAACGCAATCGTGGTGGACTCAACTCCAAGGCCAACCTTGCAGGCGGTGCGGCGGACAAAAATCGTGGCGGATCCAAGAGCAGTGCGGAAATGAACAAATCGGCAATACTTATCACTAAGGTTGCGCCGAACCCCTGCGGGAGAGCCACGATCGTATCCAAGGATATCGACGAGTCAGCTCAATCACCACTCCTCCCAGATCCCTCCGGCCGTGGACCTGCCATTGGACTGTTTGCGCCTCCACCACAGAGCTCAGCGACTAACCGGAAGCGCCGTCCTTCAACGGATGTGGAGGTCTTGCAATCGGGAACGGATGCGGTTGCGGTGGCATCCGCCGCGGCTGAGGTGATTTCTTATATGGATGCGAGGGATATTCAGGCGACCATGGATGCGCTTGAGCAGGCAGGGCTCCAGGCTCCCGATATGACTGGGTCTCTTCCTTTGTCAGAGTTACAGTATAACCCGGCGGCGATTGAGGAGCTTCATCGCTCGATGCAGCAGCAGCAGCAGGAGGAACATCAAAAGCAAGGGCAGGACCGAAGGGAGCATGAACAGCAACAACAGCAGCACCAGCAACATGAAGCCAATCGTCAGAACATGGCATACCTCACACCACCTGACGATATGCTCCACATGGGCCACTTTGCACCCCAGCAACAGCGACAGCAGCAGCAACAGCAGCAGCAAGAGCAGCGGGGAGTGCAAGGTTATAACGGACCGCCATTCGCCACCATGGTCCATCACCAGCATCATCACCATCACCAACAACACCAGCATCCTCAGACCACAGCTCAGCTCCCGGCACATATGTTTGACGAGTCCTCAATGGCGGCCATGAACCAGCTAATGGGCACGGACGGCCTCTCGTCCATGGCAATGTACCTTCTCTACAACGACATGATGTCCGCCACCGGTTCCCACCAGCCTCCTCAGTTCCAACAGCACCCGCTTCAACCGCCGCAGCAACAACATCAGTATCAACAAAATCATCATCAGCATCAGCAACCGTTTCAGCGGGAGGCAACACCTTCCGATATTGCCAGTCTTCTCTTCGGGATGTCCCCTGCTCCTGCTGATCCCCACGATGGCGACGATAATGATGACGATGGCGATGAAGGTGACCTTGAGGATCACGGCAATGCAGGCAACGTGACATGGATGCCTTCAGGACAGGATCCTGAACAACAACAACTCCAGGCTTTGACGGTGTTGATGGGTCAATACCAAGCGTCCAATAACCCACTCCCTTCCGGTCGTTAGTGTTCCTGATAAATAAAACAACAGTCGCTTTTTTTTTTTTTTTTTTTTTGGACTGATCCCTGACTGAAATGAAGGAAGAAAACTTCTTGGGTTTTTATTCGATAGATGCTAAAGAGGATAAATGATACATATTATGAAAAGGGAAGATTACAGAAAAGAGACGGATAGGGGAAATAAGTGGGCAAAGGCAAAGTGAACAGACGAACAAACGAAAAAAAAAAAAAAAAAAAAAAAAACCAAAAGAGATCTAGAAAATAATGACAACGAGAGCTACTGCAAACGACGACGGAAATCAAACAAAATAACACGACGAAAAATCAAGCAGAGGAAAAAAAACAAACAGCAAGGAAGAGAAGAAATTGGGTTCCAGTGAGAACAGAGTTGGCAAAGATCAAGAAAAGAAACAAAGAGACTTGGAAGAACGATGGGTATGAGGGCGAAGGGGGGGGGGGATGGTTTAGAGTCCAGGCATTGACATGATCGAACGGTGCTTCCAGTGAGACTTGCTCATCAACTGGCGTTGATGTGTCTTGATATGTTGAGCTATTCAAGTATTTACATCGAAGACATGGTTAGTAAAGTTTGCTCTGCACGATGATCACGAACACATCACAGCCAACAAGAAAACTAAACTTACAAAGATTGTCAGATCGGGAGAACCGTTTGTTGCAACCAGAGCTAGTGCACGCAAAGGGACGTTCCAGAGTATGAGTCTTGGTATGTCGCTTCAGATGCTCCAACCGCTTGAACCGCTTCATACATCCAGGGACAGGACAGCAATGGTTCTTGGAGGGTCCACCCGATCCGCGGACACGGCCTGTTGCGTATTGTGAACCACTTCCTCCGCCACTACTTGCGTTTTCTGCTTCCAGCATGCGATGCTGTTGTGGGTAGTGGTGTATACCAGCATCTATGCTGGAAGAAGAAGATGTAGCCATGCCACATCGAGGGTATCCTTGAGAGTAACTCGATGAGGCCTCAGTATGGTACGAAGAGCCACGAGGACCTTGCGAATACCCAGAAGAGCCCTGAGGTAACGACGATTGGAGACAAGGAGACATGACAAGCATACGACGACTTCCAGCCGACGAAGAAGGATCAGGAGTGTAGCCCGATATCGAGTGGCGATGGTACGCGCCATCACCATTTCCCTGGATCGGGTTCCCATCCTCATCCAACATCATTGCCGAACTAGCATACCCCTCAGAGCTACTCCGGATCGGCATCATGGGTGATGGCGAGACAGACCCGTTCATATGGCGGTGACGCGACGTGAGGTTGAGCGATGACTGATAGGTACCCATCATCTGCAATTTCTTAACCCTCAACGCGTTCTCGGCAACCTCTTCCTCATCACCTCCATCCATGTCCTCGTCATCCTCTTCTTCTTCATCGTCACCAACATCCTCGTCTTCCTCACCATGATCCAAGAAGCCTCCTCGGCTCTGCCGACTGCTACTACCGCCGCTCTCGTGACCAGCCTCCATCGGCATAAAGTGCGACGAGAACCCAGCCGAGTTTCCTTTGAAAGAAGATGAGGACAATCTCTGCGGTGGTAGTGTTGGAGACTCGCCGTTTGGGTTTGGGTTTGGGTTGTCATGGCTGCTGCCAAGCATCACCCTATGGTGAGGATGCTGCTGCTGCTGTTGTGACATATCCAAAGACCCATAGCGACGGTGGGCAGTAGACGACGAACGCAATGGTGGTGGACTAGGAGGTCTCAGACTAGGACTGTTATAGCGCGCATACGGCGGACCCTGATTTGAGCTGTGACCACCAAACTCGTGCTCGTGGTATCGATCGTCTTGGGAGCGATGGTGATGGTTGCGATGTTGATAGTCCCTGTCGTCTTGGTAATGGTGACTGCGGTGGCTATGGCGGTTCAAAGAGTCGGGCTTGATGTTGTGTTGGTTATGGAGGTGGACGTCGTCAGGATTGTTGGAGACAGCCTTGAGGTCGATTTTGATAGGGCTGAATTTGGGGAGGACAACAGCAGGTTTTGATATATTATGGCTGGACATGGCTGTAGATGCTTTGGGCGATAGGGATTCTGCTGAGGTAGTTGAAGTGATTGAGAAGGTGCTGTTGTTCTTTGTAGACAGGGTTGAAAGGGATGATGAGGATTCTTCCCGCTTTGTAATTCGTGATGCTGTTATTGCTGATTTAGTACTGATATTGTATTCCGTAAAATGGCTGCATGGTCCATCAAGGGGATGGGCACCCAGTGATGGGCTGCGCCGTTGATGGTGATGGTGGTGCTTGCTTAGCGAGAACCGGTGGGATGGAGACGTTGGGGATGAGTCCTCAAAGCCCTCATAGTCAGGGCCTTGACCACCGTCGGCTGGTAAGGAGTACGGGTCGCGTGATGTAGGCCTATTAAGTTTGGAAATGGGATTGGCCCCATGGTTCACATGGACTACCAAGGCATTATTAGACTGTTAGAGCGAACAGAACACAACAACTTTGGAAAATGCCATATTGTAAGAAGCAAACAATAACGGCTGAAGAATGACTGAATAATAATAAATTACCAGAGTCAAGAGAGCCATGTCCAGCTCCGATGGCCTGTGTGTGCGGTGGTTGAGGTAATGGCGGAGAATGGCGCGAATCGTGATATTCGTGGTGCCCATTCATGCTTTGGCGGTAGTGCGAGGAGGGCTCAGCCGAATATCCACGACCATCGTCATTTCCTCCGACTACACAGACCATCCCATTGGCAACCATGCCGCCACTACCGACATTGGGGCTATTCAGCGACATAAAGCTGTTGTTGGAGTCCATCATCAGGTGGCGATCAAACTTGCGCATGTGCATCGACTTCTTGGTATGTGTCCGCAAATGGGCCGAAAAGTTATCTGACCGACTGAACGACTTCTCACAGCCCTGAAACTCACACACAAACGGCCTCTCCTTGGTATGGACCAACATGTGTCTCTTCAAATGCTCGTATCGCTTAAAGCTCCAGCCGCATGTTGGGAACTTGCATGGATGTTTGTTGGCAGTCGAGCTGGACGAGTTGGAGCTTGCGTTGGACGAGATCGAGTTGTTGCGTTGCTTGTCCATCATGGCGTTCCCGAGTCGCATATCCATGTCGCTGTCGAGATGCTCGCTTCTGGGTACGCCTACTACTGAACCGTACCGGCTATCATAAGCACCGCCGTGCATGGTGTAATCTCCAAGGTTCGAATGATGGCTGTCGTGACCGCCCTTGAGACGGTAGTTCATGCCATTGTCGGTGTGGTATGGATGATGTACTCCAGAGTGCTGATATTCTACATGATCGTCGTTATAGTAGCTCGAGGGCTCGCGGTGAAGAGAGTCCATTGTCGAGTCGTGGTGTCCAGTCCACTCGGTGTGTACGATGTGTCCGTTCGAATACATGTCCTGCTGACTCAGTCGACGTTCTCCTGAAAGGGCGCGTTGACGATCAGAGATGGGCATGGAGTTTCGGCGAGGAAGTTCTGTTGTTAGAAGACCAAAAATAAAAAAGCAGTAAAGGAAACAAAGAAGAGCCAGGGAGAAAGAAGAAGGGAGAAGAACTAATGGTCAGAACACAATATTCACTCAGGGGGCAAGAGTGACGTCGACATAAGGGTTGGTGGAGAAGAGAGAGGGGTCAATGAGAGAAAATGTCAGGGGGAGGAGACAAATAGCAACAGTGAATCTTCAAGAGTGAATCATGATTCTTTCTGGGCCTAAAGAACGGACAAGTCAGGGTGCTTCTTGAAGTAAATAATAATGAAAGGAGTAGGTGAAAGGAGGCGGGGAGGAAGGGGTGTGTAAGAAGGAGGGGCCAACAAAGAAAGGGACTGAAGGGAGAAAAAGGAGCGATAAAGAAGGATGGACAATTCAAAACCGACAAGGTCAGCCGTCTGGCCTGGTAAAAGACGATGGAATGGCAGGATAGGAAGACTGGGAGTCGGACCAAATGTACCGCCTGGGAGAGGTGCGTGATGGTTGGGGACGATTGCCTCGACTGCCCGAGTAATTATTATCAAAGGACATTTCCTTTTTTCATGCGCATTATTAGTCAAACTTATTGTTGTTGGCAGTGAAAGTATTTTTGTCCTGGAGTCGGGATTGGGTATCGTTGGAAAAAAGGGAGAATACCATACCTCGACTGAAGTGAGAAAGTCCAACGTGAGAACGATCTGGAGATGCTGCCATTGTGTGAGTATGTGTAAAGGAGAATACGTAGGTGTGCGAACGCGTTCGATGGACTGGATGGTTTAGGATGGGCTCTTTCGATGAAGGGTGAGCTGTTTGTCGTACAAGAAAGAAAATTGAAGTTGTCGGTAGAAGATAGAAGGCAGAAGAGATGAAGGATGGCCGAGGTTAGTGAAGGACAAATTGGTAGAGGTGGTACGATGAAGCTGAGATACTCAATGATCTTTCCAGCATACCTCTTCTTTCTACAGCAGCTTGATCCAGCGAGTAGAAATTGAAAAATAAGATAGATTTTGATGCGAAGATGAATAAGAGTTGCGGTGTTAATATTAAACCAAGAAACAATTCATGAGGAGGAGAGGAGGAGAGGAAGAAGAAACAATTATAGAACAAGAAGGGAGGGAGGGAGAGAGGGAGAGAGGGAGAGAGAGAGAGAGAGAGAGAGAGAGAGAGAGGAAGAAGAGAAAAGTGAAGTATACCTGTTCTTGTTGTCGAGGACAAACGCGATAATAAACCTTCCCAGCTTCCTTTTTCCTAAACGTCTAACCACAGCTGTAGGGGCCAAGGCGGACAGGCCAAAGTTTGTTGTTGGTGTGTGCTTTTCTCAAAAAAGGAGCCACGAATGGAAAGGAGAGGAGAGACGGAAGGAAGGAGAAGGAAGGGAGAGGGCGATTGTGACAGAGAAGGAAGGAGGGAAGTAAGGAGGGAAGGGGGGTAAGGGGGAAAAAGTCAGGAGAACAAAGACCTACAGGAGTAAGTAAACAAGGAACAATTTGAGAAACCAAGGATGGGAGGAGGAAGGGATGGCAACTGTTTTTTTTTCTTCTCAAAAGGGATGAGCCCAAGTAGACAGAGAGGAGAAAGAAAGAAATGAAGGGAGGAGAACGAAAAATAAGATAGCGTTGTCCTTTGTCCTTTTGTAACATAGAAAAGTCTCCTTGAGTAAGACCGAGTCAGCCTCTATCTGCCTGTTATCTGTTTGATAATTTGTCGTTGTGTCGTTGTTGATGTTTGTGGAGGTAAGTGGATGTCGCCTTTGTCCTGAGGGTGCATTGGTATCGGGTGTCCCTCGTTCGATTGAGGTTGTTTGCTATTGTTGTTGTTGATAGCTGTAGTAGGGGTTGTAGTTGATGATGGCAGTTCCTGCTGAGGAATTAGGGCGAAAGAGAATTGGAAAGCAAAGGTAAAGTAGAAGGTGGGGGAGGATGGCTGAACTAAATAACAATCTCGTCGTTGTTGTCCTTGTCGACTGATTGAGTACTGTTGATTTTTTTCAAGGGGAACATAAACCAGAGAAATCTCTTTCGACACGAGGACGATGTTGCATCCAAACACAACTCTGGGCAATTCGTGATTCTCTTATCCCTAGAAAACTAATAGATGGAGTCTCGAACTTTTGAGTAAATAGAAAACGAAATGAAGAGATTGAACAAGTAGAAGAGGAAGGGGTGAGGGTATGGAAGAGGAAAGAAGGGCTATTGTAGTTCAAAGTAATTAGAGTATCTCCATTCAGATAGAAAAAAAACTGAGCACGCAAGAGGTTCACGCGTCGACAATATGAAATATTGTTTTTTTAGCAGATCAAACGGCGATGAAAAAAGAGAGACAAGCAATTGGATGCTCAATTGATAAAAAGAGGGTTATGGGGGACTAAAACAAGAGTATTACTTACCTACTTTGTAAATGAGAAAGGGGAGAGTGACTGACGATGGCGGGTTTGAAGGGTTTATGTGAAGAAGGGGTGAAAAAAATTGAATGCAGAGCGAGTAAGGTTGAGAGCGCGTTGATTAACGGAAGAGGGTTCAAAGAAGGGATTGATGAAGTAAAAAAAAGGACAAGGGGGAGCAGAGAGGGTGAGGCTGGTGAAGAATAAGAGAAGAAAACAGCACAATGGACAAGGAAGAGGAGCACATCTTAGGAGAAAGAGATATTTGCACACTAGATCACAGACAACGCCCGTCAACAGCGCGGTGTATGGACTAGGGGCACAAGGGGGGGGGGGGGGGGATGTGAGGAAAAGAAAAGGAGGAAGTGGATCCAGGAGTCTGTATATGTCGACTGACAGCCGACAAGCATGGTGGATGAACAATTGTTGGAGAATGGTCCCTCGTCTTGTTTTATTGCTCTTGTTGCTTTCAGTTTCCATCTCAAAACAAGACGTACTACAATAGGTCGAACGGAGCTATACGAAGGTGTATGAAGAATATGAAGAATATAATAGATGGACGACAGCAAAAACGACGTTGTTGATGGTGAAAGGGCGAAGGAAGGGATAAGAATGGGCGTGTTATGTACTTGAAGTTGCGAGAAATGTCGTGGACTGTGAAATACTGAAAAATGACAACGCGTTGGTGTATACGACGGAGACACGGACAGATAAGGTTTGCCCACGCACCCTACCTCCCTACCTTGAACCGTCCATCTCTTTGTTCAAACGGAGAATACATTGTCGAATTCAGGGGGGCGGAAAGGGAACAGAGAAGGAAGGAGGGAGAGAGTGAGAGAGTGAAGGTCAGAAAGAGAGAGAGGAGGAGCAAGGGATAGAAAGTGAGAGCAAAAGAAAGGTGCAAGGAACCTAAACCAAGAACAGAGACAAGTGTCGTGCCACCCCTGTGGAGAGACATATATATCTTTTTTGTTCAATGAGCAACGAGTAAGTTATGACCCATGGACGAAATGAGATCCACGAGGCACTTTTATTATTCAGTTCGTGCGACAAAGAATACAGATGCAGCTCTTGTCTCTCTTTTTTATGTTGTAGGTGGTTTTTATATTTGCACAAGGATGAGGACGGGATGCATGCGACGGAGCCAACACTGGAGAGTAAGAGAGCAAAAAAGAGTAACAGATGAGACGGAGGTCGTGGTTGACGCGAAGCAGAGCGATGAACAAGTCGCCTTCCCTTTGTTCTCTCTCTTTTTCGCGTGTGAGCGATGGGATGAATGTCTGAGGCGAACGTATTGAACACACCTTGTCCCACTCGAAAACCTGCCTGTATGCTTACTTCAATGAGAATCTGTGACGACCTCATTCACCCCCGCAACTCCTCATCATCCACCTCCTCTTCCCCCCCGCAACCTCTCCGTCTCTCAGGACCAAAAGGGGGCTGTTGCAGATGGGGAAATAAAGGAGTCAGTGAGAAGCACAGATCCATTCACTTACTCGCCATCTCTCTCACTCTCTTTTACGTTTAACAGAAAAAGGCAGCGACCGAACGAGAAAGAGAGACAAGGAACAAGGAGGAGCGTCAACATGCACATCTCTCATCAACCCAGGTCAACCCAAAACCCACCACGCATACACCTAGCTACATCCATTCTCCTTTTATTTGGTACTCTTGCCGTCACTGTGCTTCTATCTCTCTCCTCGAGTTCTCTTCGACTAACCCACCGATAGAGCCAATTTCTCCATTCTTAAACAACACTGCCTTCTAGGGAGACGAGGTAGAAAACGGATCAATTTCCCTTTTTTTTATTGCTTTGGCCATGTTAACAAACAAATACGCAAAACATATCCTTGAAGGTACTATTGGATCAGCCCCTGGATCTTGGGAAGGAGCTGTTCTTTTTTCGTTTTGTGTCCAATTTTTTCTTGTTGTTGGACGGATGTACCCCTAACTTTTCTAGCTCTCGGATCATCGTGCATACACCCACATGCACAATGTGGGCCATTCCTCGACCACATACCCCTCCTCTCTCGTTCCTTCTCACTTTCAGCAAGCAAAACACACACAGCAAACAAACAAACAAACAAACTAACAAACAAAGAGCACGAAGCGCGCGTATTTTTCACTCCTTGACGACCCTCCTATTCAACTCTTAGTTTGTAGGACAAAACAAGTCTGTTTTAGATCCAACAACAACAACAACAACTACAACTACAACTACACCTTCCCACTCTCTCTTGTGCCTCTGTTCCTTTCCCCTGCCTAAAAATCCGTCATTCTTGTCACATCTCCTTTCATTTAATCTCTTATCACATCATTTACCCAATCAACAGGATGCTCCACCATCCAATCGAGGTGAGAATAGCAAATTGACAACTAGGCCAACCATGGAACAAGCATCAGGGAGAAAAAAGAGGACCTTGCGTTCAAGGGGACAGAGCTACAGGATGAGTGTATGAGAGGTTGTGTACGAAAAAAAGAGATGGAGTGAGTGTGTACGAAAATGAGAAGGAAGCACTGATGACAGAGAAAAAAAAAAAGAAAGGGGTAGGGGGTTAGAAAAAAAAAAGGTCAAGGGAGGAAGAGGAAGAAGGACGGAGGGGAGAAGGTTGGACCTCATATTCACAAGAGGGACGTGTGCATGCTCACCTTTTCTATTCTTGCACACGAGATAAAACCCCTTGATCTATCTATTTTTTTTATGTTGAAAGTGGAGAATGGCTTTATTGACCATAGAAGTTGGTGTCTGCCAATGGACAATGGTCAATGACTTCTGATGCACCCCACCACTCAAAAAAGTTCTTGTCCCAGCTCTATTGAGATACAACATACACGCAAGGGTTCGTTAGAAGGAGAAGTTGATGTAAAAATAAACTTGACTGTGATACGAAACGAAGACGCGTCTGCTTACGCGACAGAACTAAACAACTAGATCTCTATTACCTGGAGCATAAAGTAGCAAAGGAGGCCGCTAAGTGCCACGCCGGTGTCCATGGCGGCAGAGGTGACATAATTATACCGCTTCCACCACCCGTTATGGTATCGCCGAATGTACCACATAAAGATGAATCCCAGAAAGATGCCGTTAGGATAAAAGTACGCCTGTGCTGGAGGCATGTTACTTGTGGCAGCGAGCAGGCCGGGGAAGTGGATCTTTTTGAGCCATTTGACTCGCGGGTATCGATGACATAGCCACCAGGCTGGGAGAGGAAGGAATGCGCCGATGACAAAGCCCCATTGAATGATCGAGTACTGGGTCCCTAGGCCAAACATCCTTCCAGGTCCGATCACTCCCCAGATCACCGACGCCGAGTAGAATGCTAACCAGTGACAAGGTTGGTGTGATCAGGTATGAATGTCTTAAGTACGTTTGCACACAGAGACCACTGATAAATGATAAGATATAACTTACTGTTGGTGTTACGGCAGGTCCAGGGGTATCCAGCCTTGGTGCAGATATTCGGCTGAACCTTTAACAACCAATCCGTCGTCGCCAGGTTAATGATCCCCGCGATCACACTCGAAACTACTTGCACCCAAAACATGATCCTCGGCGGGATCTTCATGTAATGACCCAACTTCAGATCCTGTGTAAACTGGAGCGCTTGGACATTGGTGATATATCCATAGGCCTTGAAGGTCACATTGGCGATCGGGTGACCAGGCATTAGATATCCGATCACGTACTCTGTGATTACATTCAGTCCTGGTTGTTGGTTCGTCACGGCTTGGACGATGCCGACGGGGAGCGCAAAGATGAAAGCGATGGCGAGCGAAACGAGAGGTAGTACCAGGGAAGGTAGTGCCATTTCTCGACGCAGAAAATCGACATTGCCAACGAGACCAAAAACAGCGTCGCGTACCACCTACGAAGAAATAAATGAAAAGATGTGTCAATCTTTGTGTTGCTCAACAGTGGCAAAGTACATACGATGGCAAATAAAAAAAGGAGGGAACGGACCCCTTTGCACTTGGAACCACATTTAATAAAACCCTGTGTTGTTTGTTTTGTTTGTTTTGATTTGCTCTGTGGAAGTTTTCACACCCAGAGTCCAAGCCAGAAATTACCACCCCTGGTTGCTCATCCTATTCACGTTTTTTTTGTTTGCTTATTTACCATTGAGGAACTTCCTTGTATTTCATCATCATCCGGGAGTGTATATCGTGGTCCTTCATTGCAATAGCGGCCCTCCACTGGTCACGGATGTCCTTGCCATGGTACAAGGCTACATGTGTCAATGTCGCCGTCAACCCCGCGAATCCAATCCCGTACCTACGAGAAAGCAGACAAAAACAACATGAAAGTGAGTTGTCACCATTCGCCTTATTTCATCGGAAAAAAAACCACATCCATAGACATAACAAACTAAAGTAGCTTACGTGAGGGCAAAGAAAGAATCCATTCTGAGAGGTCCATACGCCTCATACTTCACAGGGTGCAACACATTGTTCGTCATCACCATTGCCTTATCATACGGCGTCCCATCCTCCCTAAACAACCCCGCCGTCAGAATCGGGAAGTTCTTGGAGTTCCACAGGTTGGAGTAATACACGATCGGGGCAATAATCCAAGCGACAATCACAAACCCAACCAGGATGTTGACTTGCGCCCACCAAGGGGTTACAAGTGGTGAGAGAGCAGAAGTTGAAGTCGCCCAGTCAAAGGAGAGGGTTCCGATCCCGAGGCCGTTGGATCCTGTTAGTTGGGAGAGGATTACGTTCTGGGGGTTGATCCAACAGAGGATTGAGAATGCGGTAAGAGTTGGGAAGATGTAGTTGGGGAACCAGTACCATATGAATGAGCCGAGGGAGACGTAGGTGAAGAACCGGAGACGGCTCACTTTGCGTTTCTTCCTGATTCCGCTGAAACGTGATGATGCTCTGCTTCCTTGTTTCATCTCGTGTCCTTGTTCACCTTCTCCTTGTATATGATCCGTGTCGATGATGTCGTCTTCATCGCCATCCTCGGAGGACTCGTGCAGGGTCCTGAATAGCGCCACGGTGACAAGGTTGGCGGGCCAGATCATGCTTGGAGGTCTAACCAGAAATTTCCTCAAAACGCCACTAAAAATGAAGAATATAAAATAATCAAAACATGTTAGTATCTCGCATATTTTTTTTCGTTTTCTATATCCCAGCCATGCAACCATTGAACGAAAACAAGCAAGTAAATGAATGCTCACGCTAAACTGAAACCGGTGACCTGGGTGGTCAAGACCAACATGAACCCCGCCATAAACCCTTGGTCCTCGCCATAGTACTTCTTCTGCAAAATGACAATATCGACCGCATACGCGGTCCCCGAACAACACGCGACTGCCGTCCCGATCAACGCATGCTCCTTGATATTAAATGGTCCTGGGTTGAGCGACACGAGGGGTCCTCCAAGAGATCCGAATATCCGGAATTTGGTTGTAGGTAGGACGCGGGCGAGAAATTTGCCGATGGGGAGGGAGATGTGGGACACGACGGTGTAGGTGATGGAGACGGGGTTCTGGCGGAGGTAGAAGAATTGGTTGACGAAGGAGACGAGGAGGGTGAAGAAGAGGGCGAGGAACCACATCCGGAATGTGTTTGTTGGCATTGACGGGTCATCCGTCACTGATTGGATGTATGCGTTGAATATTACTGTTAGTTGGTTGTTTGTTACCATGGCGACTATGTAGCAATCGAAGGAGATAGCAAACCATCGGATGTTGATTTACCTGGGACGATGGTGCGTACTTCCTCAATTGGCGAATTATCTTCTAAGTCTACCGACGAGATCTGCGACTCCACATCTCCTCTCTCACGTTCATCGCCATTAGTACCCTTCTCCTTCTCACTAAGAACATCCTTGGTTGTGGCAGTACTGGCAAGACGAGTTCGAGAAGTGTCAGAGTACGATGAAGCGGCTCCTACATCTTCAGGCCCACTGTACCCCGACCCTGCTTCTTCTTTTCCTTCTCCTGCCATCTCATTATAACCGTCATTGTTCCCTATAGAGGTATCGTTGGTGCTCCTGCGTTGTTCAGCCGTCTCTGGAGCTATCCTTGTCCGCGTTGGTATTATTCCTCCTGCTGCTTCTACTGCTCCTTCAGTGTGTGGGTGCTCTACCATACGAGGTTTGCTGAAGAGGATGTAGAAAAGAGTCGTGAATGTATGTGTCGACTGTGACTCCTTTTCTATCTTCTATTGATCAAGCGGATGTAGGACTGGAAAAAAAAGGCGGTGAAAGGAAGAGGTAAGCGTGAATAGGCGAGGGTTGTTTACTGAAGAGTCGATAAAGGAAGAAGTGGAGGATGCAAAGAGCACTACGATGACAACACTTACGAAAAGAAGGCTGGACCATTTTCGATTTCATAGAATGATTCCAGGGATAAGGATAGAATAGCATCCATTTGGGACGATATTCTACATGCTACAACCACGTTCATCTCACCCCTGTACCTGGTATGTCATGTCATCCTAATGAAGGTTCTGATATATATACTGTTTATTGTTTTGTTTTGTGTTAGCAATGCTTGCTATAGGTAGAATGCAGGGTAAAAAAAAGAAATAACTATGTACAAGTGCGGAAGGAGAAGGGGTATCGGGAAGTGTTGAAATAGGCATGAGAGAGGGAGCGAGTCGTTTAGAAGCCAGAGTCGGCTATGAGGCTCTTGAGCTTGCGCTGCTTGACAGCAGTGCTTTGAAGGATCTTCTTGGCAACATCGACCTCGGTGGCAACTTTGGAGGGCAAAGGGGGAATAGCAGGTGCAGGCTCCTCCTTCGAGGCCTTGCTGGACTTGCCCAGTCCCAAAAGACCGCCTTGCTTGCGAGTTTTAGAGCCAGATATGGGGAAGATGGACGAAGAGGCCAGGAGAGGAGAGGACGCGGGGGCATTGGGAGAGATACCTTGGTGCTCCAGGATACGTTCGGCCATACGCATACGCTTGGTCTCGCCACGCTCGCCCTTCCACTCGGCCAGAACAGACCTGCACAGATCCTGAGCCTCCCTCGAGGTCCTGGTCTCGCTGAGGGGTGCCTCAACAGCGTTGACAGCATAGGACAAACTCTTATGATCAGAGCTACCGAGGTCAGTTAAGAGGAACAACTTCATGAGGTCGACACGAAGGTAGCGAGCAGTCAGGCCGAGAGCATTGCCCTCATGGTGAGACTCGATGCTCAGACTGGCCTCGCCCTTCTCGCGCAAGAGGGTGTACAGTTCCGATCCAGCAACAGAGACAATATCGCTGAGGTTGGCGTTCTTGATGTACTTGTGGAAGGGAGTCAAACCGCGGTTGTCGGCGTCGTTGACGCTAAGCTGGCACTCGTTCATCAAGAACTTGGTCGCCTCCAGAGCCAAGGCGTAGTTGGTCGCATGCTCGAGAACAATGTGGAGAGCATTCTGGTTGGTGAGGGTGGTGTACTGCTGCATGTTGGCACCGTTCCTCTGAAGAGTCTTGAGAACATCCATGAGCGTCTCTGGCTGGTAGAAGCAGGCGACATGTATGGGCGTGACCTCGGCAAGCATAGAGTAGGCGGGAAGCGAGGCCAGCCCATTGGGGTTCGCTCCATTGGTGAGGATGTAACTCTCTGCAAGATCGGCGTTGCCCTCCTGGCAGGCCTCCCAGATGGTCTGTGGGTTACGTCTCTTTGGAGGGAAGGTGTACTGAGGGATCTCCTGGGAATGGAAGGAGGCCATGGTCGAGACGCGACGAGCATCCCTGGTAGGGATGGCAGGCACACCGCCGCTCATAATGGACGAACCGCTGGAGCTGCCACTGCTGATAGACATGGATCGGGATGAGGACGTGAAAGAGGGCGCGACGGATGCCTTGCGACGCTGAGAGACTGGTGGCACGGGTGGGGGCACTGGTTGCGGAGGTGGGAGGTAGTCGGGCTCGCGTGGAGACAACAAGAGCTCGCGCGACCGCAGAGAGGCTTGACCGTCGCTGTCAAAAGAAGGCGAACGGCCAACCTTGATAGACATGGATCGATTGAGGATTGGTGGAGAATAGGGAGCCGCCTTTGGCTCGTCATCTGCGAATGGAATGAGAAGAGAAAAGTGTGCATGGTGAGAACAAGGAACCAATGAACAAAAAGAGAATGAAGACATATAACTGCATAGTCAATACGGCGAATAGGACTTACCCATGGTTAATTCTTCCAATTGGCGGAGGAAGGTGCTGGAGGGCTGCTTCAACAGGACACCGAGGGTCTGGATGACCCAGTCGAGCGAAGGGCGGTCCTGAGGGTTAGCCTGCCAGCAACGGGTATAGATATCTTCAAAGGTAGGGTCGGTGCCCTTGACAGGACGCTCGCGTCTTCCGGAGACAATGTTTTGCGCCAACGAGACCAGGGCACCGTTCTGGATGTTTTCAGGGGTAATGAGGTCCTCGAAAGGGGAACGACCGCTCGAGATCTCCCAAAAGACCATACCAAGCGAGTAGATGTCAGCCTCGTTCGAATAGCGCTGTCCGTTCTTGGATAACCGCTCGGGAGCCAGGTAGGCCATCCTGGTGGTGTGTTCCCTTGATGATGCGACCTCTGAATCTCTGCTGTTTCCAAAATCCGAGAGAACTGCGGAGCCATTGTCGTCGATGAGGACACTGGCCGAGTGCAATTGGCGGTGGCGGATGCCCTTGTGGTGGAGATAACGGAGTCCGAGAGCGATATCCATGGCAAGATTATAGCGATCGGGCCAGGTGAGATGGGGGTGGAAATTGAGGAGGTACGAGTGGAGGGTACCGTGTTCGTTGTGGTTGAGGACGAGGTAAGGGATTGAGGATTGAGGGTCGAGGGTATATCCGTGGAGGTGGAGGATCTGGGAACACTTTTGCAGCTTGGTAAGGAGGCGAATTTCCTTTTCAATGGCCGCAAGCTCACCAAAGGGTTCTTTGAGCTCGATGTCGTGTTCCTTCCATCGGCCCATATGCACCAGACCAGACCGGCCAGGGATGTGGTTGTTGTAGGACTGTCGGGAGATCTCCTCAAAGGGGATATAAGCGGTCATCTGTTGGAGGATCGACATGATGTCGTGGCTAACTGGTGGTACTGCAACTGCCATATCTGTGTGAATATATGTTTGTCGTGTGGTTGTCGTGTGGGTGGGTGTTGGTGAAATGAGTGTGTGTCCGAGTGCTAAAGACGAGGAACGGTGATCCCAAGCGAGGCCGTTAGTTGTTTGTTTATCGAAAACTGATAAGGGAATGAGGAGGGGTATGAGCGAAGCAAAATTAAAAGTGTGGGGGAAGAGAGATATAGAGAAGGAAGGAATGACGATCGAAGATGAGAAGGAGGAGTGGAGAAGAAAGGAAGAGAAAAGAAAGGTGGAGAAGAGAAGAGAAGAGAAAGAAAGAGAAGGAAGAAGCGGGATGATGCGCATGAATAATTAAGAAGAAACAGAGAGACGACGGGACAGAGAAGGAAGTGCCCTTAGTAATTTGGTTTGTGCTTGTTTTGTCGCTGTGGCGGATTGGTCCATTTACGCCCGCAACCTTGGCGAGGCGGGGGAGAGAGGAGTTGAATGAATGAATGAACAGGGTGAGGGGGTGGGGTGGGGAAGAGGGCTCTGCACCTTCTTTTTGACAGTTCCTGGCCAAGAAAGACAAGAATAAAGAGATATACAAACGCCAGCCTGGTCATTGAGACGAGGACCGCAGTTTACAGTTCAAAGAGAAAGAGAGCAGGACCCGTTCATATTCATTCGATCGATCATTATTGTATGTCGAGTGGAGAAGGACAACGATACCTCAAAAAAGTGGAGGAGAACGAGTCAATAAAAATGGAGAAGGGCCGATGAATGAGTTGAAAACAATCCTGTTATGACCTGTCTGTCATATCAGTGGTGGGTGGAGAAGTGAAAACAAATAGAGTTTGCACCTTTTTTTCATCTCTCAATGCCCTCTCCAACTGGGCTAACAGAGTGTTTGCCCACTTGGCCGAGGCCCGAGGCCATTTTCCTTCCACTTGGAGTCCGTCTGCCCATGTGCTGGTCATTGTTGTTGCTGTTGTATTTGTATTGCTCCGATCATCAAAATAGTCGAGCTAACTGAATGTTGCTGTTGTTGTTTGCCGTTGATGTTTTGCTGTTGTAAAAGCTGAGAACCCTTTCTCAGATGACATCCATTCAAAGGTATCCTCTCTCAGGTACCCCCTTTTTCGCATCTCATTTTTTTCTGCACGCTACTCCATGTTGCTTCCACAAGTACACACACAGACCCCTGCGTCGTTTTTTTTTATTGTTTTCATCACAGCGTCAACAGCACATCAACCAACGAACAGCAAAAAAAGAAGGGTGGCCTCTCGATCACCCTTTGCGCGAGTGTAAGTAAGCAACCACAACAACAATTGTCAAATGCAAAACGCCGCAACAAAATACACTCAGTGCTAATACGTTAGTGCGGTCAAGAAAATATTGCTTCTGATGCCATTTTTTTGGCATGATGGGAAAGTCGCTCTTTTTTTTTCGTTTGTGTTCTTTGTTGCTCCAAATAAGCATGTGCTTGGAGAGATGGGGATTTAGGAAAAGTGTGGAGGCCAGGAGTCAACAATAAAGATTCAGGAACAAAAGATGAAAACGTCACGTGGTGTCTTGGAATCGAGGTCTCGCCTTAATACTTACACTGCGGGTCGGGGTTGGTGGAGGGAATGTGTGCCATAGGTAGTTGTGATCGGTGATATGAAAAGACGAGGAAGAAAGTGAGAGAGGGAAGTGAAGGAGTTGAAAAATGGACGGTGATAAGAAAAGGGACGTCGGAAAGAAGAGGAACAAGGTTCTACAGGCGAGAGGAGTCTCTAGAAAGTATTGGGCGCTAATGTAATGGCGGTTTGCGAATACGTCGTTAGGATGATGAGATGACAGGAAACAAGGAAAAGGGCACCAAGTGTTCGGGATATGAATAGGAGGAAAAATAGTACTAGGAGGGTAGGGAATATACAAGAGAGAAATGGTGAAGAGCACTTTTTGAAAACAAGAAAAAAAAATAGGGACAGGTAGGGTTCATTTATGAAGGAGAAAGAAAAACGAAATGGCCATTGAACACTGCCCAAACATTTTAGGGTTCATGCGCTGTCATGACATTCGATGTGAGGATGGACAGAGGAGCCGTGGAGAAGACGAGGACAAAGACATATGCACATACACGCAAAATGAATAATGGGTCAAGTGAGAGTGAATGAGTGAATGAGTGAATACAAAAAGAAGGGTGCGCAACAAGCACAGGGCAGAAGTGGAGAAGAGGCTGAAGTGAGTTGAGCAGAGTACGCAGACAGAGTCAGACAGACAGACAGAAAGAGACAGACAGACAGACACACAGACAGACAAGATATAAACATGCACATGAAAGAGACGAATATGAAAGTGGAAGGACACAAAGGGCGTTCACTGTTTTACATTATTCAATCATCCTTGTGGAACCAGCGTCGTTTTGTCGAAGGTCAGTAACCTCTCTCTGTTTGAACTCATGCAGAAGAATAAACCTTCGGATAAAAGGCGGACTATCGTTAAAATGACATGGATACTGGCACAAGCCACTAATTCGACTCGGCACTCTTCCGGTTTGTTGTCTACAGACGCAACTCATTTTCCTGTGTGCACTTGCGACATGGTTCGATAAAGCATACGTACAGCCTCCACAGACCAGCAGGCAAAGGAACGAACGAGCAAACGAACGAACGAACGAACGAACAAAACAAGAACGAAGAAAAATGGCGCTTGGGACACACCTGCGAAGCTCACTTTCAACTGTTGACCAATGGTGTTCCGCAAACCAAGTAAGAAACAGGAAAGACCATAGAAAACAGCGTCCTGTTGCTGTGTGTACTCTTGCCAAGTACCCAGTTGGTTCTCCTGTTTGCTTTTTCCGAACTCGCACTCCTGTTATGCCATAGACATCGCTAACGACGACAAAAGATACTCCTTACCCTTCTTTTCTTACTTTCCCTTGAGCATCATCAACTTTGTCTGACCTTTTTCACTTTCATCGATGGAATATCTTTTTTCGTTACCCGCTTACGCTCGTGCTGTTTCGTTGTTTGTTAGAAACTCAGATTGTATACGTTCAATTGAATAAGACAGATAATGCACACGCTATTACACTCCAAGGTCCGCAATGGCTCGTGATGCAGTCCCCTCCATTCCTCCATGGGTCGACTTGGCGGTGCACTTTTCTTTCACCTCCACTCCACGATTTAAGTCCATCTCTCTCATTTTCTTAGTTCCATGGCTGCGACATGTCAGCAGAGATGAAAAACAATTAAAAATGATGCATGTCTCTCCTTTCTTTCCTCGCTCTCCTCTGGACCTTGCTCTCTTCCCAACGTGAAAATATGTGGAGAGTGATAGAAGGTGACGCATCTTCTCCACGGGTGTGATGGCTGGGGTGTATGGCTGTTGCAGTTTGTTTACTCCAGTGGTAGAGTCCAGACACGGCCCAATTTCGTTCTCTTCTTTCTTGACTTGATATCATCTTTGCACAACGTTTCACAAATACAAACATGAAAAGTCAGCAACTTTACAAAACAAAACAAAAACAAAAATAATAAGCGAAGCAGCTTTGTGGAAATGAACAACTCACCAAAGGATGAAGGGAGAGCAGTAGACGCGTCTACACTACCCAACAACAAGAAATAAACAACAAACAATAGTCAATAACCAACACCTTACAACAAAGAAGATTGTGCATACATCAACTCGACTTTGGCAAGCTGGCTGATGGGGGTTGCAAAATATATGCGTCCTATCCTGCATTTGGATCCAAGCTTAATGTCTTCTCCCTCCATACGCGATCATATGTAATTCTTTCTCCACGGTCCTGTTCATATCATTTCGCCCCTCGAGATTCGTAATCATCATCAACAAAGGGCGTGTGCCTGAAACGACCTTACTCCTCAGATAGTTGTCAACGCGCATAAGGAGAAACAACGAACAGGCCTAGGGAAAAGGAGCATGTACCTTTTTTTATTCTACAAAAATACCGATCGACAACGTACCGCACCCTTTTACACTCCGTTTGTCAACCGTTTGGTGACAGAAAAATGTGAGAAAGAAGATAACAGCAATAAACAAGAGTGGAGGCTCAGTTGGTTGCTCTTTTCATTCCTTGACTCTTCGCCCTTTTTCTCTCTCGTTCTCTTCCTTGCTTGCTTCTTGCCTTCGATGACTTTTTGTCTATGGGAGCCCGCACCTGGCTTGTCTACAAACATTCATACACGAACACGAACCTTGCCGAACCCGCAACATATGCTAAAAAGTCTGGGTTTGTGTATTTTTTTCTTGTGTTCAGTTAGGCCAGCTGGTTGGTTAGGAGGTGAATAGGTGAGGGTGGATGCTTTGTTGGGTGAATGACACATGCTTGGCTGATGGTTGAGTTGGGTTTGAGTTGAATTCAATTGTTTGGCGCAAGACAAAAAAACTTAGCATTATTGGAAGACAGATATCTTTCTAACAAATTCGGTCACTACGGATATTTTCTTACAAAATCGGTTCATAAATATCTTCTCCATTTGCTCACCCATGTTTGCTTGTACCTTGCGCAAGGGACGAATGCTTGGATGGCTTGTTTGGTGGCCTTGTTAGCTGGGCTGGGCTGGATGGTGCATCTTTTTTTTCCTCCGTTTTGTATGGTGTGGGTGAGTGAGGCTGTGACCGCATGAAGCGAGCGATTTCGACGTCACCGTATTCTTCTACATTTGTCAGCGGTGTCTTAGCTGCGCTCCAGAAGTAGCAGGAGGGAAGGGACGGCTTTGAAATTGGAGCAAACGCCCATGTGTCTCTGGCATTCACTTCTCACTTTTGACAGCATCATCTCTTTCGCCCCAACAACCACAACAGCTCTTACTTCAAACAGACACATACTACGACACAGCAACTACAACAGCTATAACCATGGGTAAGGAGGACGCAGCGCAGGAGTCTATCATACCAGGAACAACACACAATTGCGCATTCACCACAGGCGTTCCATCATCGACCCTCCCTGAAGTTTGTTGTCTTGCTGCCATCTACCACCTGCCAAGGCAACTCATTCAAGGGGAAGAAACAGGGAAAATGGAATCACACCACAAGTCAAAAGTTTGTCGAACGACTAGACAGATGAGGGCATCACCCATCTTTGACATCACAAACAAAAGAGATTCAGGGACACTTTGCTTTGTCGCAACAAAAGCGCACGCCAACGTTCAACTCCATGGAGAGAGTGTGAGAGAGACACACACACCAACAATACACACAAAGGAGGCACAACAACAGCACCACCTGTTTGGACCCTGGGTTGATTTATTAATTATCCCCTTTGTCCTGCCACTCTTGTTGTACCGCATTTTAATTAACTGTCTCTTCATACTTCGTTCTATTCTGCATAGGCTCGATCTTTTCTCGCATTCTTGGAAGGCTTTGGGGCGATAAGGAGGTGAGAATCTTGATTCTCGGACTGGACGGAGCAGGAAAGACCACTATCTTGTACAGACTCCAGGTCGGAGAGGTTGTAACAACCATCCCCAGTAAGTCTTCCCTTAGACGGACACTGGATGCTGATACGTTATGAAGAAGATATGGCGAAAGGCTACATTCGTGGGCTTGCCTATTATTATTATTATTTTATGTTCTATTGATACGAAAGAAGAACAGTCAAAACGACAAGGAAGAGACGATTGAGAAAAAGAGGAAAAGTAACGAACACTTTTCCTTTTATTTCGAGGCAGACGCGAAGAAGCCGTACCTTTTCGGACTGCTATCTGCCTACGACTGAATTGTCAACGCTCACTCTGCGATTGAGCCTCAAAAGGCACAGCCTGCTGACCGCGTATTGCAATATCATCTATGCCACCATGTTGCTAACCTTTCACAATATCCCTTCACCACAAAAATAGCCATTGGATTCAACGTTGAGACGGTGCAGTACAAAAATATCAAGTTCCAAGTGTGGGATCTGGGAGGTCAGACATCGATCCGCCCATACTGGAGATGCTACTACGCCAACACGGATGCTGTGATTTACGTCGTCGACTCTGTGGATCGTGACCGTGTATCGACTGCCAAGGAGGAGCTGATGGCCATGTTGGAGGAGGACGAGCTCAAGGACGCTTCATTGCTGGTTTTTGCCAACAAGCAGGATATGGCCGGCGCCATGACCGCCGCCGAGGTCTCTGACGCCTTGGGACTCAGCACGTTAATGAACCGTCAGTGGAGCATCTACAAGACGAGCGCCGTCAAGGGTGAAGGACTCACAGATGGCTTGGACTGGTACGTTTTTTCTTTTTTGTTTTGTCATTTTGCCTGTTGTTTTTTCGTGGTTGTTGTTTATTTGCATGTGTTGGCTGGATGGTGACCCTTTTGTGTTTACGATATCCATTTTGGACAGAGCCCGTCTATTTTTCTCCCCTTCCTTTGTATGCATAATCCTCGCTTAAATGATTGAGCTAACTCTAACTATCACCCACTTTTCTGTCCTTTCTGCCCTTCTTCCGTTCTCTTAGGCTGATCAACATCTTGCAGAAATAAAAACACAGGGTTCCTCAATCCTTTGTCCTATCACCATTACTCTTCTTTCTCCTCACTTTTCGCTCACGCTTACATAGAAACCTTCACTCCCTCCATCTATCTCTCTCCTTTTTTTTTATTAATACAAAACCTCAACTCACATACCCCTCAAAGTATAACAAAAAAAAACACGGCATATCCTCTTTGGACAATCATTGATGTATTGGTGAGGAGGTATCCTGATTTACGTACATGTCCAACAAAGGGGCGTCAACGTTCCTCCCTGGTGACCCAGGACGATGAGGACGTTCATAATGATGCTCGCGGCTCTCATCTCACCTTTTTTGTTTGAGGTTTTTTGTACTCTCCGTCCCGTTGTTGTAGTCTCGAGTATTTCAAAGAAGGAAGAGGAGAGGATGACAAAGCTATGAATAACAACCATATAGACACAGCGTACACCCGGGCCAGGTTTTCTTTCGATAAGTATGTTTGCTTGTTTATTAGAGCTTTAGAGCGTTTTTTTTCTTGTAATAGTAGTGGTATGGTACAACCCGTTCACTTAAAGTGTGTCGAGTACTTGTAGGATAAAAAGATATGTGGATCAAGGAAAGGAGCAGTGCTTCTGTTTAGAAAATGGGGCTACGAGAAGGGAAATCCATTCTGACGGGGCTGTCCGCAGAATCGGCCCTGTTGAGCTTGGATCTGGGCGCAGACTGTAAGAACTGCTGCTGTTGTGGAGACAATGCCAGCTTGGGAGGCTTGGGGTGGTCAAATCCATAGGTTGACTTCCTCTCTCGACTCTCGGGACCATTGCCACTGGCACCACTGCTGTTGCTGCTATTGCTGGCGTGGTGACGATGACCGCCCGCGCTGCTGAAGCCGCCCATGGGGCTAGGACCAGGGCCGGGGCTGAGGGAATCGAGGGTCAGGTCCTTGCGGTGATCGAGCATGATCATCCCTCCGTTGCCGTAGTAATCGGCGTTGTAGAACGAGTCAGGGCGGTTGCCGACGGTTTCCTGGTCGGATGGATAGAAGAGGGACGAATTGCATTCCAGGTCTCTGACCAAGACCCGGCTGCTCTCGACCGAGAGGCCACGATCGCGCGACCGGGCCAGCTTGAGGCCCTTGTGGGTTGGAGGAGGTGGACTCGTCGTCGTAGGCATGGTTATCTTGGTATCGCTACCCTTGCCATTGCCGTTGTAACGATAGTGGGTCCCCTTCCCGGCATCAAATGAGTCGCAGGCCGCAATCACGTCATCAATCCCACCACCAGAGCCGCGATCCAACCTCGACAATGCATGCTGGTTCTGGCTACCACCACCGCTACCACTGCCACTTCCAACTTGGTTTGAAGAATCATGGCGCGTTCGGCTGTCAGTGTTGGAGCTGCCGGAACCGCTACCGTCACCACCATTCCCACGATTGCCGCCCTTACGCCAACGGCTTGTCCAGCGGTCGCTACTGCTAGTCTTGTTGGCGCTGCTGGTCCGGAACTTTTTGAAATGGTTCCGGTAGAAGCGTATTAGCATCTTAGGCGCAGGGAGGAAATAGATGGGCCCGATGGTGATCCGCAGACAGAGATCCAGCGCTTGGATCCGAGGCTTGTAGATCAGCTCGTTCTCAAAGACATACACCAAGTTCAGAATAGCGTATGCCTACGAGGGATAAAAATGAAGGGTTGATTGTTAATTGGACAGAAAACTACAGGATACAAGAGTTGAAGAGGCGCGTGGTTGAAAAAGTTGATAAAAGTGAGACACTTACGGTGGCCAAGGACATGAGGCAGGTGAGGTACCAGACACCAATAGCCATCATGTCACTATCGACAGAACGACCAGTGGGGCCGTGGCGATGGTTTTTGACCAGAGGGATGAAGAGATACACGCAGACCCAGACACAGGTCAGGAGCATGAATACCTGGTGTCCCAGATAGAATCCCGGAGAGGGCCTCATGTAGTACGTCTGCTCCGGCATCGAAAGCTGGTCGTAGCTGGCGGCACCGTAGATATCGGTGTTGTTGGGGATGCGGCCTGCTATTACATCGCTATTGATAATCCTATCGAGCCTCGCTTGGGTAAGGATATCCGTGCTGACAATATCAATTCGCAGTTGCTTGACCTGGTCGGGTGGGATGAAATGCTTGAGGACCCGCTGTTGGAAGTAGAAGATGGTGACGCCGAGGGAGACTAAGGCGTAGAGAAAGATGACGACGAACGACATGCGAGCATAGATGCTCCGACCGCCTGTCATGGGGTAGAAACCCGATCCCACCGATACAATCGCGATCGCTAGAGCAATGACGGCAACTGACTCTGCCAGGAAATTCCAAGCCCAGTAGATGTTGGGCAGGACGGTGTTGTTGGCGCGGAGATAGCCGACGACAGCAATGGTGAGGCCCGCAAATGTAACAAGCGCGGCGATGACCCGGAGCCGGGTCATGTTCTTGAAGCACATGATGAGGGCGACGAAGCAGAGGAAGGAGAGGTAGCAGGTCGCGATCACGTAGGTCACTATTGAATCGGCATATGCCGAGTTATCATCTCGGTCGCTGTTCCACCAGCCCGGTCTGTTTCTATAGCTGCTATTGTCATCGTCGTCGTAGTGAGACCAATTGCCCCCCGGCCTGGTACCGTTCCATCGACCACCTCCGCCAGTTTGATTCCGCCAGGTGCTATTCGACGACGGATTGGCGTCTCCCATTATTCTTGAGGATTGTCGAGATTGTTGCTGTGTGGATGTTGATGGATGTGAGTGTGTGAAGAGGTAGAGTGGTGAGAGGGAGGAAAGGAGGGAGAGTGAGCAAAAGAGTGTCTAGAGCAGCAGGGTAGGAAGGAGAGGAGATAGGACGGGTGGGAAGAGAAAAGGGTCGGAAAAGGATAGCCGAGCGTTTGTCTCTGTTGATTGCTTGCTTGTTTGTTTGTTGGAAGTGGAGAGAGCGAGGGGGTGAGGTGTTTGTTACACCCGGATGGTGAATGGAAAGTGTGAGGAAAGATAGGCGTTGGAGGATGAAGTAATAAATTGGTTCCTGTGCGACCAATTAGAAGGGGAAAGAGGGAGGCAGCGAGGAAGGAGATTCGAGTGATCGCACTTGATCAATGAACAACGACGAGAGAGAGAGGAGGAGGGAAGGGGGAGTTGATGAGGAAGAAAGGAAGAAGAGCTGATGAGGAAGGAAGGACGGAAGGAAGGATGTGATGAGAGTGAGGTGAATGAATGAAGTGAGGGAGGAGGGTAGGTGATGAGTGGAGGAAGAGAGGGAAGGAGGGAGGAACTGCACCCGCAAGGGTAGAGAGTGGAAGGAAGAAGAGAGAGGAGGCAACCAAGGGAGTAGACGAAAGGAAGAGAAGAGAGAGAATAGTGAAGGGAAGAAGAAGAAGAAGAGGAACAGAGGGATGGAATGGAGCGGAGAAGATAGAAGAGGAAAAAGAAAACAACCAGACCGGCACTTTGCACGGATGTTCACTTCGCACTTCGATGGTCAATATCAATCACCTCCCCCACACCCACCCACGCCACCTCAATGTGAAAATACTCACACACCCTTTTTCATACGCTAGTGCACACCTTCCTCCATTCTCTCCTCTCCGCCTTCCTCTGTGTCGATTTCCAATAGCAAAAATAATTAGCTCCATTTCATGTTGCCAAGGCACTCAAACTCTAAACCGTTGACTCTCATTGTTTTCTTTTTGCTTTTCAGACCATCGAGAGTTTCGAGCCTTGACTTTTGTCTTTACCCGCTCAGAAGTACAAGGGTGTGCCCGCACTGGATAAATGCCAACACCCCCGGCAAGAGGGAATTAAATGTGTTGTTAGCCCCCTTCACAGTTCAGGCACCGCACTCCTTTTTCTCTTTTTATTTCGCCTTGCAATGAGTAGACGGCTGCATTACAAGTTCCATATCTTTCATTTCGGAGACTATCTGCTTACATGGTAGGTGGAGTGGGCACACAGACGCGATGATTCGAATGCCCTTTGTCACACTCTTACGAAATCAAAACAAACGCGCGGACACAAGAAAGAGTCGAGAGTTAAGTCTGACAAAATCAGCCGATATTCTCCCTTCTGACCGTTGATTTGTTTTTTTCTCCTCTCTTTGTGTTTTCTTTCCATCTATGTATGGTCATAAAAACAACAACATCTTGTTTTTCATGCCCCTTATTTTTTAGACTTTCTTTGGGGGTAAATCGAGGCATGATCCCCTCTCCTCTCTCCCTCTCCTTGTCACTTTCTCGCACACACACACCCATTTGTGTTTTTCTATCCTTCATCAAACGCTATTTGTATTTCGGGTGCTCAGGCTCGACACAAAAACAAAGCCAACACACAAACCCTCCTCTCATAATAAATAGATCCTAGAAAAACATAAACACAAACCAAAATAACAAAAAATAAAATCCGCAAGGCTCAGTTCCCCTGCTTGGCCTCCTCTCCATTTATACACATACCATAATGTATGGTCACCCCCTCCTCCCTCTCCCCTCCCTTCCCCTCTTCTCTCCATCTCTCCAAAAACACAGAAAACAACAACCAAACATGAGTGGGCGACATCAACAACAAAGTCTAATCCGGAAAAGGAAATTGCCTTCAGCAAACTCCTTTGAAGAGAGGATTAGACTTGGTTTAGATGTGAAAGAGGAGGATGTCAGCGCGTGTAAATTCATTAATGAAAACAAAGAGAAAGACAGAGAGAGAGTCGGAAGTTGTCGAATGTGATAATCCACCTTTACTACGGAAAACATATCGGATGAATACGAGTGGGAGGGACATGAAAAAAGCACATGGGAAAAAATCGACTGTCCGTCGGTCAAAGGGAGAGCCCAAGCCCCGAGTAATAACTTATGGAGAAAGATAGAGCAAGCGAAAATGATAAAGGCAAGGACAGGAAAAGAAAGTGAGAGTTGGTAACCCTATTTTTCAATTACTACTAGAGGCCCCCGGGCTTTAAACGCTAGCCGATTTGCTCAAGAGAGAAAAACAAAAGCAAAAGCAAAAAAGCAGCAAACTGGGGGCACCTGGAGAATGGTTGAGACGTGTTGGCAAGCGGTCTAGGTCCATTGCATGCGGGGCCGAACTCCGTGTCAATGCGAGTTTGTTAAGGGTAAATAATGGATATCACGGGATTACTGAGGTCAAAAAACCAGGTATCTCAACGTTAATAAGATGAATAAAGAGGGGATCAAAAGTGGGCATTGTTTGTTATTGGTTATTTTGTTTTGTTTTGTTTTGTTTGTCAATACTGGTTGGGTAACGAGAGGAGGGTGGAGTTGGTCAAGTGAGGAAAAGAGGGTGGTCAAGTAGGAAGCGCCCGAATCAAAACATAAGACGAAGATTAAGTCCGGTTTACTCAACGACGTGTTCGCGTCATTAGATGTAATCTATGAAACAAAAAGACGCGTTAGTTATGGTTGAATGTGAATGATCACTGTTCTCATCAATCAAGTAAAACATTTTAGCTCCTATGGTGATCGTAGTTGTTCCTTTCTTGTTTCTCTTTCCCTCTCTCACAACCTATTCTTTTGATCCTATTTGTTGCTCTCTTGGTTCCTCCTATTCTCTTTGTCTGTCTCCTGTTTCTCCTTGGACCGACGTGCTCCAAGGACCTTGACAGGATAGATATACTTTCTTTTGTCATCCAAGGATGGTCCTTCTTTCTCTTACTCACCCCTCTAATATTTGAAAGGAATGAGATAGTGTTTCATATTCATCCTCAACACGCCCTAAACAGTGTCCAATGGGTTCTATTACTCCGTACCCCTCTTCTTGTTCTTTCTTCCCATCCAGTCCTTTCCGCTCCCTTTCCCCCGTTCATTTCATTTTTTTTATTACGTGAGGTGGAGGCATAATATAAAAGCCAATGAGTACGGGTCAAAAGGCTAAACTGAAGCGCGATGTCTACCTTCTCTCACTTCTTAGCTTGTATTTTTTTTGTTTCTGTTCCATATATCACAATTTCTCTCTTTTTTTCCCTTCCCTCGTCTTTCTCTTGCTTGCTTCTATCACTTTCTCTGTGTCTCCGTGCAGCTTGTACCCCCCCGCGCTTTCCACTGGTCTGGACTCACTTTGTGCCAATTGTCTTGATGCAGCATAAACAAAACAACAACAATATCCTCGTACCCTTTACCATCGAGAATGTGTACGCATGAACTGCAGTAGGGTTTGGTTGTATTTTTTTCCTTCGTTCGTTCGGTCGTGCATGGATGGATGGATGACTAGCTCATTTTGTTGTTATTTTTGTTGACTCCCAATGGATGTTGTACGTGTGTTGGCTCGAGGGTATGCATGTCCTGCGTCACCCCCATTGGACGAAAGAAAGAAAACTTTGAATGCAAGCGACCATCAAAATTTATGGGTGCTAGTTTGCTCAGGCACCCTACATAGGAGCGCATGCATCAAACAGAAAGAAGGAAAGGAAAATAAGGAAAGCACTGTTCGCCTTTTTTTTTCTTTGTTACATCTTCAAATGGAGGGAAGAGGGAAAGGGGACTAAGACCTTGTGAAAGAAAGATAACAAAACTTAGAGGGTTCCCTTTCCATTTGCCTTCCCCCGTGTGTCTTGTCTGTCGTTTTGTCTTTTGCTGTCGATCCCAAAAAAAGAAAAGGGGATCATCTGCCTCACAAAAGTACTGTACACTTTCTCTCTCGCCTGGTTTGCGTTCCGTCTCTTTGCAGGCAGTTCAGCCTAAACAAATTGAATGACACGAAGAAAGTGACAAGACGAGAAATAAAAGGGAGGAGAAGGAGTGAGTCGCGTACACGACAGAAAGAAGGAGAAGAAAGCAACGCAACAGCACGCCTGCCTGCCTTGTCTTTGTGCAATTACGTTCTCCCTCGGCCCTCTACTTTTTTTTTTAGCTCCCTGAGTGCTGGTAGAGAAGGGAAGAAAAGGGAAGAAAAGGGAAGAGAAGGGAAGAAAAAGGTGCAGTGACCAACCAACTAACCAGCCAACCACTTACCCCCGTCTTTCAAAAATGCTTCCTTTCCGTGTTGATGTCTGTTAACTCTGCCTACTCTGTCACAATAGCAGTCTGCTCCCTTCACCCACCGCCCTTCCCCTTGCTTTTTTTTTTTTTTTTGGGTGTGGTTTCTTTCGTCGTAGGCAGTCCTCTTTGAAGTTTGTCTTCTTGTCCCAGATAGTCTTGTGCTGCTATGTCCTCCCTCCTTCTTCCTCTTCGTTGTCTCTGTTCAACTCTCGTCCCTCCATCCCCCTTTTCTGACCGTTTTCGATGCATGCCGCAGAAAGGCAGAAACACAGAAAAAGGTTACGAAGACGCGAGCGGAGGATAAACTCGTCCTTCATTCTCATCCAGCAGTCAATTTCAGATCTGCTCTATTATGTTCTGTTGTTCCGAGGGCCCGACCGCTCGTACGCCTCTCTTGCTCTTCTCCTCTTTTCACGTTGCATGTTTTTATTCCACAGGTGTTGGACGTTTTGTAGTTGTTTATTTTTTTTCGCTTTTTCCCTCGAGGATCTTGTTACTGTTACTTGTTGGTCATCCTCTCTCTTTTTTTCTTGCTTGGTGCGACGTGATGTTGTATTTTTTCCCTTTCTTTCTTCCCAGCTTTGCGTTAGATCGGGATAAGCGTTGCATTGATTTGTCGTCTCTTATCTTCGTTAGCCGAGAGTATGCACCGAGAGTGTAGCCCGAGATAGATGGAATCGCCGAGAAAGAATGCCCGAGATGTTGATGAAGCAAGGAAAA